ACTTTGCTGAGGACTTTGCTGAGGACTTTGCTGAGGACTTTACTGAGGACTTTACTAAGGACTTTACTGAGGACTTTACTGAGGACTTTACTGAGAGGGCTTGCTATAGCTCCCAGAAAGCTAGTGCGAACGCCCCGAATACCTCTTCACTAATCTTGCCCATAGAAGTCTATCCATCTGCACCATGTAATGTCAGAAACATACAGCCCAGTTACTCGAGTAGCAGCAACAGAGAAAATCAGTGCACACGGGTACTACCGGCGACCCAATAGGCCATCGGCATCGAGGAACAAGCCCTCTTTCACATGCCGAATAATAGGTACAGGCTCTGTCTCCTCAAGAGTGCTCTGTCGTATCTAATTATAGAGGCTGGATTTAGTTTAGTCTCCTTCGCTAAAGCGGTTTCGGTATCTTAGTATAGATAGACGTATAAGGCGTACTATATTCCTAGAGATCCTATAATCACTGCCAGTGGCACATCGGCAAAAATGTGGCATATTTTAGGAATTAACGTCTTAGCCTTATATCTAGCTAGTCTACCGATTATGTAACGAGATATGACGACAGGTTTATTTCCTAAGAATTTATGGAACCTTTAACCTATTCCCTATAGCGCTATAGATAAAGTTAGGCTATGCAGTGGCGTAGGTTAGCCCTCAGTATAGATAAAGTATAGCAATAAGATCTTCAAGTTTAGTAATTAGTATTAGGTACTCCTTAATTTAAGAGTGAGTTATCAAAGTGTGAGAGAAGAAAAGCTCTCTTATATGGGGCGTACCTAGTAGTTTCAAGTTATCTCTTCAAGGTAGCTCTATCCGGCGAAAAGCTAAGGGAACCTACTAAGTTGTCGAATAGTTAGTAATCGGTATTCGTGATAGTATTGCCATGTTATTTAGCTAGGGTTATCAATCACCAAAAAGACCAAGAAGGAGACTTCAGAACCACCCTCAGGCCGACGTTAAATTTCGGATCCTGCCGCCTCTCAGCACTGGCACGCTACAAGATGCCGTGAGCCATTCGACCAGCCTTTGTCTGTTACGCGTTGCAGTGGGCTTGCAGACACTACCAAAACAATTTGATACAATTGAGATTCAAATGCACGAAGGTACCTAACCTACCCAGCCAAATTAGGTGGTGTACCGCTGAGCGAACTGGGAAGCCCAGTTCACACCTGAATAAGGTCGACTCTAGCGCTTCCCGTTCGCTTAGCGGTACTTAAGCTCAATGCCGGTCAGTTAGTACTAAAGTCGGTGACGATTTGGGAATCCTGACTGTCGATTGTTTTTTGTTCTGAGATCTTTTTTGCTCTTGCCTCTGCTCACTGCCTGTGCCCTTCCTTTTTGGGCCTGCTCCGGCCGGGTACGAAGTTGTAGTAATACTTTGTCACACACTCCACGCACCGCACCGAACGATGAACGTCGACACACAAGAACAAATTCCATTATTGATCGAGGAGGATGGTTGGGATGTTGACATTGTAACATTGTTAAACAACACTCGTGTGTCTCAATCTCAAGCTTTATACAGCGTATCCAAGTACGCCACGACCAACCTCTCCACCAGCGTCTTATCCGGAAGACTGCCGGCGACGCCGTAAAGCTGAGCACTCGACCCCTTTGCTTTACCTTTATCAATAGGTCCGCCGGCCTTGATGCGCTCGACAGCCTTGTCCTTTTCCTCCTTGACCACAGACACCAAATCCTCAATCAACGTGTCAACAGCCCCTTGGCGGGTCATGGGCAATGTCACGGCGACATGGACACCCGGCGGACCCTGCAGCGAGTTCAAGTGCCATTGTTTGCGGGCCATTGCATCGGCAATATCGTAGATCGAGATGGCCGGATCGATCGACTCAAAGGCCACCACACTGACCATGGGATGGCCGAGGACACGCAGCGTTTCCTTGAGAACGGGATGTTCCTTGATCGCATTTTCGATGGTGAGTTTGGTGCTGACAATCTTATGCGTGGCGTCAATGTAGCCCTTCTCGCCCACCGACATCATGCTTGCCCAGCATCCGGCAATCAAGGCGCCCGGTCGAGATCCCGCGATACTGGGCGAACCATAGACGCCACCCGACCACTCTGGACAGATGAAGTATTGGTACTCGCGTAGCTGGCGGTTACGATACAAAATACAGCTGTTGCCCTTGGGTGCAAAGCCGTACTTGTGCGTGTCCACGCTGATGGACGTCACACCGGGCTGGCGAAAATCAAAACCGCCTTCGTCGGCCCAAGGAGACGGGAACCCAGCCTTGGAGAGGTTGGGCATGATGAACGAGCCCAGACAGCAGTCGACGTGCAACGGAATCTTGTAGGAAACAGCGAGTTTCGAGAGCGCCGGGATATTGTCCACAATGCCGTGTGGATAGTTCGGCGCCGACCCGACCAACAGAACAGTGTTGGGATTGATCAGTCTTCGTACCTTGTTGATATCCACCATGTACTCGGGAGCCGGACAGTCGACGAGATGTAGCTTGATCTTGAAGTAGCTGGCCGCCTTGTGAAATGCTGCATGGGCTGTACTAGGGATGATCATTTCCGGCTCCCGGATCCGACGCTCTGCATACCCTTTTTGCCGCGCGGACAGACAGGCCATAAGAATCGATTCGGTCCCTCCGGACGTCGTGGTCCCGGCCCCAGACTCGGGTGCGTTGAACATGGCCAGTACCATGGCCACCACCTCGGCCTCCATCTTGCGCACGGCTGGGAACACGTCGGCGTGGATCGGGTTCGCCACACTGAACAACTTCATGGCATCGTTTTGAATGTCAATCAGGGACTGTTCGCCATGGTACACTGCCCCAGACACTTTCCCTTCTTCCCACCTCGTTCTCTTCATCGATGCCAGTGCCTCCAGTTCCGTCTGCAGTTGTTCACGGGTCCATGGCTCCTTGGGCAGATTCAGATAATGGTTTATGCCCGGTCCCGATGGTACAAGTTTCTCCTCAATCTCCTTGGTCGCCTTTTCCAGCTCCCGCGACACTTGCGACCTCACCCCCGGAAGGTTGAGAAACACTTTATACGCTGCTTTGTGTACATTTCGGTACAGGAGCATAAGCGAGCCGATGATGCCATGGCCGCGTAGGAACCAGAAGGACTTTCGCACGATTCGCAGGATAAACAAGGCAAAGATTACATTTCGAAGTCTGTGACAATGGAACGGTTAGTTCGAGCGCGCTCTTGATGAAAGAGGTTGGACAAGGCACAGTAGCCTCACATGTTGAAGTTGGCCTGATAGTCTCGTAACCTGGACAGGGCCCTTGGTTTCTGGAACTTGCTCTGCAAGCTGATGGGAAGAGGAGAGGAGCCCATCACGGGACGACAAAGTACAGACTACCGGATAAGCATGGAAAGGGAAGAAAGAGTACCGCAGTACAGGTAGATGATGGACTGTGAGCCTGGTCAAGTGGGTTGCTGTTCCATCATTTATTCTCCGCAGTCGATTCTTGACATGGCCAGTGATCGCCGGCAGCCTCGTATTTCGTTTAACCTCCGAGGTAGTTGTATGTCATTTTTCCCGCATCAAGTTCGTACGATAAGTTCCCTCCGATGCAGTGCCAATCGTTAGGTATACTACTCTACTACTAGTAAGGACAATATCAGTCACATGTGCGCCGCGTCGAATCACATCGTAAAAGGTCACACAAGGTAAATGTTTCATTCGCGTCTTCGGTCATCTATGAAGAAATCACTTTTTCTCCTTGTGTCGCAAGCCGCCCAGCTCGACCTCTAGCTCGTGCTATTTACAAACATCTGGGAATCAAGCCATAGCAAAGAATGACGCCGAGCTTCCTTCGCGGTTTTAAAAGTCATAGTAGTATCATCAACACTCCCCAGGTAGAGCTCATATGCTGTTTTTTCTTCTATGCAGCAAGACCGGTAGTTCTAGCCTTCTTCACCGTCTGCTCAGTCGAGATTTCCTCGCCGACGGTCTGCTCGAGTTGCCTCTTCTCGGGAACAACTTGTTCCTCCTGCTGCTTTTCGGCTAGAAGCTTCTTCTCCTTCTCAGTCATGTTGGGTAGTTCAACCTCGTTTCCGGGGTTCTTCTTGCCCGCCTTGACGGCACGGTGGTAAGCGTGGATGATCGAATCAGCGTCATCGATGGCGATAGGTCTGATGTCAGCAAGCCTCTTGATCGCAGCGGTGACCTCCTTGTACTGAGCGTCAGTCATCTCGATCTGAAGCTGTTGTGCTCGTGACTTGATGGCGTTCCAGCCCGTCAGTCTAGAAGCAAAGTGGATGTATCGTCCAATGCCAAAGTCGGCAGGGTCTATAATCTCGTAGGTGCTGGGGTTGGCCAAAATCGCCTTGGCATGGATACCCGCCTTGTGGGTGAAAGCACAGAAACCGGTGATAGGGTTGTTGAAGGGAATGTTGACAGCCACAGCCTCGGCAACCAACTCCTCAATGTCCTTGATCTTCTCGAGCTTGTACTTGCTCTTGACGTAGTCGCGGTCGGCCGTGATCATTCTCGCCATCAAGCCACCGAGGGTGGTGATACCATTCCGCTCGCCGATACCAAGGACCGACGTGTCAATGTGAGTGGCTCCGGCTTCCAGTGCGCAGTAGGCGTTGGCAATGGCACAACCAGTGTCGTTGTGGAAATGAGTCTCGATATCGCAGCTAACGACACCACGGAGAGTTCGGACGAGGTCGTAGACCTGTCGGGGGGTAGCACACCCGACGGTATCAGCAATCCCGACTCGGTTGACACCAACCTTGTCGACGGCTTGGTAGAGAGAAAGAAGATCGACCAAATCAGATCGGAAAGAATCTTCACTGGAGAATCGGATTTCAATACCCTTGGACTTGACGAATTCGATGACTTCGATGGCGGTGTTCTTGATATAGGTCATATCCTTTCCGTGGGAATGTTCTCGCAGGAAAGACGAGGTACCGATAACAACGTCGACGCCGTCGACGCCAGTCTCGACAGCTATTCTTGCATCATCCATATGACATCTGATATGGGTGAGGATCTTGGACTTCAGGCCGAGCTTGCAAATGGCCTCACAGTCCTTGCGAGACTGTTCCGAGGCAGCTGGACTGGTCAACTCGATATAATCCGCGCCAAACTCATCCAGAGCCTTGGCGATTTCGATCTTCTTAGCGGTGTCAAAGTAGGCATTGGCGAATCTGTGACGAGGCAGTCAGTAAGGATCGATAAATGCACAAGAGGCAGAACCTGGGAATGTCACGTACTGTTCGCCTTCTCTTAATGTGCTCTCAATGATCTTGAATCTGCCAACGTTGCTGAGAAAGTCGCCCACAGGCATGTAAGGGTTTCTCGATTGAGGGGCGGGGGGTGCAGTTGCAATGGGAGTGAAGCCGGGGTGAGCTGGAAAAGAGTCAGTATCACGCCAAGTAGAAGGTCACGCAGCTACACATACTGCCATTGGTACCATTGGAGTGGCCGTTGGTGGTGCCGTTAGAGTGACCGTTGACCCCGTTGGTCATGGTCTCATCGGCCGAGGGACACATATTGACTGGAGCTGTCTGTGGATGTTGATCAAGTAAAACAAGAAGGAAAGCAACAGGCAGCGAGCACTGTGTTGGCGACGGGGTTGTAGAAGCTGGAGGTGTGAACAAGAGGAGGAGTCACGGGCGGTGAAGTCTGAACTAAAGTAGGAAAATGCAGAAAATGAGTCAAAAGTGATTCGATGCGCCCGAGAGGTCGAATGCTAGTAGTGGCACCGGCAGCAGTAGTTAGAGAGCGAGATGTGGGTTAAAGTTGAGCGGTGGGGAGGGGAAAATGCTGAAGAGGCCGAAGCGCAAGATCGGTTCAACTGATCGGTTCAACTGTTCCTGCGCAACTCCTGGTACCGTGGCTGCGTCGTGCGCGGGACCGCAGCCACTTGCACCACCGTATTGCGAGTACTGTGGAGTATCGCCGGTTCTCGGCTTCAGGAAAATTTTGTCCCTCGTTTGCCTCGCACGAGTTTACCGATGACGAAACCGCATACACGATCACCGGTACGAAGGGGTTTTTTAGATCTGAGTCAACATACCTTAATTATACATACGTCGACTCACTGATCAGGTACTTGTGTGATGACTTTTATCACCATTGCAGCTCGCAAACGGCGACGTGTAAAAGTGCTTGTATTTCCAGCTGCTCTGCATTCAACTCTGCACGCCTCCGAGCTCGGCGTGCGGTCACGTGCTGAGTTTGGACGTCGCCTTGGCAATGTTGATGCGTTTGCTGCAGTCATCACGTGCTGCTTACCTTTGGAACATTGAAGACCTGCAACAAGCCATAACTCTTCGCCGATGTACTGTCTCGAAGAGCAGATCAAGTCTGCGCCGATGAACTCTAGCAGACCCAAAGTGTCCTCTTGTCCAAGCAAAGAAATGCGGCGGGCGGTCCTTTTAATGCAAAAGTGACAATCCGGGGTAGGCAATGTGACATCTTGGGCTCCACAATTAACCTGCTCCAACCGAACCACCGTTCATGAAACAATATCAAATGTAACAGGGCGTCCGATGAATAATACAACAATTCCATCCAGATTGGGGAATTTCAAACCTTTCTTACTGATAAACTATATACAACCTTTCTTTCTCTTAAACTGCTAGGCAAATCCATAGCACCATTCAATACCCATCATCACAGATTCATCTTTTGCCATGATTGAAAGAAATCAGTATTTTCCGGACGACAACATGCCAGCAATTCAGCAGCCGTGGATTGAGACTCCGCTGATCGAATCAGCAGAACTCTCAAAGCTCGCAGGATGGTAAGTAGGCATACACTCCTACCTTTCCACCGCACAACCCCTGTTCCACCCGGCCAGACCCTGACAGCACCCGCAGTCGTATCTTTCTGAAACTCGAGAATCTTCAACCATCGTCATCCTTCAAATCCCGAGGCATCGGGAACCTGATGCTGCAATCGATTCGTGATCAAGCGGCGGACTCGTCCGATTCACGACCGCTACACTTCTTCTCCTCGTCAGGCGGAAACGCCGGACTCGCATGCGTCACGGCCGCCACACGGCTAGGCTACAAGGCATCCGTTGTAGTGCCAACAAGCACCGACGACCGGACGATTGAAAAGCTGCGCGCCGCGGGAGCCGCCGAAGTCTTATCGCACGGTGACAGCTGGTTCTACGCCGACCAGTATCTACGCGAAGTAGTCATCCCGACGGCCGAGCAACGCGGCGAAAAGGGAATCTACATCCACCCGTTCGACCACCCGGCGATCTGGGATGGGGCCGCGACCATGGTCGACGAGATCAAATCCCAAATGCCAGACGGCGAGATCCCGGACGTCGTTGTCTGCTCCGTCGGCGGAGGTGGTTTGTTTTCCGGGATTGTGAAAGGCATCGACCGTGCCGGAGCAAAATGGGCCAATCATGTACGTGTTTTGCCCGTTGAAACGCTGGGAGCAGACTCTCTGGCCCAGTCGGTCCAAAAGGGCGAACTTGTAACTTTGCCCGGCATCACATCCATAGCTACGTCGTTGGGCGCCATCCGCGTGTCCGAGCATGCCTTCAAAGAAGCCCAGAGATCCACTGTTACGCCTGTCATTGTCGAAGACGCAGAAGCCGCCTCGGCGTGCTGGCGGTTTCTGGATGACGAGAGGTTTCTGGTCGAGCCGGCGTGTGGCGCAAGTGTGGCCATGGCTTACGATGGCCGCCTGAAGCACTACTTGGGTTCAAATTTCCTTCCAGACACAAAAGTCGTCATCATCGTTTGTGGCGGGTCCAAGATCTCGCTGGATCTGTTGAATAAATACCGTCAGACCTACGAGAAACACAGCGAGGAGTTGGCTCTGAACTACTCACCCAAGGGCGCGGAATGAACACTATAATCCCCCGATACAGTGCCACGAGCGAGTGCATCAGGAAGCGAGAAGGTAGCTGGCATCGAAACACTCCCACAGAACCTTCGCAAGGAGAACACCTCGCCTCACACGAGACTAATCTATTCGTCGAATCGAGCGTCTTCCACCATGGAACATTGTACATCTAAGTTCTCTTTGGACCAGACCACCAAGAATCAGCAATTTCATCACAGTCACAAGAAAAAGACTCAAAGATCAGGACCATGACCATGACCATGACCATGACCACAAAGGGGGTTGAGCCAACGAGATAGACCTGCTTTGGATAAACCAGTCCGGATCAACACAACACCAGCTGAACTACCAAAATCATTAATACCTAGTCATGAGCAGACATAATATCAATATCCAGTGTACACTATACACACACACGCACTCTGAACCGACAGCCAGAAAGCGACATACCCTTCATTATCGACGCCACAACTTAAAGGGCGGCAGCGACCGCGGATGATGCGCCACAATCCATTGAGGTTCCCAATCTCTTACAACCAACATCACCTCGGGCAGGATCCTGGCCTTGCTTGCCAACGAGGATAGAAACGATCCGCTGGGTACATATCATAACACTCAATCTATTCGAATGAACAATAATATACTACCTCTGAAATAGAAATAGAAAATATCACATAGATGTAGTATTGTATGTGAATCTTATTACTTCCATCCCCTCCCTGGTCCGGTTCAGTTCACCTTTATACAGTACATTTTCCACAGACAGACATACTTCACCACTATCCCCTCCCGGTAATCAGGATCATTATTACATGTTGTATGTCTGTCTCTTCTCTTCTCTTTTGTTCTGTTCCGTTTCGTTCTTGTCTGTTGCAACATCCAGCTGTGATTTCTTCGACTTTCCCTTCCCTTCACACAATTCTCGGTACCGATACACTTTTCCTTTCACCGTGGATCAGTTCCTCCTTACTCAGGGTCAGAATCAAACCAAGAAAGCAACCAGGCCCATGAGACCCGCAAGGGCACCGGACCCAAGTGCCATGGTCGACGCAGCAGCGCCAGTGAAAGTCGCCACAGCGACTCCAGAGGTCGTCTGGCTAGGAGTTGTATTGGCGATGGCAGCGGGAGTAGTAGAACCGGCAGCTCCAGCTCCAGCTCCAGCTCCAGCACCAGCACCGGCACCAGCACCATTACCACTACCGTTACCGCCGGCAGCAGCAGTAGCAGTAGCAGTAGCAGTAGCAGTAGCCGTGGCAGGGACATTCGGCGCCGGAACCAGGCCCACACTGGCAGCAGCAGGGGGAGCTCGACTTACACCACCAGTTGCACCCGCTGCACCAGTAGGAACAGCAGTAACAGTGACAAACGAGACCTGCGGCACAGTAACAGCCGTAGTAATCACCGACCCGGAAGCGGTCTGGGTAAACGTCACAGTGGTGACTGGTGCACTTGTGACCGGAACAGATGGCCTTGGACCACGACCGTTACCGTTTGTAGCAGTCTCAGTAACCGTCTGCGGAGGAGTAGGAACCAGTGTAATGGTGGAAGGGACACCGGTGCAAATGCCTGGGTTTTGCGGCACAAAGTCGGCGCAGATGCCTGCCAGGTACGACAGGGCTGCGGTGATGACTTGGTCGTCGCCACCCCACGAAGACACGCATTGCTGCACGTTCGAGATGAAGTCGGAGCTGGGGCAGAAGCAGCTCACGTCGCTGTTGGACGAACAGTGAGGCACGAGACTGAGCCAGGTGTTCATGCAGCTGGGCAGGACGGGTGGGCAGGGTGCTGATGATTCAAATGGAGGTGGGGACACGGCTGTGCTGGTTTCGGTAGAGGTAGAGGTGCCAGTCGTTGGCGGGACCGAAGAAGCAGTAGCAGTAGACGGGGTGGTCGATGTCGTTGGTACAACGGTCTCTGAGGTACCCGAAGTTTGCGTTTGCGTTTCCGTCGTCGCCGTCGTCGGCACAGTCTCGGACCCAGGCGTTCTCGTGTCGGTTTCCGTCGCCGTAGTAGTCGGCACAGTAGCCGATGTCAATGTGGTCGGCGGCGCAGTCTTGCATTTGGTGCAGACGGTGGACGTGGATGTGATGGTCACGGTCGAGATGGTGTTTGTGGTCTCGATCGACGTCTGCGTGCCGGTGGTGTGTGTCAATGTCACTGGACATGTGGTGAGCGTCGTCACCACGAATGCCGTCGTAATGACATCGGTCTCGGTTCCTGTGGTTGCAGTTGTCGTCTCAGTGCCGCTTGTTGCGGCCGTGGTGGTCGTCGTTCCACCGGTCTTTTCGCCGTTGGTCGTTGTGACGCTGCCTGTTGCACTGGTTGTGGTCGCAGTCGTACCAGTGGTGATGGTGCCCGTCTCCCTGGTCCCAGTTTGGCTGGTGGTGGTTTCTACAGATGCCGTGGTCGTGGTGGCAGCCGTCGTGGTGACGGCGGTAGTAGTGCCAACCGAAGACGCAGAGGTGGTGGTAGTGGCCGATGTCGTGGCCGAGGTCGAAGTGGTGGTTCCGGGTTTGCAGTCGAAGCCGATGGAATGGATGCCGATATCACAATCCTTCTTTCCACTACTGGGAGGCAATTGCATGGTGACCGACTTGGCTCCGCCGCACTGGGTGTTCTGCACCGTCGTGCCACCAGCCGAACAGGGCGTGGTATGCTTACAAGTCGACCCATCAGGCATAGAGAAGATGAAATCCAAATCAGTGTCAAATGAAACCGAGACATCCAGATGGGTGATGGAGAACTTGTCATCCTGTCCACAAGAAAACGAAGGACCGCTACCGCCTGACTTGCTGACTTTTCCTTGAATGCATTTGGACTGGGGGCATCAGTCAGCAAACTTTGTCTCCTGAGACATGGACGCCAACGGTAACTCACCTGGAAGCCGGTACGGGCCTGAAGCGATCTTTTGTTGTTTGGCTTGAAAGAATCCTGGCAGGTGAAACCACTGAAGCTGAAGCCACCGTAGCTGTTGAAACCACCGATTTGAAGATCGGACCAGTCGAATCCTCGTTGTTGGGAAGAAGAGCAGGTGTTGTTGGTGTTGGCAGGGCAGGGAAAGGATGGTGCGTCACCCCAGCTGGTTGCCGCAGCCTGCTGCAAAAGCAACGCAGAGGCCACGAGACCGGCAGTCAATGCAGGTTTCATGGTGATGACGCTGATTAATGATATGTGCGATCAAACGAGAGTACTGTCCTTGCAGTAACGAGACACTGGACAAAGAAAAACGAGAGACTGTATAACAAAAACGAGAGGACGGGGATGATGATGGAGGATGGACAGCACAAGAAGACACCAACTTGACAGGAAACATGGCAACTTTTGTACTTGAAGCACCGCAACCGACTTCAGAAACTCGGTGCAACAGGAGACACATTCACCACTTACCAGCCCGACTGCCGTCGTCGGTTCTCGTCGTACCAAGCTTAGATTCAAGACATTCTGAAGGCGAGCAGACGGGTAGCGCGCGCCACTCGAAGTCGCAAGCTGCTAAAGATGTGAACCGCGTGGAAACGTGGATGGGGCCGGCAAGGCTAGATAGAGCCAGTCCCTTATAATAGCAAAGGCTGAAACTCCCCTGAGCGCCCGCTGGGACTGCCAATGGCGGGCGGTATGCATGGTGTCTGCACTTTTGTCTGGGTATAGACTAGTTCTTGAAACGGTTCAGGAGGTTTGTCTTGGATCGAGACAACCAAGGAGGTTCAAGTTGGGTTGGTCCGAAAAGGGACATGGAACCAAAGAGGAAAAGGCCGTTTTGGTATCGCAGCCATGTCCACAATCGAGGCAGTGCAAGCTCATCGAATGCAACGCGGGTTCTTGTGTCCTCCGGGGGAACATCCAGATCGAGTGATGGTCAGTTGTTGTTTGTTTAAGCGACGAGTTCGCTCCTAGCGCCTGGTTACAAGATTGCACTGGAAGCCCCTTGCCCTGTGATTGGCTGTGGTTCAGCCTCATCAAGGCCAAGAACGTCCATTTAGGGGATAGCGCTATAAGGAAAAAGGGGAGGCGAGGCTGCGCTTCCTGAACTTCAGCACCACCCGCTGCCGCTGCAACCAAACACTACGACTCAAACTTTACTGGATCGAGACGATGTGGTCAGGAGTACAATCATACGAGTTGCTCGTTCTCTATAATCCCGAAATCCGACAAAGCCAGTGCTATACACCGAGTCGACACCTGATCCATTCGATAACAGTTCATTGCACGCAGAACATCAAAGTTGAAAGAAAAAGATTTCGCGGCCGTTTGAGCCGAGATAGACCCCACGTCTATTGTCAACCCTTACCAATGCCATGAGGAAATGTTATCTCAGTCCAGTTGCATCCGTTCCTTGCGGCCCCTGAGAGGCCGTCTTCCGATTGCGCAACGCCCAACTCCTTGCATGCATACTGGTCATCATGTCATAATCCCATTTTGAACACCGCAAAACCCGACAATCGCGCCCCCAACCTTGATATGTATCACCTCACCGCTGTTGGGCAAGGGATCATGTTCCGGCATGACACAACAGCATGTACTAGAGTCTAATCCTTGCCCGTGTCCTGGGCATCGGTGTGCCCATCCAGAGGAGGGACGGTTGCCAAAATGGTGTCGCCCCCTACTCCTTCTGTTTCCTTTTTCCCGCTATCAGGGCTTCTCACCGCCCCACGATTCTCCTGTGCTGCCGCGGCGTTCGCTTCGACATCTCCCATAACCCGCTGGAATGAGCGGCTCAATTGTGACTTGTTTGGGGTGCCACTCGACAACGATGATTTGTCATGGCTGCTTTCTAGCTGGCCGTTGACTTTGTCACCGGGTGTGACTTTCGAAGCCAAGTTCTTCTTTGCGGCCTCAGCAGCCAATTGGGTATTATTGAGATATTCATCCAGCATGGCCTTGAGAGCGGTTTGTCTCACAGGCTTGGCAAGATAGTCATTCATCCCAGCCTCCAAGCATTTCTCCCTGTCTCCACGGATGGCAGAAGCAGTCATGGCGATGATGAGGACTTGGCTCACCTGCGGATCAGGGTCCGCTCGGATCGCCTTGGTCGCCTCATACCCGTCTAACACAGGCATCTGCACATCCATCAACACCAGGTGAAAAGGTGTGCCTTGTTTGCTTTTGGCTTTCAGAGCTTCGTACGCCTGTTTCCCATCCTCGTATGCCTCGCACTTGAGACCGAGTTTGGTGACAAACGACATGGCAATCTTCCTGTTTATCTGATTGTCTTCTGCAATGCAGACTCGCAGTTCCGACCGTGGAATATTACTCAGATCGAAGAAGTGGAAGTTTTTATGCTCCAGTTCGGGGCTCGCAGCCTGCGACCACCGAGCCATCGGGTCCGGATCCTTCGCCGCAATTCCCATGTCGTCTGGGACACTGCTGTTTTGGGGCGCCTTTTGGAAAGTGAGCGTGAATGAAACTGTGGTGCCTACTCCGGCCGTAGATTCGATCCAGATCTTACCGCCCAAAACGTTTTCAATCATGGCTTTGCAAATACTGAGACCCAAGCCGCTGCCACCATATGAACGAGCTGTGGAAGAGTCTGCTTGCGAAAAAGGCTGAAAGAGTCTGGAAAGCTGCTCTTTGGTGATGCCGATACCGGTGTCTGCAACAGAGCAAGTAATCTTGACTTTATCCGTAGTCTCGGCATTCTTACGCGCTCGCACCGTCACTGATCCCTTTGGCGTGAATTTGTATGCGTTGCTCAATAGGTTCATGAAAATCTGGTGCAGCCGTACAGGATCGCCCAAGACGAGTCCGTCGTCGATTTGGAGATCCTCAATGGTCTGCAGACCGTGTTCCTGGTTAGTGTATGCCAACGCACGTACGACCTCCGTGATCGTCTCCTTCAGATTCAAGGGAACCGTAAACATCTGCATCTTCCCAGCTTCGAGCTTGGAGAAATCCAGGATGTCGTTGATAACGGTCAGTAGCGTATCGGCACAAACCCGGATACTGTCTGCATATTGTTCCTGCTCCTTGCTTAAGGATGTACCTTTGAGTAGTTCCGACATGCCGATGACACCGTTCAATGGCGTTCGAAGCTCATGGCTGACGTTGGCCAAAAAGATCGACTTGGCTTTGGCGGCTTCTTCTTTTAACTTGACATTGTGCATGGCCTCGGCTTCTGCCTCCTTGGCTTTGGCTTCGGCTTCCCGGGCAGCTGCTAGGGCACGCCTCTGAGACTCCACCATACTGGCGTTCGAAGCGCTCACTTTGCGGACCTTCCTATACAACAATGCATTGCCCAGAGAAATTGCCACCTGGTTGGTAAGAAGGTTGAGGACAATCATGTTTCGCTGCGTAAAAGCATTTGGCCTGCCCTCCAAGTGGATGACTCCCATTAGGTGGTCAGCTTGGACGATGGGGATAGCAATGACTGCCCGGCCAGAAGGGTGGTTCGCTAAATAGGCATCTCCGACGTTTGAAAAGCGGTCGTCTTCGAGCACATTCTGGACGAATACAGTCTCCCTGGTGCGTAAAGTGTAATGCGTAATCTGCTGCGCGGCTTGATCGTCAACCTCCGACAAGGGAATCCCGTCGGGATAGGTTTTGACACCTGTTTCATGATCCGCGCTGGCTGCGACGCACCAACCTTGGTCTTCCAAGTCGATCACGATGGCGCAGAACTCAGCCTGACCCCCCACTGATTCAAGAATGACCGACGCCATTTTCGACAGAAGACTATTGATCTGCAGTTCGGAGCTGATAACTCGGGAAAATTCGAGGATCGATGTGAGATCCAGGATATCAAGTCCCAGTCCTGGCACATCTTGCGAACCCTGATTTGTCGCACCTGTTTTGGGTTGTACCCATGCCGACGTATAGTCACGCTTGCTCTGCGCCTGTGTGTCCTCGCTAACGGTCAAGGCATGCAAATCTTCTGTCTGCGTGGTCGCGTCCATCGTTCTGGCGGTTGTGGCGGTTTTGATCAACCATTCGTGCTTATCCGCAAGCTGTTTTGCCTTCCCACTTGCGTTGATCCTGTTCCAGGCTGCAATAGCTTCTTGGATCATAACTTTGCCAGCTCTTTTAGCTCCGCGCGCAAGCAGAAATTCAGCCTGCATTTCGATTGCTAGAGCCTCTTCCAATGCAAATCCATGGACTTGGCAGTGATCGATGGCCATTTCCAAGTTGGGAATGACATTGACGTAGTCGTGAGAGACTTCTGCGATCACGGCCCCAACTAAGTGGGACCAGGCAAAGTAATTCACGTCGTTGGCTTTGCCCCAGTTATCAATGAAGCGCTTGAGCTCTTTCGCCTCCTCCAGATAGAGTGCTCGCTCTTCTTCTGGTTTCTCCCTTGCAATCGCGACTAACGACAAGGCGGTGTAAAACCGAGCTCCGCAGACTGGTCGGTTCGACCACAGTTCGTCGAGGGTTGTACTCAGCAACTTCCTGCCGACCTGGATAACTTGTTCGTGATAACCCATCAGGTGGTATGCGACCAGTGACATAGCTTGATATATATCGCGAGCTCGGCTGGCATTGGCCGCATATTGTGCGCACTCCGCCAGCCAACATTCAGAGTCATGGTTGCTATCGTTGAGAAGCGTTCGGGCGTCCGCTGCGATCGTCTTTCCCTGCAATGCGCGAACGACTTGTCTTATGGCGACAAGCAGAGTCCCTCCTCTTCGATCCTTTTCCCAGTTGTCGAACTCTTCAGGCCCATAATTGCAGAACGCCTCCACTTCCGCCAGGTCTTGACCTGCCCAAAACCTCGACAGGGCCATCACACCTATGTTGAGCAGGCTCACAAATCTGTCGCCAGATGCCAACGAGTATTCAAGTGCATTGTCCAGGATAGGAAGCAAGTTCCGTACTGGCGTCTGAAAGTGGCCGATAAACAGTGTAAACAACGTCCAGCCCCTACCGCGGGTCCATGAATCTTCGTAAATGTTGTAAAATTCATGCGCAATATTTCCATAGGACAAACCCAACTCAATGTTTTTGAATCTCCCTATCGCAACTGCGCCTAGCATTGTGAACCCTAACCCAGCCTGGACAAAAGTTCCCCGGTCCAGTACGGCCTTCACATAAGCGATCACGACCTGGTACCAACGCAGGGCATCGGACCAGTAAAGAGCGCCCAGAGATTCACTTAGCACTGTCCCCAATGCGATGACGGCCCTGTCCTCACTTAAGGGGGTTGACAGCAACTTCTCGTGGTCGAGCTCCTGGATCCGTGACGCCAATTTTTCGAATTCGACGTCGCAGTCGTCCCAAGTAACATCTGGCAAGGAGATACCCAGCTCTTCCAGACACTCTCGTTGCGCAGCGAAGGCCTCGGAAAATTTCCCTTGACTGGCCAGAATCCGGCCCTTCAATATGTATGACCGCGTTTTGTCAGCAGGACAACGGGCATTTGCGAACGTTTCCTTCAAGAGTTCCAAGGCTTCGGCTTTCTCTCCTTGGAGATACATGATCTCGGCGCTATTAACGAGTAGCTGGAGAGTCTCATCGTAGAAGACGTCTTGGTTGTCTGTATCCCATCTGTCATCCTGTAGCAGCTTAAGGGCTGTTTTGTAGTACCACAGCGCGGTTTGCTTGGCACCTGTCTCGATTGCCTTCTGCGCTCCACGCCAGAGCACATCTCGATACCGCATCCGGGTGGGAATCCTTTCCTTGATAATGTCTGCCGATAGACAGATATGGCGTGCCAGAGGATACAGAGAGAACCTGCACTGACTGAGATACACCATCATGGCCTGGGTAATTATAAAGTGCATTTTGCTGACGTTTTGGCACTCGCGCATCTCGTTTGCGGCTTTCAGATATCGTGCATGTGTGAAACGGAATTCGTCATCGCTGGTTCCTGGTGTCACAACATATGCGTTGACCAGTTCCTGGAGTCCGTTAACGCAGTCGCTTTCTGAGAGATTGAAATGTTTCGCGCGCTTGGGGCAGGTCACGTCGTGTGTTTGGTCCCTGCCGCTGCTATAGAAATAACTTCCAGTCATGATGGACTGAATGAGTTTGAAGGAGAATGTAGTCCCGATCAAGGAAGCCCAAGCAAGAATCGAGCGAGCTGCAGGTGACAGTTCTTGGAAACGTCTGGCGAGGTAGCTGGCGTCCATGTAGCCTTCGGAGCTAAACTCGTTGAAGATCTTGTCCAGGTCAAATTGCCAGCCAGATTCCTTCCAATCGTACCATAAGCAGTTCCGTTGATAACAGGTTTGGAGCATCTCTTTGACGAAGAAAGGATTCCCCTCAGATTTTGCATAGACAACAGCGGCAACCGGTATCACGTCCTCCACAGGGCGGGACATAGTTTCCGCCACATATTCAAAGACATGCTTTTCCTGGAGATTCCCGAGTTCGATTTTGTTTGTCGAATCGAGCTCTAATATCTTTCGGGCGCTATTGGGAATAATGCCGTTGTCCACCCTGCTAGACAGGGTCAAGACAGCTGGAACCTTGGCTTTGATGATGTGCATCAGTAAATCGATCGACTCGTCATCGGCGACTTGCATATCGTCCAAGCAGATACAGATCAGTTTGCCCGTGCACATTGTGCGCAAGACCTCCAGATACGTGTTTATCAGCCGGATAGACTTGGAGTTCGCAGGGCCCCGTAGAAAGCCATTGGTGTCCCAGGTGCTATGGTTAGGCGGATAGTCCAACTTCGAGCCACTGTTGGGGGTAGGAACCTCGGTATTGACACTTTGTGCGGTGAGGTCGTTCTTGCTCAACGATTTCTTGTGGAATACGGCCACATCAAGGAGGGTGGCCGGCAAGTCCAAGACCGAATGCAAAACAGGCCAGAATGGGGTGACATGGGATCGGATATGTTCATGGTATGGCGTATTGACATCCTTTTCCGAGAATATCTGCCTGAAGAGGCTAGCCAAAACCTTGATGAGTGGCTCGAAGGGAGACGGACGAGCCTTGTCGAACCGTGCAAGAGCGAAATATCCGTACCGCCGGACGACAGGCTGCACTGTCTTGATCAGGGTGGTCTTCCCTATCCCAGCAGGACCTAGGATGCAGATAACATCCGTCTTGCTCCTACGCTTGAACTTTTGGCTGCTTCTGCGCCTTGTCATCAATCCAGGCAATGTGTCGGAGGACTGCTGCAGACCACCCGAAAAACTGCTGTCCCGATCTGACACCACGTCCAAAGGTGTAGCGCGGGGGTCGGTAACTCCACGATTTCGTTTGGCGTGCAGACTGATCTTGTTGCCATATAACGGGTTCAAGACATGGCTCTCCAAGCCTATCGTGGTGGAATTACTTCGAGACTCCCTGCCGCCGAAAGAGCTAGACGAATCGGAACCGTCTGGCACGTCGGCACCTTCTACCCGGCCGTCGGAAAGAGAGGAATTCGAGGTCGCATTCAGCATACCTTGTTGCGATGGGGAAGGTCGTGCCCCGGCCGTACTCTGGCGCTTGTGGGCCTTTTCAATGATCTCAGTGATCCGTTCAATCTCTGCATCGCGGCCAAACTGCTTGGTCGGTAAGATGAAAAAGGATGACACATCCCGCTGCCCAACCTTGTAGTTGTTGATTTTGTCCTGTTCACCCTCGCCGAGCAACCTCTGAATCTGTATCAAGTCATACTTTAGCCCACTAACTGAGTGGTATCGCTCATCCATTTGTTTCTGCGTCATCTTGGCAATGATTTTAGAAATCGCATCGGGAATATCCATGCGAATAGCGGTGACCAATGGCAGACGGTGCGTTAACACCCGTTGAACAATATCGATGGGTGTTTCCGCATCAAATGCCGGCTGGCCTGTCAACAGAGTCCAGAAGAGAATTCCTAAGCTGTAGATATCCGTTCGACTATCAGCGTCGGCGGCTAACCGTCCAGTTTGCTCCGGTGCGATAAACTGCAATTTATTCTTCACTCCGATCTCTCGGCTGACGGTGGCCCAGCCCTCGCTGGACAGGAGATTCTCAAACGCACGGGGCCCGTTTCCATGGTTGAGCAGCTTGACACTATTTGTTTCCCTGTTCCAATGGAAGGTGTCGGAGCGGATCTCGCCGTGTACACAGTTCGCACCGTGGTGCAACAGTTCCAACGCTTCCGAGGCACCGATGGCAAAATCCAAGAATGCTTGGAGAGGCACTCGCTCGCCTGGAGTTCCATCAGTGCTTATTTTGGCACCCTGTAAGCCATAGAATGCGGGGCCAAAATCCAGGATCTCGCGCAGATAGTTCTTCCCCGGGGCCTCGTAAACACACATGCCCAATTGATTTGGGTCTCCCGGTGTGGTTGGCAGTTTAAACATCTCAATGGGCCGAAGTGTGTGATCGCATTCGGGATCCAAGTCTTTCATCATTGTTTGGTTGTAATGAAACTCCCGTTCCAAGCGCAGCACATGCGTACTGATACGAGCGAGGACGGGGAGCCATATCGGGTCAGGGTCATCTCTGGACGAGAGAAACTCGCTATCAGTAGATGTGGCACTGATGCTACTCCAATGGTGATGCCGTAAAGTAGGTCGGTGAGGATTGAGTTTTGGCGAACTTCTGTTCGAGCCGGAATGACCGGAGAGGCTGTTGAGGGTACTCGCAGAGGCACGCGGACTAACGACGTCGGGGTTGTGGAGGATGCCATAAACGTGCCTATTGATTTTGATCAAGGTCAGCTTTGCAAACCACATGGGTCCGGATATGGAGACTGGGACAACTCACCAGTGATCGTACGTGGAATGAAACGGCGCAAACTGAGTCTTGGTCAGCCAGGCCCTTCGCGACTTTCAACCAAAAACTTACCGATCGGTCCCAGGTGTAATTGGGGATCTGGGAGAGCCGTTCAAACAGCCTGGTGGGTGCGAGAGGGAGGTCGTCTCCCAAAATATCTTCCATCATCCCGCGCAGTCATGTCATTTTCCCGGTATCAACCTGCGCTCCCGAAGGTCAAATGGCCGGACTCTGGCGGAGAAAGGCAGAGAGAGGCAGAGAGAGGCTGAAGGTACGGGGCCGCAGCGGACTGAAGATGTTCGTGGTCGATTAGAAGGGAAACACTGAGATGATAGTCTGGCGAGCGCGCGGCGTACTGGTGTGATTTGTGTCTGATGATTAAGCGTGGATTGTTGCAACTGTCCGGGCGGTAGATTCTCAGCAGAAGTCTGGGTGGGCTACTAGTAGCACTGGTGTAGTACGAGCGGCCGGAGTGGGTAGCCAGCAGCTCGCCGAGCTGACAACCAACAGCCTTCCCGCGCTTTGCGGGAAGGAACGAATGATAACGGGATCTGCCTCACACCACAAATAAAATTTCCAACCAATCCATCGGGCAGCGCAGGCATTGCAGGCGTGTTAAAATCGCTTAAGCTCTGATTCCCGCTGCCAATGGCATACAACGGCCAATTAGCGGGTGCTTCAGGGTCTATCAATCCCCTCTGCCCCGCGCAAACAGGGGTACTGGGTCCTACCGGAAATACCTTATAAGTACTGGCTAAAAGCAGCCACAGCCGGAAGCGATGAGGTCCATTGCCTCTGTCCTCCAGCAGCGGATGACCCATCATCCGGTCAGCTCGCCTCTCAGCGGTTGATTCAGCGATTCAGCAGTAGCCGTTGTAAGGTGAGGTGAAAGTCTCAACTCGGGGTCATTGTCTTGCAGTGAGGCTCAGACTAATAAATACTGAAGGAATGTCCCATTACTAGTACTACAAATATCAACAAGCCCCAATCATAGCGGTCAACGCCCGCACTACGGGCAGCTCTTCCCCGGATTGTTTGATCCCACCCGTGCAACTCGCGCGATATCAGCCCAGTAGAATGGTATCCCCCGCCAGATCGATCACCAGTGCGTTGTTTGCGGATGACATTTCCCTGCCATGCAAGTCCGCCTCAATCTCAATGAAGCATGTTTACTCTTCGCTCCGAGGGCTATTAACTAGCGAAGGCTTGCTCGAAACTACCTATGCATACCAAATGTGATAAGCAACTACTATCATCAGCAGAAGCAGCCGCTGGTGGCATAGGGCACATCTGCCATGCCCAGAGCCATCACCGGTTATCGGCGGTGTGAGTGAAGGATCTCCTGTCACAGAAGCAGTCATAGAGCCTGTGCCGGTTCCAGCCCGCGTGCTCCTGACACCGTCGGTTGCATTGCCACTACCGGTAATGTTGTTGTTGGCGCTCGACGTCGTGGAAGAAGTTGGCATAGGAGGCAGCAACGGCATAGGTAGCGATGTGTAAGTCGGCATAGGTAGCGGCGTGTAAGTCGCCATAGACGGCGGTGTGTAAGTCGCCTGGCCACCGACTTGACTTGCCGGTATCGCTGAACCTACTCCACTGCTCGTGAAAGGGCTTGGCAGCAGCAATGTTGAGGTATTGGGCTGTTCAATCGGGTCTTCCTCATAGATGTTCCCGGTCTGCCCGTTGGCCAGCTCGTAAGTGCCTGTGATCAGGTTCGCATGGTCCCCGGCGGGAGTGGTATAGTTGCCAGAACTGATCGAACCGTAGGAGCCATCAGGCAGGTAATAATTTGTGGTGAAACGGTCCTAGAATAGGTTCATCAGCTGAAGCCAGGATTGCAGGCATGAACAATCACTACCCAGCAAACGGGAATATTGTAGCTGAGCACAAGCAGGCACTGAGTGTTCTGTGCACCTGTCTTAAGTTAGATTGGTGGAGATCATGCCTGGTCGCCAACTTGCAGCAGATCCTGCCAGGCGATTGCCTGCGTCCACCAGCTCGACCAACAGCACCCGTATTTCCATACCCCCGCACAGTGGAAGGGTTCACAGTCTGGATCAGGTCGAGATAGAGCTGAGCCAGGCCAGGTCCGATCACAGGCACATCGCGAGCAGAGGCCCCGTCAGGTGAACATGGATAGTAATTCAGAGCACATGATTGCCGGGAATCAAGCTCAAGGGTGCGGCCACAAGAGAGAAGGAGTGGGAATGCAGACAGAACTGAGAAAAGCAGAGGAGACATGTTTAATTGCACTCTTTTCTGGTCACAACGCTCTTGAAACCTTGATATCGCAGGATGATTTGTATTGCAGGTCTCTGGAACCTGAAGCAACTTTAGGTCCCTCACAGGGGGCAGTCCAAGGACAAGTGTGCCTCACTGCAGTAGCAGGCTGCAGGCTTCAACTTCAAGTTTGCGACGACATGGAACATGCGGGCAGCACTGGAAGGCAAGAGCTCTGCAGTGTAGGAACACAACTCAGAGGCAGTACCAGGGAGACCTTGAGGGAAGGAGCGAAGGAGTCGCACATGAACCGCGTCTTCCGGCAGTCCGAGTCTGCGGTCCGAGTCTTGCACTGTGCGCCCTGCGGGCGACGGCGACAACAACGACAACGACAACACAACAGGAAGCTGGGTCAACACGCCTGCCAGTGGCACAGCATGTAGTCGGCCGTCTCCTCATATTCTTCTCTCATGATGTCTGCCGTCTCTTCCTCTCCGACATCCTTCCGCTCCTGCGCTGCCTCTACCATCTGCTGTCCAATCTCTGCGTCCTCGAGGCCAATTACTCCTGGCTGCCAGGCAAACACTTGTGATCGACATTGTTGTTGCCTCTATTCAAGAAGTCAGGTCCATGCTCCGGGCTATTTCATGACAGAAATCAACCTGGTGTTTGAGCATGTCGATCTTGCTGGGTATGCTTGTAGGGGGCTGGCGAAGAGGAGGTCGAAACGACACGACAAAGTCGGAATAAGGAAGGTGAAGCTCGCCGTGACAGGGTGCTGAGGCCAGCTGTCAAGCGCGTCAAGCCGATTCAGGCAGTTACAGAATCCACTGTCGTTCAAGACAAGGCTGGAGACCCCCGGCGTCAAAGTGTCACTTAGGGACCCTGTGGGCGCCCTAACAATGTTCCGAGATTGTCTTCCCCAGAGATAGCCTATCCTCGCGTCCCCTGTGTTGGTTGTGGAGGGCTTCAACGATCACGACAACCGGGGCGCGGCTTACGTACCTCCGCGCCTTCCAACCTGGCTATTTTTCTCCCTGCAACCTTGAAACAGTACTGGTACTGGCGCCATGCTGCACCAATCCAGCATCACATGCAAAACATGCGCTTCAGTTGTGTTGATGACGAAATGGTCAAAGCTTTGGAACAGCGGCGGCTGCTAGAGAGGAAAGGAGCCAACCTCTCCATGTTAGCACTAACGAGAGTGATGTGACCCGAATTGGTCTCATGCAGCGACTACCATATACCGCGAACGCGTCCACGCCTCTTAGAAGTAAGTAGTGCGAGTCAAGAGGTACGGTCTTGACAAGAAAGGGATCGATTTTTCTGATACGATAAGGCGGCGTTGTGAGTGGTACATGTTAAGAATCGTCAGTGACAAAATATCGGGTGCAGGACGACGATCGCCAGCCGCAGCCTTGTGCGGCTCAACGTCCCCCTTACTTTGGTCTCTTTGCTCTGGTCTTGCCCCACGGTTTATGGACTTTATTCTCCACTTGCTGTCTGTCATGATGACCCGACAAGTTGTACACTCGCAGATCCATCCATATTGGGATCACAAAGATTAAGCCACTATATGGCCTTAGCCTACAACTACAAGGGATCGACGTTGGCAATTCCCCATGAAAGGTGACGCTACAGGGAGCACGGGTGAAGATGGGATGAAGATGATGCCATTCTGGATATGGCTTGAGACCACGGGGAAAACAACATGATGTGATGGCCGAAGTGGTCAAAGACAAGACTCCATATCGACGCCGATTCAAATTTCAGGAGGCTCTCGCAATGGAGCTGGGTCTAACTGACTGAAGAGCACCGACATACTTAAAGCCACAGGTGGCCCATGATCCTTTCTTCCTTCTCGCCATCGCCTGCATCTCATCTTCTCTCAAGCTCTATACAAGTGCTCAAACCAAGTCCTTCCTTTGCCGTTCCCTCCGTCACTCATTCAAGACACGAAAAGTCTATTCCAATTCAACCAAGCAAGATGCGTTCCTCAGCTGTTATCGCCACACTCCTCTTCACAGCCTCTGCGCTGGCTGTTCCCTTGAATGGTAGGTTTTCTGATCCCCAGCGGCATCAACATGAACGCTAATCATTACTGTAGCTGCCTCAGGTAGCAATGCCCTTGAGGTCAAGCGGGAAGCAGCACCCACCGTGGATGCCGTCGTTGAGAAGCGTGCCCTCATCGACTTGTCCCCCGTGACCAACCTTGTCGGCGACCTTTTGGCTACGGTGACCGGCTTGTTGAGCACCATCACCGGCTCCGTCACCGACCTCGACTCTTCTATCAACAAGATCCTGAGTGACGCAGAGACTGATGTCAATGGAACCTTGACCACGGTCAAGTCCACTCTCTCAGGCCTGATTAGCCAGTTGGACAGCACCCTCGGCAGCCTTGGTCTCTCGGGATCTTTGGGTGGCGTCGGTTCCGACTTGAACACCAGCATCACGGAAGTCCAGACTCTTTTGACCGATGTGGAAGCTCTTGGTGGAAAGGTCGATGCCGGCGATCTTCTGTCTGAAGTCACCACGCTGGTCCAACAACTACTCAGCGCACTTACTGGTCTGACCAGCTCAGCCACGAAGCATTAAGTGATTTGAATCCAACACCGGTTGTACCACCAATTGAATCAACAGCAGCTACTTCCTAGAGTAGCTACCCAGTGCCTGGAGTCTTGTTCTCTGCTCCGGGACCACACCCATCACAGAATGATGGGCTAGCTCCTTGTCCAAATCAAGCACGAGACAGAGCGCATTTTGAGGGAAAGGAAGGCGATGAAGGAAGCGCCCATAGGAAGGACTTGGGTGCCTTGGTTTCTTATACATGCATGTTCTGCCGTGGGAGTGGATCACCTCCCTTGCATAGATAGGATGTTTGTAATGATATCAAATACAAGCGAATTGAACCATATTTTGACATTGTACATGGACGTGTCCCTTTGGTGCTGGGCCACGATCTGTGATGCAAATGGTTGTGGAATACTTGCCATGTGTACAGGATCCAACTGGCACGGAGATAGCAGTGCATAAGGTACACTGGATAGTTTAAGTGCTGGCTGGCCCCTTCAGCTGAAGCCCAGACATATCCAGCCTGCAGTGCCCAGGAGTACTGCAGATGGAGTCTGGACCAGGGGTAGGGGTTGGGTCGCTTGGACGGGCCCTCGGAAGGATCTCTTTTGCTATCGTTAAATGCTGTATCTTTACCTGTCGCTTCTATTCTGAAGCACCTGTGGCCAAGGAAATCGTCACGGTCTCTGGCTTTATGACAATTAGATTGTTGTTGAACGGTAAGTGGTGTCGGAAACTTGAAGTCGAATTGAATAAATATTCCATTTCCGGAAACATCAAAACATCATTTCAACAACTTGAAACACATCACCTACCACTGCAACAACTTGAGTGACTCAAGCCCAGTCCAGTCCCTTGAATGTGCCTTATATGTCTCGTAGCACATAGATGATAATATATATACGAATCAAAGACTAGGTATGATCCATGTCCGTGTACGAGGACTACAAGTGTACAGTCTGCTCGGGTTATACCTTAGTACTAGTAGTACCTACTTCGCTACCAACCTGGTACCCAGGCTACCTCAGTTGAGCCCCGTAAGATGGATACCTACGGTACTACTAGTGATACAAAGGCAAAAGGAACTGCTGGCATTATTACTCGGGACACCAACTTGAAACGCAGCAAGGGCTTTAGGCACCATTGCTCAATACTGCCTAGTTCAGTCGACGGTCGGTTCAAGTTCATGATTACAGCACTGCACCTCGGTAGTAGTACTAACCATGGACCCATATCATCCTGCTACAAGTGGTTCAAGTTCAAGTTTCAGCAGCATAGTAATTACTATGTACCTAGATAGTGCTAGTACACAGAAGCTTCGTCGGATCGAAGCGCTGCAGACTGTTTTCTGTCCCGGATAGAATTGGTTCCTGTTCACAAGACTGCCCCTGCTCCAACTGTCCTCTTTGCTAGACCATGCCGATCAGCAGGATCCCTAATAACATGGAGCCTTCATGCCAACCTTCCGTCCGGGATTGGAAGACAGTCTTGCTTGACAGAGTCCAGTCACTCTTTACCAGGCATATCCAGAGGCTGCGCTCTGCTCGTTCATTTCGTCCGCCCAGTCATCAGTGACACGGCCCAAGTCCTCGTCAAGTCCGGAAAACGATGGCGTATTGTTTGGCGCTTCATTGCCTCGGCGATATCCATCTGCAGGTTTGTCCTCGAAAGAGACGGGGGAGGTTGATGCGCTCTCCACGGCAATGGCAGAGTCGAAGCCAGAAGAACTGCCACGTTGTGTAGGACGGCTGCTGGAAGCGGTGGCATAGTCGGCGACATGTGCGTTGGAACCGAATTGAGGTGCGAATGTGTCACCTGTAGTGACCTTCGCGCCAGCTGTCGCAGCGAAACCAGAAGCAGCAGCGGCGTTATCCCAATCACCGCCAACAGCAGCAGGAGCAGCGGCAACATTCGCAGGAGCAGTTTCCCAGTCGGCGCCCATTGCAGCGGTAGGACCTGGAGGAGGAGGAATATCCCAACCGCCGCCAACATCAGCAGCAGCTGCAGGAGCCTGGTCCCAATCACCACCAGCAGTAGCAGCCGATGGAACATCATCCCAACCACCACCGATACGAGCAGCCGATTGAGTCTCATTCCAACCGCCGCCGACACCGCCAGATGTGAATCCATCGTCACCGCCGTTTTCAGCCACTTTGCCATTCTTCTTGTCTTCCCACTTCTGGCGAACCTCCTGCTCGTGGCGCGCACACCAGTCATGCAAGTCCTTGTCGAGCTTTGGGATCTCCTTTCTCAACACGTCAAGGAACTTCATGTCGTCGGGGGTGTCTTCATCATTCAGCTTGTGGTTCCACCATGCCCAGAAAATGCTGGCTGCGGCAACCTCGCGGACCGAGTCACCACATGCGTTGAGAGCTGGCGATTTGTAGAACCATTCGACCTCGTCCCAGCTCATCAAGACCTTGCGGGCGATCGCTTGCATGCGCTTGGTCAAGCCCTCGGCAAGGTCGCGCGCAGGGATGCCCAGGTACGTGGCGCAGATGATGACATTGGCGTAGATGGTAAAGAGTCTGGGAGTCTCGTTGTCGATCTGAAATTGAAATCTTGGTTAGATAAAACGGAGAAAGACCGCGTTAGTGTATTGTCGGGTGTTCACAACTCACGTCTTTCCACTTGACAATAGCCTGCTCAGCAATGCACTGCTTGATCCATGCAATGACCTCAGTCAAAGTAGTGCTATCGCCTCCGGTCATGGTGAAAGATTTAGCACCGGGGTTGTCCATGAGTTGGTGACGGATGCGATCGCAGAAGACCATGGCTGCATCGCGGGGGAATTTGCCATCGACCAGGTGCAGAACTGCGGTCTTGGTGAACTTGTGGAAGATTGAGATGGTGGGTTCTGCGTTGATGCTGTTCGAGCAGCATGTTAGTCTGAGAGTCATACAAGTCCTTCCTTGGAAGAGCATAGAAAACCCACGTCGTAAGCTTTCCAGGAGGAATTCGAGGAACGCGCTCCTCGCGCGGCTCAGGAGGAGTGCTATCATCCATGGCTGCGATGAGATGAGTTGAAGTGAAAGGCGCGAAGACCGGATGAAAGCAGAGATGGAACGGAGAGATGAAGAAGTGATGGGCTGTGGACTCGCGTGCTTCGTTTTGTGAAGACGGGAGGAGGAAAAAGCAGCTGGGAGACAGATGAAAAGGCAAAGTTGAAGTGACGCGAGACTCAGGCTTCAAGTTAGTGTGTCCGCAGTCGACAGTGGAAAATAAACAAAGGTGCTTGCGTTGCGACCAAGACAGTGAAGCAGCTGACGGCGCTGATGGCAACTGCTTGCGCTCACGGCAGTAGCAGGCATCATGATTGCTGCCAACCTGGAACGTTGGAGTCAACAGGATGAGAAGGGCGGCCGCCGCAATCACAAATCTTTCTTTGAGCTGCCTGGTCCAGGGTTCAGACGGGCCTGCAGAACGAGAGAACAGTCTCCTTCATACCTAATAGGCACCATGTAGTGTAGGTGGTGTGCAGTGTTCAAAAACAAGTGAAACAAAGGCCATCCACTGTTTCATGGAAATCATGCTGGCCATCTATCTCATCCTCAGCCACTGCGTTTGAATCTGGCCTGCTATCGACCAGCTCGCTAGACAGGTGTCTGTGTTTGATCCTCCACCGCAGTGTATCCCACTCGTCATGTCTTCGGCTTCTGGGTCCAAGGCAGCCTCCTCGAGATCGGGGGTTCAGCTCTAGAAATAGAAAAAACCGATTACGCCTCGCTTCCATGTGCACATAAACAAGCCAATATGTCCCAAATCCTCTATTTCTTGCCGCTCTTCTTGATACCCTGCTGCCCGGCGTTCAGAGGTCCTTTGCCCTTGGCCTTCTCTGCCAGTTCTTTGCGTGCTTTGGCGTCTGCCCAAAAGTTTAGTCGAGCCCGCGGTCAAGGACATGAGAGAGAATCAGCATACCTGCTGCTTGCTTGGCCTTGAAGGCAATCTCATCTTCGTCCATTTCCTTCTTCTCCTTCTTTGGTGCCTTGAGCGGCTTGACTTTGCCGCCTGCAACAGGGTTAGTATTGCTGGGAGGATGATTAGGATCGGGCGACGGGCCACCAACCTTCGCGGCTTGCACCACCCATGATGATTTGTTTCGATTTGAATGTACTGGTGAGACGGAGCAGGCGGATAAGTTGTCACGGGGAATTTGGGGCTTGAAATGCGTCGCAAAAGATCTCGGATTGAAGTGAAAACGAACTTTGGCCGCATTTTTTGATCACGTGGTTGTTTGGTCTTAGTAATCAGCACAAGTAACTTTGGTACGCGGTGGCCGCCACAATTTTATTGGCTGCAAGGCTTGACCTCACACTGGCACTGGCACTGGCAGTTGAGGATTCAAGTTCTCCGAGTCGATCGCGGTCTAATCTGAGATCATCTGAACCGCCGCGAAGTACGAGACCGAAGTACATGCCTGCTTCCTGTCCGTCCCAGTTTCTCAAAGCGTCCCTCCACCACCTCATCGCGCTCTGAAACCAGCTCAGGAGCATTCGCTACCTTTCGGCATTATCCTTTCGGCATCGTTCTGATGCTCTTGTAAAGGCTTGAGGATTTGGAGGATTCGGCGGAACGGCACCGGTCGGGCTCTACAGCTGCAACTGCTTCATCTGGGAATTCGTGGCTAACACTTCTGTCCATCCAAAGGCTAGGTTCCAAGCCCGGCCTCAAGTGCACACTCCACACTTTCACCATGGCTTCGAGATCACCTAGCCACTCTGAGGGTGAGATCCTCAGCTCAGATTCGGAAGCGAAGGCAAAGAACATACCATCTTTCCACAATAACAGCAAGGTTGACCGTCGTACCAGACCCTATTCTTCATCCCATGGCCCGTCTAGATCGCACCGATCGCGTTCGAGATCTCCTTATCGAGCCACTAGGGGCGAGAAACGTCCACGAGAGAACGACCATTACCGTGGTAGATCGAACAACGATTCCCGGACCTTCAGCGTGAGATACGAGTCTCATCGTGACTCTCACCACCGACGCGGTTCTTACGAAGAACGAAGCGCGAAACGGTCGCGAACCTATTCCTTCAGCCGTAGCCGAAGTCGAAGTCGGTCGCCCTACAGGCAATCAAGGCCAAGAGATGGTGAAAAAGACAGGTCGAACCGGACAGCTGACAGGGACGAACCGGCCCAGAATGAAACACAGCGTCAGTCGGGATCGGAGATGGCAGCGGAGCACACTGCGAAGTCTGTCCGTTTCGAGTCGGATTCGCGGTCAGTGGCTGATCAAAGCAGCGGTCCAAGTGAACCGTCGAGCGTTGCGCCACCGGACAGTGCAACCGACCAGGTAGACGAACCGAAACCGATTGACGAAGCCGCTCTTATCGAGGAACGTCGAAAACGTCGCGAAGCAATCAAAAACAAATTTCGTGGCCAAGCAGCCCCGCCCTTACTCGTCCAGGCGCTACATATGGGATCGGACTCTGCTCGCGATAGTCCTGCCCCGGACACTGACGTGTCAACACCCCGCCGTTCCGGTGAGTCTCAGAGCATGGCTTCTGGCAGTAGATTGCTGATCTTAACAGAATCGCCGACCGCATCCTCACCGCGTACACCCCGAGACACTTCTGCTGCGCCGACTTCTGCACCACCGTCGCCTGCGGAGGTCAATTTTGACGCCGATGCAGACTTGACTAACTCTCGCAGGGGCTCTCCCCCAGAAGATGGCCCTTCAGCTGCCGATTATGACCCCACCGTAGATATGGAGGATGAAAGAGCGCGCCATGACAAACGTCTGTTCAAGGAAGATGACAAATCTCTGGAGCAGGCCGATCCCCACGTGGCTGAGCAATCCAACCAGGCAACTGCTCCCACCACGAAGCAGGCCACCGAGTTTGACATGTTTGCCGAAGAAGACGACGATGACATGTTCGCGGAAGCTCCGACAAAGCCAAAAGAAGAGGCCAAGACTGCCCAAGCCTTGGATGTCGGTCTCATGGACAATTGGGACGATCCCGAAGGGTACTACATCACAATGCTCGGTGAGCTGATCGAGGATCGTTACCATGTAACCCAAAATCTCGGCAAAGGAATGTTCTCTACCGTTGTTCGAGCCACGGATAGGCGCACCAGTAAGCCAGTGGCCATCAAGATTGTCCGCAACAATGAGACCATGCGGAAGGCAGGTATCAAAGAAATCGACATCCTCAAGGATATTGCAGCGAATGATCCCGAAGACAAGAAGCATATTATCCGTCTTGAGCGCTCATTTGACCACAAAGGTCATTTGTGCATGGTGTTTGAAAATCTTTCAATGAATCTACGGGAAGTGCTCAAAAAGTTCGGCAGGGACGTTGGTATCAACCTAAAAGCCATCCGAGCTTATGCCCAACAACTCTTTCTGGGATTGAGCCTGCTGAGAAAATGTCAGTATATCCATGCCGATCTCAAACCGGACAATATCCTTGTCAATGAGGCAAGGAATACCCTGAAGATATGCGATTTGGGGTCCGCTTCCCCTATCACCGAGAACGTGACCGCGCCGTATCTTGTGTCTCGCTTCTACAGAGCCCCCGAAGTGATCCTTGGTATTCCTTACGACTACGGCATTGATATGTGGTCTATTGGTTGTACGCTTTTCGAACTCTATACGGGAAAGATATTGTTTACAGGCCGTAACAACAACGGAATGCTTCGTGCCATCATGGAATGCCGGGGCAAGTTCCCGCATAAACTTCTCAGACGCGGCGCGCTGACCTATGAGTATTTTGACGATTTGCTCAATTTTCGAGCTCAAGAGACGGACAAGGTCACGGGAAGAACCGTGATCAAGATGATAGACATTAAAGCCAAACCCGTGCGGGATTTGAGGTCCCGGCTGATCCCAAAGGACAAGAGGCTGAATGAACAAGAGAGGAAAGAGCTGGAATCGTTTGTTGATCTGTTGGAGAAGTGCCTGGACTTGCGACCAGAGAAGAGGATTACGCCGAACGATGCGCTCAAGCATCCGTTTATCACGCGGATCAAGACATAAACATAAACGTTCTGTTATACTATTGTACAAAGAGGACATATTACGAACCCATTTCTAGCGAGTGGACCTCGCATTCAGCTCGAATGCGCGGTGAAAGACTGCTCCATGTCCAACCACCTGCCTTTTCTCAAGGGGTCGAGTTTCTTGAGCTCATCCAGCCATCCCAACACTTTGGTCCGATCATCTTCGTTTAGTTGTCCATTGTGCAGCTTCGCTTCGAGTAACGTACATTCAATCAATGCCTGATAGGCCCATTTACAGTCGCTAGCATCTTCCAGGACCTCCTCGATATATTGTTTTTCAGCAGCAATGTAGTCAAGTCTTTGTCTGTTGGACAGGTTAGGAGCCATGCCCTTGGGCGCCAGGTCAAGGTCAAAAGTACACATCAGGTTCTGGTGGTAGAACCACAGTGACTGATCGTACGGATCGAACAATGCCTGATGAATCAAATCGAGTTCCTCATCCAGCATTTTTTGCCGTTCTTCATCCGTGGCATTTTCTTCGTCCAGAATTTTGAGAATTAGTTTTGTGCGATTATGCCAGGCGGAAAAGTTGGACAGATTGAGGCCGATCATTTTTTTGGTGTACTCCAGTTCGTCTCTGGACATGCTTTGGCCGTTTAAGGTTGGGCTTTCGAGGCTTTGGACGACGATCCGTCGATACCCCCAGCCGTGGAAATTGCGGCTGTCTCGGCTCAGCATCTTGCCGACTAGATTTAATTCTTCCTCCCAGAGAGGTCGGGCTTTGGTTGGTGGGAGGAGTAATGTGGCTTGTTGAAGAAGCCATAGGCGGTGGTTCCAGATCCAGTAGCATTTGGGGAATTTGAGAAGTAGCGGAAACAAGAATTGAAGGTCGAGTTGGATGATGTCCAATATTTGGCTGATTCGGCTGGCTGGGTCAAGCTGGCCTGAGGACACTTGAGTGTCCAGGGATTGGAATTCGTGCATGTAGATTCGTCGGCGGTGGTTCCATATCGTGTAGTATTCCGGGTTGCGTTTTAGGAGAGATGCTGTTTGTTGGAGGAGTTCGGGCGTAAATTCTTTTGCTTGGATCTTGGTGTTGACTTCTTCTACAAGATGCTGATATTCGGATATCTCGCGCAGTTCTCGTTGTCGTGCCTCTGCTGTTTTCTCTTCGCGGGCTGCTGAACGCGAGACACCGTGCTGTTCAAGGTGCCGTGTGAGTAAGAGAGATTATAACTGAGGGATGGTTTGGGGCGATGCTTACGCTGGCCATTGGGGGTCTACCCTTTCTCGCTGTGTGTCCTTTGGCGATGTAAGATGATACTGGTAGATTAATTGTACAGTGAGGCAGGCATGACTTCTGGTTGATGCCGGTGTCAGTTGTGTGGAAGGGTTCTGAAGATGAAGGTGAAGGAACGATGCACAGTGATACTTTTACGATTGTTGATTGTCGTTCATTATTTCTCCAACTCCGCCTGAGAACATCAACACCAACACATTTATCTCAAGCCAACAATTGATGAGCGATGGCTTGTCACTAACATACTTATAGGTAATCATTCAATTCTCAGGTTATCCCTCCAAGTGCTGAAGAAGTGCTGCCGTTCACTGGGCCCTCGTACGTCCTTCGAGGATGCCTGGGTTCTCGTTTGAGTCCGCGATCCCTTGACCGACCCTCGCCGGCTGGTGATCCTGACCACGGCGTCGATACACCTCTGTGTCTCCAGCTCCCTTGTGTTGTGCAAAATCAGGCAATACCACCCATGGGCGACTCCGTCCTCTTCTCTCGAAAGACGCGCACTTCTTCTGAGACTTCACAGACGAGTAGATATGATGAAAGCCCTGGCGAAGAGCAGGACACCCTCTCCAGTCCACGTCCGTCCATCGGCCATCTGCAACAACACCAATCAACCTCCAAGTTACCCTTTGAAGACCATCCTGCCCAGTCAATCTCCCGTGGCATTGGTCGTCCCTAGCAGAGACGCAGTGCCAGCTTGGTGAACCCCTCTCGCTACCAACATCAATTCACCTCACCAGATCGCTTTCTTCCCCAGAGGCCGCTGCTTGGAGACAAGAGATCATCTTATCAAACAAGTACGCCGCCAAACCTACTTCAGGGTCGTGAACGGAACGACAGACGAAGGGACCTGACAGTGGACCCGTTTCGTTCGATCAGCGAGACGAGGTCGCGGAACACCACGCGACAGCGGAACTCCCACAACGTTTATAACCTCCGACCGCCTCACTACATACCCTCATTTGTGAATGGGATCGACACGTCTCAAGCCCATGTCGATGTGAGAGTGGCATCGAGATCGGTTCGTCAGATCAGCGGTGGATTCTGGACCGTTGGGGGTCGTCTATCCGTTCAACTCGGGCAACTGCATGGTGTCAGCTCGGGAATAGGAGGACTCATTGCCAGTGGTACAAATGCTCCCATGCACATTGCTGCATTTCTTGATCAGCCCACTCCAGATGATCAGACCCTGGGCCATGAAAGGCGTCTGGCCCTAGCCTTGGACATTGACCAGGCGACTCGCATTTTGGAGCAGCCCCGTCCTGTGGATAGGCATTCCCCGAACATTTTGCCCGACCACAGCCCATTCGTCTGGAGGAACAATGGTTGGACTCGAAAGCTGCTGCCTCGCTGTAAGCTGCCCCTGACTGCGCAGTGCTATAGCTGACACGTACTAGCTGTGGTGAACACGGAGGCAGACACGTCACCCAACGAGAAAGCCGTGCCCACGGTTCCCTTCAGAGTTCTGGACGCTCCCAACTTGAAGGACGACTATTACTGCTCTGTTTTGGCCTATAGCTATACCTGTCATACCTTGGCAGTCGCACTGACCCAGAAGGTATACATCTGGACAGAACAATACGGCGTCAGGTATCCGCCACTGCCTCCAGCCCGACCGGCGAACTTTGTGACCTCTCTAGCATTTTCATCAGAGAGTGGAGGTCAAGCCATCTTGGCCGTTGCAAGGAATAGCGGCAACGTCTCGCTCTGGAGTCTGCTGGAAGCCAGACCACGATTTGACGCGCCCCATCCGTATGCGGCTTCTTTCGTGTCTTTCAAACCTACTGTGACGTCCCGACCATCGATTACAGGAACAGGTCTTGTCTCATGTGAGGACCTGCTGGTTGGTGACGACATTGGAAGGATCTACTATTACTCCCTGGAGTGGCCTGAGTCGGCACCAGGATCAATGACGCTGTTGGCCAAGATTGATGCTCACTCTCAAAATATCTGTGGATTGGCCTGGTCTCCTGATGGGCAGCACTTTGTGTCGGGAGGTAATGACAATCGAGCGCTCCTGTTCGACCCTGAGCTCATCCTTGACCTGGTTGGTGAGCATGTACCGTCCGAAACCGAAACCGACAATGTACCAGCAGAAACCCTGGCAGAAAGCCAGGCTCACCACCAGGAAACAGTCGCGAGCGGGCTACTGACACCTCCTGATACTACGGAAAGGAATGATGCATCGCCACAACAAGGTTACACAGACCCAAACGTCCCGACAATAATTGTCCACGGATTGGCCACTCCGCCGCCTACTCCCATCCAGCGCGGACGCACGTCGACTCGTGTCTCCAATGCCGACCAACATTGGGCGCCCGGCCGTAACGGAGCAACTCTTAGAGATAATGTCCCCTTGCTACGAAATGGTCTCGCAAACCCCGACATCCCTGGCCACGCAAACATGCACATCTACTCATTCTACCATGCGGCTGCGGTCAAAGCGCTTGCGTTTGCCCCGTGGCAACCCAACCTCCTCGCCACTGGAGGTGGAAGCAATGATCGCCAGATTCATTTCTTTCACACTGGCTCCGGGGCTCTTCTGGCGCTGATCAACGTCTTCTCCCAAGTGACCAGTCTGGTATAGAGCACTACACGGCGGGAGATTGTGGCAACGTTTGGATACTCGCAGCCAGAACATGAGATCCGCATTGCCGTCTTCAGCTGGCCGAGTTGCGAATGCGTCGTCAGCATCCCCTGGGACCGGAAGCAGAACAACGAGGTAGGCCGTGCACTGTGGGCAATCCCGTATCCAGGAGGACCCAACGACGCTGTTCCCAGTCGGAGACAGAGCGACTCTTCTGATGGATTTTCGACTTGGGAAGCTGTTCGCCAAAGGGAGGCGGAGCGTGCGGAGGCGGAGGCAGAAGCAGAAGCTAGCGACACAGGTGATGGTGATGGTATTTTTGAGCCGGCTCCTCGGCGCCCTTTCTTACGCCGCAGCCCGGAAAGGACAGGAACAGAAAGCTCGGGACGACCTGGTCCTTGGAGCCGACCAGCAGAGAACATTCATCGAGGAGATCTTCTCCGTGGTGAAGGCGAACCGTGGGCCTCGCGGACCGAGGATGAAGGTAGTCTGATCATTGCATGCTGCGATCAAACAGTCAAGTTCTTTGAAGTCTGGGCCGGCAAAAGCAAAGGCAAGGGAAGGGGATTGGGCAACAAACTGGGCGTGTTGGGTGGAAGCCGTGTGTTGGAAGGTTGGTGCGAGGGCGTCAGTGTGGATGAGATTGGGTCGGGCGAAGTGATTCGGTAGGTAGCATAGCGTTGCCTGCCAAAGATTGGAAGTCCTGTTTAAAGCAAGAAAGACCACGAAAACAGGTGCAGCGAGCGAACTATTGTTATCAGGCTATTCTTAAAATATCAATGCTAGAACTGTCAAGAGATCATCAATAACTACCCAGTACTTTGAACCGGCTATGGTACAGAACTTTCAGGGCAGCCAGGGCGCTCAACAGCAGCTGTCGTTGATCCTAAATCAGCCCTGGCACACTGGACAGATCTATAACGCAAGGTATTATCATTTCATGCACATGATTCACATGCATGGTGCACGTCCTGTATGGTGTGCCTAGTAGTATGGAACAACCAATTGCTCCTTGGAGGATAAACACCGAGATCGATTGTGGACTGAATGAACATTTGAAACCCAAGAGAGAAAGAGACCTCTCCTCTGCTGTCCAATGTACATTGCTTTCCCACTTTTTACTTTTCAACTTGCACGCTTTTCGCCTTTTCCAACTCTACTACCATATCGCCCTGTGGCCGCCTCACCTTTCTGGGCGCAGTGTGCTCTCCCTGCACCATATGACAGGATCACCCCCATCCAGTCCATAACCATTCCAATTCCACCTCGGCCAGGCCTAAGTCTAGACATCCACATCCCTTGACAATCCGGCGTTCTTCCTCTCGGTTGCCTTGTTCTTGTCTTTCTTCGACTGGCTACGTACGAGAAGCATCAGCACTTCGCAGTCCAGCAAATGAGTCGACCACGCAAGACTCAACCGCTGAGTCCTCGCGCTCTCAACGTTAGTAAGATGCTGTGCCGGGCTAGACGACGATTGAGCATAGCGGACCGAAACCTTAAACGGCCATCTTGCAGTGCACCATTCCGCCGGTGAATGCTACCCACGATGCCTGCCGCCTGAATTTAGAAGCAAGACCTTGACCAAAGAAGCCTGATCTTCCACAGTGCAACTTGGACGTGGATAGACTCTGTGAACAATAAACCAAACTAGATTAAGCTGCTTCAAGCTCAAGCTCAAGCTCAAGCTTTTCTTTTGGATTTCTTGCTGCCTGAGCTGGGCGTCGGCACCGACTTCTTCGAGCGCGCGGCCTCCTGTGGTCGTTGTTTGGATTGTTTCGGTGTCGTCTTGGTCGGGGCATCTTGAGGTTCTTTTTCTTCATCCTCTTCGGGCTCGCTGTCTCCAGGGACATGAACGTCGTCCTCTTCCTCGTCGAAATCAATGGATCCGTCGTTGATGAAGCTGTCCATTTCCGAATCTTCTTCGTCTTCATCTTCGTCGGCATCTTCGTCATCTGACCCGGATGAAGACACATCGTCGTCATCAGAGGACAATTGGTTCTCGGGTCCATCGTCGCCGTGGTCGTCTGGGTCAGAGTCTTCGGCGCTAGAGACTTCGGCTTCGACGTCGACTAGACCGCCGTTGACTTGGTCCTCTTCGTCTTCATCTTCGTCTTCGTCCTCGTCTTCGTCTTCTTCATCCTCGGATTCTTCTTCTTCAGCACCATCTTCAAGCATGTCGACGTCTTCGTCTTCGTCTTCATCACTTCCGTGTGCGACGAGGTCGTCCAGAGACTTCTTGCCAGACTTGACTCTGGAACGTTTCTTAGGACGATGGTCGCCACCGTCTTCGTCGAGATCGTCCTCGTCCTCCTCGCTGTCCCAGTTGTCCGCGCCTTCAATGTAAATCATGCCGGGCTCATCTTGGTCGTCCCGGCGGACAGGTCGTTGCGCAACGAGTTGTTTCCTGTACGACAGCTGGGCGTCGAGCATGTCCAATTTTCCTTTCAACAGTAACAAGTTGTCTAGAGTTTTGGACCGTTGCGTGAGCACCTGGTACAGCGTGCGCAACTTGGCGGCAACGTCGGGCTGTGCGGCGATGGCGCCACCGTGGGCGATACATGTCCATTGCACCCAAGTGATTAGATGGCCATAGCGTCCAGGACGGCTTGCTAGCCGCTCCGCGAGTTTTGACAATAAGATTCCTGCAAGACCGCTGTCGAGACGTTGGATGGTGTTCTTGACAATGTTGATGTCGAGGGTGTGCAAACATGCTTCTAGAAGACTCTGGTCGTTGGTCCGCAGAGCCTGAGTGAGCACTGTGCCGAGAGACATTCCTGAAGGTATGACGGGCTGGCCATTTTTGACTCTAAGTCTCGAGGACGAAGAGTCCTGTGGGAGCGCCGAGGCAATGGAGATCTCATGCGGATGTTTCGACGACAGCAGTTCGCCGAATGTGGGCTCTTGATCGGCGGCGGTCTCGTCGTCACTCATGTCTTCGTCTTCTGCAGCACCCTTCGCATCGGGCGCTTCGGCCATCTCCTCGTCTGATTCTGATTCTTCCTCAACTTCATCCTCAGCCTGCCCAGCTGGCACCTTCTCGGCCTCATCGTCCTCCTCATCATCCTCGTCTTCCGCTTCGCTTTCACTACTAGAGATTTCAATCGCGTTGGACACAGGACCTCCAGCGGCACCATTGACAACAACGGTTTTGGATTCGTCAACGTGCGATTTGCCCGTGTTCTTGACTCCATTGAGGGTGGCACTGTTCAGGGTAGAGGCACCCTTCACCTTGACCACCTCCTTGAGGCCGTCAAAGAGTAGTTCTCCATTTCCTTCGTCTTGCCACCTGATCTTCTGGAAAGCAAGATCCACGCCACCGTCGGCAGAAGCAATGATTAGATCGGGGCCTCGTAACGAAGCCGCAACAACGGGAACATGCTTGCTGGTAGGACCAGGGCTCAGCAGTCGGACCGAGGCAGATGCTTTCTGCGTGAGATTCTTCCTGCTCGACTTGAGGTCTCCATTGACTTGTTTAGGTTGACCGAAAGGCCGAGGGAATAACTCAACAGCTCCATCCTTCAAGACAGCGCAGAGTATTTGCTGTTTCAGAAGTTCCGGAGTATCCTGGGAAGGACGCGAGAGATCGACCTTGACCACACCTGCTCCGGCAACCAGAGTCCGGACTAGTCTCTTCTGAGAAATGTCGTAGACATTGAGGTATCTATCCGAGTCCGCCGCTATGAATTGTTCCTGCGGTTGCGAACCGCCGTCACCAGATCTGACTAGTGAGTGGACCGGGTTCTTGAAAGAGTCGTATCGGTCTATCCGGAAATCATCAGACGACTTCAGCTCGATGGCGAAAGGAGTCGAGGATGCACAAAGTATCTGCGGGGTGTTTTGAGAGGGGCTGGCGAGGACACTAATAGCAGGGTCTGGGAGATTGATCGTTCTGTATCAAGTCAGCTATTGATTGTCTTGTGTAGTATCAAGCGCATCCAAAGGGACACCAACCGTTTAGCCTGGTTTGTGCTGAGATCCCATTGCACCAGTTTTCCATCGCCACCTATGCTCCATGCCTCCAGGTAGTCTGTGGGGGAGAATTTGAAGTCCTTGATTCCCTTCTCATGCACGCCGGAGAGAGTGCCCACGATCTTCCCCTCTGAAGGAGAGAACATGTGGATCTCTGAATTGCTCGTTCCGTAGGCTATCACAGCACCCGTCAGGTTATCTTGTTCTCTCTTGCGCTTCTTCTTGGAAGCCGACTGTCGCTGTTCCCGGAAAGCGAGACCATAATACCCCCAGTCGAGGCATGTAATCTCTTCTGCATGGCGAGTCTCGTGCTGGCAACGCAAACGACCATTGTCAGTGTCATGGATGCGCAACAGATGTGAATCAAAATTTTGGATGACCGAGGCAAAGAGGTGTAACTGGAAATTCGAGGGTGCAAAAGCCGATCTCAGCACAGAAGACTTTTGGCTCGAGGCCGTCCCAGCCGAAACACTGGGCGCAGAGGAGGTTTTGGCGACCGCTGAAGAGGAAGACTTGCGCCCCATTTTGAGGGCTTTGACTGATGAACTGACAACTTCAAGGGGAGATGTCGCAAGGGTTCCTAGCAGTCACTGCAACAGAGATATATTGTCGAGTGCTGTGCAGACAGTTTGCTCCCACATGAAATCAAATCGGCGCCTTTGGACGCAGTTCAGTTTGGCAGCAAAAAAAAGTTGATACAACTTCGACCGGAGTTAATGATTTCAGGCAGCGCTTTACCCTTCTTGGCTTAGTGCTGGGGCTCTATCTTGCTCGGGGCTGATTGGACGACAAGAACAATAAGAAAGTTTCTAGGGTTGGTGCGCGCGCATCATACTGCCAGAGGTACTCCTCCTACCAGTCCTACTACTACTACAGTAATCTTCCTACGATCTCAGTCCGAGCTTTAAGGATCGCGTTATTCACGATGCAAGTGTAGCTCCTCAGCTATAGCATTTATAATATCTCGCGACCATGATACCGCCGTCTACGCACATTATCAGTTCAATAATGCTGCCAGATGACCATCTCCGTGGCCGCATTCACCCACCAGTCTACAGTAGGTGCCTCAGTGCATCAACCGCCAGCTCGATCTGATCCTTGCTGAACTGCTTTGTCTTACATGCTATTTGTCTGTCCCAGTCCCCATTAACTGAGTGGTTTTTGCAGACGCGTTCATTTTGAAACTCTGAAGCGCAAGAAAAACAGGCAGTTGAATTTATTATATTTTGCGCGAGATTGCTAACCCTAGGTTATGTGCTCTTCACCTCATTCACTCAAGAACAGAACTTGACATGGAAGGATGGACATGCCAACAAACTCGGCACAACTTCCATCCCATCGACAAACCAGCCGTCATCTCACTCATCTGCGGCCCGACCGGTGATGCCGGGAAGTCACGGAAATTAGCTCGCATTGGCGGGCAGCCTGCACCCTTTGAAGGAGCATGCAAGATCGATCCCACGAGCGCTCCTACAGAGTGCTCAAGCCCATCTTAACACTATAAGTGTTGCTCAGCATCGGTGATGGCGACAAAGCACTGTCAGTACTGTACCACTGCAGTTCCGAGTTGTCTTGGCTTGAGACTGCAGTTCTGCAGGCAGCGGGATTTTTCACAATCACGTGGGTCGGAAGCGCAGATCGCGATCACGTGACTGATATCCACCAGACGGAATTGCTCGAGGCAAGATTCCAACCGGCATGCACTGGCAAGACTGCCACAGTAGCACAATCCCTATCTGCCATGAGAACGGATTAAACCGACACGAGGGCGCTGCTTCTGGAATCATGCGAGAAAAAGACAAGATTTATGTTTGGCGGAGTTCCTATCGACTCACAAGTCCGCGAAATGAACGGTACACCGCGGAGTGGATGTAAAAAGCTACCGAGCGGAAAAGACGATAGATCGAGGGTCGAAGCTTGAGGCAGATGCGAAAAGCAAAAGGTGAAGAGAAAAAGAGAAAAAAGGGTGGCGCACACAGACCGCGACAGGATGGAGCACTGCACCATCTGCACCATTGGAGCTTGGGCGACACAGAAGCCGATGCTTGGAGCAGGCGACTAGGCTGTGTCGGGACAGGTGCAGTGGAGATGACGAATAATAGGGGCGGCAGTGGAGCGCCATGTCGAGCAGGGAAGCAGAGATTGGGACATGGGGCAGGGGACGGCAGACTGGCAGAAATCCGGCCGAGGATAAAAGCCCCTCCCCTCGCTCTCGACGAAATTCACACCTCCTGAAAGTGTGCGTGACGGTCACCTGTGTGTTGTTGTTGCCTTACCCACGCGTCGGCCTCTAATAATACTCGTCCGCACCACTCAGGCTTCACCAGCCTCACTGCGCCTCCAGCCACACCTGGCCGCCAAGACCTGATCTCTCTGCCTGATTCGCTGGTGCTCAACAACGCGCAACGCGACTCGAAGCCGGAATTATTTCTTCTATAACTTGAAGACTGCATCATCACCACGATCATCATCACAATCCACCACCCAACACGAGCACCACTCACTTTCTTCGCGCGCACTGTACAGACTTTGTATGCGCATCAATTGGCTCGATCAACTCAAGCGCATTGTCCATCTCTAAACTTTTGCGCGCAGTCACCTACACTGTTTGCGCTCACTGTTGCGATACTGTCTTTGCGACAATTCGATGCTGCATTGACCTTGCGCAGCGCTGCATCGAGTCGTGCCAGTGTGTTTTGGTGACCGCGCATCCGGAAGTGTCACGTGTCAGGCCGCCGGGCAAAATCCGCGGCTGGACGTCACTCGAGCCTTGGCAGTCCGATCTCTCAGCACGTGACAGCCTTCAATCACATGACACTCAGAGATTTGTCTGTCTCGGTCACCTGTTCTCCGCCTTCATCTCTAAGTTCAACCCTGTTCCACGAACATCCCTCGCCGTCCGCACCGTTGGTACCAACATCGGGACGCGCACCAATTGAGTTCCGTCGTGGTGTGGCCACTTGATTGTGTCAGCATCACCCGGGGTCAAAGCATCCTCGCCGAACATATTTAATTGCGCGGGTCCCTTTGATTCCAACATCGGATTCACCTTGCGCCTTTGTCTCACTCCTTCGCCACTCTCACTGTTGTACAGTATTTTTACCGTGGATAATTAATTCCTCTTGTCTATTCTGCTTCTCAGTCGGCTGGTCCGATCTCCGAACTCCGATCGACCTCACACCTCGCATCCCGAGATCTTGGCACCATGGACGTCGAAACACAGATGGAGTCGAAGGGGTACGTAGCCTTGCGCACGCCACACTCACATGAACTCTGTTTTGATCTGACTTTTACTAGCCTGCCTCTTCAGTTCAATTCAACCTCAGATCAACCACAAGGCCCTCATATCATCGACAATGAGGCCGCTTCGATCTCTAATTCAACAGCCAGTGTCACTGCTCCGCCGGCGCAACAGACAGTGATCGAGGCTTCACAGACTACGTCGGATTCAGCACCAGCAGTGACCGAGGTAAAGGCTGAGAAAGTGCCTGACTCTGGTGCAGAGGCAGTCTCCAAGGCAGTTGAAGAGACTCAACCTCCCAGCACTGAAGCTGAAGTAACTGCCAGTGAAACGGCCCAGAATCATATTTCTACTCCCATTTCTACAATTCCAGACTCTCAACCTCCACCTACGTCGGAAGATACTGGTGCACCATCAACAACATCAGTTTCAGACAGCAAAACCACCGAGTCCGTTGTCCCATCATCGATTCCCGCAGAGATCCAGTCATCAGAAACTACCATCGAGGTGAGCCAGCCAGCAATGGAAGTGTCTGATCCACTCCCTGCGGTTCCCGCTCAGGCGCCGGTTTCTGATCAGCGCACTTCACCCCATGCCGATGCACTCACCCCGGATGCTGTTGCCAATGTCGCTGCACGCAAGCACGAATTGGACAATGGCGTAGTTGATTCAGCGGCTCCTGCTAAGTCTGATGTGATGGATACCTCTTTCCCTACTACTGTCCCACCGACGACAGATTCCACAAACCGAATCAATCAAACTCCTGTCGCTAATACTGGTCTCCCATCGCCTCCGGCGCAATCGCCACCATCTGCGCCTCAACTGTCGTCTGCCACCTTGACTGAGGAGAAGCCAACAGAGCAACTGGTGGAAGCTCCCAAAGACGTTTCAGCAGCCCCCGTGTCAGCTCCTGCTCCATCCGAACAGCCAAAAGAACCAGCTCCAACTCCAGCTGTCTCTGCGCCGACTGAATCTCAGGATCAGGTTATGCAGGACGTCTCTTCGCAACCTGTGAAACAGTTCCATGAACGCGATGAGCATGACGATGGTGAACCCGCCGCCAAGCGTGTTAAGACCGAGGAACCTCAAGCAAGTCAACAAGCGGAATTCAAGGTTCCAGATGTCCCTGCGCCGTCCACCCCGCAAGCGACCTCTTTGGTTAATGGAAACTCGGCTACACCCGCCAGCGCAAACGTTAACGGTATCACAGATGGAGATGACACTGTTACGCCGGCACGCCTAGCCCACATGAAGAAGGTCATTTCGAACCTCAAAAAGAGCAACGCCTCTGCTGCATTTAGGTTGCCGGTGGATCCTGTGGCCCTCAACATTCCCACCTATTTTGAGGTTATCAAGCATCCTATGGATCTCGGCACCATCGATCAACGCTTGAAGCGCAATGAATACACATCGGTCGCGGCTTTCATCAGTGATTTCGAGTTGATTGTCGACAACTGCGTGAAGTTCAACGGTCCAGACCACGGTGTGACGCAAGCAGCCCGAAAGATGCAGTCGTCGTTCAACAGCCAAATGCGCAACCTGCCCAAGGCCAGCATCGAGGAACCTCCCAAAGATAACAAGAAGGCAGCCAAAAAGCTCGAACCCACGCGAACGGCTCCTCCTCGACGACCTTCTGTCAGCACTACCTCGCATGCGCCGGCCTCGCATCCTACACCCAAAGCCTCCGCTCCGCCCACGCCTTCTTTTGCCCCTGGTCCTGATGGCATTCCCCTGATCCGTCGCGACTCTACTCTAGCAGATGGCCGGCCAAAGCGTGCGATTGTCCCGACCAAGCGCAACCAAGAATTCGGCGGAGGCAGACCCAAGAAGAAGAAGTACGAGTTGCAACTCAAGTTTTGCGACGAGGTGTTGAAGGAGTTGACAGCCACCAAGTACTGGCCTATCAACCAATACTTCACTCATCCAGTGGATCCGGTCGCCTTGAACATTCCTACCTATTTTCAGATCATCAAAAAGCCAATGGATTTGGGCACTATCCGGACCAAGCTCAACAATAATGTGTATGAGAAGGCCAAAGACTTTGAAGAGGATGTTCGTCTGGTCTTCAAGAACTGCTACAAATTCAACCCGGAGGGTGATCTGGTCAATTCCGCCGGCCACCAATTGGAAGAACTTTTCAACAAGAAGTGGGCCACAAAGGACGACTGGATCGCCGCACGCGAACCACAGTCTGAGCCACAGTCTGACGCCGAGGCGGAAGACGATGAAGAAGAAGAATCGGAAGAAGACGCGGATGACAGCGAAGAAGAGAGAAACGACAAGATCAAATTACTGCAGAAGCAAATTGAAGAAATGTCCAAGCAGATGGGTGAGCTGACTCAAAAGAAACACAAGAAATCCAAGTCTCCTCCCACCAAGAAGACCAAGGCCAAGACCCACAAGAAGGACAAGCCAGCAGCGAACTTCCCGAATCTGGGCAAGGACAAGAAAGAAAAGAAAAAGTCGGCGCCGAAATCCAAGGTTGAAAAGGATCGATATGTCACCTTTGCCGAGAAGCAATACATTTCTAATGGAATTGCCATGTTGCCTGAGAAACAGATGCAAGAGGCACTCAAGATCATCCAGAACAGCGTCCCATCGTTGACCAATAGTGATCAGAACGAGATCGAACTCGATATTGAAGAGGTCCCGAATCACGCTCTGCTCAAGTTGCTCAACTTTGTCAAGAAATACGCTGGGCCGCCTCCCGAGGAACCGAAAGCCGCCGCTGACCCGACCGATGTGTATGCTCCTACTCAGAAGTCGAAGAAGAGCAAGCCCATGAGTAAACATGAGCAACAAGCCCAGATTGAAGAGCTCAAAGGCAAGCTCGGTGCTTACCAGGGCGCCATGTCTCCGAACGCAGTACCGTCCATCGAAGCGGGTGACAGCAGTGACGACGGCGACTCAGAAGAGAGTGAAGAAGAGTAGATGGGCAGATGTGGCGGTTTTCGCGAAATCCCGCTCTGGCAAGCATCCTTTCCGTCGTCGTCCACTTCTCCAATTATGCGGTTGAGTTTACTTTTAATAATCGCCGACAGTCCTCGGGGTTCAGCTCTGGATTTCGAGATCCGATTGCCAATGTGCTTTGCGAGAGAAAGTTGTCTGTGATGTATGAGTGAGTGGTTTGCGAGTCGACAATTGGACAGAGACAGACATTAGGACAAGGCATCCTAGGAGAGATGTCGGTGCTGTGGAAATATTAGTTACCAGTTGTGTCTCGGCCAGAAGTGCGAAGCAAAGGGTTTGCAAACTTCTTGCGCCTGCTGCTTCGACTTTGGCCGAAGAGAGTGAATGAAATGAATGAGTAAAAATATTTTATTGATTGTCCCGAGTTATAATATGCCAGTGCTTAGAGTGTAACATTGTAGCAGTAATAATAGGTAACATGACAAGGCTGTCGTGAACTGAATATGATTGGTTCATGGCAAAGTGACAAGGCTACCTAGGTAGCTTCAACTTGTCAGTACTTCGAGGCGACTTCTCCCTTCCGAAATCTATGAATATTGACTACTGACTACTGCACACTTTGTTACATTTTTTGTCTTCATTGAGGGCGAATTTACGTCTTCTTCGGCCGGATCGTAGAGGTGACACACTTTTTGATAGTCGCAGAACGCGGCGGCCTCGTCAACACTTCTAACTACAGCTTCTTCGCTCTCACGGTAGCGGTAAACAACATTCATTGCTGCAGGATAACGCGGCGTCATCAACACTTCTACAGGTTCTTGGGGCCCACTGCCGGTTCTCGTTCTCACTGCTGGAGTGACAGGTTTTGATACAGCATAACGCGGCCGTTGTCACCTGCAGTCTTCAATGTCATTGCTGGGTCGCGGTTTTGTCCATACGGAACACTGGTCGCTGTGAAATTCCGGACTCGGGATTCCAACTCCAACACTTCTACAAGAGCTTCTTTGGTCCGACTGCCGATTCTCTGCCTGGCCGCATGAGGTGATGCTTTTTTTGATTGAGGATCGCGCGGCTGTCCTCGATTTTTGAGGTGGTTGATGAAGACTTCGATCGCGTTGTTGTCCACACACAAGTAATCCCGTCACTGTGGGAGTGGGGAGTTTGACTCGAATCTGTGATTTTCGCTTCGAACCCGGCCGGGCCAGGAGGTTCGTTTAAATTGGGGATCAATTTCTGGCATGGGGATATTGTGACGAACTGGTCTTTTCTGGTCTGAGAGATTGAGACGGAGGGGATCCAATCGGTTTTGTCGCAGAGGGTAATTATCATTGCGTGTGATGCTGCCAGCCGCATGTGGATCTGCTGAAAGTCTGTTCTGGGGATTGATACAGCGGAGCGCGACGACTATACGACTCCGTTTAACAGACCTAGACAAGATCTGAGCTGGGCAGCTTGTCAACTTGTCGTCTATCTGGTCTCGCCTTGTTTGACGAGCGCCGTGCGCTGGGGAGTGAGGAGTGAGGAGTGAAGGCTGAGAACTTCGGTCGTGTATCCAAACCATGATTCCTCCATTACCCGAATCTACGCTAACAGCGAACCCGGAGTTCGCTCGGCTGTGGGAACAGCTCACGACTGAAATCTTGCGGAGTGATGCGTCACGACGAAACCTGGGGAACCGCTGGGATGGGGACCGGGATGGGGATGGAGGAGAAGGATCGGGTGAAGATTCGTTGGGTGCGGCCATGACTGGACTGAGGCTCGATGGCGGGACCGGGTATGAGCGGTATGATGGAGTTGAAGGCCCGGATCCCGATGACGATGACGAAGATGTTGAAGATGAAGATGAAGACGAAGATGAAGACGTTGGCGAGCAGCAGCAGTGGAAGTCACTCGATGCTGATTGGGGGCAGCGATTACCGGACAGGAATCTTCCAAATGACAGGATACGGACTGGGAAGAAGCCCAAGACCAAGACGGCTAGTTTCGAAGAGAGACTGCAACAACACCGAGTCAATAGGATGAAAGCGTATATTCTGCGCTCGCTGCTTGCCGACGTCACATACTGTGGGAGCATGGGAGATCGAAGCCTCGAGCCAGATGAAGTTGAGGCAGATAGGATTGGGGAGCGGCAGTCTACAACTACAACCACAACCCTAGCACACTGGCAGTCCCAGATATCGAAATCGACGACGGAGACTGCTAAGGCGCAGCAGAGTGAGTTGAGGGATTTATTGCTTCTCATTTCGGCGTATCTGGATGTTAGTACGAGCATGAGCCTGAACAGGTCCTCTACGAAACAGGAATTCCCTACACGGCTGGCGGCAGAGAGTGAGAGTGGAAACAAGGAAGACCAAACAAGCGAGCTGCAGCTACACCACCTTCTGGAAGAGGAGATTGCTCGCTTCAAAGACAGCCTCCCGTTGGTGGGGGAGCTGCTCGGGTCTCGACTCGTGGAAGTTGAGTCCATGCTGGAGGATATCGCTGCGCTTGCTACAACTACCACGACTACAGCCAAATCTACTACTACTACTAGAACAGTCCGCTCCCAGACCTCTGGAGAATCACGACCCCTACTATCCAACCACATCGAAGGACAACTGTCCCAACTCCGACATCTGCAATCCGACGTTCTTGCAAAGCGCTTATCCGACGTGACATGTCATTCACAAACCCTGCTCGCCCTCCAACGTGAATTGAATTGTCTACAGCTCCAACATCTGGAAAGATCCAAGCACGGCGTATTGCACCGACACTCGATGGCGAGACTTGGGTTTCTCAAAACTGTCGCTGAAGCCATGGAGTTGAAGACGAGGGTGGCTGTGCTTGAGACTAAGAGGGATTTGGGAAGGAATAGAACGCGTGGGGACGGAGTTGTGGACTCTGACACTGACGGTCTTGCTCAGCGGCTTCGCGATATGGATAGAGAGGAAGTCGAGGCTGATGAGCGCCTTGATGCGTTGGAGCGGCTGTTGGAAGAGTATGATGCCGTCCTAAGACCAGAGGAACAACAAAAGACAGGTGGAGGTGGAGAGCAGATTATGCAGAAATTGGGCGCGAGGTACAGGGAGATCGAGGGGGAAATGGAGAGTGTGAAGCGGGATATTGAGAGGTTGGGACGAGTGGCTGGTTGAATGATCGGTGGTTGATAGCCAGCCTTGGTGGTTGATGGGCTTGTTGCTTGATCCTGTAGTTTGCCAACTTGCTTGATAGCTTGATCACTTGATACTGTAGCTTGATAGCCTGCTTGATAGTTTGATCGCTTGGTCGCCTGCTTGCTAGATAGCCCGGTTCTTTGATCGTCAAGAGTGGTTCAAACTGGGGCAATCATCCCCATGAACATGAATATATAACCTAGGTCCATGTCATTGTCCATGATCTTTCTTTTCTGGACAGTGGAGCCATATATATCAACACAACAACACTACTACTGCACCTCCCCCACCTAGAGTGAAGAGTGAGAGGCCGGTTCAAGCCTTGTTCCAACAATCTTGCAAAGTCGATATCGATGTTGCCGGTTTAAGGCGGTCCTGCCCCATGCAGCAGTTATCATTGCATTGCGTGCGCCGCCGCTTTAACTACCTGCTATATACATAACTTGAATTCCGCCATCTACGACGTCTTCGCAACGACAAACCAACTGGGATGACAGTAACGGATGGTACAAAGACGGACCATACGGTCGTGAATGGCATCCCCTGATCCCTTGGGTTGCCCTGCTCCTGGTTCGACTTCGGTTGCTTCTTCGCATCTTTCATGACATGCATGCGCCGGTGCGGAGGTGGAGGTGGAAGTGGTCGACAAGGCCAAACAAGCGCGAAGCCCCACAGGCCAAGGATGCCCAGAAGGAAGCATCAATCGCTGACCTTGAGGCAAAACTTGCCTCTGCCAAACAGACCATCGAAGAGCTACAGGCGACTGCAGTGGCCTCCGATATCAAAGAGAGAGAGAGAGAGAGCCGGAGTATGCTCTGGCCGCCCTGCAGACTGCCACCGAAACCAGGGAGGAGCAGATCAAAGATCTACAGGATGAGCTGTCTGCTTTGGAGGAAGCAAACAAGGCGGTTGAAGAGGCTGTGGTGTCTTTAAAGGCTCAAGTAGAGGCCAAAGACGCCAAAATCTCCCAGCAAAAGAAGTCTCTAGCTACTGCAGAGGCTTCTGTCAAGAGCCAGGAGCAAGTTATCTAGAAGCACCAGGGTAACCTGGCTGCTTTGGAACTTTCGAAAGACGCTCTTGCTATGCTCGAGGCTTCTCTAGAGGCCAAGGAGAAGGCCGCATTGGCCCAACAGCATATCCAGGCCACTCAGCTAGCCTTGAAGGCCAAGTGCGGCAATATTGAAGAGCGTAAGGATGCTCGTGCTGCGCTCAAGCTGGTACCCTGGAAGGCCTCGAAACCTCCCTCGAATTGAAGGAGGACCAACTCGAACAACAGCAGATCCCCTTTCCGTGAATTCCAAGGACGAAGAACAGCCAAGCAGCAGAAAGACATAGCTGTTTTTGAGGAATCAAATAAGGCCATTGAATACACCGTCGTTGCATTGCTCTGCAAGCGGCTATCACAGCAGAAGACGCCAGAGCTGGTCCCCAAAGGAAGTCTCCTGCAACTGCGGAGGCTTCGGCCAAGAGCAAGAACTCTAGAAGCACCGGGGTGGACCTGGCTGCATTACCTTGCTGTCGTCCAACACGATGATGTAGGGCATGATTTGGAGACAGCAAGACTCGCACAGCTACAGCGGCGTCTGTGATCTTCCATCACATCGCTGTTGACTCGAGCAATGGGTTCAGTATATCATACAAACACACCGACACATTCTCTTCGCCTTGTTGAAGAGTAACGAAACTTACACAACTTGCTCGTGGAGAGGGACAAATGATGCAGATGAACGAGTACGACTACTAGTTCTTGTTAGAGACGTGCCGACACATCCACATGCCGGCGCATTCACTTGGCCTTTCTTTGACCTCATTGGAGACCCCCTTGACTCAAACTGCAAGATGTACTAGGAGTGGGTGGAGGGTTATATTGAGAGAGGTAATCGTTGTTCAACAGGGTAACACCTTATGAGGCTCCTCTGGCGCTCGGTTTCCTTCAGTTGGGGCGACACAGCAGCCGTCCTCGCATTCTAATCCTCTTGCGCCCCCTGTCTCGCCCCTTGCTGTTCGATGCAAATCCTTGCATGGAAGAGGTCTGCCGCTGGAAAACCGACGAGCCACAACTGCTTCATCGATCGGTTCCGATGACATGCTACTCTTCATCCAGTCACGAACACGAAATTCACGAAGCAAGCTTGAGGGACTTGGATAAATTCCTGCTGAATTGCCTGTTGATTGATCACATAAATGTCGCCTTCGAAAATGCCGCCCAGAAGGGTGTTGACCAGACCTCCATACAGGAGACAACTTCAGCCCACCTGACCATCCGGAGGCACCAATGCACAGTCTACGAACCGAACTTTAGCGTCACATCCTTTTGCGTTCTTATCCGTCTCAGGACGACAAACTCCCAGCTGAAATATCCTGCTTGATCAATGGAGGCCAAACCGGACGTGGCGTCTGACGGCATGCCTACAAAATGGAATTTTGGTCTGATACAGACCACGCTCCACGACGCACCTCAGGCATATCGAGTAATCCGCTGTGCGATGAAATATGGCCTTGAGGCAACGCGGTCGACGCGGTCGCTCAACCCTGCTCACATGGCCCCTCGGTTGGAATTCTCCGCATAGTCAAACTATGTGTTTCCGAAGACGTGGAGAGTGGAATCGGCCGCTGGGCCGGCTATGGATCAAACACGACGTATATACTGTATAAAGGTGGCGACCTGAAAATTGGTTGTCCCGAAATAATTTTTGAAGATGATGCCTGAAAATTGGGCTCTTCTGGATCAACGAGGCCAAAGAACGCGGCTGGGAAGGAGTGGGCCATGGGACAAGGAGAAGGCTGAGGAACTGCAAGTGTCAGGGAGGAGGCAAACATTGCTGACCGTCCGCCCTTGTCGACATAAACTCGAAATCATGTCTTTCCCTAGTCTTCAACGTCGGAGAAATGATATGTGCATAGTCGCTCTGCACCTGGTGACCAGGAGCAGGACTCCTCGTTCTGGGACACTGCTGGCTTCCTCGATGGTCCCCTGCTATCGCCGCCCGCGGGGACTCGCCGTTTCAAGACAGCAGAGGGTTTGCCTCCTCCTCCTCCTCCCCCTCCTACAAGTGACGTTTTGTCGTCCGCAGTCTCCGCCGTGTTGGGACCAAAGACGAAGACTTCATCTTTCACGATGGCAAGAGTCAAGAATGGAGGCTTTGGGCCGAGTCGGTTGCTTCAGGGCAAGTGGGCAACACCAGCCACACCAACGGGCCGGCAGCAACTGGATGCACCCGGAGGCTCTGCGACTTATTCTCCTTTCATTGGCCGCACTGTACTGCACGTTCCGACCCTATGTCCCCATGTCACCAGGTCGTCGATTATACGTCAGTTTGTTTAAGACCGGAATGGAGGCAAGGTCGAGGTATGGTTTCGTTTCGGACCAGGCAGGACTACGGCAAGGCGAGCCGAACTGAAGGTCAACGGACACGAATTGAAGAAGAAGGCTCAAGGGCGCCGGCGAAATGGGGGGTCACTACAGACGGCACTCCATGTGCAGCAAGGGAAAGAAAAGAAACTATAACTATGACGAAGTCGGTCAGTGGGTCGGTCGGTCCTGACGAGCAGCATGACACTTACAAAGCCAGAAAGACTGGATACTAACATTCCAGTCTTGTTGAGGCGACATACACTCATTTGTTGCTCCCCGTCGCAGTCCCAGCCGGAGGCTCTGGAGATATTATACATATTTATACATCCGAATCTCACCCCTCCCCTCACCATCTCGATCATACATTAGTGAGTGAGAGAAATCATCAAAGCCTGGAGCCGCCTGCACGAGACACGCCAAGGTGCAACAAAACCAACACCGATGGTCAAGAGATGCACACCACGGGGCACAAGGCGTGATCATGTTGTTCGCCCGCCACGCCGACCTGATCCCTTTGCAGGGTCTCAAGCTCACGCTTGGGAAGGTCGCCCGCCAACCAACAACAACACATGATTACTTTGAAGATCGGGGAGAGAAAGATTTGCCAAAACAAGCTGTGTCGGACTAGCGCGACCCCTGTGATTGCATTGCTCGATCAATCGCAGCTGTGTTCCCAGGCGATTCTTTCAAACTCTACCGAGTGATGGAGGGAGGCCTGGAAGTGGATGAGTGGACGGTCGTTTTACCGGCACACTGAGACATTTCGGTCGACGCATCCATATGATTGGCACCAGCCATAGGGGGAGGAAGTGGGCGTCGGATTCAGTTGGCAGAGATCGACACCTCATGTACCTGGTGTAGGAGACCCGACCACGTCGACATGACTGTCATGGAGTATTATCCTTGGGGCCCCCCTTGCCTTCCTACGCACTGCCCGAGGAGAGGAGTGAATTGTGTTCCAATCTCCTCTGACCCACTTGTGGTCAACTCATCTTCTGCAGTCGACATAGTTGTCGTTCGCGGGTCCGGGCCCGCCTTTTCTGTGTGCCAGTCGTCAGAAAGAACACGAACGTGAACTGCATTCGTCCAAAGCGAACTACCACGACATGGTTGGTTCCGTTTCGGTCACAACAATCTACATCCCCTATATATACATATACACTTTTCCCTGAACCGGAGGCCGAAGGCAAAGCAACAGCCCGCGCGCTCCGTCTTTGATGGGGCGACAATCAAGGCATATGATGCACATAAGTCGGCGTCAAGATAGACGGCGTGAGCTCCCTTGGAAATTCAATCCTTCCGGATGGGATGGGATGAGATGCCCCACTTGATGCTCCAACTCCCCGTTCAAGAAGTACGGGCACATTGGAATGTTCGAACTCGAAAGGCCTGAGGCCTTTCAGAGTACGGTACGCACCCAGCAGTGGAGGAGAAACCTGCAGGGCCAACACTGGGAACAACATTGGGGACCAGTGTTATGTCTGCCAGGGAAAGCCCTAGTTTCCATGGCCAAGCAACTACGGCAGAAATGCGATGTCGACTGTATTGTGGGAAGCTGAGATCTAAAGAACAGTTTTGATCAAAACGCCCGAGATTGCATTATGCCCATCCATGGGTCGGACCAGCGAGAACGTGGCGTGGCGAACTGAACGAAGCATCACCAGACAATGAAATGCCACACAGTCAACAGCCGACTCTCCCTCTCCCACTTGGAAAGCCTGGCCGAAATCATGCTTTCATCACACAGAATCAGAGATGAAACAATCAACAATATGCTCGCTCACTTGGAAAGCCTGGCCTGGCCATCATTGTCCCCCAGCTGTCGGCACTGCGACCTTATACCTCGCAAGTATAAAGGATGTTGATAAATACATTGAGGAGCAGGAAAGTATTCGATTTCGCCGTCGAGGTCGCCTGGGACGAACTCAAGAAGTGGACCGGCGAGGCACTGTGGACACTTGACTCGGCCGAAAACTACGAAGTGGCCTATAGAAGCAACAACAACACGGTCTAGGAGAAATAGAAGATGGCATCACCGATGGCGCAAGCTATATATATACTTATCACAGTCCGTGGGCAAAGCATGGTTGGACTTCGTGAAGGCATGGGTCGCCTACAGAAATACAAAAAAGGGACAGCGGCAACGGAGGCAATTCAACGGGACCGGTCTGAGAGACGGGCAAGAATGGACGAAACGATGCGAATCCTGGAGGAGAAGCTTGCCGAAGTCACAACATAACACGACCTGTGGAACGAGGAATCTGAACTCGATACTTGAACACTAGTACGCCAGCCACTAATCCTACATCCTGGACGACTACTAGGATTCGCTCTACCTTGAAATTTCAAGATGATTATGACTTCGGCGTCAGAGAGGGGGTTTGACGCACTGCAAGCGACCATGTTCGCCGCGAGCAGAGCAACGAGCTGCAGAAAACATACTGGCTGTCTGCCCAAAGTGGATGATTGTATTTCTCAATTGATTGAGACGATCTAGTCTCGTCTATTCTATACCCAAAAGAAAAAGTAAAATCGTTTCTTGTCGTGGAAGAAATCCGTTCGGTTCGTTAATGCGTGAAAAACAGCCTGGTTGAAGAGAGAGGCTGGTTAATCAATCCTTCCGTCCCGGCAGCCAGCGTTGGCAACCATAATGCTAGTTCTAGCGGCAGATCCAATGGTAATCTGATCGATCATTCCAACACTCTCGCGGGTCGAGGCCACACCCTCTTGTACAGACTGACACCAATAGCATCCATGGGATTGATCTTGCCGTCAAACGTGGCCTTGAAATACCCATGTGTACCCAGCGGTTCCTTGATAAACCCTTGACGGCCCCGCTTGGTCCACAGCGGCAGAGCGGCAAACCAAGCCACGTCTTCGCGGTTGAAGAACATATATCTCACCGTCACGAGTTTCTTGTGGATCTTGAATGGGTGACCAGTCAGAATGACTCGTTTGGCAACCACGCGAGACGAAGAGGGTGGCAGAGTCGTGGCTGTGCCGATCAATTCGAGAGCCGACGTCAAATTGGCGGTAGAGTCGACAAGAGCGGGTGCCTCGTCCATTTCATCAGCTTCGCTCTTTTGGGCGGACGTAGTCTTGCGGCGGAAAACCAATACAGGCACAGAACCCCATGTCAAGGGGCCCGTGAATGTTGCAATGGCCGTGCGACCGGGATGCAAGAACCGATCAAACTTGTGCACGTCATTGGGAGTCTGGCCAGACGCCGAAAAGACCGGGTTGATGATAAGCCGCCGGTGACCGATCTGGACGATGAGCTCGTCCTTAGACTTGACGGGACCCTCGAGGTCCGAGTGCAGCGTGAGATTCAAATTGATGACTGCGTGTTTGTGTTCATGGCGAAGAAGCGAGAATAAAGCTGAAGGAGCGGGTTTCGAAGCGAGAGACACGGGGACATCGCGCAGTTCAATTTGAACTCTGGTGCCGGCCAGAACTCCGCCGGCCAACGTCTCTTTCAGCGCGGCACTGTATGATTTCTTGTAGTCGGCGACTTGGAGGAGGCGTTTGTGCTCCAGTGGTTCGTAGGGTTGGTCGGCCGCGTGATTCCATTCGCTTGTCCGTAAGCTTTTGAGGCCGCGATATTTCGCCAGCCTTTCTCGTGCCAAAACCTCGGGATGAAGTTCGATTTCGTCGGGAAACTCCAGATCCTCTTCGGCCTCTTTTTTCCGGCTGTCTCGGAACTCTTGCAGCTGGCGGGCTTCCTCTTCTTCATCGGCATCAACGTGCATTTCAGATTCGGGGTATTCTGATGGGCCAGCTTCGGTCATGGCGTCTCTATTGAATACAGCTCCATCTTCTGGTCCAGCTGAAGCTGCATCTTCGGCATCCATGGCAACATCACCGTCGTTGTCTTCGTCAAGATAATCCGAGTCCGAATCGGACACGTCTTCCAAATACCACGCCGCTTGGTAGTTGGAAGTTCCTTTGGGTAGTTTCTTGGGTGGAGGAGGAATGTGCGAATTGTCGTCGGAGAAGTAATGGTGGTCGTCGAGAAGGACACCCTTGTGCTCGTTGGTTGCTACCGTGCTGGAAATGTCGTGCATTTCCGCTTGTTCTGGCGCCAGTTCTGCTAGATCGTCCTGGTCCGCTGTTGGCTTCCACTCCTTCAGCGGTTCGTCTGCATCCATCTCGTCGGCTTTGCGTTTCCGCCCTTGGCCTGACAGCTCTCTTATCGCGTTGATCTGAAAGTCCCCCCATCCCGGGACATGGACAAGCCTATCTGGGTTCAGCGCCTTTCCTCTTATGGTTCCTGTGAGGGTAACGGTAGTGGTGGAGTCGCCATCGACGGGTGGACTCCAGTCGACATCTTCAGTCAACATCCAGCTTCTGTCATCTCGCCAGCGGATTCCTTTGGTGGATGCTGTGCAGATGCTTCGGACCAGATTGGCGCAATCGGATTTGTTGTCGAGACTAGACAACTTGTCGAGGGCTGGAAAGTATCGGCCGATGGCGATTTTCAGGTCGGTGAGGTGTCGCGATCTCTTTGCTGCAGGCACTTTGGCGTCAACGTTTCTCACCACCGCCGTAACGTTGGTAATCCCTTGACCCTCCAGTGCCTTCAGAAACATGTCCTCCTCTTCGCCAAAGGTCTGGTCTGCATCAAGGACAAAAATAACCCAGTCGGCCAATTTGGCGACATCGAGGGCGTTGAGCAAATTGAAGGATGATGGTAGATATAGCAGGTTTCGGCGGAATCGTTCAACTCGAACAGGAACAGTGCCGGTCGAAGAGTCAGGCCCAGGAACGTCGACACTCTCGTTCAGGGAACGAATAGCAGAGTACGCATCTATATCTTTCGATAGGGGAATAATGGCAATATGTTTTGCCGCGCCGTCTGTGCCTTGGAAAATGTTCTCTTCGCCCTCCCTCTTGTCCTTATGGTGCATTCGAAGTTGTTTCGCCTGGTTGCGTCTGGCCAGTTTCGACATGACTTGTTGATGTGGAGTCTTCCTCTGGCCTTTTTCAGGTCTCTCAACCTTTCCTGCGTCGGTGTCAGTATAGAGCCGAACATCCTGGTGTATGTCTCCGGTACCTTTTGCCTTGTCCTTCAGAGCGCCTTTGGAGGCGAACCGGGATTTAAAGGGCTTGTGTTCAGTCTTGGTGGTACTCCTGTGATGGTGACCGGAAGAATTGATCGGCCCCATGGTGGCAGTCCTTGTTGTCGAGCCTCCTGCTTTGAACCTGAAGGGCAGTGACATGGCAAGCGAGGGTTGAACAGACCGAGTCTCGCAGCGGGACTGGCACGCACCGTACAAGACGAGGACCCTGGCGAGCCGCAAAAATTATTATTATTGCGGTGACCGCACCTGCAATAATTTCTTGCGGCGGCGCAGTGCCCCGCGAAAAATTGTCGCTTATGTCATCACAACTTTGATCACCACAACACGCCGCTTCATAACAGAGATTGAGTTCCAATCATCTTGCGCCCATTGGCGTGGATATGCACGCCGTCTACAGTGGAGCGATGACTGCCATCATGCGACGAAAAGCAGAGGAAAATGCCATTATTTGCGAGTGACCCTCCGAAATATTGGACAACCTTAGATAGTGGTCCTCGGAAGAAACCGAGAGGCACGACAGGTGCCAGTGTTGTACAAATGTTGTACGTTCGCATTGTGCCCACCGGCATCGAGACCATTATTATTGCGTTTAGCCTGCCCGGAAAGTCGTATTATTCCGTCGAGGCGTGGCCCCCGGGTTATTGCCGACCAGGTTGAGAAACAAAGTATTATCTCAGGTCGGCTCTGACATGACCAGGAAGCTGCGTGGGCGCGAGGAAATACCGGCACTGCACAGTACTACTAGGTGTACACTGTAGTTGTAGTAGTTGTAGTAGTGTGCCTGGCTGGCATGATCATGATCAACAGGTGACGTCGATGTGCAGAGACTGCGTTGTGATAGGTCGCCTGGTGTGCGGAACTGACTGAGGATTCCGGCGTGTTGAAGCGGGCGCCCAACCACAATCATACGAAGGCCGGAGATAAATTCCAGCTTCCACTTTGTTTGTTGGTCCGAATGTCCATCAACGCTTCTTGTTCCTGTTCTAGAACCGAGGGTCCTACGTGTGGTGCTCGGAACCAATGTCGCCAGCATCTACGATCCATCGTCGCAACTTGGACGATACGGTGCTGACATGTGTGCTAATGACCACTTGCGGATCAGGCAGTTGAACAATTTCCATCAAGTTTGGTACTAGTGTGCTCTCTGGTCAGCCCGGAGTCTTTATCCAGAGGTTTTGATTGCGTTTGCGCCTTGCCCAGCGATGATTCCAAGTGGCGCTTCGAGCAAAATGGTGCTTCCCACTACGTCTGTGATCGAGCTTGATGCTCTGTCCTGTATTTATTTGCCTCGAGGGTTAAAACTACTAATTTCCAGTGCTATCCACTCAAAACCTGTCCTCCAAAGTTTTCTTCAACAGACAATGTCAAGTGAACAGCACAAGGCGGAAAGACGCAGTTCGATTACTGACAAGGCTAAGCAACGGGCATCTAGAGCCTGTGATCGGTGTAGGCTGAAAAAGGCGAAGGTGGGTGGTGTTCGCTTCTTCTGTGTGAGCAGCATGCTGACAGTCCTAGTGCGATGGCGCCGTTGAGTGTGAAAATTGTCGCTTCAGCCAGACACCATGTGTATACACTGCCCGAAAGGGACGAGAAGCAAGAAGATAGTAAGCCGTCCTCCAATGGTCGAGACTGACGCGCATCGTTACTGATTGCATCGCCACTCTAGTTATCTGGAAATGCACGAGGTCATGGAAGAAGCCCTTCATCGCCTATACTGGCACTGTCGGAATGGATCAGGACTTCCTGGACCCAACCCTGCCCAGTTCGAGCGTAATGGCTCAATAACCACCAGTTCCATTCTCGAAAGCATGGGGTTGACTCCGCCTATACTGGATGAATCAAACCCACAATATCCAAATGGGCCGGCTACGCGATTGCCTGAACGCCGATCCTTCGCCCCGGCAGCGAGCACTCAGAGTCCCAAATCGAATGACAGATCTCCAGGGACGATGAGCATCGATGGACATCCTCCGTCAACACTGCCACCTGAATCTCCCTGGCAATTCCCGTACAGCATGCCGGGGCAGAACCACGGCTATATCACCAGCGCGATGCCTATGCGTGTTTCAGCGGCTCCAACCGGCATGGTTTATTCGCCGGATCAGATGCAGCCTCAGACATCAGCCGCATCCTTGCCGGTCTCTCATCTGGGGCCTGAGGCCTCGGTGCTGCCGTGTGACGGAGTTCCATATGTGAGCCATTCCGAGCCGCTGCCCCACGCCAACCCCTTCGTTGGCGTTGACCACAACTGGCCGGGACCTGGCCCTCCTTTCGGTCGCCATTCTTACAGTGGAATCTGATTCAATATTCTTGGAGCGTTGGGCGTTGGAGGTGCAGCGATGTTGCTGGAGCTCTTGGAGTATCAGGTACCGCGAACTTTCGTGTCATGAGCGTTACTTTTTGCCAAGTTCGAAATGGGTGAAACTACCAAGTGAAGACAAACGCATGGTTATACGGATAAACAGCGCAGTCTTCGGTGTTAAGGGCCTGAAAAGCCTGAAATGATACGTTCTCGCATGTAATCATGTGTGGCATTCACATTGTGCCTTTGTATATCTTCCTCTGGAGTCCAGTGTTCGACGTGCGCATGGCTCTTAATCGTTATCACATCGTCGGTTGCTCGAGTTGGCTCTAAAGGAGCCGTATTTGCGAGGAGACCACGATAAATGATGTAGCCAGGGGCAATTGATGTCTCTCTAGCGGCAAAAGTACTTATGATATGGTGCGGACTATTTGCCGAGTTCGTTAGCTGAGGCATTACTGCAGAGGAATCGTTCCAGCTTTCTCAGCAATTGAGCGAGTAGTTTCGGTCGACATAGAACCGGCTGTGGGTTACTAGTATCGTAGGATATAGCGTGGACATGAGTAGGCACTACTTATGGGAGCAGTCCCAACCGGTTGAAGCTGCACGAGGCTGTCCCAATACTATAAGGAGCGAGAAGAGTAGCTGTGGCTGTGACTGTGGCTGCAGTAGCGATGTGGCGCAGTTACGGGGGCCGAGGGGGCTCCAACTTGAAGTGCCAGTGGGGGGATAGTGAAGACTGAGGACGAGGCCCTCTCCAGACTCAACCGACTCTGCAGGGGCCATCACCATGTGCCGCCCGTTCACCCCCTTGTGTCGCTGCAACCACAAACCTCAGTTGAACCAAACCCAAACGCTTAGGGCGATGTTCAGATAACTTCTATTCCCTAGCACTACTCCTAGTATGCCACTCTACGCGTCTTCCTGGACAAACCTGTCGTCCTATTACTACGCGCTTCTATGACAATGGCCGCCGACCGCGATGGGCTCCTTTCCGAGAAACATTACGATGACGACGCCGCCATCGTAGCATCCGATCCAACTTCCGGGTCCGACAGCGAAGGCGAGGATGATGCGGATACAGTCACAGACCGTGATCGAGACGTCCTGGAAGAGTCCGAGGCACAAGAGGCGTTGTTGCACAAGCCCCCCAGGTTTGCGCCGGCTCGAGGACTCCTCCGGCTCAAAGATCGCATGAAAGATGGCACGACCAAAACCACACGTCGGAAGACTCGGACAAAGCGGTCCAAACGGGGCAAAGAGACATCGGATATGATTTTCGAGATGGAAGGCGGTTTCAAAGACACAAGTTCGCAGTCTTCCCTGGATTCATTCGAACTTGATGGTACAAAATGGGAGAAGAAGCCCCCTCGCCAATCGCACCGTGGCCGCCTGGCGTTGATACACGTCGCCATCATCGTTTTGTTCGTGGCCCTGGTTTTCGGTGCCTATAAGGCTTCCCGAAGGACCTTCTCGCCGACAGTCCACCAACCCACTAAACTCAGCAACGGCACCCACATCTTCAGACCAACGACGATCCTGATATCTCTCGACGGGTTCCGCGCCGACTTTTTGAATCGCAACATCACTCCGGCTTTGAATGCGTTCATTGCGAGCGGCGTGTCTCCGAAATATATGCTTCCGTCATTTCCTTCCGTCACGTTCCCCAACCATTTCACCCTTGTTACCGGCCTCTATCCTGAAAGCCATGGAATTGTCAGCAACCAATTCTGGGATCCCGAGTTGGAGGAAGAATTTTACTACACCGACCTGAGCGTCTCAATGCAGCCGAAATGGTGGATGGCCGAGCCACTCTGGGTGACAGCTGAACACCAGGGTGTCAGATCTGCAATTCACATGTGGCCTGGGTCCGAAGCACATATTCCCGACGTGAATCCCACTTATCTGGACAAATACAATGGTTCAGAGGCCTTACCCCGCAAGGTCGATCGGATCCTACACTGGCTTGACTTACCCGGTGATGACGATGATGCAGCTACAGCTGCACCAGATAGCGAGAGACGGCCCCAGTTTATCGGGGCTTACGTGCCAAATGTCGATGCAGACGGACACAAATACGGCCCCAACAGTACCGAGATTAGAGCAACCATTGCAGATGTCGACAGTATGTTGACCATGCTCGTCGAAGGACTTTATGTACGCAACTTGACTGAAATTGTCAATATTGTGATTGTCTCAGACCACGGCATGGCAACGACTTCAACAAGCCGACTGATCCAACTAGAAGATATCATGGATGTATCTCTGGTCCACCATATTGACGGCTGGCCGCTGAGAGGCTTGCGCCTGAACGACCCTGATCGAGACCTGGAGGACTTGTATCAACATTTATCTGCTGAGGCCAAAAAACCAGGTAGTGGTTTTGACGTCTATACCCGCGAAACAATGCCGGAACGGTACCACTTTTCCCACAATCCCCGGATCGCTGAGCTTTGGATCATCCCCAAGACAGGCTGGGCCGTCGTGACAAAGGAAGATTTTGATGTTGCTGACGCCCTCAAGACGGGGAAAGAGTACTCGCCAAAAGGTCTTCATGGCTATGACCATGAACATCCACTTATGCGCGTCATTTTTGTCGCTCGTGGCCCTGCGTTCCCGCATACACCTAATAGTCGTCTGCCGGTTTTCCAAAATACCGAGGTGTATAATATCGTTTGTGATTCGTTGGGGATTGCTCCGCATCCGAATAATGGCACTTTGAGGCTTCCTTTGAAACCGGAGGGGTTGCATAGCGATCCTGGCGCTCCTGGGCTTGAAACTCCGGCGGATCCTGAAAATGAAGACGAGAATGAGACTGAGAGTCAAGGTCTGCCAGTTGACAATCCAAATGCTGATAAGGATGCGATCGTCGCAGATCAAGAGCAAGATCAAGACGGAAATGGAGAGTCAGAGTCGGCAGCTACAGATAATGAGGCTGACGGTGACAGCGACAGCGACCACTCTTCTGGTCAAGAACAAAAGAGCACTTGGTGGCAGTTCCTACATGGCCAACTTCAAAAGGCAAAAGAATGGGCCAAAGAATTTGTCGAATCTATCAAGGGCAACAAGAAGGGTGAAGACGCCGGCAGTGGCCCTCCAGTCTGAGATGTGAGATAGATAGAGTGGTTGCGTGGTTTCAAGTACTATTATAATATCATTGTTCTTCCGGCCCTTTTGCAGCAGTCTGGATTGATTGATCCTGGCGTCAATAATGGGAGTACTGGCTCAAACAGGTCCGTGTTAGGTACATGTACATATGCCTCGTGCCTTACCTAAACTCGTACTGAGTCAGCCTTGTTGCAAACATGTAGGTACTTAGGATGCGAGGCTTGGCATATTTTTATCACTGCCAGTGACGTTGTTGCGGGTACCATTTATTAGTTGAGGCCTCAATGATTTTCTGAACTTAGTATACAGTACATGTCACCATGGCTCCCAACAACTAAACGAACATGTCCTTCCTGGATAACATAAAGCCCCCTTAATTTGACCGCCGCACGATCTCTTTTCCGATCCGCTTCAATCATTTTTCACCTTTTTTTTCCCCAGTCCCTGTCTCTGCCATTATGGCCGAGAAAGTTGGCGGCCCTTCAGACCCTCCTTCACTTACCGCCGTCGCCGTCTCCTCCCTCATCCTAGGTCTACTAGCAGGCTATTTCATTGGCTCGGGATCCAGCATTGGAATTTTCGGCACTTCACCAACTTCAGCCGGCGCAGTCAAAAAGAGCTGGCCCAACAGTTACGATGTTAAAGTCCATGCAGACTCGAGCGACGAGGAGGCCGATGACGAGGAAGATGAAACGGAAGACCAAGAAGAGGACGACGAAGAAAGGGATGGTAAAGAACTAGGCGATTTTAGAGATTCAAATGAGGAAGTCAAGCTGGTGTTGGCGGTCCGTACGGATTTAGGGATGGGAAAAGGTGAGAAAGTCAAAGCGAAAGATAGCTTTGAGCTTTGAGCAAGCTTTGAGAAAGCTTTGGTTTCTGCACTTGTCGTTGCGATGAAAGCGTTGCGTTGAAAGCGTTGCGTTGAAAGCGTTGCATGAGCCGGACTAATCACTCTCTTTGGTGTATGTTTAGGTAAAATCGCCGCCCAATGCTCACACGCCACACTCGCCTGCTACAAATACCTCTTGTCGCATCCTACATCGGCACCTCTTTTGAAGAGATGGGAACGTGGCGGCCAACCAAAAATCGCCGTGCAGGTCAAGTCGGAAGAAGAATTGGAAACTTTACAAGCCCAAGCTATGAGTCTGGGTCTTTGTGCGAGAATCATTCATGATGCTGGCAGAACGCAGATTGCGGCGGGGAGTGCGACTGTTTTGGGTGTTTTGGGGCCAAAGAGCGTGGTTGATCGGGTTACAGGGGGTTTGAAATTGTTGTGAGGGGAATTGAAGCGAAACGAAATGAAACCTTACAATACTGTACTGTACTGGAACGTCCAAGACGGAGTGAAGCAGACAAAGTCTGATATTCTATTCTGCCATGCGGAATGGAATGTAATGTGTCTCGTCCGGATGCGCATTGATGAGTGTGGAGAGAGAATGCTCGACAAGCCAAGTTCGGTGAGCTGAGCTTGAAAAGGCCATTGGATTGGATTGGATTGGATTGGATCGGCGATTCAGTATTGTTGCTGCCTACTTGGGCTCTGGTACTGCACAACACAACCTGGGGTTTCATTTCGATACTGCCAGTGTTACAGGACCACGTTTGAGAAAGTTTCATCACTGACTGCCAGTGCACCACGTTTCATACCTGGAGAGCCAGGGTAGGTGAGAACGCCTCTTTATCGATTGTTGCAATGGCCGTTGTCTCCGGTCCAGTGTTGACAGCTGGTCGTGTTGAAGTCAAGTTGGTGTTCTGTTCCCAGACCCTTCTGAATGCGTCTGCGTGCTGGATAAGCCTATCGGACAACAGAGCGGTAAAAGGAGGACGCCATTTACGCCGTGAAAGGTGTAACCGCCTTGTGCAGCATCGCGTCTTTCTGCATGCAGGCGATGCGGATTCAAGCATTCAATCAACGCCCAGATCTTGTTATCGCAGAAGAACCTTGCTGTGAGCTACGGCAGATCATATCATCCAGCAACTGGTCCTGATCCTTCGGAACCAAGTCGACTCAATTCAGCTCGCCATGAATTTGCAGAGGTCAAGGTCATTAATCATGGTTCACCTGCCGTTCGTTGGAAATGGTCTTTGCCCTCTTTTGCTCTCTCAACCGCCGCCGATCGTCGGAGTGGGAACGCCCCTCGAGAATGAACCAGATCACACATTGCACATACATGGCTGGGAGAGCAAAAATCAAGCAATCGTGTTTTTCCGAAGTGTACAGGCGGAGCACGGTATCTATGGTAGTCACACACCCTTGCGCCTTGGACTCTTACAGGACTGGCAAGACTCGATATCAAAGACAGCCACCAAGAGAAGAGCCAGACTTGGACGCTATGGTTTGGGAGAGATGAATTCCTATTGAGAGGAAAATACCGAGGGAAGATAGTTCGTCATCATCGTCGTCGTTCTTCAGGCTTGCTGCTTGTCTTCCCTGACTCTGCCTTGGACAAGTTTACCGAGTCTCGCCTGGGAGCAGGGAGCATCCCACACATTGAATTTCAAGTTCTATGGCTTCTGGCTTCTGGCTTTCGGCAAGGCTATGCTGAGGACAGTCCTTGCTCATGACTCATGAACTCGAAGTACAATCTAAGTAGGTACCTAAAGGACCATGTCTGTCTGTCTGTCTGTCTGTCTGTGTAGACTTACGACTTGGAACCCGGTTGCCCTTCGTATCTTGAGAATTGACTTCTCTACCTACATCTTAGATCAAAGATTTAATAAGAAGAGTGAAAAAGCGCCTCAGCTTGCAGTGTAAGTGCCGAAAAGATCAGTGGCATTCTTCTGTGTCGACTAGAAGACGATCAATCGTGCCATATGCACTTGCTCCAGATCACATCAGATGGGAAAGTTGCCAATTCCAGAATACGGCACTTGGCGCCTGGCTGCTTCTCGCTCGTCCAACACTACTGTGGATGAGTTTGGGTTATTACCAGGGGAAGGGTCATGGCCATATTGTTGCTGTGCATGTGCATGTGCATGTGTCGGTGCCTGTTCCTGTGGCCTAGCTGGTGATGGTTGCTGCTGCTGTTGTTTTCCTGCCCAACTCGGGCGGTTAAGTGACAATGGACCCTTCCACGTCCCATAGCCGGCAACCTGTGCTTTACCCAACAGGTGGTTCAGCGCCGCCACAATCATCTTGACGCCGCGCGAGGCATCGACGTCGTTCTCATAAAGCCAGACGATATATGCGCTGCTTAGGGCGTGGTAGACGCGGTCTGGCATGTCGTCTGAGGAGCTCGAGTCGTTGGTGACGCTGACAGTTGCAGCTCCGTTGGTACTGTCATTGCGAGTACCGCTTCCACTCGCATCCACTGGAGCCTTTGACTCAAGATCCATCGCAAGCTCGGCACAAAGAACGGCCGTGGCCAGCAAAAAGTCCGGCACCAGCGGAGTCAACAGCTTCCTGCTATCTCGACACAAGGGCCCACCCACGCGAGTCTGCAGATATAATGACCATTGATGCTCCAGCATTGCCAACGCGGCTTCAAGGCAGGTATTGCGCGATTCTTGGCACTGGACATGGACCGGGACCCCCCGCCGCCGGCGGCCTTGAAACAAAAACTTGCGGTGTAAAGTGATTTTGGCTCGGAGATACATCAGGGTCATGAATGTGAATTGGACAGAGTCGCAAGGGTCAGAGTCAGGGTCCGAGTCAGCGTCAGGGTTAGCGGCGTTGGAGTCAGTATCCATGGGTGCAGTGGGTGCCCATCTCGCCGAGATTTGGTGGTAAATGTTGTTCAGGGCATTGTCGAGCCTCGTTACCTTGGAAAGGGACGGGATGGATGTAGTGCATGTCGCGTCGGAGATGTTCGAGAGCACTTGCATCAGTCGATTCATGTCGTTGTGATATTGTGGTCTTGTATACTCTGTTTCCGGTCTGGACGGTGGCAGTTCAGTCATATCGATATACAAATCCTCATCCCTGAGATTGCGTGGCTCGGCAGTGTCGCATTGCTGCAGATTGATGTTTCTGGGCAAGCCGAAGGACACCGACACATACATGTCCCATTCGAGCATGATGGCCCATATCCTCCTGCGAGTCTCTGCTTCGAACGGCGTCAGACTGGGGAAAAAGTGCGCGCCGTCACGGTGGTACCCGGAGCGCAAGGCGATCTGCACAATGGTGCCCCAGAGGACCCATAGTCCGTTGACATTTTCGGTACTATCTCCCCGGGTGAAGTCGCCGAAGATGAGGAGAAGTAATGTCTGAAGGGCGTAGGGTGGTCCATTGATGTACTTGCTCAGCAAAAGGCATTCGATTGTTTTTTCGCGGTATTTTTTTATTATCTCTTCGGTTTCGGCGGGTTGCCTCTCGTCGCTCGCCTGTTGCTGTTCCTGAGACCGGCCTGGTGTGAATTGTTGGTACTGTACTCCCAACGTCATCAGGGCGAATAGTAGGCCCAGCCACGAGGTGGATGCGGACGCAGGATCGGCCCAAAATTCGGCGTACTGTAGGTATACCGTCCCACAATGTGTCAGTTTCTCATATTTTTGTGTGTAGGCGCATTAAGGGGACAAGGTTGAGGTCTCACCTCCTTGTAGAATGTAGGTGCATGAACAATCACTGCCAGGGGACACTCCTCGTCAGCAGTCAAGTCAACTGTAGCTCAAATCGACGTACTTGGCTCCTGGCTAGTGTGGAGGATGCATTCTGCCATCAAGATATCAACCGTTTCCTTGGGCGGGAGGGCCGCTAGGATTTCCGCTCTGTCGAGAGTCTTCCACGACGGGAGGAGGAGGTCCATCTTTTGATGGCACTGCATGCCAGTGTCTCCGTAGCCAGCAGTCGTCTCAGTCATACAAGAGGCATTCAGCACCTCGTCCAGACCGGGAATCTGTTTCAATGTCAGAGACAAAATCCTTTCTGATGGGTCCTATCTGGGGAGCGGCTGCCAAAATTTCAGTATCAACTTACGGCTTCCAGAATTGCCATCCAGTGAGCAGATCCGACATAGGTGACGCTCGTGGAGGAGCGTGTGAAGAGACCAGGCGAATCCACCTTGAATTTGGCATAGGCATACCGATGAACGTCTTCCTGGTCATGGTCGTGGTCGTGGTCTTGGTCTCCACTACCGCCACTCGTACGATCGGTCGCGACACCTTGCACGGAATGAGGTGTGTCTGACGCTGACGGTGTGGGCAACGCTGGTTGAACAGCATCAGATGGTGTTACGTTCACGCCGCCGCCGGTGGCGTTCAAGAGTTGAGCAACTCGTTCCTCAAGAATTCTCACTCGATCTCGCACCCTCAAGTCGGTAGAGGTCTGTGGAGGAGGGTCGTAGCATCGCGTGGGCCTCGCTCCATTAGAGCTCGCGTAGACACATGACTCTATCAGACCACGCCGGGCACAGTTGTGGCATGGCTGGCCTCGATCACATTTCAACCTGTCTCATATCAGACAGATATGGTAAGAAATGAAACCAGGCAACGGATGACCAGGTCGGCCAGAGGGCAGACATGACAAAGCAGGCAGAGCGAGGCAAGACGAGAGTTTTCTTTCTTGGGTATAATACTAGAAAGTCAGGAAGCTGGTGCTGGGCTCACTTTCGTTTGCGACAGAGATTACATGACAACTGAGGCTTCTCTCGGCGTCGTCTGTTTGCTTTTAACTCGTCCTGGAGACGAAGAGACGGCGGTGGCTCTGCTGGTGGTTCTATTGATGTCTCGGGCGACTGCATCGTTGACAGTTCGTACCCTGTGAAGACCTTTCTGGCGTATCAGAAGAGAAATTCGACATGATAGACCAGGCAGAGAGAGAAGAAGGAAAAGGATCAGAAGAGAATGAATCCTGAATGGATCCTTTCTTACCAAGCACCGTGCCAGTGGTGAGCATCATGATATTGATGAACTTGAAGCGGAGATGTGAATTCCTCCGATCCTCCGGTGGTCGGAACCTCTGACCATCCGACCATCCGACCATCCGATCATCCGATCTCCGACGACATTCCAAATTCAGCCTCAAATCTCGAAATGCATACTCCATTTCAACTCTGCACCAATGTACAGATGCACGTGAAATGGTGGTGACATGCACATTTATATCCACTGTCTCGGCCATTAAATGGCGCCTGAGATAGCTGAGAAGTGGAAGGACTCGAAGAACAGACAGTGATACTAATACTACAAAGGTAGCCCTCATATGCCGCGCAAAGTCGCAGGATGTCAGCGAGCATCCTTGGCATGTGCTCGCTGTCGGGCGAAGAAAATCAAAGTGAGTTTAAGGGTTCTCTTTACCGGAAGCCCCAAGTCTCCTCTTTCTCTTTGGCGCGGTCTTGTTGACCTCATGTTGCGTCGTGTGACAGTGTGACAAAGGAAATCCATGTTCTCAATGTGTCGCAGCATATGCCAAATGCACCAGCTCGAGCGTGGACGGGATCCACGATGTGCCGCGGAGCATTACGCAGTTCCTCATGGAAGACATTAGGCGGATTGAGACGAAGCTGCAAGACTCGACTCGCGGCCCCGAGAGACGCCGTACTAGTGGCCATGGAGCCCAGGGGCCCTTCTTTTTCCGAGACGGCGACTCTACAAGCCACGATACATATGGGGACAGTTCCAATGCAAAAGTCCTAGAAAGTGATGTGTTCCAGACTCGGACACATGACATGCAATTCATCTCGTCAAGATCGGCGGATGCAGCTCGTTTTCAGGCCAGGCAGTGTCCCAGCTTGCGGAAGATGATCAGCTCCATGACTCCTGACCGGTCAGCGGCATCGCAAATACCGCGCAACACGATGGGATTGACGTCTTCGCGAGTCTTTGCATCAAGTGCCAATGCCACTAGAAACGACAGCAATGAAGGCCCTACCGCGAAAGCTAGCGGCACAACCCAGGGATTCATTAGTGTCCGTAATCTGGCTGCCATACCGCCGCGGATCGTGAGGACGCTGATCCAGGTGTTTGTGGAAAAGGTCCACTCCCTACTACCCATGGTACACGAACCTACTTTGTGGCGACAGGTCGACAGAGTGCTTGGCATGGTGCACGACCAAGGAGTTCCCTCGGTGGCTCCAGACTACGACTTCCTCATTGTTCATATCGTGCTGGCCATCTCCGCCTCGCTAGGAAGCGCTTCCAGCGGTCATGGTCAGCAACGGATGGCCTTCTCTGAAAGTTTGTTTCAAGATGGTGCGAGACATCTCGACGATCCGGCCGTGTTCCCCTCCGAGATGTCTGAACTCCAGACTATTTTGTTGATACTGCATTACGGCACCATCAATCCCAGATGCGCCAGTGTCTGGATGCTGTCAGGCTCAGCAATGAGAATGTGTTTGAAGCTCGGACTGCACCGAGAACCAGACGACGGAACACCCACTCTTGACGACCTCTCAATGGACATGAGAAGACGCCTGTTCTGGTTGAGCTACTGTTTTGACAGACATGTCTGCGCTGCGCTGCAGTATCCGATCTCGCTGTCCGATGCGGCCATCAGCACAGGCCATTTTTCCGTCTTGGACGACAAATGCATCTCTACCTCAGCAGGACCATTAACCGGCTCTTCGCCAATGCTAAGTCATTCCAAGGAGCCCGCCCTGCACTGGCTGGAGTATCGGCAGATCCATTCGGATATGGTCGAGGTGCATTTCCGAGGAAAGTCCTTTGGCGGATCTTGGGACCAGTGGCTTGCGGGGATGGAGGTCAAGCTTCGCACCTGGTATGATCGACACCGTGATACCTACGGCTGGACCGAGACGGCCTACCACAATGCTCTAACATACCTCCATCGACCATCTCCATTGACACCAAAACCAACTGCAAGGAGTCTCTTGATCGCGTTTGAGAATGCTTGTGCCGTGGCTTCCAGCTACGGTAGAGACATTCAGGGCGGCTACTTCCGACGTCCGTGGCTGGCGGCGCACCACACCTTTGCCTCGTCCGTGATTGTTCTTTTCTGTTTGCGACACGGTTCCCAGGCCATCCTCACCAAGTTCAGCCCCCGCGAAATATCCGAGATGGCGTCGCTCTTTGCGCGGAATCTCCAGAGTGTTTCGTCGGAATATTGGCCAGAGGTATCCCGGTGCTTGGAAGTATATAATCGTTTGCTGGCGCCTTTGATTCAGGCAATCATGTCCGGCACCGACCCGGGCGCTGCTTTCAGTCGCGAACAGGATGAAGAGCTGGCACATTTGTTGTACCCCGGGACAACTAGGTTTGAAGCCCTGGCGGCAGACACTGGTGTCGGTGGAACGGGCATCCAGGACTTGGAGACGGCACTTTCCAATGCCGATGCCTTTGATTGGGATCTTTCGAGGTTTGACGACTTTGCTTGGGATGAGACCACTTTTGATTTTCTGGACGGGTTTATCCACACTCCCGACTGGACGGAACCTTTTTTGGCGGGATAACGGTTCTCCAGTTGGTGCCAGATCGAGAGGGACAATGTATAAACATGGACTTCCATTTTTTCATGCCGGGTATGCGCCGCCACACGGGATCTGTTGGAACCGATACACCAACGAGCGGCTACTCACACAATACCCTTTGCGGCCATCTTTGGAAGAACCTCCGAGGAGAGTTCTCGATAGATCTCCAGCATCCCGCTCATGCCTGGCCATTGGAATGTGCACCAGGTAAGCAGGGCGATGCACGAAGCTGATATCTGGTGCACTGGCAGCGGTCTATCAGCTCTTGTATCTTGCCCCCTGATACCCGCCAGCAACACCCAAGACTGTTTTGTACTGGCGGCGGGATTGGTATGGAGCTCTTGTTGCCCAGTGCTCAAGTCTTCCAGCTTGATTCGGCCATCAAGGAAACAGAAGCATCCTGCCACAAACGTCAGGCTAGCCACGTAGATTTCGTGTGCCGACACAAATGTCACGGGGTAATTTGAAAACAACTCCGAGTCGTCAGACAGAATTATCCTCTCATAGCAGTCTATGAGCGCAATGGCCGAGTTGAAGCTCTGGACAGCGACGGATCCAACAGGCACAACATTTCTACCGCCGTCTACACTGTACTCCACTGTGGAGTCTTCTGTCAGTTTGGACAGCGCGAATAGCATTGATTTCTGGAATAGAAACAAGACCGAAGAGTGGTAGGCGATTATGCAGGCCAGACTATAGGTATTGAGGCCGTCGGCATTCGTTGCGGTGGTGGTAGTCTGCCGCCGCCATTGCTCAATCTCATCAAGTTGGACTTTATAGTATGCGTCGTCAACGGTGACTGGCGAGCCTGCACCTGCACCCCAGACCCCAGCGGGGAGATAGACGGTCTTGAAGACGGAGGAGCGGATATAGCTAAGCAAGGCCAGCAAGGAGGAGAGATCTGCTGGTGCAGCAGAAGGATGGGGAGGATGAGGATGGGACGCCGCCATTGGGGATGTTGTCGGCACAGCAGTCGGATGCGGCAATTCAATCGTACTGATAGCCTCCAAATCATCCGTCGGCCTCCCATACGTCTCGGCAACCATATGGTCCAGCCGATACAAGGTCCAGAAAGTGCGACTTCTCTGCGCCTTTTGGTTTGGGGTCTCTGCGAATGGTGCATCTTCTCGATGGTACCCGAGCTCAATGGCCAAGCGGACGGCCGATTCTAGATGCAGCCACAGATCGCCTTTTTGGGGTCTGAATAACAAGTAAATAATGACGAGCATCAGGCTGCGGAGGGAGTCGTGCGTCGCTTCCGAGAGCACGTTTTTGGCTTTTGATGAGGCGATCTTGTAGAATGAGTCTTCGTAGGCTCGGAGAGCCATTGTAGCATTGCCGTGGGCAGAGGCACATGCACAGCCAATACAGCAGATTATGGCGAGCTGAAAGTTCGCGTGACTAGCACCAATTTGATCGACAGGTCGTGAGTGTGGTTGTGAGTGCGATTCTGGCTCAGAGTCCGTTTGTTGTTGCTGTATCATATACCGATAAAACCCCTCGATTGCTTCATCATCAGTCATACACTCGAGATGAATGGGCCAAAAGACCATGCACGACCGGTTATAAATGTCGAGTAGACGTAGAATCAGCGCCTTTGTCGGTACGATCGTAGCAACTGCCACTGTTGATTCGTTGAGATCAGGACGACGGCCTTGACCTCCTCGTCTACTACCTGAGAGGAAGGGTTCTTGTGGCTGCTGTAGTAAAGTCGACCCCGGGCATATTACCGCCAACAACTCCGTCGACAAGACCTGTGCAGACGACGATCCGAAAAACACAAAATCGTCGCCGTGGCCGTGGCCGTGGCCATGGCCGTTGCCGGCTCCAGCTGGAAAGTGAGCGTCAAAGTTGAGGCGGGAAGGAATCCTCGGATTCTGGTGGTGATTGTCCCAAGAGGGCGAGAGTGAATCTGCTTCTTGTTCGAGTTCAACTTCAACTTGCCGAAGAGCCGTCCATCGGTCGAGAAGATCTTTGACTTGACTAAACAGAACAAATCCTTAGTACACGACTGACTGATAGATAGTCTGTCCAGGACGAACGGTGAACCTACCTCCTCGAAACGATCTCTCCAAGAACATGATCCCTAAACTCGCATTTCGCATGCGCTGCTCTGCACAACCGACAGCTGGGAAGTTCGGTGTCACATTTCCGTCTGAGTCGTTTACATCGTTCACATGCTAGGGACAGAAAGTATGTCAGCCTTGCGATCAATCAATCTCAATACGACCAGAGGGGTCGGTCTGACTGACTCGGTATCATTTCTAGGGCCAATTTGACCCGTTCTGCGACGTCCATCGTTGGGACCACGAAACCGCATCATTATTGGACGTGAGATAATATAAAGTAATAGATTGATTGAATGTTGAGGTAGTGTATCATACATTAGGGAGAATTAATAGCGGTATAAGGCTGGGTGAGGTTGAAGCATCGAAAAGGATACTACAGTTCGTGCCAAGGAACAACTTGAACTTCGACTATGACACTGACGAGCGGCGCACTGCAACCACTGGACATGACTCACGGACACTCAAGCGTGTAATCAATACAGCAATATATATTACTGTAAATTGATGGAGACATTGTAACTGTGAATTCCATTGCATTCCAATCCAGAGCCTGTTCTGTTCATATACTGTACGACCCAGCGCAGCCTATTTACCCAGTAGACGTATGTACCTAGGTAGAATTGGTATATGTATAAGATACCAATATTCTACGCCTTCTGAGGCTCACTGAACGACTGCTTTTCCACATTCTCCGACGGTGCCTCTTCAGTCGACACGAGTCTCTTGCTAGCCGTCCTCCTTTCGACAATCTGCAACATGGCCGTCCAGACAGCCAGTGCGATGCTCATGGCGATCATGGCCCACATCCCTTTCTACAGCAAACATTAGCATACACATTCAACAACTCAGACACAATCATCAAACTTACCGTGAACTTGGGCGCCATATCGGCCGAGTAAAACAGAATCGACCACCAGGCATTGACGGCATTATTCCCCAGATTCATGCATGCAATGACAATGGCACGCAGGGAATCCTCCTCGTATCTCAGCGCATCATTGGCCCAAGCAAAGAAAGTAGCTTGACAAGCATACACCGAGCCGGCCCAGTAGTAAGCGCCGAAATGGGCAGCAACGGAACTGGAAGGCGACAAAATAATGGCCGACGTGACGATGCCAGTGACGGCAATCCAGTAGCCCACCAAGTACCGTTTGCCACCCAAGTAATCAGTCAACGTGGCCCAGAACAAGGTCGACACGATGCCCACGGCGGGGACACCAGTTGGGTAATTGTTGAGCTGGACAACACTGTAGTGCGCATCAGGCGTGGCTTTCATGTACAGTGCCAGCAGACTGTTGGAGCTGAAACTCTCGGTTTCGCCGGCGATGATCCAGAGGATGACGAAGCCGTAGAACTGCCATGACCTCAACACGCGGCGGACAAATGCCAGCGAAATGGGCTTTTGTTCGGGAACCTCGGGCACTCGGGAGATGGCGAGCTGGCGCTCTTCGGCGCTCAAGTATGGGGCGGATGTGGTTGATGGCGTGTCGGGGAACAGCAAGAACCCGTACAAGGCCACGGGCAGAGTGATGATGCCGTCAACAATAAACAGCCACTTCCAGCCGCTGAGGCCTTGTAGTCCGTTCATGCTTTTGTAGATCCCCGATTGGATGAATCCTCCAAACATGGTGCCGGCAAGTCCGGAGGCGGTGAAGATGCCGCTTCGCTTGCCGAGTTCTTTTTCCGTGTACCATGATCCAAGAATGTAATGGGTGCCGATGAAGGTGCTGGCTTCGGAAACTCCGACGAAAAACCGGATCACCATGATATGTTTAGGGTGCGAGGAGGCAGCCGTGATCATGGTCAGAGCGGCCCAGAAACAACACATGGACGGAAAAAAGATCCTGGGCTTGATGTAGTAGAGTGCAAGGTTGCAGGGTATCATTCCGCTTGAAGAACAGTTAGTTGCTGAGCGATAGAAAACGATAGGCGACAGCCTTGTTGTGGCAAACTTACACAATGTAGCCGCAGGTGAAAATGGTCGTGATCTGAGTCAGCTGGTTCCCCTTAAAGTTCAGGTCTTCTTTCATGCCAGAGACATAGGCCTGGGTCAAGTTGGACCGATCCAAATAATTGAAAAAGTACATGAGACAACAAAAGGACAGGATGAAAAAGTCGACCTTGCGGACCAACTTTTTCTCCTGTGGTGACTTGTCGGACCTCAGGTAGGCCCTGAAAGATGAGGCTCTGGCCATGGTGATGGATTTTTGGGATTTTGCGCGCACACACACTCACAATCCCAGGTCGAAAGGATGGTTCAGGATATTTGGAAGTCGGCCTGGGGAGGCTCCTTCTAAATACTGCGGTGGGTCGGCGTCTGGCAAGCGCAAAGCCAACAAGTAGCCGAACCGAGCGTTGTCGATTTCAGTATCTCTCTGACTGGCTTATCACACATTTATCGGTGTCACTTGTCAGTCCTCCACATGATATGGCCCGGGATGGGGCAAGAGGAACCTTGACCTGTTTGCGGAGGTGCAAGGGTCAGGCGGGGAGATTGCTGCAGAGCCTCCTGGGCAAGATCGAGGATTTGTGGATTGCTAATGCTGTGTGTGGAAAAGTCTGTCCTGGCGGCAAATGATAGTCCTCTTGGTCGAAGCGGAAGAGCGCCGAAACCCGGCACCATCAGCCGAATATCAACTTGACCCCGGTCGAGAACGCCCCCTAACAGGAGACCTAACAGCCGCGGACCAACACTCTGGGCCGCGTTATCGGCTATGGAGTCGTCGACCGTCCTCCAGGAGCCGAATTCTGGTCTGATACTGGTCAATATCGCCCCCTCAACTGGCTCAGGAGACCTGGAGCGCACGCGACCGAGAGGGCGGCCATTCGCCACACTGTCCGAAATGTCCGCCAGACTGGTTGGAGGGTGGCCCAAGCGTCCAGTGTGGAGTAGCAATGGGTATACTGTGTAGGCAATCGCCGTCGCCGTGGAGGTGTCCGTGGGTGTCCATGGTAGTAACACATTCAGTCGCTTCTGATACTGTATCTTTCTTTCCTACATTTGAAACTGTAGTGTCTTCAAGCTGTACTCGTTGTCAACCCCAAAGATTTTCAATCGGCAAGCACAATGGCCATCTCACCACCGGCAGAATGGGAATCCATTGCTGCTGCCAAACGGGCAGCCTTGATGAAGAGCATTCCTCCTGAGTGGTTGGTCCCAGCAGAAGTGTTGCCATCGAAAAGCCAGCTAGATGTTACTTCGTTTCCCGAATCGTCCGGATGGTTCACTCCCGAAGAGCTGAAAATAACTTCAAGCACGTCAGAAGAGATCCTCGAGCGTATTAGGGACAAGACCTGGAGTGCAAAGGCCGTTACATCGGCATTTTGCAAGAGAGCAGCAGCAGCACACCAATTGGTAAGAAAGCACTTTTCACATTGAGAATGATCCGTACTGATGTCATGTTTGCCTTGACAGACGAACTGTCTAAGTGAAACCATGTTTCCCGAGGCGTTGGCAGCCGCAGAGGCCCTGGACGAAGCATTTAGCCGGACTGGAGCTGTTGTTGGTCCTCTCCATGGCCTGCCAATCTCGATCAAGGACAACTTCAATGTCGTTGGCAAGGACTCGACGGTTGGGTTTGTGTCGTGGTGCAACAAGCCACACAAGCAAAACAGTGTCCTGGTCGATTTACTCAAGTCTCTTGGTGCCGTCATCTACGTCAAGACCAACGTGCCAACGGCAATGATGATGGCCGAGACCGTCAACAACACTTTTGGAAGGTATGTCATGTTGTCCCAGTGGCGACAAAAGTAGTTTGAACTAACAGGTATAGAACACTGAATCCTCTTCGACTTACAACCACGCCCGGCGGAAGTTCCGGAGGCGAGTCTGCCCTCCTCGCATTCCACGGCAGTCCTTTGGGCGTGGGAACAGATATTGGCGGTTCGTTGCGCATTCCAGCATCGTGCACCGGTATTTTCACTCTACGGCCATCGCTTGGCCGGTTCCCAACCGCGGGATGTACCTCGGGCCTTGCTGGACAAGAATCAGTCAACAGCGTCAACGGTAAGTACATAGCAGCTTTGAGTCTGTGTTATGCCATCGATGCTGACCGCTATTGCAGGACCCATGGGACCGACGCTGTCGGATTTGAAATTGTTCGCCAAGTCGGTCGTTGACTCGAAGCCCTGGTTGAAAGACCCCAAAGCGCTTCCGATCCCCTGGCGGGACGTGCAGCTGCCGAAAAAGTTGAAGTTTGGTGTCATTTGGAACGATCGCCAAGTGACCCCTACGCCACCTGTCCAGAGAGCCCTAAAGACGACCGTGGAGAAGCTTCGAAAAGCCGGACACGAAGTCGTCGACTGGGATTCCTCGAGCCATCCGCAGGCTCTGAACATTCTGGTACGTTTCCTTTTCTCGGGGGTTAGTCATTGACAGCTAGTTAATGGTTACTTAGTCTCGCTTCTTTGTCGCTGATGGCGGCAAATCTTGCCGCAAGGCACTCGAGCCCGTTGGCGAGCCTTTCCATCCTCAGATGAAGGCATACGAGGAGGCCACCGAGATGGGCTGCTACGACCTGTGGCAGCTGCATCTGGAACGCAACAAGCTGTGTCAGGAGTACATTGACCGCTGGGCGGAAGCTGGCATCGACGGCATCCTCAGCCCAACCACTCCTTTCAGCACGGTGGAACATGAAAAGTACAAACATGTGGCGTATACGGCCATCTGGAACATCCTCGACTATTCCGCCGTCAACTTCCCGTCAGGCGTTGCAGTGGACAAGAACCAGGACACGGTGCCGGCCGATTTCTCACCATTGAGCGAGCTTGACAAAGAGATAAACAGTGAATGTGAGTTTAATGTCTGCTCGAGCCAGCCGACAGTGAGTGATGCTGACTTCGCCGTGATAGACAACCCAGCAGCCGTTGATGGCATGCCGGTTGGGCTGCAAATTATTGGCAGAAGATTGGAAGAAGAGAAGACGCTTGAGATGACTGGTGCTATCCTCGACGCTTTGAAAGCATAGATTTGGTTCTCCTCGGACTTATTCCAGGTAGCCGTATGTTTGGACGAAAACGCCGGGCCATTGGCCAGACTCGATCCGAGATAAATTCGGCGTATAGTATCATTTAAACAGGTGACGATCGCTGGTGAGGTATTACGGGACTTGAACAAATACACTGGAAGGTGAACAGCCGCCGACAAGGCTGCATCAGGCTGAATGTTTGATCATCCGAATCGGGCAAAGTGTGAATATCCCGTTGCAATTATCTCCGGCATTAACTCCGTGTCCCTCGCCGTCTTCCTCGGAACCACTGAGGCTCACCATCACTGGAACGACATAGATACGATTTGAACAACTTGACCCGTACACTCCCAGTTTAACCGCTAACGCCTTCTCGACGATACCTATGCCTGTATCGCACCTTCATGACACGCCCATGTAGTCATCATGCCCGATAGTCTCTACGGCATCAAGCCATCCTCCAAAACCAAGGCGAAAGAGATATCGTCCTCGACTTCGCTCGCATTCTCCACAACCCTTGCATCACTTATCTCGAACTCATCCTCCAGCAAAACTAAAGCCAGCACCGGGCGACCTCGGCCCTCGAAAGACAAGAACGACATATTTACCGCGCACAACAAGAATGTCAAGAAGCGGTCGGCCGCCGACCTCGAAGATCACGATGGGCAGCAGCGGCACAAAACCAAAGACGACATTGGCTCCGTCGATGCCGCCGAGCTACACCGGTCAAAGAGAAAAATGGAGGACAAGGTGCGACTATACAACGCCATGAAGCGCGGCGAGTACATTGGCAAGGAGGGCTACGACGAGCGCACGCTGGTAGATTTCGACCGCAAATGGGCCGAAACCCAAGCACACGGCGACGATGACGACGCCGAAGACTCGGACTCGGATAGCGCCGGCACCGCAGACGGAGATGAAGAGCTGGTCGAATACTTTGACGAATTCGGACGGCTGCGCAAAGGCACAAAGGCCCAGGCGGCCCGCGAGGAAAGACTCAAGCGCATGCGAGCCAATCTGGCCGAGGAAGAAGAACGGCTCTCGGCCAGACCTTCAATGCCCACCAATGTCATTCATGGAGACACGATCCAACATGCGGCGTTCAACCCGGATGAGGTCATTGCCGAAAGAATGGCCGAGCTGGCGAAGAAGAGAGATAAATCACCTACTCCGCCTCCAGACACCCACTTTGATGCAAAGGCCGAGGTCAGGACCAAAGGCACTGGGTTTTATGCATTCAGCCACGATGCCGACACCCGGAAGCGCGAGATGGAGGCCTTGGAAAGGGAGAGACAGGAAACAGAAAGAATACGCCAGGAACGAGAACAGAAGAAGGAGCAGAGACGGAAGGAGATTGAAGAACGTCGCAAGATGATCGCTGAACAGAGAGCCAAAGCTCAGGCCGACAAATTCTTGGACTCGCTGGACATTGAGGGTGTGTGGAATTGACGCTTTCGATCGGTGTTCCTGATGGCTCTCCCGTGTCGGGAGCATCAAAGCTGCCGTCCCAGCTCAGCCCGCCGGGCTCAGCTTACCGAGCGACCCCACGTACCGATCTCAACGGGTATGTCTCTATATACCCTGTCGATCTACCAGATGAGCCCAAAGCTATCGACACTCTCAGTGACTGCGGCCCTTGCGTCGTGCCTTGGAAACCTGATCGCATTGCACGACCCAGGAGTTTGGTCTCCGATATGAGACAGTCGATGTTCAGGCCAACTCTCGAAAAAAGTGAGCCAGAAATTTCTAATGGCAGACGACACCTCTTGCGAAAACTCAATCTCAGTCTGCTAGCGCCATAGGTGATGCAGTGAGTGAGCTAGCTTTACAGAAGTTGCTCGACGGAATAATGCCTACCCATCCATGTCCTACGGGATACGGTGAAAAGTCATCGTTTGAGGTTGGAGGTAACAGAGAACATGCAAGTCGACCGACTACCGCACCACAAGGCATGAACGCGCGCGCAGTCAGGATTGGCGCCCTTTAGAGGTCCTTTGTGCCAGCTTTTCCTCACTTTCGGACTCCCGAGTCAAAAGCCTGAACGGAACAAGTCACAGGAGCGTATCTCAATCGTTCGCATATCTGCAGTAACGACGATGGTATACAACCCGTACCTAGATGGGGTAGTGTGGGCATCCGAGGCTAGGATCCCAGGGAGCGTCGTCCACGGCAGTGTTCGAGCCGGTCGTCAAGCCTTTGAGCCTTGAGAGTATGTCAGCTGTATTATGTAGGGACCCAGTGAGATACCTACCCTCCCAATGTACAACGTTTGTACCTATGTAGGTATACAATATGGTTGTCGCAGTGGGACTCGGAGAGGATTTTACCGCGCACCTAATAAATCCAGTTACTCAATTATGACGTCGTGTCAACAAAAGCGGCTCCAATGTCGACTCAGTACCTAATGCATTGATTTCATCCGGCCACCTCCGTTTCAAAAACACCAAGTAATCCTCGCCATCCTGAGTTCTGACGGCGAGCCTTATCCCTCAATCACACAAGCTCAAATCAATCAGCCTCTTCTGCCACCAAAATGTCCGCCGATTCTCTAGCTGCGTTCCGCAAAAATGCGGGCGACGAGCTCGGAAAGCTCGCGGAAGAGCATATGAAGCACGAGTGAGTTGCGAACCTGTGTCTACAACCTGTACCTACTTGGATCTTTACGTCTGTGGTTCTGTGTCATATTTCTGACATCGTCGTTCTGTACAGTCTACGAGATTCCGACCGCGACATCCTCCAACGAGCCGCCAGCAAAGCCTCGACACACGCCCTGATCGGCTCACTGGCGGGCATTGCGCTCGGCGGCTTTCTCGCGTTCCGAGTCCGCGCCAACCGCAACGCCATGTACCAGGCCATCAAGGCCGCCGAGAAACCCACGCACGTGCGATTCGCCGACGGCCGCGAAGAGGCCATTCCAGATATTACTCCGCTGCTGGCTCCGACGCCGCTGGGCGATATTATCACCTATACTTTTTTTGGTATTGGAGGATTGTTCTTGGGTGGAGAGACGGGGTTCCTGACGGGAATGTGGGCGGCAAAGAGGACGATTTCGGAAGACCCGGAAGCCAAAAAGAGGATCGAGAAGGCTTTCAGGTCGTTCCGTGCAGATGTTATGAGGAAGGAGATTGCGGATTTGGAGGGGGATAAGGATAGTGCGAAGGAGATTCTTTGGACGTGAGAGAGAAGAATCAGATATGGGAGACAGGAAGGAAGAAAGGAAGAGGAAAACCTTCAAAGGTTCCACGGAGTATGTCGCGGCACCACTGGCAGCGTCGCATATGGTTCTTTGTGACGAAGGAAAGGGTTTCCTCCACTGTTTGGATGCTGGGACCGGCAGTACATGTCGATAAGGGAAAGCCTTAGAAAGCCTTAGGAAAGGCGCAGGGTTGATCTGATGACAAGGGGCGTCACTGGCAGCGGCTCTATGTCGAGAAATGTACAGTGATATATGGATCTACTATAGGTCATGCCTACTGCCAGGGAAGGTTCGGTGAAAAGTACATATATAGGTACCTAGGTGCCTTATTGAAAAAGTAGAAAGCCGACTGTAGCACGCGAAACAGGAAGATTCAGAATATTGCTACATTGCATATGCACATAAAAATAGATGAGGCGATGCAATAACCACCACAGAGACACCCGAATATCTTTGCCAAGGGACACACAACATTGTACAATACAACAGCTGTGCTATTGTTGTGCCACCTTTTACAGGTGGGCGTTTTCACATCTCTCTTCTGAACCTGTTCAACATTTTCTCTCTCCAACTTCGCCGAGAGCTCCTTCACCATTGATGAACGAAGACTTCTTCCCAGTGAATTGAATCGCATTGGAAGATTTGGCTGTGATTGCCTTGAAGGAGCTTCCACCTCCTTTTCCTGCGCCGAGTGCGATCCAACATGGCTCACGGATTTCTCGATGCCGTTCAAGTTGTTCACCTTGACTCTATCACGCTAGTCTCCCGCCATGCATAGGGCCAAGCGAGGGACCATACCTGGTATACAAGAGACGGCGATGCATGCACAGATATATTCTCGTTCGATCGGCCGGCTCCGAAGATATATCCTGGTGTTTTCCCGCCGTAAACAAGTCCCAAAACCAGGTGCTGTAACCCGATGCCATGCCGCCCCTTGACCTACCTAGGTAATTTTCCATTGATGATGCCATGGGTGGCAGGGAGAACAAATGAAGTCCATATTTGGCGTGGATTCAGCGCAATGTTTTGTGTTTGCCGATGTTTACTGGCCGATGTTTGGTTGTTTGTGGTAGGGCAAACACCGAACCCCATCTTACTCTTATATATTCGCCTTCAATATCTTCTCCTGCTGCATAGTCTTGATAGCATGTTTCTCTCGAAGCCAGGCTTCTCCAGCAGGTCGTTTGCATCTCCACCCAGCACACCGGCCAGACGAGGACCTACTGGGCAGTTCGACGACAGAAAAAGGCACTCTTGAGAATGAAGGTCGTGGATTACATGTTTTGTTATCGAGGCCGAGACGGCCATCGCTCTTCAACGGGACCTGCCGCTCTCACCAGCCCGAGAGGAAACCGCAGAAGATAAGATCAATACCCTTGACTCAGAGAGAAAGGCAGTTCCTCGATTGGTATTTTGCTGTTTCGGGATTCCGAGTGTATATTGGGATGCCGTTCGAGTTTTGAGCAGTTTGCAAATAGACGAACGCACCATGATGAGGTCAAGACGGAAGAAGATGTCGTGCCTGGCTGGTTGTCGATAAGAGACAGTACCCTCGTCGACAAGGTCAGTATATGATATATCACCCAGTGGTAAGTGCTGCCTGTCTTCTGAGTCAACTTCTGGGTGATAACTACATCCTGGTAGTGTCATCGGTTCATCACTTCAAACTTCGTCACCTAAACAAGGGCGCCGGAGAGTGAAGCGTTTCCTTCTCCTAAGGTGAATTCAGTCACGCTTTTATTCACTTCTGTCGCGCTTTTGTTATTGCCTGAAGTATTTAACCAGACAAAAATCTCACACTCATATTTATTCCTTCTGCCAGGAACCTCTCGTGTCCCCAACAGTCTTCTACATTATCTGATCCCTTGCCCTGTTCTGACAATGGCGTCACTAACCAGCAGCGAGGTGCGCACTATCGTGGCCGACGCAGACGGTGATCTGATCCTGGAAGTCGGCAAAGAGCACACTCAGAATGAAGAAACCAAAGCCGACCTAGACGGCGACCTGATCCTAGAAGTAGACAAAGAGGACGGCCAGGGTGATGAAAACGAAGAGGGAGAGGTGCAAGAACAGGAAAAGTCGACACCGAAAATGGCACGAATTCTGGTATCAACCAAGGTTCTTACACTGTCATCGCCGGTGTTTAAGACCATGCTCTCTGGAAATTTCCGCGAGGCTCAGCTCCCATTCAGCAAGGAGAGCCCACCAATCCTGAGGCTGCCTGAAGACGCTCCTGGGCCTACAGGCCTTCTATGTAGGGTCCTGCACTACGACAATGAGGCCCTACAGGACGTCTCGTTTGACGGAATATACGCACTTGCAACTGTTAGCGATAAGTACGACTACAGCAATGCCATCAAGCCCCTGTTTAGGCAACACCTCTATTCCGGTCGGAGAGAAATCACCATGTACGACTGGATCCATACAGTCAACACCGCATACCTTTTCAATGACGAAGATGCATTCTACCGACTTTCTCAAAGCGCAGTACGATATGTAGACCACAACGCGTTAAGTGGGCTTGCCTTACGCAAGCCTCCTCTCCAGGTGCAAGAACAACATTTCATAGGTGAGCTGTCTACCGCGGTCGTTCATGATTCCTGGATGTGCGACTGACTTTCTGTGTGTCCAGATTGGCTATTTGACCTGTACAAGGCCAAGATGGACGAGCTTCATCATAGTTGCCACAGAATCATTTGTATGCTTCTTGGGGTGAGAAGTTCACAAGCCTCGCAACCGTTTCGCCTCATGGAAAGATCCGACGACAATGACGACGACAAAGTGGAAGTTCCTCGACTCTGTGTTGGCCAAGCCATGAACGCAGCAAACCTCTTTGCGCGTCTGTGCGCGTTCGGACACTGCCCTGGTAGACTGAGAGTGTCGGTTAACCGTGCACTTCGTGACCTTGGGAAAGTCATAGACTCATTTGGCACAGGCAACACTTCCCAATGTGCGCCAGAACTTGAGTGCGCGCCATGCAGCATGAATTGGACATGGCACATGCGGGAGGCAGCTCGAGAACTGGAAGAGTACCAGCCGGGAGTTTGCCTACGCTGCTTGAAAGCCTCCGTTAGGATGCCGGACTATTGTCCTCACACGTCGATGCATGATCTCTTGTACGATGCGTACTGGCGGATATCTGGTGAAGATCCATCCTCCTTTAATCCCTGGCAAGGCTGGCAAGCCTGAGCTGTGGCTGTGCGATCCTGAGTCGCATAAATTGGCCCCCTGGGTTCCCAGTTCGGAACATCCAAATTCCGGGCTTCCCACTCGGTTATTGTTGGTTCAGGAGTCGCTTTGAAGGCCACTTTTCCATCAGCCTACCTACATAGTACTATCTGAGACAGGTGCACCGTACCTCAATAACTGTACTGTATCATTCCATTCAACCAGCAATGTGCGGCCTTGGGCATGCCGTTGAGTGCGATGATATCAATAACCAAAATATTCCCCCCCGGGTCTGTCTTCTTCTGGCTTTAAACTAAATAAGTTGAGACGTCGACTTGGCTGGAATGTATTAATGTCTTTCTAGAAAAACGCGCCAGGTCTGTATTTACAGTTGACGCGGTAATCAGATTTCGCCAATATAATGCCGCCCAATCTACTGTACCATGGTCGTTTGCTGTCGATGAAATCAGCCGCCGAGGATGAAAGCAATCTTGTTCTTTTCATCCGACATCAGCGCGCGGCTGAGAGCTTCCGGCATCTGCTTTGGTCCCGGAGAGAGTCGATCGCGGACTTGGTCAGAAGCCATCTTCACCTGCGCAAAGACGATGGCTGCACGGTTCTCACACCTGACTCGTGGATCCAAGGCGGATTCAATATTTGTGTCTTGATCGATATCACAGTTGGTGGTAGCCCGACCAGACTTGTTTTCCGGTGTCCCATGCCCCACAAACTAGCGGAAGCCCAGTATCCTGGGACAATCGATGAAAAGGTGCGATGTGAAGTCGCTGCCTATATATGGATGCAAGAGTACTGTTCCGACATTCGAATACCGAGACTCTATGCCTTTGGTTTCGTCGATGGTAGTCAGGTTCGTCGTCGAAGCTCTTGCTTTCTTTCGGCGTTAATATTTACTCACACGTTATCGTGACCCGACCTAGTTTACCCATATCAAGCAAGCACCCTTTTATACGCGTATTTCGCGATATCTCTGGAGATGGATGCACCGTATCCTAGGTCTTCCGCTCCTCTCGAACTACGCTCCGACTCAGAATCGAAGGGTAGTACCGGCCGTCCATACACTTATGGCGTACATGCTTCTCGAATATATCGGCCCGCAGACGGGTAAAATGCTTTCCCTGACGTGGACGGAGCATCTTCACGACTCGATGCGACGAGCTCGTCTTTTCCAAGGCATGTCCCGCATCATACTTTCACTCGCGCGTCTCCCACAACCGACTATTGGATCCTTCGTGTTCAACCCGAGTGATTCCACCATTACATTGACGAACCGACCTCTGATGTGTAACACGATGATATTCGAGCACAGCGGGACTCCGCGAACCATTCAGCCGTTCCAAACATATCAGGATACAGACAGCTTTGTTTCGGATATGCTCACGCAGTATGACAACCATTTACTCCATGATCCTCACGCGGTGCGGGATGAGGACGATGCCCGCGAACGCATGGCCATCAGGACATTACTTCGAGCCGTGTCGCATCATTTCATAAATCGCAGTCAACGAAGTGGTCCTTTCATCCTCCAACTGACCGACTTCCATCAAAGCAATATCTTTGTGGACGACGACTGGAATATCACTTGCCTGATCGACCTTGAGTGGATCTGTGCTCTCCCCGCGGAAATTCTGTCAGTGCCGTACTGGCTTACGAACTGCAGTATCGATGATATCATTGACGAACGGTACGACAAATTCAATGAGGCGCGACAAATTTTCTTGGGCATCATGGAGGATGAAGAGGCCAAGAATTTGCAGCATGAGCATAACAACATCCAGCTCACAAGGACAATGAGAGACTCTTGGGTGTCTAAGCGAGTGTGGTTCTGGGCCTGCATCAGATCTCTCAATGCCTGGCCCTTTATATTTGAGGATCATCTTCTTCCCAAATTTTCCGCCGACAGAGATTTGGTGGCCAAGGTGAAGCTGGTGTCGACCGTATGGCAAGAGAATGTGGAGCAAATTGTGAAGACGAAAGTTGTTGAGGAAGAGAGGTATCAGGAAGAGCTTCGGCGCCTTCTTGAAGATGATGAAGGACTAAATATTACGTCTTGAGCTAATCTCGATGACAGATAGAGTCTTGCTTACCGTACCGGCTCACTTCTTGTCTTGGGGTTCCTTTTCTTTCTCTTTCTTGTCTTTATTCGCGGTGCGGCGTCTGTGCGCAGCCTCGCCTGACGAGATCACTTGGCTTAATTGGCCTGCATTTCCTTGTACTCCATACTGCGCCTCCTAGCTACCTGTACTAGTAGTGGTGCTGCCAGACTGATGATGGCCACCACCACCCGAACCCTGATCTAGTTGATTATGAGGATCCCACCACCCGCCCATTGCTCATGGAGGCCTCCTGGTACTCAACACAGACAATCAACCAGGAGGGCGCCTGATACACAAGTTGGACAATCAGGCGGGAGTACTCTTTGTATGCAAGTTGGACGATCAGTATAAAGGGCTCCTTATAATCGAGAGAGACAAACAGGCAAATAGGCAGGGAGGACTACTTAGATACATTCCTGCCTCCTAGATCGTTGAGAATGATTATCACTCTTTTACAACACATCACTGGCTTCATAGTTTCGACTGATCTTGACTAGCGCCAGAGTCTGCCATTTTATACTACTAGACTGGTTGTTAAGAACAAGAGTCTGGTATGATAGTTCTTTCTGGTGGGAGAATTGGTTGCGAGGAGTAAGGTAAGCAATAATGGACCAAGACTTGGACACGACAGACCGCTTCATTTATAAGTAAGGTACTTTGAGTCGTTGACTCGTATTCGTTTCTCTTTCTCCAGAGAGCTTACTGGTGGATAGAGTAAGTATGCAGCCCAGCCAGATACCCTGTACGCATGAAGTGAGGCATTGTCCGGGTACTGTTTGTGGGCGAAGGCCCAAGGCATCCCAGAGAAAAATATTGCAGGCCCATCAAGTCCCTCCCGGTCCTTCTCAAGATAGAGGACAATTTCACCAGATATACAATAATGAGTAGAGTCACACGGGTGGAGTGTACACTTGTGAGAATATCCCAGACTCAGATGGAACCATTTGATGTTTCAAAGGAGGCCTATGTACACAGTCTAGGTATGTTAAAGTTGTCAAAGAGCAGTTGATCAACGTGTTGGAATGTTATTGGGTGCCTTTTCAAGTTGTGCGCCTTTTATCTTTGTTCCTACTACAGGTGCAAGGTTTTGGTAGGTAAGGTAGGTATGCAATAATGATGATCTGGCTCAATACCTAATGACGGTCCTTAAGAGGGCTTGTCTATTGATTGTTGGCTCAATGACTGTGTATCTGCTAGAACGACGGACACTGCAGCATAAAGTAATCTTCCTCCGGCCACACGACATCGGAATGGAATGGGTCTCAGAGTTCAAGTTTCGCAGCTGTACCACCCTATACTACCTGTACCTACACAGTAATGTGCCAATACACTAAAGCCATCCGCATTTACAGACACTGTCCCCGCCGACCAAATCGGCACCAAGTAGAGCAGCGTTACTACGACAGGTGCCCGAAAGCCCTAGACTCGAAGCCTTATTGCAGCGATGCCACAGAGAGAACCGACATAGCACGTTTCGGGTCAACTCCTTTAGGCGGCCAATGTTCGACCTGCCGCGACCCGGGAGTGTCCGTGGGGACAGTTCAAATTGAGAATGTAAGGGGATCGCTACCATAACACATTTTTCTGATTATTTTAATACGTTCTAACACATTCTTCCAGATGGATAATAACTTGAACGCCGCCCGCTGATCACAGGTGGAAGATGATGGTCATGGGTTATGACTTTGATGATGACTTTGATGATGACTTTGATGATGACTTTGATGATGACTTTGATGATGACTTTGATGATGACTTTGATGATGACCACATTCCCTCAATAGCTGCTCCGTTGTTTGTTTGGGCAAAGCTAAAATCGCCGGAGGCCGTTGCGAATTGCCGTCCTCATAGCTGGGATTGAATCATACCACGATAATGGCTGGGATCGCTGTACATCCATGGAATTTAAATCTTGATTCAGATCGTTCATCGACTCGTATCGTCCCTCCCAACAACCCATGATTATGCGGCCGAAGCGTAGATTTTCCACGGACGGATAGAGTCGTTGGCGATACTTGTCCTCGAGGTATGACATTTTTCCGGCCTGCGACATGTGCTTGGTCTCGTGGTAGAAGGGCGGTGCGCCTGTCTCGATTTCGAACACGGTACAGCCAAAAGCAAAGATATCAGTTGCCCGGCTAACAGGAGGATCATCTGGAAACTCTGGTGGCCGATAACTGTACTCGTCATAGTTGGCCAGGGCCTCTTGGTCGTCAATTTGAGAGCCCCCAAAGTCCAGCCACATGGCAACATCGTGATCATCTCCGGAGATAATAACGTTGGCAGCGTTGAGATCGGCGTGTATGATGTTGTTATCATGCACGTACTGCAACCCACAGGCAAGTCCGCTGACGCATTTTTCTTGCCTTTTATCTGAGATGTCCATGTCACGGTCGCCCTCTTGTAGTATCTCTCGCAGGCATCGTCCAGCCTGCAGAACAAGTGTTCTGTCTTCAAGTTGGACGTCAAGCAATTCTACCACATTGGGGTGCCTGCCTAGTCGCCGCAGGACATTGCATTCTCGGTGGAAATTCTCGTCGTTGCCACGGTATATTTTTGCGGCTCGATTGCCAGTGATGATGATTCTAGTAGTTGACCCCTGAACGTGCTTCGGCGGTATTTCTCAAGTCACCGTACCACACAGGTTTTTTGATCTGTTGGCATGGATATGATGATGACCGATTCCGTAAAGTAATACAGAAGCATACCTTACCACTGCCGCCAAAGCGGGGCGGGGAATGCACTGCGGGCCTGTTCGACAAGCCGTACCTAGGTATGGTTGAAATGCCATGTACAGTTGTAGCATTAAACTTGAAGTCACCCTTTTGGAACGCGCGATTCGGCAGTTTGATTGGTTCTTGGCATTTACATGACTACCTAGAGTCGGGTGTCAAGCATAACGCGACGAACTCGTGATGCGTTTGCAGAATGTGTCCACAGCACACAACCCGGATCCAAAGAGATGACAGAACGAAGTCTCTGCCGCCGCATAGAATGGTAAGTCCGTCACAAGATTAGTCTAGGTCAGAAGGAGGGCAATCACGAGCTCCAGATTTCAAAGTAACACGTGTGGTCGACGTGGTGCCAACGTAGATACAGGATAGAATGGGAAAAATTGATGACAAGGGTGGATCTAGTCTAGTCCATACACGCTGGCCAAGAATGGACAGAAATGTTTATGTATGCTTTTCTAGCCGCAAAAAGCAACCAAGTTGCAAACAAAAGTGTCTTTCGCCGTTCTAGTTTCGCGACGTGACGTTCCAGCCAAGCCGGGGACTGGATCTTAGGCATCAAATAACATAGCGGTACAAGGGCGACTTGTCACCCAAGTCCAGTAGTTCGTCTGCACAAGCGGGACCGTTAGTATCATCATCAATTTTCGGTTTGGAATCGATGACGGGTAGACAGTGTGTGTGAGGGAGAGGGAGAGAGAAAAGGAGTGCAGAAAAGTGGTTGTTTCCAACAACAAGCAACAAGCAAAAAGCAAAACTCACCCTCAGAATACTTTGCTCTGATTTCCTCCTCATCCATCAAATCGCGCCTCTTATTGAGCATACTGTAAGCGATCCTCAGGACGAACGTGGACGCAATAGCAGCAGCCACAATGCCCGTAGCAATACCATAACCCAACCAATAATGCGGAGCCTGCTTCGCAATAAAGATATTCGAACCAATCGCACCACCGAGGTTTCCGATCGAAATGAGCAATGCCATCCCAATAGCTCTCTTCCACGTCGGAGCCAAGTTGTTGCCCACCCAAGACAAACAACCAATCAACGGCGGATACACTCCGGCAGGGATGGTGAACAGAAACGCATAAGTTAGTCCAGGCAATCTTGGATGCGGAACAGCTAGGAGGCCGATACATCCGATCAGAGCCATGGAAAAGGGAGCCACGATGAACGGCCACCGAGTGCGATGGCGATCGGCCAAGACCGAAAAGAAGATCGTGGAAATCACGCCCAGGAAATAGATAGGGATGGTGAGCAATTGGGCTTGCGCGGCAGTGTAACCTAGGTCCAGGATGATGCTGGGCGCGGCATATGTGAATGCGTATAAGACGATACTATTTCCCCAGTAGATGATGACGGCAAAGTAGATTTTCCAGTCGGTAAGGGCCGCCTTAAGGTATCGCCATTGGAAGGGTTCGCCGGTGCGGACTTTGCCTGCGGAGGTGCCGGCGTCTTGTTCGAGGCGTCGGTTGATAAATGATTTTTCGGTGGGGGTTAGGAAGCTTGCGGTGGCGGGAGAGTCGGGTAACGTCCAGTGAAGGGTGAGGCCGATCAAGGTGGTGAAGATCCCTTCGAGGATGAAGATCCAGCGCCAGCCGCCTAGGCCGCCTATTCCGTCCATTTTTTCAATGGCGAATGCTAATAAACCGGAAAAGGCGCCTGCCATGGACGCGGCGGAGAAGAAGATGGAGAGTCGGGTTTGTACTTCGAAGCGGCAGTACCATGTTGTTAGGAGGTATGCTGGAAGCACGAAAAATGGTTAGAATGGGGGGATAAATATGGCTGGCGCTGGCAGTGGTTTCGATAAAGGAGAGAGGAAGGGAAGAGTTGAGTCGTTACTTACTTGCAGCAGGAAAAAATCCGGACTCAGCTAACCCCAACAATGTTCGCGTGATGATGAGGCCGTGGTAGTTTTGCACAATGCCTTGAAGAGTCATGACCTACACAACCAAAAAAGGGGGTGAGAGTTAGCATTGATAAGAGAACAGAACAGAATGTCCTTCGGGAGGAAATATTACATACCGTCCCCCACGAGACCATGAGGATACAAATCCACCACGACGGCCGCATCAGCTTGAGAACGATATTGGACGGGACTTCAAAAATGGCGTAGGGAAAGAAGAAGACCTGTGGGTCAGTCCTGGTCAGCCGTGCCATCTAATTTTCAAATGGTTCGAATTGTCGAGAATGAGGGCTTCGTTCGTACAGTTAATGCCAGGTTATATTGTGTTCCCGTAAGTTTGAGATCCTTGTTCATCCCGGCGACTTTGGCGTTTCCGATGTTGCCTCGATCCAGAAAAGCAAGCACGTATAATAGTGTCAACATTGGTAATAGGCGGTAGTCGACTTTGCGTAGAATCCGCTTGGTTTCTGCATCGTCGTATCGGGGGAGCTAGAGAGAAAAGATTAGGGATTGATTTGGGGTCTCTGTGATTTTTGTGTTCTTGCATTTGAATCATCAAGACCTGCATGTTCGCCTATGTCTTGCTGTTCGACGTGGATCGGTTCTCCCGTCTCGACCGAGCTGGTCTTTTCGTCGATCGACCACTTTGCCATTGCGACAGATTATATTTTGATTCAAGGCAAGCCTCGACTGGACAGGGTTCGGTTCGGTTCGCGGCGGCTCGGAAGAAAACACCGGAAAGAAAGGGAGAGAAAGAGGTGCTCAAGGGCGAGGGCGAGGTGGATGATGGATGAAGAAACGGAAAGGACATGGACAGGGACATGGAGGCTTTTTGTTTACCGAGCGGCCATGGCCGTGATCGGCACAATACAGTGGGCGGTAAAGGATTGACAGACGGTTAGATAGATAGGCGTACGCAGGGCAGTCGGAGAACCAACCAAAGTGTCCCGACGCGCGACGCCGATGAACACCGGTGAGCGTAGAGAGTGTCACTGGCACCATAGTAGTCATATGGCAATGTGCAAATATGGCGGTGGTTGGCATGTCACGCCGAGGGATGCCGTGGCTGGCCGATACACAACGGCGACTTGGGATCCAATGGGAGCTGATTACCCGACTCCTGATAACACAGCAGGTTGTACCAGCCGAGCCTCAACTTCAAGTCTGGGGGAGAGATCGGTACTGATCGCCACTGGTGGCTGTTGGGACTCCAGCTTTGTGGGGTGCTTTTCTGCGCAATGCAACAGTCAGAGATGCTTCAGGCCGCTACTCCACGGGGAAATGGACAACCTCAGGACCAGATTAAACTGGATGTGGTTTAAGAAGATATAAAATTGTGGGGGAGAGTGGCACCATCCACGTCGCCTCACGCCTTTAATTCCGCGCTTGCAACGTGCACTCGCCAGACGACTCGACAGATCCAAGTCCTTGCCACAAATACTACCTTGTCCTCAATCCGCGCCAGTGTGCTGTCAATTTAGTCTCAAAAGCATGTCCCCTGCAAGGCAGCAAAGATCCTGTTCGCCATCTGGGAACTGGGGGAGATCCATGCCCCATACTCTGTACTCCATCCTCCGTCCGAGTTGTTGCCGAGGTCCCATGGTTCTGTTGATACAGCGAATGCGGGGAACAAAGAAAGTCCCAGGGAAATGTCCGACAGAACAAAGAAAGGACACAAAGAAGATCCAGGTGGCTTTCAGGTAGTGCTGGTGAACGGTGAACAGCGTACAAATAAGTGCCAGCTACTAGAACAGCAGGACAAAGAATCCGGAATCACTAAGCTGGCCAAGCTTCACAAGCTTCACGAGGCTGCCTCATTTCAGGGGCTAATCGCTGCCTCGTCGTCCACTGCATGCTGTACCTCTGTCTATCAGTTATACTATGCTAATATGTGACTGCCCTTTTGACAATGGGCCCAATGCTGCCAGTTCGCATTGCCTCCACGAATGTGAATGAGACTACCCGAGGTAAGATAAACGCAGTCAGAAACACCGACAATCCCCATGGCATGAAGCACCTCGACCAGGCAGTTGTTGCCAGGCATTCGAGCCTTAGAACAACCGTCAAAACTCCAAGTCCCTTTATGGCACATTTAAAAACTGCCTCATCGCTGCCTGATACTGCCCCGTGAAGATGCCGCAAGTCACAGAGCACCGAGCTATATATTTTCCCACAACGAACAGATGGAGCATTCAATTCTTTCCATCATCCTCATCCTATCCATCTCCCATCCACTCCGATCCCAGAACAACACCCAAAACAAACCCCAAAAATGCCATTATTCCAAGTCCCAGAGCCCTACCTCAAGCAAGACGGCGTCGTCTCGTGGGCACCTGAAGGAGACACATTCATCCGCGTGATTCCCAACGGCCTTCTCCCCATCTCACCCAACATCGAAACCTTCCGCGTCTCCAGCACAGCACTAACCCAACGCTCGTCCTACTTTTCCGCTCTGCTCGGTCCACGATGGAACACCAGTGACAACGGCACCGGTAAGTCCAGGTACAGCCCGCTAATTCTCCAAGGCGACAGTCTCTACGGGATAGCCATATTCCTCGCCCTCGCGCACGACATTGACCTATCCTCACAGGAAACCAACTTCACCTTCCGCAACATCAAGATCATCGCGCGCGTATGCGACAAATACATGTACTCAGGCCCCACCCCCTCATGGATCACTAACCCCCTAAACAAACTCCTCACCATCCGCCCATCCCGGCTAATGTACCACCACGAGGGAAGTGCAATGTACCATCTGCCCGACATCATGGTAGTTGCATCGATCTTGAACCTATCCGAGATCTTCACAAAAGCATCCCGACACATGATGTGGGTGTTACCAGTTCCCCCCGTCGGCGGCTTTGATGCAGAGTGCACCATGACCGACCTTTTTCGACCCAACTTTGTCAGGAACTTCCGCGAGGAAGCCGAGCGCCTCAGCAAACATCTGGTGACTCAACTTCCAAAACTGTTGTGGCCGGATCCTCATTCTTCGACACACACAGGCCGGTGGTGGTGCGAAAACTGCGCTGCCATCACGCACGAGGAACGATGGAATAGAGAACTCATTTCAAAATGCCCCTTGGACGACTCCAGCATTTTTCTCATGAGTCTGGGTGATATTGTGAGTACTTGGCTCAACGAGATCCCGTCTTTGGATGATGCTCAGCACTCGCCTGGCGGTGGTCCAAGGGAAGAGTTGCCCTGTGGGAGATTTCGATTGCGATACGCGGATATCAGCCTGGAAGAGATACATATGGATTTGTATGCTTCCATGGGTGGCATGTGTATGCATTGCTACAAGGCTGGTGTGTTTCGGTATGATGTCTTTTGTCAGACTCATAAGATGTGTCTTGTGTTGAACTAATTAGCTGGTCGAGAACTGACTGATCGAGAACCAACTGATCGAGAACCGACTGATCGAGAACCAACTGATCGAGAACCGACTGATCGAGAACCAACTGATCGAGATACAGACCCACAGTGAACAAAGTGGACAGACATGGTGGACGGGGAAACAGATTCGAAATCAGCAGGCTGACTCGATTTCACTTCCCGTTTGGAATGTCCTGTACTAGCAGTTGAAGCTGCAGATTGAATCGTACTGATTAGTAAAGAAGCGAGATAGAATGTTAACAAGAACTGTTTTATGCTCTCCATGGTCTGATACTCTCTCATTGTTAGTCTCCCCCTCGGTGACTCTAAATAATCGACTCTTTGGTCTTTCTCATTGTGATACCTCCTGTCGGTAGTCCTTCTGTCCCAACTGCTGTGTGTCCTCGTAATCGTCGTTGCTCTCGACTTGTGGACATGAGCCACGACCATGGCTGAAGCGAGCACGAATCAAAAATACGCAGCTGAAGATATACAAGTCAGGGGTCCGGAAACTGCAATGTGTCCAGGACTTCTCTTTTCAAGAGGAACATGATTCCTCGCCATACTCATTATCTATCTAGTGAGCTTCATATCTTCATAGCTTGCTCTGCGCAAGGCTTGGTCCAAATGAACATTAAGAACTGACCAAAGCAACCTTTTCTTTTCTAGCCAACAAAGAGACAGAAATCTTCGAATCAGAATCACCTCCTTCCTCGGAAGTAGTCGTATCCAGTGTTCATCTCTTCGGAAGGTGTATGGCCTCCACTATAGTTGTAATCCCGGTAAGGAATTGTGTCGCTTCCCTCTCGACCGTCCTCTTGCGTCTGCCACCGATCAAGCGACATGAACTCTCCGTTCGGTGTTCTTATGTCGCCTACACCATGCAACAGATTGGCTCGGTCGTCAGTGATGTCACTGTAGTAGCCGTGTTGTATGCCAAGATCACCAGCTTCGGGAACTCCAAGTGCAGCGGCTCTGATTTGAGGGGGAACATGAGACGGGTCAACCGGCTTTCTATGGACGCCAACGCCATGGTATTGCTGTGACAGACGGGGTGAATGACTGCCTCCTCGTGAGCCCTCTGGGGAACTGTATTCTTCCTTTCTCGTGGAATGGACAGGGGTCTGAGCTCGCGTGCTTCCCGGTGAACTGTATCCTTCTTTTCCTGTGTACACGATAGGCGTTTGAGGTCGTGAGCTCTCTGCAGAATTGTATCCGTCCGTGCCCCCAAATGGAATCGGCGTTGCCGTACGAGAAGGCGTATCCCCTCCTTGGCCGCGGAAGTCAGATCGGTTCTTGTAGAATTGAAAGTCTTGCTGGGCCTCGGGCACGATCTCGAAGGGCACGTCTTGTACCACCTTTCCTGTATGATGCATCGGCTGCATTGCAATATCCGAAAATGCCATAGACTGTCCGCCCTCGGAGTTCAGCCGGCCTCGGTAGACTTGTCCCAAGACATCTTTGGCCTTTTCGTGAACCATGGGTGTCATAAGTGGCTTGTAGAGGGCAGGATGCCCGAATTTCGATGAGATCTTCTCCACCTTCCTCGGCTTTCCGTTCGAAGGAAGGCGTTCTGTGTCGTGCATGCGACCGCGGGCGTAGTATTTCAGGTCCAGATCAAAGGTCTTCATGCAGTATACCTTGAACCCGATCATGATGAACAACAATGGCACAAGGGCGGCGACCAGATCCCAACCTCCCCGAGCCTTGACAACCACGCCAATAACAACGTTCGAAAGGATGGTCGCAAAGACGATTCGGTTGAAGATAGTCACCCAAAACTGGCCCCCAGATTCGGTTTTGGTGACGAAGACGTACATCAAAAGGTACTTCTTGCAGACAGCATCAATGGTGAAATACAATGCCGTCACGACCAGCACGATCGGCTGAAGCGTAGAGTAGCAGAGCGCCACTGTTGTATAGAACAAAAAATAGTTGTAATAACTGGCATAGTCAAATGCCGGTGGTGCCGTCCATTCGATATTCTGTCTGGGCGTAGGAGCCATGAATGTCCTAGCAAACCAGACACAGGTCAAATGCCAAAGTTGAGCCAGGTCTGCAGCAGCCCCTAGGTTGCGTTGAAGGATCCAGGTGACCCAAAATGGCGAGATTTGGCAGAGTGAAGTTGTGATGACCAGGAAGAAGCGACCCTGTCGCAAAGATGTCCAAGTGTCATTTCCCTCCCGGTTGTATTGGATCACAACGGTCACGTACTGCCAAATTGCAGAGAAGATGGAAAAGACGATCAGGTTGTTGAAAGTGAAGAAGCTGTACAAGTTTCGCAGCACATGTCGCTCGCGTTCGGTTTTGGTCACGTCACCGGCACGAATTTGCAGTCGTCTGAAGATGATGGGTAGCACCAGGTAAACCAGTGAAGTGATCGCCGGAGCAGCGATACCCTGAAGAATCGCCCAGCCTGTATGGTGTGCCTGCAGCGTGTTTCGGAATCCTTTCCAAACGAGCCCGAGATTCGAGAAATTGGACAAGAAGACGGCGATGCCGGCGTTGAGTGGTGTCCACAGGATGGTGAGCACAGTGATCCAGACAGCGTTCATCACCGATTTGTTCTTTCTGCTTCCCCTGGATAACTTCAGGTTGCTCCAGATGAGGTCATTTGGTCTTGGTGCTAACTGGATCCTGGCGCCGTGAGGGCGCTTACTCCTAGCCAGATATGCCACAGTATGTGCATCTTGGATCTCATCCCAGCTTGCAAATCCGTATGGCATGGGATCACGGGTATCCACACGTTCGCGAATGTAGTTGATCTTGGTTTCGAGTTCTCGAATGCGGTCGGTGAGATAATCGATTGCATCAACCTTCCCGTTCGTGGTGGGCCCCTTGTACTTGCTGGGAGCCTTCATTGTGGGCCGACAAGGAGGGAGTCGATCTGGATGTTTCATGTATTTGGCAAGCACGGATTCCAGCTCTCGGACAGCCTCTTCATGCTCTTCAATCAGGTCTGGGAGGATCTTCACATTGCGCCCAATGGTTGTCCTCGGGATAACGCCTGTCGGATTGACATCCTCGATGACCCGTACAATGCCTTCATTGTTCCGGAATTTGGGTGGAATATCTCGAATCAGGAGTGTTCGTGCATGAAGGCTCGCCTGATACTCGGGACTCTCGAGGTATCCTCGTCGCAGTTTGTGAACACGTCGATAGTTGTGCCATAGGAAGTATATTATCACGACATCGATCACCCATGCCAGGACCACTTGCGCCCATAGACCCTTGCCGAAAATGAACAAAGGCGTCATGATTGCAAATCCCGAGGATCCACGAGACACCGCTTTGTTCCCCAGCCCAACATTGACGGGGATCATCAGGACCAGCCCAAGGAAGCCGAGGACGACGAAAATGTTGCGCAGCATGCGTGTAAATCTTAAGAAGATGACCGCGTCCATCCCTATCTTTGCCACCAAAAAGGGCTCGTTCGCGGAAGTGACAGGCTTGACCCAACTGAACAGGCCCTTCCCCAGCGGAGGAGGTGCATGGTCTTTATCCGAATTTTTCAATTTTGGAGCGTAAACGATGGTGTTTCTCGGACGCATAAAGCAGAACAGGAGGGCGAGGGCGGCACTGATGCCTATCGAAGTCGCAAGGGACGCCCAGAAGGCATTTGTTTGCAACTATCCCATGTCAGTTCATGCATTAAACTGCTCGGGGCAGCACCTACAGAAGCCTGAAAGGGGTTGGAAAGTAATTGCAGAACCTGTTCTCCCGTCGACAGCCCCCCGTTCGTGTTCGTCTGCCCGGTTGTTGTCTGTCGACGGTGTATTGTTTGAAGAACATCCATTCTGACCGAGTCAATGTCTGTCACTGCGAGGCACGAATCTGACAGTTGATGGACATAGTATCACCCCCAGCGGTATTGGAAATCTTTTGACGAGCCTCCGTATGCTTGCTCTTCCTTGGTCGAAGTCTAGTGTACTAAATGTGCGGCTTGGGCACAAAGAAGACTGAACAAGGGTACAGGGTCGAACGTGAGCGTTGAACGAGTGACAATGGAAGTGTTTAAGAGGCTTGAAAGAAGTAGATAGAACTGTCGAAGGCTATTGCATGCAGGATAGCAGGATTCTTTCCAATCGGGCGCGTCTGAGGATGCAGTAGTAAGCGAGCGATGCTTTATCTTCTGGTTGAGACTGGCGGTTGTCAACAATGAGACTTTTGGCTGCGCAGGGACACGAGACACTCACCGGCCTCGATCGAATCCTCGCAGAAATGCACCGAAACGGGCGATGATGGAATGAATGGCAGCCAAGCAGCGTCAAGCCACCTGCGGTCTACAACAACCACTCGATCTGCTTTTTCTGCTCCATCTCGCGGTGCTCACAAGCTTGCATCCTTCGCTCCAGCACTACAACAGCGCTACACCCGAGTTGACGGTGGCTATGCCTGCCGATGCACAAAGGGACCGTGAGGGTATGAGAGACAATTGGAGACATGCTGACGAGGCCAACGGCGCCCGCCAACAGCATTTTTCCCTGCTAAAATCCGTCCCCATCAAGCAACTCTCCATTCGTCAGGTCTCAATATCCTCATCCATCAACCGTCATCTTTCCACCAGAGTACAACCACGGCAGCAGCGAACACGATCCCACGTCAGGCCTTCACTAGGTCGACATTCACATATTGTTATGACGGCTGATACAGGCAAGACATATCCACCTGGAAAAATACTCTTTTTGCATTGCAACAAGGAGCATGTCCGTGATAACTCGCGATAATGCCGTTCCACTCCTTGACAAAATGGCCCATGGATAGGCATGATATCCTGGCGGCTTTTTCTAGCCTATGCAGCTCGACCCTCACACGACGACATCCCGAGCACAGTCTCTCCACCTCCTAGTGCACCCCAGACCCAGAACAGAAAAGTGGCCTGGACCTCGGGCTAGAACTTCAATAATGGACGGGTTGAACGGAGGTCAGGAAAAAAAGAACATGAACATATTGTGCCTTCAAGTTTTACGAGCGTGCTATACCGTTGGGTTCAATCTTCTGATTTCTTTCCGGTCCTCTCTGCTCAGACCAGCCTGTTCCAATACCCAGCCAATTATCCCATTTTTGGCTTCGCAATATTCGTCGACACTACTCCAGTCCCGTTGGGCCAACTCCAGCTTGGTTTTTGCATATGCATCCCTAACATTTTTGTCTTTACGGCAGGTATCTCGCAGTGCGGGCTGATTTCGAATGTATCGACAGTGGTTGACAGACTCATACAGATGGCGAGCTGGGAGAACGCCCAGGTTTTCGGAAGGTATGACGATCTGGGATTCCCAGCTCTCCCATATATCTGTACCCTTTTTTGACATCAATGCCTGAATGGCAGCGTCGACATCTCCCCATTCGCTGATCACGGAGGGATCAGTGACTGGTTTTGCCGGTAAGCGAGGGATGCAAGTGCTTCTCAGAATGCATCGATGGTGATAATACCGCACTTCCTGTAGGATGCCTTCAAGTTCCTCTTTGAGCATTTGGAATTGCACCGCTCATTCGGGGTCGTATTCTTCCACGACAACATGCATTTCGAGCTGGAATAACAGGAAAACTAGAAGCCAGCAGAAGCCGAGCGCCACTGCCAGTGTGGCAGAACTCCGGTGTCAATTACATGGCTTATCTTCTATCTCCCCGCATCGCAAAGGCGAAGCGATGATGTTCCCTCTTTGTTCTAGTTAGCTTAAGCGAAGGTGTGCTTATCCGATCGGCGGACAAGATACCATTGGCGATTTGGTCCCGAGGCGTTTCTTCTGCCGTGGCTTTCACGCCAATAGAAATCCGGATCCTTCGGAGGGCTCAGTTTGACAATGCAACCCATGCCGGAATACAGTGTGTACAACATTAATTGTATACCTAGGCAGGTACAGCAGTAGTGGGCACAAGATGGGAATCCCTCATAATGCCATTGTAATCATTGATGAGCTTCAATGGCGACATCGGAGAATTGCAATCATTAGCTTGGCGGCTATTGTCCGGCACTGCATAGGTAGCAAGTTGCTATTGAGGCCTGTATGGGACACAGATTCAAGAATAGACGTTGATAGATACAAAGGTACCAGACCGGCTACCGTGCTGTACAGGGATTGTCATTATTGTGCAGTCCGCCGCCAGGCAGAACATCCGGTATTCAACTTGGAAAAAGGGACTGTGCAAACGGCTACTGCCCGAGTCCCTTACCCCGGATTTCTCAGAACCTTTTTCTTTTGTTGCTATAACTTAACAATTCTTCTGCCTGTGAATCCGCCCACAGCACTGCACCCCGGCCCTCGCACACTGCAACCCCCGGACATTATCCAAAGTCATGACAAGCAGACCGAGTCGTCGGACATCATGGAATTGACGCTCGTTACTCAAACCCGTCCGAATGCCTGATAAGCCAGCGACGGTCGTCGCTTATGCGGCCGGAGCCTCACTTGCAGCAGTTGCCGCATTCTACGTGTTCGGACCGACGTTTTTTCTCGACGGCGAGAACTCCTACAACACCAACGATGGCCGCAAGCGTACAATTATCGGGCTGGCCAACCCGGCCAACGACTGCTTCATCAACTCTGTTTTACAAGCCCTCGCCGGGTTGGGGGAGCTGAGGTTATACCTCATCCGAGAACTGCATAGAAGACAGCTGGAAAACCAGGAAATATATGACATGCCACCGGCGGACTTGCGAAAGGGTGAAAAGGCCGAGAACATTGTCAGTTTGCAGAAAGGGACCGTCACCAAAGCACTAAAAGAGATGTTGGATGCTTTGAACGAAAGACCGATCTACAAAAAGACCATTACTGCACGACCCATAATTGAAGCGTTAGAACGGGCTTTTCGGACACGGATCAGTCGCAACCAGCAAGATGCGCAGGAGTTTCTGCAGATTCTCCTTGAGAGACTGTGTGATGAGTACCATGCGGCGCAGCGAGCACGCCTAGCCTTGTCGCGGCCGCCAACCAACGGTCAGCCCGGCGACCAGGAAGCTGTCGAGAAACCTGCGGGTTTGACTCCAACCTTGAGCGAGGTGACGGTGGGAACCAGTGATGGCTTCCCCTTTGAAGGCCGCATCGAGTCTCAGATTCAATGTCAGCGTTGCGGATTCAGGACGAAGCCCAGTGCCACGACTTTTGTGTCGTTGACCTTGAATGTGCCGCAGAAAAGCTCGACCACCTTGGATAATTGTTTTGATATCCTGTTGAAAAGTGAGGAAATCGACGACTTCAAGTGCGACAAATGCAGACTCAGGCATGCCTTGGAGTGGAAGACCAATAAACTCGCCGCCGCTGTGTCGGAAACGGACCGCGAAACCCTAGAAAGAGATATCTCGTTGATCGAGCGGGCGCTTCGGGAAGATCCTGAAAAGGCTCCTGACGGCGTCATCCTGCCTGACTCAAGCCTTGCGCCGAAATGCAAGATTCGAAAATCGACCCGTATTACTGTTTTCCCCAAAGTTATCGCTATTCACCTTTCCAGGTCAGTGTTCGATCCGGGAAGCTATTCTACCAAGAACATGGCCAAAGTGGCCTACACCCAACGACTGCGTCTTGGCGGCCTTCTCAACGAGAAGTGGTACAAGCTGTTGAGCGTGGTGTGTCACAAGGGAAGCCATAACAGCGGGCACTACGAATCATTTCGACGGAATCACTTGTATCCGCCGTTTGCAACCCCAGATCCTTTCCGTGCTTATGCGGATGCCAGTCGCAATCTTAGCACGGTTTCTTCCATCAATGCCAGCCCCAGCATTAGTGCGATGCGTCTCAACGGCACCAACACCCCGGCTGACCCCAGTGATGAGCAATCCAGCACCTCGCTGTCTACAACTTCACTGGGCCCAAGTACGGCAAACAGTAGACCGACCTCGAACGGCATGACTCCAGCCTCGTCGCCTCAGCCACCGGCAGCAGAGGGATTATTAGACATGTCCGTGGTCGAAAGGACCGATACACAGGCGTCAAAACCCCAGATTCGGTCGCACGAGACCACAACCACGGGAAAGTTTCGCCGACGGAAGAAGTCTAATGATCGCTGGTGGCGCATCTCAGATGATAAGATCAAAGAGGCACGCACGTCTGATGTCCTGTCTATGCAACGAGAGGTATACCTGCTATTTTACGAGTTGGAGCGGCCTGGTGATGATGCGATGGATTGAGACGATGACGGTCCCCGCTTGCAAGATTTGTTGACTGCAGTGGTTGGGGGTTGATTCTGCTGGTTCAACCCAGAACTGTAGGCTGACCGGTCGGGATGCATGTTTCAAACCGGACTGTGGTGGCAGTCAACGGGCGTTTGGGGATTCTATTGCATTGCTGGCCTTGGATACGGGCTATAGCTGGATATTGTCGGTACGCTCATGGTATTAAAAAAGATTACGAGTGCATCTCCGAACCAAGAACCGATGGGCTACAACTAGCGTTCATGCCGCATCCGAGGCAACGGCAGCGGCAACGATCACAGTAGCCCTTTGCCTACCAGAGTAGATGTCGCACATCCGCCTTTTGAACGGGGGCATCTCGGTGCCTTTGACCGAGAACGTGGGGAAGTAGCATGTTTAGGTAAGTCTCGAGGCGGCATCCCGTGAAGTCCCGGGGGCGGTGGCATTCCTTAGGTGCGCTTAGGCGACGAGAAGCGATCGATGGAGAGGCAAGTCAGGGAGAAACCGGAGGGGCTGGTGGAGGAGAGGAAGACACAGAGTCCGGTCGGATTGGATAGACATGGGCGGATGGGGAGCTTCGAGGGGCCAGATCGGAAAATGGGTGAAGGACGAAGAAGGCCGAGAAACAGAAGCGCAGAGAGACGGAGAGAGTGAAACGCGGAATGGACACTCTGTAGTACTGCCACTGCACACAAACATTGGCCGCAACACGAGTCGCAGCTCCTTTAAAGTTATGTCATTGCCCCTCCTCGCAGCCCACGCAGTCTGACTACTTTTCTCTCGTCGTCTCGAAATCGATTCTCAATTGCCATAACATTCGTCTTCATACTTCCTCACATCCTTCACGAGCTTCGGTCTACTGTAAGACTCCTTTAACTGTCACTACTGCCTGAGCTTCAGCCTAACCGAACGAGTTAGAACTTCCTCGAGCTATCTGAATCCAATCCAACTCTTACCCCAACCAAAACATAAACCTTGCGCGAGATCTCAACATGGGTGTCAAGGACGTTCTTTCTCGAAAGGAGGGTGTTATCACCGGTGATGATGTCCTGGCTCTGTTCAAGTATGCCCAGGAGCACAACTTCGCCATTCCGGCAATTGTATGCTTCTCTTGTCCCGACATCGTCAGTCTCAGTTACTGACCACCATGATTTAGAACGTGACCTCTTCCTCGACTGCCGTCGCTGCTCTCGAGGCCGCACGAGACAACAATGCCCCCATCATTCTCCAGATGTCCCAGGGTGGTGCTGCATACTTTGCAGGCAAGGTTTGTGAAGCTGTAGCTGTTGGTCGCAAGGTGACGAAGCTGACCGCAATTGCAGGGTGTTAAAAATGACCAGCAACAAGCATCCATTGGTGGTGCTATTGCGGGTGCCCACTACATCCGATCCGTGGCCCCCCTGTACGGCATCCCTGTCGTCTTGCACACCGACCACTGTGCGAAGAAGCTCCTTCCATGGCTCGACGGCATGTTGGACGCCGATGAGGCCTACTTCAAGGAGCACGGCGAGCCTCTGTTCTCTTCTCACATGATCGATTTGTCCGAAGAGCCAGTGGACTGGAACATTGAGACCACTGCCAAGTACCTCAAGCGGGCGGCTCCTATGAAGCAGTGGCTGGAGATGGTATGATTTGAGAAGTTTTCCTCAGGGCAGAAGAGCACATGCTAATACGGTTTATAGGAGATTGGCATTACGGGCGGGGAGGAGGACGGGGTGAATAATGAGTCTGTTGACAACAACTCTCTCTACACTCAACCCGAGGATATTCACCAGATCTACACCACCCTCAAGAAGATCTCGCCATACTTCTCCATCGCCGCGGGCTTCGGGAATGTTCACGGTGTCTACAAGCCAGGAAACGTCCGTCTCCACCCCGAGTTGTTGGACAAGCACCAGAAATATGTCAAGGAGAAGGAAAGCACCAAGACCGACAAGCCTGTCTTCTTGGTCTTCCACGGTGGTTCCGGCTCCTCGAAGAAGGAGTACACCGATGCCATCAGCTATGGTGTCGTCAAGGTCAACCTGGACACCGACTTGCAATGGGCGTACCTGACCGGTATCCGCGACTACATCTTCAAGAAGGCCGACTACCTCAAGACCCAAGTCGGTAACCCTGAGGGTGAGGACAAGCCAAACAAGAAGTATTTCGACCCACGTGTCTGGGTGCGCGAGGGTGAGAAGACCATGAGCGCCCGTGTTGCCGAGGCCTTGAAAGATTTCAACACTGCCAACCAGTTGTAAATGGCCAGCCACTGCAATCCAGGGTCTGAAGTTTTGGCTGCAAGGCGAGTGTTGATGCTATGACTGATGCTGTTGGAGAGAGCAATTGCGCGTCAGTCGAGGTCTTAACCTTGCACCAAAACCTAGGTAAACGGACAAGTCAACTGTAGAAGACAGTATCAGTATCAATACCGATCGTATGGTTTAGCTGCGCTTGGATGAATATTAGTAACCTCGAAGCTACCGCATGGCACTCCTGTAGTAACTGAACGACGACGTCCTCGGCCACTGTAGCTCAAAGACGGCGGTCGACGAGAGCCTGATCACTCGGTGAGGGGGCTTGATGTTGAAGAGTTTCGTGTTGAAGGACCCGGATTGGCCATGTAGCCGCTTGTGCGATACGCGCCAGGTTCCCAACTGTGAAAGTTAAAAAGCTACTGTCTGGTCTTTGCTGTCGGAGATAATTAAAGTCAGCAATTCTAGAATCAAATGCTCTTCTGAATTGAAGCAAATCCGTAACTGACCGCCGCCGACACCTGGGTAGACATTTGACTCCGAGTCTACTATCAGGTGTTTCGATGTTTATCTTACCAGTAGTAAAGTGTCCTGTTTTAGTTAGTCGTACAGCAAACACTATTTCATATCTCTTCCCAAGTTTAGACGCACGTATACTATAAATGAGCAGGCTTGAAGCCTAGTAGACAGACACCGGTTGTAGTCTACTTAATACCTCTCTACCCACAGCCCCAACTCACAGCACTGGCCTGGCTCCGTATCTCATAACTCCTGACGCTACAGTACCTAGGTAGGTTGCAATCAGCACAAAAGACTAGCCCAACACTTCTACACCGTCTTGAAAGCGACGACGCGGCTCTTGACGACTTCCTCGTCCTCTTCGATATCCAGCTCCCTCAGTTCGCCGGAGCCGACATCATAAATCAAGCCGTGGACCTGCAAGCCTCGCTCGTGCATGCCATCGATGACCACCGGGTTGGCAAGCAGTTGCTTGACACTGTTGCGAACGTTGAGTTCGACCATTTTCAAGCCCCGCTCGACCTCGTTGAGACTGTTGAGGAGGGCGAGATTGTCTTGCCGCAGAGCCCGCAGCGGCATCAGCCAGGTGTCGATGAGGCCGAGCTTTTTGTTGTCCAGGGCGGCGGCAATACCACCGCACTGAGTATGTCCGCAGACGATGATGTGCTTAACTTGGAGGTACTGGACGGCATACTGGATGACGGACAGCGAGTTGATGTCGGTGTTGACGAGGATGTTGGCGATATTTCGGTGACAGAAGATCTCGCCGGGCTTCAGGCCGAGGATGGTGGTTTCGGGACACCGCGAATCAGCGCATCCGATCCACAGAATCTGTGGAGACTGGCCTGTGTACTAACTAGTAAGACATGACCACTCCGAGAGGTGACGGGAGAGATCGATAGGGAAGGCAGATGAACGATAATGCGTTGCACTCACCTTTGCTCATCTGTTCAAACAGCTCCGGCTCCGTCTCGGCCAGCGAGCGGCGCCATTCGCTGTTGTTGTTGAATGCTCGCGCGTAGGCATCGTCGGGGGACAGGTTGGCTACTAGTTTCCAGTTCCGTTGGTCAGCCACTACTAGCCCCCCTGGACCCGTCACACGTATCGGTGGTTCTGACGAAAACAGAAGACCGGACTTGGGATCTGATCTCAGCAACTGAGCCGGCGTCACGTCCGTCCCCAAGATCTCGGGCCCTGGCCCAATAATCTGATCTGTCACGTGGGCCCGGTCCAGAGACGGTTGGGTGGGTGGGACGAGCTGAGGTTGAGAGGGAGGGTTCTAATGACGCAAACGCACCTGAAGGCATGATGTCTATCCTCGCGTCTCTGTATTCTTCTGAGTCGTTGGAGCTCGTGGTAGGCGTCGCAGTGTGCTTGGAACAATAAAGTCGACGGAACGAGGTGGTAGAAGATGGGATTGACGACGATAAAAATGACGGGACACCTTCGAGCAGGGATGGGCGATGCTTTAGGCCAGAGCTTCGAAATCCCGGCTTCGTGGCCCGCTGTAACTGTAAGAACGAGCCCTGGTGCTGGTGCTGGCAAAGGCTGCGCCTCAGGCGGACAGGAATTGAAGTGGTGAGATTAGAACGTGGTAGCGAGGAAACCGGACAGCGCATGTGTAACTTGGACAGAGCCAGAGGTGGCATGAATCCTCAACGAGGAGAAGAAAGAGCGAGGCCACTTCTACTCTTTGTATGAGGCTGCCAGGATCGACCTTTTGGCTGCCTCTCAACAAACAATTTTTTTCCGCATGGTGTTGGTGATGCAAGATCGGATTGGAGAGACGGCGCCAACGTTCAGATTCGGGCGCCAGCTACGGTGCTTTAGGCATGCGGGTGGGTAGCCTAGGGGCGCCCTTGACCAGAATAGGCGTGGCAGCCGCCCGGACGTGTTGAAAATAGCGCTGGCCCGGGGAGGCTACGTAGGGCTTCTCAGGGCACGCACGTCACTCATGGAGACTCTTGCCTTGGGCTGCTGGGGGAGACTCGGGTCAGACAGCTATCACTATCACACAGGCGTCAGAGGCGTCCTTTTCGTTTTCGTGGGCCGAGCCTCGGGCTTCAGACGTCTCCCAAAACCCCCCTGGCTCATCCCTGCCACACCCAACACTCTCACCGTGACTCTGGGGCTGCCATTTACTGAGTGAACGTTGTGGGACGGTCCATCGTCCTGCTGATGATCGATTCCATCCCGGCAGATCGTGACCCAGCACATCAGTTTTGCTTTTTCTTATCATTTTTACTCCGTCACGATTGGTCATCGCTGTACTTCATCATTTCCTGGGTTTGACACTACCTAGGTAATCATGCATATCTGCACTTGTGTGTGGGTTATCATTGCTCCCTCCCATGTTGCTTCATGTCTTCATGAGCCAGCCTGTCGACTGGCACTCGATCCCGTGGAGATAAACCCCCTTGGCCCGAACTCATATCTCAAGGCCACGAACTACCGATCAAAAGGCCACTGCAGGCCGCCGAGTCATCCGCTACTACCCGCGCTACTCATTCGTTACTAAGGCAGTACTTGATATGCTCTAATATGTTCCTCACCTGAGCCCCTGGCATTGATGAGTTGTTTGATTTCCAGGGGATCAACATGGGCGAGGCACTGGTCTACTCTCGCATGGCCCCCTGCTTGCAATCGACCTGAAGGCGGTATCCTGGCCAGCTGTGCTTCAGTAAATATCAGTCCATCCGGGGCATTTCCGCATTCTCAGAAGCATGCTATATATGCCACGTTCAGACGACGCCGGGCACGAGGATGACGTGACATGATGGATGCCGATACAAACGAGGCCGTCGCGTCCATGGCTCGACACTGGTCGAATACGTGGTCGAATCCCTCCTTGGATGTGACCCATACCGTGACAACAGGTCTGATTCATTCTCAAGGTATAGCACGGACAGCTGGGAAGAAACCACACCTTGCCCTGTCTGGGCTACAACACAGATTCTGAGCCGCTGGGGCGAGAATCATGCTCAGGGCCTCTCCCATCGCTCGCTGTCAATGGCTTCGCGGACCGTGGCATGATGTGTCAGGCTAAACACCATTCGCCTGTGAGCGCCTGTAGCGCTTCATCCGTCGGACCAAGTCTGTACGGCCTTCCAATCGGACCGGAACCTTCGAAAGTTAAGGCACTGGAACAGCTGCTAGCTCTTCTCCAGTATCGAGGCTAACTATTGTGGCTTGAGGAACAAGAAGAGCAGCAGAATGGAGATGTTTCACTGTTCCGCTATGAGATATGTTATTCCGCCCATCGATATACTGCAGAACAACGGCGTCGATATCCCAGGGCTACCCAAATAGATAATTCTGAACACGTTGATTTCGGATCAAAGACGCCTGGGGTGGCATGAAATGAATGGCACCAATGGCAAAAACCACTGCACAAGCCATCACTGCGATTTTACACCATTGATATCACCCTCGAAACCACCAAGACCATTGTCATCGATCACTCCCCACCACTTGTCCCAAAGGCCTTTGGTAACCAGGGTGGTGGGGTCCATCTCTGTCTTGCTTTGCAGGTACTCACACACGGCGTTATCTGCGTCCCCTTCGGGATCATAATATAATATTCCCGGAACGCTCGTCGGGGTACAATACATCTGCCACGACCGGTAAGTGGGTGGCAACAGATCGCTAGGATAGATGATGTTCCGGTCCCAGGCTTTCACCTCGGGAGCAGATGCTCGGTTTCTTCTCTCTGCTTCCTCGCCCACGGCCATATTGATGGTGCCAGACACAAACGAGGCCTGTTGTTTGGTCCACGCACGAGGGATTCTCTTCTTTTCGTACAATCCAATGGCTTCGGACAGGCTGATGGTACCTCGCACGACTTCGCCAATGACAGTGCCCAGGAAAGCGCCGTCTTCCATGGCCGTGGCTGCTCCTTGCGCCTGTTGGGCCGTGTCAGTGACATGTCTACTTTCACACTTCACTAGGCTTACCATGTGGTTTTGCATGCAGTGCGCCGCGTCACCCAGAAGCACAACATTCTTGTGCTCGTTTGACCATGTTTTCATAGGAGGCAGTACGAGCAAGGGCCACTTCTGCGTGTAGTTGACCAGCTCGAGGATCTTGCGTGCAACAGGATTCCAGTCCTTGTATAGCTGCCGAAACTCGCCGATCTCCATGACTTCAGGGACCTTTACGATGTGGTCCATTTGAAACAGTGTCACCACGTTCAACTCGGTGCCGGCTGAAAGAGGGTATAGCAGGATATATCCGTTCGGACCGATCCACCCATCCATGGTGTTTCTCAAGAGTTGCCTAGCCTCTGGCACCTGAGCAAAGACCTCTTCATAAGACAAAATCCCTCGGAACGCTGCAACTGTCGAAGCAGCCTGAGGGACAACATCTGGGAAGAGGGTCCGCCGGATGGTTGATTTGATGCCATCTGATCCAACCAGCAGGTCGAATGAATGCTCGACGCCACTGGTTGTTCGAACTTTGACCGTGTCTTCGGAGTATTCGAGGGTGTCGACGCGGGAGCCGACTTTCATCTCGACGCCGTGACGACGGGCAAATTCGGTAAGTCCTGCATGCAGATGGTCTCGACGCACTAGCCTGCAACGAAATGGCCCATTAGTAAGTGAGTTTGCCTCGGTTTTGGTTGTGGTTGCTTCTTGCGGCTCTGCGATCAGGAATGGTGACCAGCGTTGAGGTAGGTGATGCTTTTGTCTTACCAGTGTGGAAACCCGGCCTGTTTCGCACCGAGCTTTGGATCAAAGCGCGCAATCAGTTGATTGTCTGCACTCCAAGTATTGATTTCGTCCACCAAGATCAGGTTTCTTCCAATCAATTCGTCGACCCCCCATCTAATGAGCAGCCGGGACACATTTGGAAACACCTGGATTCCCGCTCCTATCTCACCGAGCTCTTTTGCAGCCTCAAGCAATGTGACCTTTGCCCCTGTCCGGGCGATTGCGATTGCAGCCGTGAGACCACCCAGGCCTCCACCACAGATGCCAACATGAAGCTTCTTTTGGGGCATTTTGGCTGGAAATTGGAATCTGTTTCGAATTAACTCCGCTTACAATGAACGGAACTACTGTTTCCCTGGTGTGGTAACAAAACAACGGTTCAAGTATAATTGGAGCGGGCTTTTTATTTCTGCACCCTTTGATCTTGTAGCAAGCAGCCTTATTAACTTCTCCTTAATGTTGCGTGTACAGTATGGTTTCTGCTGATGTTTTTAGGTCTGTAATACTCGGCCGGTTATCCCTCGGTTACCTAGCTTTGGGTGCCCAGCCCGAGGCAGCCCTTCGAGGGTTTGGTCTGGATAGTCTATGAAGCACGAGAGCGAGAGCGTATGCGTGAGTAGGTAGTGTTAGGGTTCGTGCCGGATACCCGTTCGTGAAGGAGATCAAGGAGGTCTACGGAGAACTTGAATCCCGACAAAGAGAATCAAGCGTTGATTTTGAGTCCTATCTCCGTCTGACATACAGTATGTAAATACCCACTTGTAATAAGACCCTCGGGCGGCACCAACCATCGGGTCTGGTAAGCGTAAGCGCTGTCCCCATGTCAAGAAGGGTTGAATATATTGCGGGGAAACCGGAAACCTGGGGGGAAGCGCCACAAGGCTGAGGACTTGAGCCTCGGTTGAGGCAATTTGAGGCTGGAGTCAACCAACGTGAAGTCTGGAGAATGGGTAATTCTCATTCTGGTGTCGGCGACGCTTGTCCTTGTCACTGCTCTCACGGTCGTAGTTGTAGTTGTATGCAATATGTGATCACGTGACAGTCTCTGTTGTTGACCCGGATGATTATTATAGTACGTGGCTGGTAGCGGGATCGGAGTTGAAGTGGGTGGATAAGATGGATGACTAATGATCCACACTTAATTTCGACCTTCCGTTGATTGAGGAATCGGTGACCATTCTCACATGATTTAAAGTGTCAGCGATCCAAGCATCATCCTGGCGCTGGTCCTGGTCATGCTGTAAAGCCAGTGTTGAGTGCTTCGAGTCCAGTTGTACCTTAATCACATGTCCCTGAGGCGACTGAGCGGCGTCCACCATTTATTGCCGACAGGACAGGTCCTCGTAAACTCGTTACCAGGTCTTGAAGACTTGCCTTGCCAGTGGCCTTGCTTCTTCTTGGGCCCGGCTGTACATACGCTGACAGGACAGTCTTATGATGGCCATGGGACGCCTGTCAATTCTGAATGAGGTTTCTGTTGTGGCTCGGCCGGCAAACAATCTTCCACGGCGAGTGGTTCAGCATCAGCATCGAACACCAACCCCACTTCAGGGGCAGCGGGCACATGTACTAGTACATCCGTCCCGACCATTTTGCTCCTCAAACGTCAACATGTCGACCAACAAAGACTGGGATGCAGCGCAGTACCTGAAATTCGAACGGGAGCGGACCCGACCAGCGCTAGATCTTTTGGGACAAGTACCATTGACTCTGACTCGACCGCCCGAACGTGTTTTCGACTTGGGCTGTGGACCGGGAAACTCGACGGCGGTCTTGGTGGATAGGTTTCCCGACGCCCATATTGTGGGGATCGACAGTTCACCGGATATGCTTGAAAAGGCGAGGAAAAGACGGCTTCCCGGTCGTGTAGAGTTTCGGCTGGGCGATGTGAGTGATGTGAGGTCCTTATTCGAGGACAAAGACAAAGACGAGGATACCGATGCGTCAGCTCTAGGTTCAACTTCTGCTTCAGCCTCAGCCTCAGCCTCAGCGGACCTTCTCTTCTCAAATGCCGTCTACCACTGGCTGCCGCACGAAAAGAGACTTGAAATATTCGCCGAGATGATCAAGACTCTGAAACCCGGTGGCGTATTTGCATTCCAGTCTCCGGACAATACGTCGCAGCCTTCGCACGTTGCGATGCGGACGGTCGCTGAAGACGAAAAGGGGCCCTGGCATCAGACGTTGAAGCGACTCGGACTTCTGGGGAGGCCTCGCCTACCTTTTCAATCGCCCGAAGAGATATATAACAGCCTCAAACCTCTTTGCTCGGATATCAATATCTGGCATACTTTTTATTATCATATCCTGGACGACCACAAGGCAATTGTGGAATGGGTCAAGAGCACGGGACTTCGTCCGTACATTGATCCTCTGGACAATGAACAGAGAGAAGCTTATCTGAATGCTTACCTGGAAAGAATTCAACGGCTTTATCCAACTCTCGAGGATGGGAGGGTGTGTCTTCCTTATCCGCGTCTGTTTGTCGTTGCTGTTCGAGCTTAGAGCGTGAGCCGGAGGGTGCAGCCAGTGATGCAGCGGAGGACAAAACAACAACTACCTGTGTCTGGGAAGAGACTAAAGGCGTGGAAGAATCCTTGAGATGCCCTAGCTGGTACTATAAGTGGTGACCCAGCACTGCAGTGAATACCACCTGGTCAGCTGACCTTGGGGGCTGCGCTCCGAAAATTCAAGGGTTACATTTTTCGACGACTAAATTCCTACCAGCACTGACCAGCCTCGGCCTCTAGATTACTGCATCCGACACCACCTCGGGGTGGCGCAGTGGTATAAGCCCTGAACAACTGGTGTCCATACCTCAGCAGAGAGTGTTGTGACTCGAGAACGGGTGCTCGGAAAAATCTCAGCCTTAGACCATGGAGGGTAACAGCTCTGTGCAGGCCGGGGTTTCGCTCCCTTGGACCTCAGTGGCCTGATCAACCACTGGGCTTCAAGGTTAAGTTTTTGTTTCTTTTTGGGTCGATTCTTGCCGGCTTTTTTTGTTGTTTTGCCCGTGCTGCAGAATGTGCGCGGTGAAGACGAGAACCGGCTTGGTGTCAAGGGGAGGGTTGATTCGGGTTACGAACGAGGAGGCCTCCGGCGCGAACGAAGGAGAGTCACGTTGGGTGAGTCAGGAGTGGCTGCTGGCTGCATTACCACCTGTTCAAGTTCCGTGGGAAGACGCTCCTACTACATCCATTGGAAAACAGTCTCCAACGTCTGATCCGGGAAGCGTTCTGAGAGCTGGTTCAGCTTGGCTCCGGACGTGGATCTCGAGACTGGAGCGGAGGGGAACAAGCTGGCTACTAGGTGTTGGTCCATCCTCCATTCCAGACGCATCTTGATGAGTCAACCGCAGCTTCCCGGGGGTCCCGGTATTGATACAAATCAGCCATGGACCGCATCATCTACACTTCCGCCAGAACTGTCTATAAAATTCGCTTATCAGCCAAATCCCCGGAAACCCAGTACTTCGGCATGCCCTTACGTCGTCGGTACGATCGGCTTCTGGTTCGTTCAAAGTTATCATGCCAGTCTCCTTTGTCGGAACGGTCTCCGTCGATCCGCGTGGATGGCCTGGTTCGGTTGGCATTCTTCCAACCTAGCTGAGTTGCTTTGTCAGCGAACAGATGCCCCCACACAGGCACGTCCCCTTTTCAGGGCAGTCTCGTGGCCTAAAGCTCAGGCCAGTCTATCGCACCCGATCGGGACAGACATACAGTCCGGTCTATGATGCATGTGTACTTCCCCATCATGCATATACTTGCCCAGCTGCCAGAATGGCGCTTTCGCAACATGCTACCGCCCGCTGTGACGACAAAATACACAACGAAGAAACAAATTGTACTTTTGCTATCCGCTTGATATCAGGCCACAGCTTCACCGTTGGTATCATACATGATGTGATACCAAGCCCACCATCCCGTCTAATACCGTCAACTCCAGCATTAATTTCTTAACTCCCATAGTCCTTGTTTTGCGCCGTTGCTGTTGTACAAGATTCCAGCCCATTCCACAAGTTTCGAATCTACCTTTGATGGATGATCCCATCGCCTTGCGTCTTTGTTTCTCAGAGCATCCCATCACGCTTGAACCCCAACAGCAGAGTTGATTCTTTACCCCGTTCGTCGTCAAGGAGTAAGTCAAACAGGACAAACCCACGGCATCGGTGGCAACGGATCTCTCCTCTCTCTACTCCAAAGCAACCGCCTCTCACAGAAACTAGGCGACTCCGGCCGTGGATCAATTCTCCAGATTCTCTGGACGTCAAGATTCCTAGCGAGCTGCGGATACTCGATCCACTGCCAGACGCTGTTCCAGCGCCACGCTTGGTCTGAACGGGTGAACAGATAGGCATCCGGATTGAGCGTTGCAGCCGCCGCGGCTTGGTAATAGCACCAATCAAAGACGTTCCCCGCGTCCTCTCCAGGTCGCAGAACGGCGTTTGCAGCCCAATATTCCGCCAAGTGGGAAGTTATATGGTTCCTCTGCGTCCTCAGCCAGAATCGATTGGTTCCGTCGATCACCGAGTAGGCGTCTATCCCGCTCCTCATGAGATACCCCAGGATGTTTAGGAAGGTCTGCGCTCGCTCTTCGGCCGGTTGCATGGGCAGGTTGGTGTAGAACCAGACTGAGCTTTCGCGTGTTGCTCGCCCTGCGTCGTGTCCGTCTCGGTAGTGCGATACTAGCTCGTACATGGTGGGAAGGCGGAAGTCGCAGTCCCATTGGAGTGTGTGCTCGTTCCAGATGCATTGGCGGCGGTGGAGGTGGAGGTGGCTGGAGTTGCTGGTGGTGGTATTGGTACTGGGAAAAGTAAGGTTGATTGGTGGTGTTGTGTGTTGCAACACTGATGATGGAACGGTTGGTACAGTGGCATCTTGTGTCGCGGCCATTGACGGCGTGTAGGGAGGAGGCATAGGTGGATTTGAGATGGTGTCTTGTTGTACCCATGCTCGCTCGAACCATCGTGCTTGAACCATATTGGCCAGGCTGACGGCTAGCCAAAACAAGAGAACGATTTTGGCCATGGGAGCCATACTTGTGGACTCGATCTGCCGGCGAAGTGGATGTGATATTGTATACCTATGGATACAATAGTCCTCTCGTCGGTATTGACTTGACCAGGCTAATAGAGCCTCAAGTCCTTGCCCTTCTGTAATATATCAAAGGTTAAAACCAGTCGATTTACAATATAAGGTATTGGACGTCTTACATACCAAGTCCGTCTACTACGCACGATCTTTTGAGGATTTGAAGCGAGGTGATGGCAAACGGCGCGATTGATGTCGAACGAGGCACTGGCACTGCAAACGCAGCGAAAGAAACCGGAGTCGGGGACAACTAGAAAACAACGCGGATAGTTCCTTGGGTTTGCCGGGTTTAAAGAAGGATCGAGCGCGTATGTCACTGCATGCGTCTAGTGAATGTCTGATGTTTGTGACAGTTTGACAGAAAACGGTGACAAGCCTCATCAGATCAGGTCTGTGGCAGTACGGAAGTCAAGAGAGGTTTGAACGTACTGTACCTCGACCTAGGCTGAAGCCATTAAACAGGCCAGTCGCGTACTTGCTTGCACATACTAGTAGTGAATTGTAGTGAATTGTAGTGACAAGAATCATAACAGTCATACCACATACCTAGGTACTTCAATATCCATAGCATTGGCACACCCGCACACAATACAATATGCACCACATATCACTTGGCTTTGTCATTCTCTTGCAGTACAGTCACCTCACAACAACTCCAGCTCGCCCCGTTCCACACCTCCCCTTACATCTCTCCACCTCACAACCCAAACCTCGCCCCTTCTCATCCTCAACTCAACCGTGGCTCCTCCTCTCTTATTTTGGTCATCTTGTGACAAATCATCAAGATCTCGCTCATTGTTCCACACGCCTTCACCTTCGTCTCTGTTTCTACCTTCCGCAAGACACCGCACCACCACCGCAGTATCCGCATCAGGCCGTTCAACCATCGGCACACCACCCGTCGAATCATCAAGTCGTCTCAACGCGGCTGGAAACGCATTGAGAAAGCTGGCGCCGTAGAAATCAGAAAGTAACGCCTGTTGAGCACGTAGGAATTGTGCTTCGGCGGGACTCAAATACCCATACCCACCTCCGCCACTTTCTGCGCCACTTTCTGCTTGTTCCAGCTGCGCAAGATACCACCCAGCATGCTTGGTGATCTTATGTAGTCTCTGGCGCAAAAAACTCCGGACCAAAAACTGCGTGCGGGACAGGTCGGTCTGAAGAATGGAGAGGACGAGGTTTGTATTTTGTGGCGTTGATGATGTTACATTTCTGCTTCTGCCGCCGTAGTAGTCGTTGGTGTTGGAGGCTAACGATGGTTCCGTCATGGCACCGCTAGAAGCGAGATCTTCAATCTTGGTGATTTGGGTTTGAATACGGGCCATCACCCTGTCTAGCAAGTCGCTAGGGTAGGGAAGCAATTCGGGCGCGCAGCGTTCTGATGTCCATGCCCGTGTAAGTAATTGGTGGTCGGTGAAGGCGTCGGTGTCGGAATATGATGGTTGGGATTGCGAGTTGGCGTTGGTAGGCCGCGAGACTTCGGCTAGGATGTCGGATATGTCGATGTCGATGTCCATTTTGCGGTTGGCTGCTTTGTCCGCTTGATCGCCTGTTCACCCAAGGAATGAAAGGAAAGTGGGTAGGCGCTCTCTCTTTCGGTTCAAATAGTATACTGGTTTTGGGTAGATTGGGCTTGAGCACAGGATCCCCGATGGAGTGTTCTGTTCGAAATGTCGTCCTGAATTGGTCTGGCCAGTAGTCCAAATGTCGTTTTAGATTGTGTTGTGGTGTCGTGATCTCTGGTTGGTGTGCTCTTTCTTGTGGCCTCAATTTGCAGGCGTCGTTCGTAACTGGGCCTGCCCAGCCGCCCTGATGTTGTGACGGGATTGTTGTATGTATGGGGCTTTCCTTCAATCGACCCCTAGAATAATTGGTGAGGTGTAAAATTGTTCACAGTTAGGTTCCCGCTTGCGACTTTGCTTTACCGTATGAGAATCACCTGCCACCAGAGTATAAGCGGGCTTACCCTAGCTGATCTATTCAAGGAGCGGCGATGGGTTGACGTTCTACTGATATACGAGTAGTGATGAAAGCCTTGTCCGGTTGACGCAAGGTCCAAAAGGGGCCGAAATCTTGGCACAAAGGCTGAGTGAGATCCATTGGATGCCGCAGCCTCGCCTCGCAGCCTTGCCGATTACGAGTACTAAAGGTAACTCGTGGATAGCACCGACAAACACCCAACCATAATGTATATGTATTCTCTTTGGACCTGTGCAATACCATGCGGATAAGGTAGTCAGAGCGAGGTTCATTGCCTCATTCAATGCCCTGCACAAATCGTAAGGAGATTACAGTCGGTCTCTCCACATGTCCCGCAGTCGCTTGAATTAATCTACATCAGGTCGAACAGTCCAATTCCCTTGCTCTCTGAGTGGTGAACAACCCCAGCACCACTCCTAGCAGGTATCATGATCCCAGTACGCCATGCTACTACTAGTGCTCGCTAGCTACTCCATTTCATGACATCTCCACGGTTTCAAACGCCAAACCCCGCAGATCGTTTTTCAAGCCTCATTTCCATCATGATTTCATCCCCAAGCGGAACTTGAACACACAACAATCAAGCCAAATAATTGTAGGACGGCTTTGCCGGATCCGGACCCCTCTCCAGATATTCCCGTTCGATCAGCGCCTCGATCTTCTTCTTGATCATATTGACGTCGGGCTGGAACCGTGCCGACAATTGTTGCAGAGTCTCGGTCATCAATTGTGAATGCGACAGAGTCTTGCGGGATTTCATAATCCGCACAATGGCAGCTTCAATGACATGGCCACGTTCCTCATCCGCCCGCTTCTGGGTGGCGCGACGTTCATCATTGCTTTCGATCCTGTTCGCCCCACCAGCCACGACACTGACTTTAATCTTGAGAAACTGACTTGAAAAATCTTCGTTGAAGTAAAATTGGTCGGTGGGCTTTATATCCTTGCTCATAGGCTCCTTCTTCAGCATCTTCCATTTAGATACCAAAGACAAAGATTGAAGGTTCCGGATAAGGTCATGTTTTGGGATATTGGTCTCGGCAGCGATTTGTTCGAACGAGAGACTCTGACCAGATGGCAGGTCGTTGAAAAGCATCAATATCACCATTCCGTAGGTCGAAACGTTGATCTCGTACCGGCGCGTCTTGCCACCAGTTGTGAATGTAGCCCTCAAGTCGGCATCTCCAAGGCTGGGCATCCACGTGAGCTTGCGGCCTGTGTGTTTGTCCAGATAAAATTTTTGGAATCGCTGCCGAATTCGGTCCACAGGCGCGGGATACTTGACCTCGGCTTTCGACTCTCCCTCGTTGTCTGCCTTGAACAAGGTTTCAAACGGCCAAACGGTGGTGGTCAACACTCTGCAATCCAGATCAATGCGTTTTGGATCGGGATCCCCGAGTCGGTTGACGTATTCCTTGTATTGTGCACTGAGACTGTCCGAAAGTTCGGTATCTCGGATCAGACCTTCCAGTTTCTGCGTAAACTGACTGCCAATTTTCATCTTCATCTTGGACAGCATCAGTCGTTCCATTTCTCTGCTGACCGATTTCTTCATGAGTAACCGCTTGGCCATATGCTTTTTATAATATGTCTCGAAGAGATCCTTGTTTGCGAGGTATTGCAGCAGAAGTATACCATTGTCGAGAAGAGCATCCACCTCGGCTTCGGTTTTGTCTTTGCCACCACGTTTAAGGTACTCATCGAGGAAGAGTGAAAGATGCTCCGGGCTCCGGTCATTGGCGTTGATAAAGTCCTGAAACGATATCTCCAGAGCCTTTTCCATCACAGCATCTTTTTGGAATGCCTCGACCCAAATGCGGTCAAACTTTGCTTTCAATTCTAAGATTTGCTCGACCCACGTGATGGCGGCTTGAGTCTGCTGGTTGAGGGTCTTTTCCGGTGCCGGCTTTCCGTCAGCGCCAGTCTTGGTGGTCGGTCTCGGTTGGGCTGGAGCTCCGATGGTAGCACTGGCGGTCTTGTTGATGTCCGATCCGATTTCGATGACCCGTTTTTGAACGGCCTCCTTAAGTGCCGTCTTTTTTGGATCGACTCGGGCAATCAGGTCGAAAACAATGGCCAAGTCTCGGACCTTCTCGTTATCCAGCATGTATTTGACACCTGTGCCCTCCATGTTGATCACATCGCGGATATGAGTCGAAATCAGTTCCTTCTCAAGAACTTGTTTGATTTTGTTTTCCGTCACTGGGGAAATCGTCTGTTGACATCTCTCGCTTTCTTCAACCAATCTTCTCCTCGCATGCATACAGAATGTACTAGCATCCGCTTCGGCTAGCAATGCCTGGCCTTCACTTCTGTAAAAGTTCCTGCTCGCCGCCAGGAATTGGGGTTCGAAGGAGGTCAGGTACAGCTTGGTCGACTCGTCTTCATTGAAACTTTCGTACAAGCCCTCGAGCATGTAACAACATGCCCGAATGAGAGGACGGTCGATAACCTCGCCGTTCCGTTCCATTGTGATCATATCGAGAAGCACGGATTCGAGCAGTGAAAGGACATCGGACGTGGTCTCATCGCCGATAGGGCTCCGGAGCACCTGTGTCCTGAACAACGCCATAGCAGTTGCAAATATGGAAGGTCGTCTCTGATCTTGACTATTGACACGGTCCTGGACCTATAAGCATCGTATCAGAGTGTGATTGGTAGAGAGAGGGGACTCACCATATACATGAGCACATCGGTAATCATGCCCATTGACAGTTGGTGATCCGCGAAAGCATCCTTGACGGCGCGAACAAACCGTTCGCCCGCGGTCCTTCGTTCATTCGACTGCGTCCCCGCTGTCTGCTCCAGGGCGTCAACGGTGATGGCCGGTGTAACCAGCGACAGAATCCTGGGCCGGACATTATCTCGCAGCCACGACTCTTCTAGTTGGACAACCTTGTCGTAGAGCAAGTCTTGCTTCTTCTTCAGCACCAATTTGTATGCCCCCCGAAAGAGTTCTTCAAAGGACAGTTTGGAGGCGTTCTTGCTGTGGATTTCGAGAAAAGCAGTCGATAATGTGTCCCATATCGAGTCGAAATCCACATCGTCTTTGGTGAGACCCTATGGCAACGAACAAGTCAGAAGATTGATCAATTGGTGTGCAATGGAGAGGCATCATGGCTGAAGGCAGTCCCAAACACGGCCCGCATGAGATCGGCCTCTCGTTCCTGTCGATACTCTGCGGGATTGGGCAGATACTGTTGTTTCCGAGCTCTGTTTCGAGGGAACATAACTCACCCTTCTAGGCGCCCTGATCTTTCCACCTCGGCCCTTTGCCAACATCTTCACTGCCGCGCGCCGCGTTTGCCCGCACCACGAGAGGCGTCAAGTTTCGTTTGAATTGGAACAGCGGGGAAGTACGCCGAGCGTGTCTGGAGGCTAGAAGAGGCTGTAGGGCATCATTGACCTTGGGACATCTCCTCAGACATGAGATTGAGTCCCACGCCGCGCTCCTCGACCTTGTAAAAGTCCGAATCAGTCAAGGAGAAGTTGTTCAGCCTTGTCCTTGTCGCCTCATCACTGAACTTGAATGTCGCAGGCAAGTCCCCCTTCGGCAAAGTTTCCTCGCGTAACGCGAAAAAGTCCCTGCCAAGCCTGCGTCATACTAAAATAAAGTGACTTGGACTCGGAGTTGAAGATCTCACGCCAGTGCTTGTCTCTATGTGCAGTCTGTCGCAAAGTGACAATAGAAAGATGTACACACTTAACGAACTATAGACCCTCGATAAACCATCGCATCTACATATAACTGTCACATACCCTTTCCGGACACCATGCAACCCTTCCTGAGGCGGTTGGGTTCGCGTCCGCCTCTCATCAAGGCGACATTCCGAACCCAGTCTCGCCTCCAGTCTACGCTCTTGAACCCCCAATTCCACCCCCCTCGACACCAACGGGATTTCCCAAGGTCACCATCACCATATACCTCCTTCAGACGGTGCGAATCCTCCCTCGCTATTCCCGAGGATAAAAAGCCACAACAAGAGGTGGCCAAAGACGTGCCGTCGTACCAGCTAAGCTTCACCTGCAAGCCTTGCCTCTTCCGCTCCACTCACAAGGTGACCAAGCATGGCTATCATCACGGCACCGTCTTGATCACCTGTCCCTCATGCAAAGCGCGACACGTTATTGCCGACCACCTCAAGGTTTTCCTCGACACTAAATCGACACTGGAGGATATTCTGCGAGAAAGGGCCGAGAAGGGCCAGGATTTTACAAAACTGTTGAAAAAGGGAAAACTGGGCATCCGGCCAGGCGCACTCGTCGGAAACGAGGGCGAAGAGGACATTGAGTTCTGGGAAGACGGCACAGAGACCCTCCATACTCCTGTTTCTGGGGCGAAGCCCAATCCACAGCAGCAGCAGCAGCAGCAGCAGCAGCCAGAATCCGAAAAGAGCTGAAGAAGACCAAAAGATGGCGACTGAATAACCTGTTCTGTTCCACTCTGGCTTTGGGACAGTGAAAGGCTGCGCAAACTGTTGCAAGAACAGCAGCCAGGAGCCGCGTTCTAGCTGAGCCAGTGTCGCGCCTCCCAGAGCCAGGCTGACTCCCTTGCATAGAGGCGCGGCTACGTCTGCATGACTCTGGTGGTCTGCTGGAGACCGTAGAGACTTCATCGGGAGCGTCAAGCCTGCACTAAGGTATCTGACGCCCAAGTCCTTTCGTCATGATACTTTGGCATTGCCCTTGGTGAGCTGCTCTGGGTTTCCCCCGTGACCAGGGAGTCGTTCCAACGTTTATCATTTGTATGAAATTTGTTGTCCTCGAGTCTGTCATCTTCTCAGACAACTCTGTCTCAGCCACACGGAAATGGGCCCGTTGGACGACAGGAGAGAGATCTACTTGTGGTGGGAACCAGACGTTGTATATTATGTATTTATACCCAAAAGGCATGAAACTTGAAATCTAATGTAACACGATTTCTCTCCAGCTTCTTCTGAAACCATCCAATTCTCGCTTACCTCAAGCTGATCAATCAGTGTCCATTCAGGACGCACTCTCTAATCAAATACGCTCTGGCTTCCCAGGGGCTTAGATACTGACCAGGCTTGTCCACATTGCTGACCAGGAGCTCCTTATGGACGTGTTCCAACCCAGTAGGATAATGGAGAGGTTGCAGCTCGTCGGAGAAGCTCAAAAAGACCAGAATCTTTTGGCCAGCCTTGACGTCTGTTTTGGTGAAGGTGAAGACGTCTTGGTCAAAGTAGTCCCACACGGTGAAATCCTCCCCAAAGACCATGATGTCTGCATAGTCACGTCGCAGACGGATCATCTTCTTCCAGAAGTTCAGCGGCGAGGATGGGTCCGCCAGCTGCGCGGCAACGTTGACTTGCTCATAATCGTCGTGAACCCGAATCCAAGGCTTGCCAGTGGTGAAGCCCGCGTTAGGCGACGAGTCCCATTGCACAGGCAAGCGGGCGTTGTCGCGACCGACGAGTTGCAGACCCTTCATTGCCTTCTTCAACCACAGCGGATCGTTGTTGTGGCGGACTGCCACATCGTTGTATGCGTTTAGCGAGTCGATATCCCGCAGTTCCTCAGCCGTCCAGTGCCCGGGGTGGTTGTACATGCCAATCTCCTGACCCTGATAGATGAACAGTGTCCCCGTGAGACAGCACATCAATACGGCGAGCATCTTGCACGCCTGCTCACGAAACTCGGGCTTGTCTGTCGCAAAACGTGACAGGCTACGGCCTTGGTCGTGGTTTTCGAGGAACACCGTCGTCCAGGCGTCCGTGCCTCGAATCAAGTCCTGCACCTTTCGGATGGCCTCTTTGAATTCTGGTAGCGTATGCCGCGTTGTATGGTGCTTCTTCGCACCCCCGTGCTTGTTGGTGCCTAGATTGACAATGTCGAAGTCGAACACGCAACTCAGCTCCCGTGCCTCGGCCGACACATACCGGAGCACTTCGGCCGCTTCGGTGTCTGGAAGCTCACCCACCATGAGTACATCTCCGTACTTGTCAAGCACTTGCTCCCTTTGCTCTTTCAGCCATTCATGCATTCGTGGACCATTAAGGAAGTACTGAAATGCGGGCTGGGACTCTTCTCCCGGAAGTTGGATTGTTGCATCTGGAAATGAGATGTCTTTCGAGTACAGGTTGACGGTGTCGACGCGAAACCCATCGACGCCCCTGTCGAGCCAGAATTCCATGGCCGACTTGTAGATCCCGCGTCGAGTTGCTTCGTGCTCCCAATTGAGGTCGGGTTGCTCTCGGGCAAAAAGGTGGAGATAGTACTGGTCCCGTTGCGAACAGTATTCCCAGGCACTGCCTCCAAAGATGGATCTCCAGTTGTTGGGCGGGTGGCGCTGACCATCGATTATCTTGGGATCCCGCCAAATGTACCAATTAGCATAGTGGTTGGTCCGGTCCTTTCGAGATTCAAGGAACCACATGTGCTGGTCGCTGGTGTGATTCACGACCAGATCCAGAATCAGTCTCATGCCCTGGTCGTGGCATTCCTTGATTAGTCTGTCCATATCGGCAAGGGTGCCATAAGCCGGATAGACTGCTTCGTAGTTGGATATGTCGTAGCCCATGTCCTTCTGCGGTGCATCGTACATTGGAGAAAGCCATATTGTATCGACTCCTAGATCTTTCAGGTATGGTAACGTGCTGATGATTCCGCTTATATCACCAAGTCCGTCACCGTTGCTGTCTTTGTACGAAGCGGGCCATATCTGGTAGCACGTACTCGCTTTCCACCACGCTGGCTTCGGCGAAGACATACAGTGCAGACAACAAGACGAAAGACACGATGAGACGTTGGCAGTGAAGGCAGCGTAATAGTAGCTTTCTCCTCCTCCTTTCTCAAGGGAAAAAAGCAATTCAGGAAACTGGAGGTACGCAAAGGCAGGCAATCTGGGAATGATTGGAAGCAGACTGGTCCCAGGCACAGGACGATTTTGACATGACTAGGTATCGGTTGCCCGGCTGAAAGGCCACAAGCACATGTTAGATATGAAGCTTTCCTGCAGTGCGAAGGCTGTCTTATGCTCGAGCGCATCTCGGCCGTAGAGGGCTGCCGTGCGGTGACGGGCTCCAGGATCGGAGAAATGAACCTTACCATTTTCAGTTGGGCTGTGAGAGTCGGTGAACAGGATATGGCGACCCGTGAGGGCTCAACGTTTCAATCCTCGTTCCCATTGCAAAAACAGATCTGTTCGACTCTTGTGATGAGAGATCAGCGGTAGTCTGAGCAATCCAGGAACGGCGTACAATATTGTATGGTGACCATACATCAGTTTCTCCGAGAGAATGTCCGCGGATCAACCATTATTGGTGTCATGGTTGAGACCTCATATCACAGGCGGGTATTGTGAGAGTTGTACAACACTGTACGGTAACAGAGCCTTTAAAACCCATAGGGTATGGGTCAGGCAGCACTGGAGTTTTTCTTCCCAATCAGAAAGATGTCGATGGCGGCACCTGCAATGATACTGAACGAACATTGACATAGGGAAATGAAGAGTAGAAAGGATAATCCTTTCTGGGGAGGGTCCCTGGAGTTTCAAGTTGGTCGGGACGTGATTCACCTGCTCAGCGACTCCGGCACACTTTCCTAGTACTTCTCGTGATCCAACCCCGACACCCTTCTCCTTCTTCCGGAAGATACCTGGTATCGTGTCCAAGGAGGCCAAACAACGAGACGATTACTCATCACCACCCCATATATCCCTAATCAGTCCCCATAAAATCTCTCAAGAAGATGGAATCTTCAATGGCAGTCATGTAAGTTTGAAAGAACCTCGCTAATTCTGGTTCACCGTTAACACTCCGCCATAGAGATTCCAGCGCCCCTACAACCATTTCCCCACCCATACCGTCACAAGTAGCGCAATCTGAGACCTGGGATTGGTCATCATACTTATCATTGAATGAATCAATCCTCCTACATCTCGACGGTACCGCAGTCACAGAGAAGGTTATTGGACAAGGCGGGACAGGCATTGTCGTTGAGCAGGGACAATATGCGCTCAAGCTGCCTCGAATCTCAAGATATACAAAGATTGACGGAGTGCCTGTCGAAGTCGGGTCCTTAACACCTAAGGAAGGTGACTATGATGAGCGCCCTCCTCTTATTGAATCGATCCAGACCGAAAAGGCTATTTATAAGAGACTGGGCGACCACTACGGAATTGTACGCTGCTACAATCTTTCATCGAATGATGTTTCGATTCAGATGGATTTGATGAAGTATGACCTTCGGCATTACCTAGAGGAAAAGCGACCAGATCGAAAGACACAACTATCTTGGTTAACCACAATAGCACATACTATAGCATACATCCACGAACATCGAGTTCTGATCGCCGATATTCGATTAGACAACCTCTTGCTTGACGGCACTGGAGCTGTCAAATTCTGTGACTTCAGCGAATCGGCCTTGATGCCTCTTGACTGGGATCTCAGTGGTACTGATGATCTGGGGTTCTCGATTTTGACCGATATTGGACAGTTCGGTGCGGTAATGTACGAAATCATCACTGGGCTTAAAAGTAGATTCCATCTGAGACAAGAACGGAAGGGGCACGAGGACTTGTACGTTTGCCCACCACGAGATAGCCTTCCCTCCACCGAAAATATATGGTTAGGCTACCTCATCGAGAAATGTTGGACACAGTCATTCCAGTCTGCTGAAGAGCTCGCCACAGAGCTAGATAGGGAAAGAGAGGCCTTGGAGTTTTAAAAAGATTGGAAAGCTTTGGCTATAGGCATATGGCTGCCACTTCATGGAGCGATACCTCTCCGTTGTCCAGTTCACACTGCACGCAGAGCCGGTGAAGACAACAGAAACACATGATGCGTGACGTTGTGGCTGAAATAAATCAGCTTGGTCTGGACATATCTGGAAAGTGCAATTCAACAGCACTGCGTTGCCCGTAGCTGCATCAATAGTGTCACGGCGTGGCGTTGGAGGAAAAGCTGCAGTTAGGCGTCCATGGAGATCCTGATTGTGCAGGACCTCATTAGTCCTTTATTGCAGAAGCAATTATGCAAGTTCAGAGACCGAGCTCGATAGTTCAGTATGGTGAAGAAACAATGCCCATTCCGATAGGTGAGGAAGAAGAATGCGATGTTGCTAAGAGACACCATTACCTTAGCTGGCTTGTATTACTCCGCTCTCAGACGGTGCTGGCGACGGCCTCAGCAACAGTGCGGAGATACAGGGATTTTAGCGTTGCGGGCAGCCAACGTTGTGCCGCTTGGAGATGGCTTGGTGTCACCCGGCTTGCTCTTCCGGCCACCCTTGCTGGAGGCTTGAAGCCTGTTGTTCGAACATCGGAGGACAGAGTCAGCATCGTTCGTATAATATGTCGGCACTCACACACTCGCTAAAGAACCCTGCACTTTAAGCGAGAAAGGAGAGTGCAGACCACCAGACCCCTGCATTGAACACAATAAAGCCTTGCTGACTGAGAATCCTTCGAAGATCTGCACGTCGTTCATCGACGCCGTGTGTCAAAGCCTGGCGGTGTCCGTCATGTACCAGCGCACGATATAACCTGAATGATGAAGAATATCGTACCCGTTGACAGACTCCGGAGAGAGCTTCCGTAAACTGACCCCTACAACCAAAGGATAACGAAGTACTTTTCCAACCGAAGGGCTGAGAGTGCCCCAAGATTGCCTCTGGAGTCAACCGCTACTGGTTGTGGTGGTTGTGAACAATTGTATCCATTAGTTCATGGCAGTCTGCTGATGCGCTGCCCGCCACTTGCAGTTCGCACCCTTGACAATTCAGCGTGCAGTTGTAGTAGCTGGGAAGGGTGGCCACTACGTAAACTCCCCGGGCGGTGATCAGCGCCTTCTTCACGCAAAAGACAGGGTCGTGAAAGACAATGTTCCTGCGCTTCCGAAGAAGAGACATCCAACCCCAAATAGGCACGCAAGTTGGCGAAGGTCTTCACATGTGCACCAAACCATTATCAATGAAGCCGGATTGTGTTGAAATGATTGGAGTCGGACCCGTTTTCCGAGGCAGACTTGGTGGATTCTCCAAAGGCTGGTATACTCTAAATCCAGGCGCGGTCCTCACCTTTCTTTCCAAGCGGCATGCCGCAGAAGACAGAACCATACTCTTGCGAAAGGCTGAAGCCCAAACTCTGGAAAAGCTCTTTGAAAAATCCTGAGTTTCCTGCAAGGGTCATGCCGAGATATCAAAACCGGTCTATCGTCCAGCAACCCTGTTGATCAACGGTTGGAGAGGCTGGTATGCTTTTCGAGCCTTGCCACACAAAGCCTCCAGGCCGTGCAGCCGCAGCGATGGACCTCCTGGGTCGAGGGGCAACGACATCGTGCGGGGGCATGGTTGTGCCCGGCGGGTTCAACGGATAGACGAGGTGGTCGTCAGCAAATGCTGTACGTGATGAAGAGGGCCCGGAAGAGGTGGACCGATAGCTGCAAAGGATTGTCAGAGGCTGAACAACTGCTGTCAGAATCGTTGTCGTGCATTAGCTCGTTGAGCGATCCCTAGCTCCGGGGCTCTGTGGTGCCCAGTGTTGACTACCGTACCTAGCCGACTGTCCGAGCAGATTCTTCAGGCTGCGCAGATGAAGGGCCCCGTGTCGAAGCCTTACAGGTGCCTTGCAATTGTATGGGGGTGCGCCGGTGTAGGATCTAGCTGTATAAAGACTAGCGCATGAACGGAATCTGTCAATTCAAGCCACCCGGAGCGTCCTAGCGGCTCCACATATGCAAACTCTAATTTGTCTTCAACCTCATTTTAAATTTCTTCACTAGTCGCAGTAGCTCAAGACGCTCTGGCAAAGAACCACTGCCACTCCACTCCCTCCTCCAGGAGCCCAGCGCCTGGTCCCCGAGGGCCTGAAGATGAAGCCATCAGAGAGCTCTATCTTGTCCAGACCCCAAGTTGGGTAACGATCAACGCACCAGCTGTGTATTCGCAGCCACCTTCCCCTCTCTGAAGCCTCCGGATCCTGAGGTGTTCGACTTCACCGCAACCGCTGCACGCCGATGCCTTGGGGCACTCAGCCTTTGGAATCACACTGTACGTACAATAACGATAACACCATTGGAACTCGCCCAGGGTTACCCGGGCCGTGGGAGGAACGGATCTGTAAGATTACAAAGTTAAAGAGTGCTGCACACTTTGTTGAGGCCAAGCCACAACTGCAGTTATTTCGGCAGAGGGCCCTGATCGAATCGGTCTGAAGAGCCCCGGCTAGTGGCTCTGACCTACTGAGGTATGGATGAAAGAATACACACAATACAGTAATCCACAGGGATTGCAGTCTTGAAGTATCTCGATCAAGATCTCTTGGCTGCTTGGAGCTTAGTCGCTTCAGGGAAAGTTTGCCTGGCGGCGGGCAAACCTTTCCCACAATGTACCACCAAATACAACAGTGAGCGCGCACCATGGCTCACTCTCTATCGAAACTTCGGATGCTATCCGAGGACCTCGTCCTCCAACCCCTCGCTTCCCACCCAACAAGGCCCACGCCTGCTGCTCAGAGATTTCACCAAAGACGCATACTACGTCGAGCCTCGCCAGAACATCAGCCGAATGCCGCTCATAGCTGCAGCTTACGCGGTATATTTGTGCACGGGCTGGCTCGCCACTCGCTTCCTGTAAGCAGAGTGCGGTAAGTAGAGGCAAGGATCTCGACCTTGAAATTACCCAAAGGGTTGCTTGTACGAGCATTACAGGAACGTGTGGGCGAAACGCACTGTGAGGCTTATTACTGTGCGCTCAGGAAAGGTACCCTACATCTGCCATTACTGTTCTGGCCTGGCGATGACCACTGGACCATGATGACTGCCGCCTTCAAGATACAAATTTGGGATGTGCATCTCACAAACCCCTGCCGAGGCTCAGCTCTGGGGTGCAGTACCGTCCACTACTGGGCTTTTTTCGGTGAGCAGGGATTTCAAGTGCCAGCCAGGATATCAGATCGAGCCAGTGAATTTGAAACCTCACGGGATGGACTTTACAATTACTGTTCTTGGACGATATCATGCAGCTCGCCCGAATTTGATCAAATCGATCTTTCTTCTGTGGACTACTGCAGCCCGACCAGAGTAGCTTCGCGTCTACGCTGCATAACGCCCACTTCAGACCTGGTGAAGAATTCGAGTGACGTGGGCATTGTAGCTGGGTAAGTTGTAGATACTACGACAAGCTGCAGGATGCGGATCAGCCTGCTAACTCATCTCGCTGAGCCCGCGCGATTACCACTGGGTTGCATACTCATGCCTTGCAGGATCATGTTCCGGCCATGTTGTTGTTTTCACACCCTAATACTGTTGACTCGACTCCAGCTGGGTCAACGGATGTGGCGCGCAGAGGCTCACCAGGCTAGTTGCGGCCCAGGCCTGGTCGCCGAATAACGCCATCAGGCGACTGTGGGTAGCAGCCAACGTACAACTAGAGCAGTAACCCGATTCTGCTATCCCCGGGTCTGGTCTTCGAGCTCTCGTCGACGTGAAGAAACAGAACGCGTTAGATAGTACCTGGCACTTCCCGATCCTGAATGCCTGCAGGTTGGAGTTTTGCCTGCTTGGGTCACTCCCGAGCCAGCCACAACCCAGAAGTTGGTTAAGTTTTATCAGAGTGCATCGGAGGACGACCAGGATGCTGTTAGGCGAAAAGCCAAAGACAGTAGTTGGTATGAACTGGGATTATTTGGCCTGGGATTACACACCACGGTACGGCCACAGCCTTCCGTGTAGCCAGCAAAGGATGATCCACCAGCCACATCCGAAGAAAATCAGGGATTCAGAGGATCGTCTATACGGTTTCCCAAAAGGTGATATACGCGTCGATTTAGCGAGCGAGCGTACCCTGGCGGCTGCAATCGTCATTATTCCTTTGACAAATGGCCTGGTTTGGCTGCGCGCTGAAGAATCCGACCATCTTCCGCTGAAGATTGCGCCCCTATTCTCCGTCCGTGCCAGCTGGCAATTTACCCACGGCGACCTATCCTTCAGCAAGGACCAAACGGTGCTCCCTGAAACTGGCAGGTGCTGTCGGTCCTCGAACTTTGCCAAATTCATGTGGCAGGGGGGTCGAAAACGGGCACAGTGGCATCTGGCCTTGCCTTTGCCGGCGCAGGCACAAACAGTTCGACCTCCACTTGTCCCAGGGCTCCATATTGGGACCACCAAGAGGGCCCACCCCAGTTAGCCCGAGGCCAGTTCGAACGGTCCCTGGCCCTAGGCCAGTAGTATCATTGGACGTTTCCTGTATCAACGCGGTTGGTGGAGGTAGCCTGGACGGTAGTGGATGCTTACGCCACCCTCGATATCATCCGAAGCGACTCGGCTTACTCGAACATCCAGGTTCAGCAATGCGAGGGTAAGCCGGCCAACGCATACATTTTTCACCAGTTCTGTACGTGTTACATCCACCCTGCCTGCAGCGATTACTGCTTCCAGTCGTGGTGCTGGAGGGGAGATATTGAATCAGGCATAGCTGCCGACATCGATTTTGTCATGCGGCCATCATCTTGCGTCGCGATCGGTTGACCGAGACGACATGAAAGGCTCCATACTGGACGCATGGACTTCTTTTCGCGTTTCTGTTTTGTCTTTTGCCAGGCCACTTGCTACTGTCAGTGCTCTGTCAACCTCGTCCAACTCTCCCTGTGCCTGCAGTAGCAGTACTCCTGCAGCTGGACAAAGCGTTCCCCCACAGACATCTGGTGATTGGCAGACAGGCGTCTTCGCGGTCAAAGGACAGACGTGACTCGATCGGACCCGCCACTATCGCAAGTGAATATCTATCTCAGACTCTGCCCTTCGCAACCAGACTGCTATCCTTCATCTCAAAGCACTCTTCGAATCTCGACACAGCAACAGAGTTCACATTTGGACAATGGAACATTACAACCAGACTGCCACCCGGCCTTATCCTTCTCACAACGCCCCAGTTCCTTCACAGGCAAGGCTGGATCCTACGCAACAGGACCAGCAACTTCCATCTATTCGTGAGGTAAAGCTCACCTTCCATGGCTATTTGGCCAGTACATCGGGACTGACTTGTGATACAAGGTCATTCCTCCTCCACGCAACGAGAGCATGGAATCAAATGTGCAAGAGCTGCCTTCAAATGGCAGACCAATGATGGTGCCATACCTTAGCTCCCAACATACCACGAGTATGGGCGTCGCCTCTGTTCCGGCTCCCGTGCAGCCCCAGTCTAGCCCAATGGCATACCCTGCGGATGGGACAAATCAAATGCAGATGAATGGGCTCGCTCAGGCCCAGCAACTGCAAACGCCGGCCAGGACCCCGGCTGAATATAGCTCGCCATGGTCTTCCTCATCCACCTATACTGAGGCTCCCGTGCCCATGAACACCACACCTGCGCTTCCAAGCCAGCCCCAGCCATATGCTGCCATGAGCCAGCCAATGATCCCATCAGACACACAAGAAAGTGTCTACTCTTCGACATATTCCATGCGAGCTGCGAATGAAAGCCCCGATTCCTACTCTCGGTGGCGGACGCCTCAAGTCAGCACTGCTCCCCGTTATAACCCGTATATCATGTCTGAGCGGTCCTACAACCAGCCCATGGACTATGGGCGGTATGGCCAGCCATTCGACCAATACCGAACTCCTATGGGCTACGATGCTGGCTACCGGTCGTTGGACTCTTCTCCATACCACATGAAATACAGCCAGCTGTTGTCCTACCCGATCATGGGATACCCTGCCCATGCCAATGGCAGACGGCGGCGAGGTAACCTCCCCAAACCCATCACGGACATTCTTCGACGATGGCTGCAAGATCATCTTGATCACCCCTACCCGAGCGATGAACAGAAGCAAATATTTATCCAACGCACTGGTTTGACCATCAGTCAGGTTAGTTGAACTGGTCTCTTGTCAATTTTATTATACTGACTTTTTGCATGCAGATCAGCAACTGGTTCATCAACGCTCGTCGGCGGCAGCTTCCTGCTCTCAAGCTGAAAAGGGCGAAGGCCATTCAAAGCCGGGCATGAATGAGTTGCAGTTTTGATTACTTTTTGTTTCTATGTGGCGTCTGACCGACCGTGATGGTCACCGTGTGGGTTGAAGGGCAAGGCATGCTGGACGACGATTCGAGATTTTTCATGATGGCAATGGTTTTATGATGGATGCATATTTTACAGGCTACAATGTACAGAAATACCCCACAAAGGATACGGTGTTGGACCACCCCAGTGTATATGCCAGAATACAGTCAAAGGTCTACAGGACAGACATGCTATGAGGAGGAGGAGGAGTCTGGAAGACGACGGATGGAAAAGACTTGTACAATTAGATACTATGATATGATCGAGAACCGGTTTTCGATTCCTTTGGTATATAGGCGGGTTACAGAGAATCTATGATGACCTCTACCAGAACCATGGCATAGAATTCCCTTGACTCTACTGTGATATTGACGAACTTGAAGAACATCAGGGCTGATGGACTGCCAGGGTGATAGGGTGTAGTTAGTGTGCACAAGATATCGCCGAGCAGCAGCAGCACGCCGCAATGGGAACTTGACTGATAGGAGAGCAGAGCATTGAGGGGTTCACAACTACGATGCGGATCCGGACAGAGGAGAGGAGACGATCGTCTGCCGTTCTTCCCCCATTCAAGTTGTTCATCACAAGCATATGTTGTACAATATTTGAGTATACTCTAGCGGCGAGGACGTTGGATCAAACAACCCTTGCAAGTCCCAGTCCCCGCACGCTTGCCACTCGCTTATCGTACTTGACAAAGACGGACGGGCGACCAGGGCCCCGATTCGAGAAGTAGTAGCCCCCTACTTTGAGAATAGCAAGAGGAATAGGACTAGCAAGGGGGTGGGTTTATGATTCGGCTCTCGAGTTTCGAGTGAGCATGCTCCTGTGACTTTCGACTGAGAGACTCCTCGGCGGTTGTAGGATGGTTCTGCGCGTCTCGGTTGGTTGAGAGGACTGTTGGCGCCGACGGAACCCCCGACTCGAGACGATAGTCCTCAGGGCCGGTCCTGCACCAGGCTGTTGAGCTTGACGAATTGAACTTGAAGCGGCGGGAGTGGGAGTGGACATGGACGGATACGGTTGTGGATGAAGATGGAGATGGAGCACGGGGGATGGATGATGACGGACGGGACGGCTTTGACGACTGTTATCCGTACAACGACAACGCACCTACTATGGCGAACACCTTGGAGGGCTCCACGTCGGGCCCCTCAATGCTCCTCTGGCCTAAGGACCTCAAGCTGTGGCGGAGGTAGAAGTTTAGCCGTAGCCGTAGCAGTAGCATTGTACAACTGTAGTGGTGGGTTGCATTATTGCTGTTTCTCTCTCTTTTCTCTTTCGCCCTCGTCGACTTTTCCGGCCATTCAATATTAGCTTATCTCCCCGAAGCCAAGCACACCCTGTTCGAGTCCCTCAAACGAAGAGCTGGTAGCTCAGAGGCGGCAGTGGCAGGCTTGTCCTCTTTTCGTCAACTGACATCTGTTCGTCTTGTCAGGGTCTCCGCTTCCTGCCTAGCGCATCGCGCGCTCTCATTCAGTGACCATGACGGACCTTGACGGAACGAAGAAAAACTGGATCGCCTAAAGGATAACGTGCATATGTATCTGGTACCACTTAGGTACGGCACCCACACAGAGTCCCCAGTACCTAATCGGTACGCGCAGAAGAACAAGAGGTGAGGTGGCGGGGACACTACGACTAACAGCAGCCGATGTTTATGTGCGACATGCTCAGCGGAGCCTTTGCCCCCAGTGGCTCCCTAAGGCCAGCCAGGCCTAACCTACCTGTACCCTTCCTTACCCACTGCCAGCTGTCATCCAAGATACGCCAAAACGCACGACAGCTGTGCAGCTTTTTGCTTGTCTTGTCTCTTGTGTGGGCTTGCCGTCGGCTCCAGGCTGGTGATGGAGCTGGAGCTGGAGCTGGAGCTGGAGCTGGAGCTGGAGCTCTTGAGTTGTACAAACGCACGAACGAATGCGGCTACGCTGTCGACATACGCTGCATTGAGCTTATCCGGTGTCCTTTGGTGTCCACCAGGGGCAAAGTCCTATCAAGTACTGCACTTCACTTCGCAAAAGGGAACATCTGTCGAGCGCTCCTCCACCTGTTTGGGCGAGAGCAGCTGTCAAAGACGCGGGGCATTGGATACCTACTAAGAGGTATCGCAACTGTCTACAGCAGGTACTCTGTACCTGTGGACTCCGTTCCTGAGCAGCGCTGGTCGCCCTGTCCCTGCACGTCAAGTTGTCTTCTTTTCTTCGCGGCGAAACACGCGCGCGACCCTGAAGAGTTACTGTGCATCGCCGCGGTCTCGAAATGGAATTGCCGAGGGTTTAGGCTTTCACAGTTGCCCAAAAGGCAACAGTGGTGGACTGACAGAGTTTCCACGATACATCGGAAGCAGCGAGGACAGCCTGCGAAAGGAAAGTTGGACTCTTGTTCCGTATGCAACAAAGTTTTGGTATTATTAGGCACTGCATCATCATCGTCATTGATCTCTATCTCTCACAGATCTCGGTGCTTGACCCTGCAGAAACTCTGAGTGCACGGTGGACTGATTGACTGGTGCACGGCTCATGATGGTACACTGTCTTTACACTGCCTTTCTTCAGAGCCCTTTGGAGCTATACCAGTTCCTATCGCTGAAGGGGGGAGACGACAGGACCGGATCTTTTTCCACCAAAGTCAGTCAAGTCAAACAAGTCAAACGCGGCCGTCGAAAAAGTCTTGTCGCGGCCGTCAACCCACACAACCTTTCTTCACGTACTACTACTGTACTCACCACTTGTTCGAACACCTTTTTGTGGGTGGCCACCACTTCACTTCCACTTTCAGTCGCAGACGTGGTCGATCAGTCTGGGCTGTGCTGTCGTGAGTCCGAGCTCCCTTCCCTCTGCTCATCCCGCCCACATTGGCACACCTTCTCCTCCCTACTCCTCTTCATGTTCTCCATCAGCACTAAAACACACAGACACCCAGAAAGCGTGTCCTGCCAGTGTCGCTGTCGCTGTCGCCTGTCTGTCTTGTGTATCGGCCGTCTGTCGGTGTCTCGGCTGTCTGCGCGCGGGAAATTGCACGTCCAGGCGCACAGATCAAGAATGGTCCCCAACACAGTTCAAAACGCGCTCAAGGGGGGCCCTGGGGGTGCCCGGTCCAGCGCGTTTGTTGCTCAGTGCACACGGGAGGGAACTGCCTCAGCCCTGAGTCCAAGGCCCTCCGATCCCTCCCCTCTCCCCTCTTGGTTGTCTTGGCCTTACCTTGCCAGTGGACTGAGAACTGGAAAGGAGGACATTGAAACGCTTGGTCAGAGCTTTCTTGCCAACTTGCACCGCTCCGCCACCGCGGCCGTTCCTCCCGTCCCCAGGCTCCAGTCAGTCCCAACGGGTGAGGTGGCAATGTTTTGCCTTGAAAGCAACTCTACGCGTTGTTTGCGTGTCTTCCTGTTCCCGATGGTGCTGAACGATTGCACGATGTCAGCTGATGGGCCTTTCCGTCTTTTTCGCCACAGGATCAACCGGAAGGTCGAGGCAGAGCCATTCCATCCCTTGTATGGATTGATCGAGATTGCTGATTTCACAGACGAGATTGCAATTGCACTCCTGGCGGCAAATGCAAACACAGGTAGGTAGGCTGTGTGTTGTGAAAACTCGACTCGAGGCTTTCTCTTCTAGATTTGCGGCTTTGCGACATGATGTACCTATGTACAAGAAAGGTCAATCGTTACTATGGCCCTCTTTTCCTATCAAGAGCTCGTGCCCATGAGCTCAATTGTGAGGCACGTCTTGATCGGTGGACGGACGGACATCTGTCTGGGGGACAAGACAGCCGTTGGTGAGTGACTTGACTATCATTGCTGTCTACTTGATGGTCGATTGAAAGAAAAAATGGCCCAGATTATTTTGTTTTTGCCCACTATTCCTGTCTGTCCCTACACGCTCTTAACTGCCAGTGACTGATTGTTTGCCTGTGCTTCTCTCATCGTCCAAGTCAAAAGTCACGGGTCGATCGTGGGCCATGTCATTGATGTGCCTATGGGCCACATGTGGACGGACTTCAAGTTGATGACTTCACATCATCACCGTCCGTCACCCTTCAAGATCTGATCTTGACTTGTGATGGTGATTGATGGTCCTTCTCCATCTATCCTCTTCTGATCCAAGACCAACACCAAGGCCCTCATCACACATATCACATATGGCCCGGACGTCACTTTATTTTGCTGTCTGTCTGCTTGTCTATCTGCCTGTCCGATCTACCCCATTTCTTCAACGTCACCGTTAACATCATCGCCCGCCCCGCACCTGAGATCGGCATACAACAATCATTCCAGAAGGCTGTCCTCTCTGAACCCTGAACTGCGCTGAGCTTTGAGCTGAGCTCAGCTTTTTGTTGTCGTTCGTTCACCACTGCTGTTCCACTGCTGTAACTTGGATGACGTCGTCAGAGTGCATCGCTCATCTCTCTTTTCGGCCCCGCTCGCACTCACTGCCGATTGGCGAATGTATGTATGTGTCTATCATATCTCACCAAGAGAAAACAGCAAACGTGGCCGACCGATGACAGGAATCCATCGAAGGAGCTTTGCTGTCATGTCGACGGCCGTGTGTCATACTGTAGTAAAGCTCTTTCGTTGGATTCTTTGTCGTCGGCCACGTTTGCTGTCTTGCGGGTGAACCCCGCGATGTTATGTGCGTCTGATTCGGGAAAGGTAACCCGATGATTATGATGGTTATTATCCATTCAATTCCGTTTTCATTGATCTCGGTCGGGGTCCTTGTCCTTGTCCTTGTCCTTGAACCTCATCTCGTGCCTGACCGTCAGTGATCAACCGAGTTGAGTGGAACAAGAGACTCGTGAACCGAACCGCTGCTGGTAGGTACCTAGGTAGATTCAAGTTCCAGACCAGTATTACTACTCAGTCGTTACAATATTTTGCATGACCGGAACACCAGACTCGAAGTATGACTACCTATTATTGTACCACTGCACTAAACAGGGACGTGACGCCCCGAGGACTACACCGCGCAGGTAGCCTACCTCACGCACATACATACATCTCATCTCCAGAACAAAGTTCAACCAACGAAACGTACCCAGTGATTTTTCGAGTACTGGTACACTACACCTGCAGACTACACTCTCGGTACCTACGATACGGAGATGGAGGAATGGTGTCTATCCTACTAGCACTACCACCCAGTCCCATTGACAAGGTCTAGTAGTGTACAATCTACCCATCTACTAGATACTTGATTGTCCTTCTTGGAACTCGTCTAGCCAGCTCCTTGTTCGTCTTCCAGCGCATAAAGACACAACACGGAGGAAACAGCAAAGTGTTGACTGCACACCAGGCGAACAGGACACCAAAGTTAAGCCCGATACGGCTGTGTGTGTCGAAAAGTAAAGTCCGACTGCCGTTGACGATGTGGTAGAGTGGCCAGGCGTAACCGAACTTGAAGAATCCGGGCGATAATGGGATGGCGTAGAACGATGTCGATACGTTGGTGATGACCCAGAAGATGAGCCAGCTGCAAAACAAAAAAGTGGTTAGCGAAGATTTCACCAACGAGGCCTGCAATCATGTTTCCTCCTCTCTCCCTCCCAGTCCGCCCCGGCCCTCCAACCCGCCACCCGGACCAACGCCCACCCCCAGCATACAAGAGATGAACCGGAAGCAAAGGCAAAAACTTACAGAGCAGTCCAAGGCTGGCCAATAATCATGGTGACATTCTCCGAAGCCAGACCCAAAGCATACATGCCGACCCAATTCAACATCCAGTAGACAACAAAAGTTGCCTTGCCGTACGCATCCGGGTTGTTGGCTGTGGTGAGGTCGTTGTGAGGGTATGTGTTTGAAAATGGGATCTGAAACGCCAGCGACACCAACGAATAGGCCAGTGACATGAATAAATACGCCGTGGTTGTGGCCAAGAGCCGAAACATGATCAATTGGTAGAAATGCAGCGGTGGATGACCCTTTGGGATCAGAAACTTAGTGTAGACTGGAAGAAAGAAAGAAAACGAGAAAAAAGCAATGATGATCAAATAGATCAGTCCGATTGTTACCGCGGGCGTGGCCTGGGGAGGATTGAAAGGTCGGAGATCAAACATGGAGAACCCAATGGCTGGGTTTAACGCTTGCGGAGCACGGCCGTATGTCGCTGCATCGAGGGAAGAGTTGGACAAGACGCTGCGAATCCATTCAGGCCCAAAAATGGCGGCCACGTCGGTTTGAAACTGGTAGAGTTGTGGTAGGATGTAGTTGTAATAGGTGGTCTCGTCGCGCGCAGAGTTGATAATCATCTGCCCGGCTCCAAGGGGGTCGTAGCTCGTGTTGCCAATCCTAACAGCCTCTTGTAGTATTGTTGATGCATTGGTGTTGACGATGATCGCTGCCCACACCTTGTAGTCGTAGACGGCTTGTCGCACTGCCATCGGGTCGCCGTGGTACATAATGTCCGCATCTTGCACCGTGTATCCTAGAACGCCGCTGTGGATCATAGCTTGCCCCTGTGCGAATCGTTCAACCGTCTGTCCTACACTTGGCGCTGCTGATAAGGCTGAATTGTTGTAAGGCGCAACTCGTGCGTCAAAATTCACCACTGCCACGGTTAACGCCGACATGTTCTCGTTCACGTGGAAAAGAACCGCCCAGTATAGTGACAGGATGCAGAGGATGAAGCTGAACAGGATCAGCACCGTCGCGGCCCATTTGACTGCCACCTCCTTGAAAACGTGTCTCAGCGACGGATCGAGCAGGCCAACGGGCAGAGGAGGGAGGTCGAGACCATTCTTCTCCTCATCGCATCTGGCACCTGAAGACTCCTGGTGTTGGTCTTGTTCGTAACTGTCTCCATTGTTGCCGTCATGCTGCTCGTCTTCCTCGGTCTTCTGTGGCAGGCCCGATTGTCGCTCGTTCTCCGCTTCCAGTGTGTCTTCGGAGCTGTTTCGGGGCATCGAGGCGTTGTTGTCACAATCCCACGTTTCTGCGACTGGTTTGCACTCGCGGGAACAGGAAAATTTAAAGTGCTAACACCTCGAAACTTTGAAGGCGGGAAAAAGAAAACATGAATCCTTGCAACTTACATGCTGCCCGACAACGCCGGCTTGAAATTCGATGTCGAAAGTATGCATATTCGCCTTGTATCGCTTCTATGACGCGCACGGAATAAAGGGCGAGTCCGTCGTCTCAAACCGCATGCTCGTTACCACCTTACCACGCTGGCTTGCATGGACTGCCATTATTGAGTCAAAGCCTGTGCTGAACGGCTCTCCGATATCCCTGTCCAAGACACGGAACGATCATGATGTCATGTCAAGCCGCAGGTCAGGGATGATGGCCTCGACAGAATGCATCCGGGCGGACAGCGTTGTTGCTGCAAATATTCACCAGAGAATGGGCTTGTACAAGGAAGTTGATGCTTGACTTTCACCAGATACCGTAGACATCGGGCAAGATCGAGATTCAATGGCCATGTTTGTAACACCGAGGCCCGATACCGTAAACAAGCTCACCGCGAGAGGGCCGGCATGGAGCAGAAAAGCCAGCGACCTGCTTGATCGCATCTTGAGGCGTCTGATGGTCAACCTTTCGGGGAACAGCACAATAGGAAGACACCTCGAATTTTAAGGACTTCGGGAGAGTGCTATGCAGTAAAACCTGAATGATCTGTCAAACGTTCACTCTTTCAAGTTGTGGTCTGGTGAACAAGTTCGTTGTTGTTCAATGCGTTATTGGTCAGTTGGTCCGCCAAAGTGATTCCACCAGCTTGTGGTCCGCCGTAGCTGGCCTATTCATCCATGTCCTGATTGGTCGCTGAGAGACAAGGCTGAGCCTCGGCTTCTGCCTTGAGTTGTTGTAACTTGAACCCGTTGCTCGCAGTTCAATCGGTGTCTGATGATATTCATGGCACCTCTCCCTTGATTTGCCCTGGCGTCCTCCTGTATCCGGTAGATCACAGATGGATAGGTCGCTGGCCGCCTTGTTGAGGTCGCTGAAAACCTCACCACACCCAGATGATGCTGCCAGGTTGGAGTTGCACCTACACGCAATCCATGTATCCTAACTGTTGTTGTACAGGTTATTGCCCACCGCCACGAATCTCCTCTCCCGATTGTCTAACCCACTAAACGTCTCGCTCTTGTCGTCGCATCTCCTCTCGACTGGCGTGCTATACCCGACTCCGACCGACCTTGCCCGATGCAGACAGATATTCAGCGTCTTCTACACCGCAGTCCTCCGATTAATCGAAGACAAGAAAGATCCTTCCCAGGTATCTCCATCTCCTCGCAATCACCTTTCAGTATTTGAATGGACAAGAGCGGTGGTACGAGGCGCAGACGAAAGTTCGCCGCGATGGAGACACACCTTGCTTCTTGGAGGACTCATCCTCGCGTTCCAGTCAAGAGGTTTCGAGGAGATACCGTCCGATCTGCGCAACAAGCTCGAAGCTGCATTGGTCATGGCGGTCAATCTCGCTTTACAACAGAAGGGCTCCGAACCAAATTGTGAGCTGGCCGTGGTGTTCGTGTTGAATCATACCTTCCCGGTGTTATCGGATTATCATCGGTCGCAGGTGAATTATGACAATCTCCTGCCCGTTCTGGTGGACGCCGCATTCTTCTCCCGCGAAGGCCTTGAGCAGGGGTACTGGCTGGGAATCATTGACTTCGACGTGCGCCAAACAGCTGAACGTAGGTTCAACTGGTCGACGACGTCAGTGTCCTTTCGAAAAGTCACAGAGATTAAATCGAAAAGTCTTGTTTCCACACTCGGTCCACTGTCGCGCCTGATTGCTCATTCTATCGACAATGTACAAGACCGATTGTTGATTGTACACAGTACCAATAAGATTGCCGGGTTCGCGAGGAATTTATCGACATCATGGAGACAGAACAAATTGTCCGAACTGGACCCTCGGGAAGAGTCTCAGTATCTTGACCAAGAAACCATCAGCAAAACTCTGCCAGTATTGCTTCAGCTCCTCAGAGACACCATGTTTGCCGCCATCATTGCACTCCGGTCTGTTCTCGGGCGCCTTCTCTGTGACGGAGTACTTGCTTCCGATACTAATGCTCCAGCATTGGTCATGCAGAGTTTACACATCTTGCGAGATACCTATTTCATATCCCACCGGCTAGGACTCACGTCTTCATCACAATACATCTTCGTCAACTTCACCGCGGTTGATGTTTTGAGCCGATACCAGGCACAGTCAGAAAACTTTCTGGAGTCGATACGACCTGCAAGTCTGGGACGAATTCCTCCTCATCCTCTTGATAGACTGCACGATCTTTTCTTCCTCAACACCGCGGAACATTTCACTCTTACAGTATCGCCACGGCTGAATCAGGATCTCCTGTTCAATGGTGCAGCACCTTACATTGACCCGCAAGGGGATCCCAGGTTGGGAGAAATATACGAAGCTGCCCATAGTGTGATTCTGGCCGTTCTTGCCGCGCCACAAAACGCCGAGGTGGCAACAAGGAATGTTCCGTTCTACGTGGAAACTCTGCTGCAAAGCTTCCCCAGGCCACTAGCGGCTCGACAGTTCAGACTGGCAGTCAAATCAGTTGTGCGTATCGCTGCGCCCCCGTCGCCTATCGCTGTGTGTATGCCTCTCATGCAAGCCATTATCCTGGATTTGCTCAGGGAACGTATGAGTCATGCATCTGAAGAATTACTCCCTTCTGATCCAGATCTTTCAAAGGAGAGCCAGCCTCCTTTGTCCGAGAAGGCAGTCTTTCTTCTCTCTATCATCGATTGTTTGAGCTTTCTGCCGGTAGCACTGCTGGAAGAATGGCTTCCATCAACTGCTGAGTTACTGCACAAGATTGAAAGCCCTGCTCAGAAGCAACAATGCCTGCAACGATTCTGGGATACTCTCAGCAATGGAGAAATGGATGTTGAGCGCGCTGCACTTTGTGTTGCTTGGTGGACCTCCAGAGGTGGACGTGAGCATGTCCTGTTTGGAGAGCAGCCTGAAGATGGCGAATACACTATGAGCGGTGCCTTGCAGTACGACAGCAAGCTCTGATCACCCAGATAACCAATGGGCCTCACTTTGTCTCTCTTTGGGAGAACTGAATGCCTGTCCTTTGTTTCAGCACTCTTCCACAATGTGCATGTGGCTACTCTCATCATGTTTGCACTCTTGTACAAAGCCTCATGGTCATGATCGCAAAGGGCTTGATTGACCACCTGACAATGGATGTTCAACTCTTCAGGGATGATTGATTTGAGGTTTCAGCACTGCTTTGCACAATTTATCACCACGTGCCTCCTTCACATCTATTCATCTAGGACCAGTGAATCCATCTTTCCATCAAGAATACTCCTATCAGAACAGCTAAGTGATCAGCATGGCTTCTCTGCGGCGCACCAAAAACTTTGCCAGTGATGGCCAGACTCCCATCTTCCTGTACACCATTCTCAAGCAACTGGACCTGAGATCGATCGACTGGAATCTTGTTGCCAGTAGTCTGGACATTTCCAACGGCCATGCCGCGCGGATGCGATACAGTCGGATGAAATCGCAGTTTGAGGGGGTCTCGAGTCAGCAAAAGCCAGCAAAAGCCCGGAAGGAAAAGGACAGCGAAGGCAAAGCTTCCAAGGACAAGGGAAAGGGAAAGCGGCAGCTTCTGGAGGAGGAGAATGAACGGCTTGCCAAACAGGCCAACTCCACCAACGAGCCCAAGAAAGCGAGGCTTGAACCCTCTCCATACATTGACAACAGCTACACATCGCCTGCCACTGGCACTGGTCAGCAGTTTGTGAGCCCGATGTGGAATCAGCCACTGGTCAAACTTGAGCCCACATCCGAATATGCAAGCCTTGCGACCAACCCCAGTCCTCCTCCACCTATTATCAAGACTGAACCTGACGCCTCCACCGCGGGTTTGACGACTGAGCGATCGACCTCGCCTGCAGTCAAGCAAGAGCCGGAGACAACAGCAACCAGCCATGAGATGTCCGCGGTCGCCCCGGTTATCGTCAAGAAAGAACCAGATACTACCATGTCAAGCGCCCCCTTCTCCGGCTTGAACCCCTATGATGCATCCGCAACAGCCAACAGCTACCGTTTGTCTCCTTATGCAAACCCCTCCATGAACAACCTGAATCCGTCGCTGTACATGAACTCATATGCGCTGCCCTTGGGCTCAAACGCAACCCCCTCTGCATATTCGATGACACAGTCGCTACCGGGCTACGCTTATCATCCTTACCTGTATCACGGCGCCAATGCATGGCCATCGGCTGTTGCTGATCACAATGCCACTAGAGCTATGACTCCCATGGCAGACAACGTGAGCCTGAACCCTCTTGCCACTTCGTACGAAGAGCTGCTGCACATGCCATTGTATTTCCGACAAGCGGGTACGGGTGATGTTCAGACAGCAGAGTCTCAAACACACGGCCGTGCATCCGCTCAGATTTCGAACAATGCATCCGAAGGTATCGAGCAGGGGGCACAGAGTGAAAGCCTGCCCGGTCCAGGACCACATGATACTGCTGTTCTCTCCACAAATGCCAAGACAGACGCAAGATCCGATTCCACAGAATCATCGCCGGACGACAACACTGCCAACCACTGCGACTTGACCTCGGCGGCTGCGCTGGAAACGGACTCTGATGCTGATGGAGAAGTCGATAGCGAGAACGCTGGTAAAACGCAAGGTATTGGCACAGAAGCCCCAGCCAAGAGGGAGCCTATGGAAGTGTGGTGAAGGGTTGAGTTGAGCACGGATACCCAATTGACACGATGGAATGATTATGCACTACTTCTCGCCTGGTAGATAGGTGGATTTGTATGAGTGTGTGTCGAATCAGTTGAGCATACCTGGTGAAGGAGGTCAACAAGAAAAGAACGAGATTCTAGGCCTCACAATGGCAATATGGCTGAAGGATGATATCATGTCATTGCATGGGCCTAAAGAAACGATACATTCAATGAGCTCGTCATGAACAATACCTAGGTATTTAATCCACCGCCTGACATTGCTGGCCTTCCTGTCCCGATCCCTCAGCCCCTGCAGTCTCATGTTGGCGTCTTAGTCAGCAGGAGCGGTGGGCCAGAATGAGGCTACTGATTCACCGTACAAGTTAGTCTTGTAGTAGCGGTAGTGCTGTTTTACTTTGCCGGAGCATCACGTAAGCGGGAGTGCGGAAGTCATGCCCATCCCCCACCACTGGCACTGGCCGCCTGCACCGCAACTTGAAGTCCGGTGCCGTCTCCCCTCCTCTCCTCCACCCTCCATCCCTCCCTCTCCTCATCCCGCCTCGTTCCTCCGCGGCGTGACACTTGGACATCACCACATCCCGTACCACATCATGATTCACATGCGTACCGAGTCCCAAACCTTCGTCGTCGTGATTTGTATTTCATCTCGTGGCTGGACCACCGCGCCTTGATTCCCACCGCATCCTACAGTATCTTTCCTGCATCTGAACCCTGTTGTCTATCTTCCGCCAACGCCAATCCTCCAACCATTCCGCTGTATCCGTTGTATGCCCAATCTTGCATCAGTCCTCCGTGTCTCGACATACGGTACATCCGCAACTCCGAGCGGTGTGGCTGGTCGCACGACAATGAAGGGCCGCTACAACTGAACCTCGAACGCAGGATCATTCATCTACCACCACTTCCTCTTCCCTTCCTACAAATCTCGTATCCAGAAAGGATACAGATACACCCATATCCGTCACGCAAGTCTCGAGCGTCAAGACACACAGCACAATCATGTCTTTCCTTCGCCGAGACTCCAACTCCTATACCCTATCCTCCGTCTTCCCAACCTACTTGATTCCCTCTGTCCCCTTCCGGCGCAAGTCGCGTCAATCAAGCACCGACAGCACCAGCTCTGCCGAGTCCACGGCATCTGCGATATCCGCTGCTTCATCTTCCACCTCTACCTCCACCTCCAACCCTTTCATGAGATGTCCGAGCCCGAGCCCGATCCCTGATTCACCAAACCCATCGGCAGTTCTCCCGCCCGACGACAAGTTGTTGCGCGGCCACGGCTCTCACATCCAATGCGCAAGATGCTCGACTGACCTGTGTCTCACATCTCAAATCATCAGCAAAGGCTTCACTGGCCGGCATGGCAGGGCATACCTCGTCCAAGGCACGACCGATCATCTACGGCCCGACAAGAATGTCCTGCCCAACACGTACTTGAACCGATCCATACCCCGCAATTTAGTGACGGGATTGCACATCGTGAGTGATGTGAGCTGCGCCATCTGTGGAAGCAATCTGGGTTGGAAATACATGCAGGCATGTGAAGAGAGCCAGAAGTACAAAGTGGGCAAATTCATCCTCGAAACAAAAAAAATCCGCCTCAATGTCTCGTGGGAACATGACAGCGATGATGATGACGGCAACAAAAAGAGCAATGAGAATGATAGTCAAGCTGCGATCGACCGCCGGGCAAAGCAGATCTACAATGAGGTTCTACCGCTTCATCCGAGGGCATTGCAACGTCCAAGTGCAGACCATGTCCTGTCCCGCTTGTCCAATCTGGTCAAGGGAAAGAATGATCATCTCGAATTCGACTCGCAGGACGAAGATGAATGTGAGGATTTGTTTGCTGGTGTGTGGACGCCCGATCTTGCTGCTGCAAGAAGACAGAAGAAGGAGAGGCTGGCTACTGCTACACGGAAGCCTGCTGTAGCATCTGCTTCTGCTTCGACAAACTTGAATCTCGGGGCAACCAGCACTGGCAGTCTGGATACCTTGTCATGAGGAAGCTGAGCTAACTGACTTCACACCTTGGGTTGCCTTGCAGCTCGTTCGTGCGTACAACACCCCGTCTATCCCACTTGGATAGCATGCGATCCGTCATTACAGCCTCTGGTTCATTGCATCACTGACATGAGATCCTCGACCAGGCCTCGCTGGAGGCCATTTTTGAAATACTTTACTTCCCTTTTAATACCTACCTGGTCTTATTCGACCCACCCATTGTGCTGTCCTGTTCCGGCATAATTAACATCGTGGGCCTTTAACGGTTCATGGCTCGGCTGATGTTGACAAATCTGATTCAGCATCGCATGAAACCTGATACCCACACATATATATCCATCTGGACCGAGACCGCATCATCTCTCTGGACTTTTTATGATTTTCACACGATCGAGTCCCTTTCCCCTTTGTGGTCATTCGTTGAGGAGTTCGCCCGGTATGAACACAGGGACACTCATTCGACACAACACAGCGTTACAGTACCTTGAACTCTTCCTGCATCAAGATTGGATTACTATTCGATTTAGTTTGGTTCGGTTTGGACGAATTATCGGATACCCCCTTAACATCACGTCACTCGTCTCATCACAATAATGGCATAATGGAGTACTTAGGTAGTACAGGTTGGTTTTGACACCTAGGTTCGGGAGTTCTTGTTATCGAAGGTTGTGTTCAACCTGACTCGGTCTAGGGCAGGACACCACTCGGTAGCAGCATAACGGGAGTTGGTGTGCCCTGTCTGCCATGCATGTTTTGCTTTTTTATTATTAGCTCTAATTAAAGAATGGTTTATGGCATTTGATTACACCTGGTTCAGCAACGTGGCATGACATTCCTTTGCCCGTTCAAGGTCGAAGAAGCAAGGCGGTGATGTTCTTGGGATCTAGTTACCTTACTTATTTTTAGTCTGATGATGATGATGATGGAGAGGAGCATGACGAGAACTTGACCTGTGGCCTCGACCATACCTTGGGCATTGGATTTCGGGACAGCGTTCGAGAGCTATAGTACCAATAACAATAACAATAACAATAACAATAACAATAACAATAGTAATAAGAATAGTAATAGGAATAATACTTCAACTTCAGTTCACCATTAACCCCCCTCGGCCCCATTTAAGACCATACCATCGAGGACCTCTTAAGATGCTTACTTAGATACCTCAGGCAATCTACGGCAGATACTATATATATATATATATACCTGTAAGCCCTCCCCTCCCCTCTCGCTTGAAGTTAAGTCAGAAAGGAAGAAGGGGAGTGGAGGTTACCTAGGTAGTCGTCGCATTAGTAGTAGCATCAACGGACTCAGCTATCAATCTAACTTGTCAATTTCTATGGGTTTCGAATAAAGATAAAAATAACAATAGGATTTTATCATGCTATTCACAAAGTTTGGACATCAATTTTGCAATCGATCAACCTTGGACTGCAGTCTTGTCACCAGCAGATGATGTCCTTCCGATGGTTTCTGGACGTACAAACAAGTTGTTAAAGGCCCTTCCTCAACTTTTCCTTTCCGGCAATACTTCTTGCGCCGACTGTTCTTTTCTCTTCCAGTGCGTTTCCATTCTTTTCCATGTCCGAGCCCGAGCCCGAGCCCTTCACGTCAGAGACAATGGCCTTTGCAAATTTCTTCTTCTCCAGCGCACGACATCGTAAACGTGACTGACATTGTCGCTCGTCGCTTAGATAGGTCGGGGCTGTTCTATGTTTTATGTTTTATGTCATAACCAAATCAAGCACTTGGCGTATTTGCAGCAGAACCAGCAGCAGTAGCCGTAGCCGAAGCAGTAGCAGTCGCCGCTGGAGTTTGCGGATGGGCATGAACATGATGGTGATGATGATGATGGACATGTTTGTGCTGCTCATCACTATTGGCTGCTGCGGCGGTAGTAGTAGAAGCGGAAACAGGAACTTTCGCATTGACCAGACCGGCCTTCTTGCCAAACTTGCAGCAAGCCTCATGTCGTCTAAGGTTATCGAGACGGGGAAAGCGTCTCTTGCAGCCCAAACCGTGGAACTTGCACAACATGTGCTGATGTTTGGGTCGATGGGTGGCCATGTGGCGTTTGAAGTTGGACCCTTCGCCGTTCAGGTACTGGCCGCAGATGTGGCAGTACATTTTGTTGCCGTTGTGGCAGCTAGCGACGTGTTCGTCGCGCACTTGCTTGTACATGAACGACTTGGGACAGCCCGGGTATGTGCATTTGAAGGGACCGCCTTGGTCGTGGTGGTGATGATGGTGTTGGGTGTCCGAATCTCCACCAATACCGTTCGCCGCGGCGGCGGATTTACTGGTGTGGTGATGATGATGGCTGCCACCACCGTTATCGGCATTTGCCAACATGGGTGCAAGATGTTTCTTGGATATGTGTCCTGTCAAGGCGGCTTCCGAGGTGAACTCGGCCGAGTCGCAGCCTTGCCAGCGGCATTTGATCACGCCTTTCATCAGGTGTACTGCTTTCAGGTGTTTTTTGAGATCCGTTGCAGATGCAAACGAGGCGCCGCATACCGTTCCACAAGGCATGAGCCATTGACATGCGCGTGACGTGCTGGGTGCAGAGACGGCCGCTACCAGATCCTTTGTGTCGGCGAGAGGGCCGCCACTGTTGTTATTATTGGTCTTGGCGGGTGCGGCGGACACCGAGTTTGATGCCGGCGGACTGGTGTGGTTCGGCGTCGGAGCTGGACTAAACAATGTGTTGTTTGGCGATGTCGCCGTAGGAAATGTCGGTGACGGGAGCTGTTGGTGAGCTGTGGCCGGATGACAACCATACTCCAGGACGAACGGAGGAAGGGGATATTGTTGGGTTTGTTGAAGACCTGGGATGCCTGTGCACAGTTGAGCCGGTCCAATGTGATTCCAGTAGGGAATGGTGTTGTCGAAGCATTGATGGTGCATTGGCATGTCCAGTGGGTGGACAACTCCTCCATCGGGCGACATGCCAGATAGTTCAGGTGGAGTCTGGAAGACCAGATGATCGTTTTCGTCAGGTTGAGACGACTCGACAGCAGCAGGAGTTTCCTCGACGAGCGCGTTGCTGCTGGCGGTCGGGAAATCATTGTCGCCGAGCAGAGGAACCGAAAATGACAGTCCAAGAGACTTGTCACGCTCGAACTCGTTCCAGTCGATACAATCAAAGCAGGAAAAGTCGCATTCGTCACAGTTGTCTTTGCACGGTTGGCCTAGGCCCATTCCGAAAAGCTGTTCATCCTTGCACTCTTCACAGTCGTCGTCATAGCTTTGAACTCGCTGATGGTGGTTTAACTGCTGATGTTCCTCCACACAGTCGTCACAGTCATCGACGCAATCCTCACAGTCCATGGGACTCGGGGAGTTATGAAATGGCGGAGGGTCATCGCAACAACCAGAAGCACGATTGTACGACTGCTGAAGAAAATCGACTTCATCTCCGGTCACGCCATCCGACTTGATGCAACAATTCAGAGCGTTGGAAGGGCGATAACTAGGTTCTTCTTCTTCCTCCCCACAACAAGGGAACTTGTGATGCTGGGGTTCATTTGGGTACGGGTACTGGGACGAACTGCGAGACGACCCTTGACTTCTTCCGGGAGTCCTGTAGCCATGGAGTCCTCTCGCCAGCCTTGCCCTGCCCCCAAAGACGTCGACCGGGTTGACGAAGTCTTGGTGGTGGAAGTCACTGGCCGTCAGACCCTGCGGAGATGACCTGCCCATGGGTGCTACCGTCTAGTAAGTAACAGCAAAGAATGCGAAGCGAGAGACTGTATCAGATCATTCGGCTGAACGAGCGAAGTCTCCAAGGCTGGAGGAGGCTGTTGTGATGGTGTTTGAGCGGCGATAAGGTGGCCTTGAGGGTGGTGCGAACGTGGGGGGATCACGCCAAAATCCGATCGAAACGAGGTTGAAGAATTGCTAATCGCGCCAAGCCCTCTTTGAACACGCTAGTCTCTTTAATGCACTAGTGCGGGACGTTGAGGGAATTGCCGAGGCCCGAACACGCTAGTCCTGATTAGGCCACATTTCATCGCTGTTTGACAGTATCCGAGCAGCTGGAACGGCGCCCTCAGGCCTCTATCTTTCTTCTTGATAAACATTTACGAATTGGACTTTAATGAAGGTATGAAAATGCTCATGACTCATTTCTCGTACAATGATCAAGGACCCAGGCACCCAGTTGAATGATGGCCGCAGGAATCGTAGTTACTCCTAATCTGCGCAGACAATACAAGGCTTTTGGACGCTCAAGACCCATTCTTTTTGCCTTGCACCTCCTCTCGCTCGTTGAGGTCGATGTGCTTCCGCTTCTTCGCATCCATATCCTTGTCCTCCATACCCTTTTCATACTTGACCAGAACATTCTCGTCATCATCAATCAGATCGCTCAGATTGTCCAAGCCCTTCCACTTGACGATGCCGTCCCCGCGGAACTCGGCAACGCGTTGAGGATAGAACATGTGGCAGGTGGGCCTGAAAGCCTCTCTGCCTTCCTTGGTGTTGATACCCTTGATCAGGGGCGGGAAGAGCAGGATCATGTTTCGACCTTCGTCCATGATCGGGGATCGACAGTAGGCGCAGGATACTTTGCATGGCAGATGATGGGAGGTGTCTTTGTTCGTTGGATCATACCAACCCAGATCGTGATGGCCGTTGGTGAAGTTGATGTCAGACTTGTGAAAGATGGCCGCCCACTGAAATGGAGCCTAGTGGACGAGTGGTGTTAGCAAGACGATTCCACTTATTCAGGGCACTACTTACACCATGTAATCGCTGGCAAGTTGTGCAATGACAGTACTTCGCAGCCAGGGGCTTGTCCCGACTAAGTTGATACTTGACTCTTCCACAGTGGCACTGTCCCTCCCATTTGACGTCGAACTTGTCATTGTCCTCGTGGATACGGTATGGCTCGCGGAATTTCCACTCGTCTTTCTCCCGGTCTGTGCTGTTACCAGCTTGGTACTGGTGAGCCTCCCGTTGTTCCGGCATGACTGAGAAGTTTCTTGGTTGAGAGACAACTGAATGCGCGGTGGGAGATGGTCGCAGTGAGGATTTACAGGTGTGCTTGGTAGAACAGGCGCGGGTACCGGTGATTAGGCTACTTGTCGGCCGTAGTATTTGTCCGGATTGTAGGAGGCGACTGCGAGTTGAGGAGGAGATCATATGGGGTGACTTTGGAGAAGGCTGAAGTAGGGAGAAATGCAGACCTCAAATTGAGAGTATCTGCCAGTCGTCTCAAGAGCTACTTTTGCTCATGGCGTCCGTCAAGGTATTTTGTTGCAGGAAAGGAAGCCGACGTCACTGTTACGGTGTCCTAGGCGTCAGAGGCGTAACTTTGAAGGTCAACAATAGGCACGCGAGAAGTTGCCCTGAGATAAGACAACGATGGTGATGCTTTGACTTGCTGGGGACCTTATTAATGACACCATCAGCCTGGACGGACAAAGGGTCTCCATCGTCATGGGCTTTTTCATCGCACTTTGTGAAATGCGCATCGAGGCGTCGGATCGAATTCACGGCTGCGGACATGACATCATTTATGGATGTTTGTTCCTGGCCAATGATTTGCGGGGCTCCAGCGGAGTGAATTGTCCGATACACGGCAAGGCTGAGGCTGAGATGCGCATGCCGAACTTGACCCCAGGAAGCACTTTATCGCGACAGGCGGATAGAAGATATCATGTAAAAATGGTGCACATGCTTTATTACGATTTAGTTATTCCTTATCAACCCGATGGGCCAAGCGAGCCTGTAGGGATGGTACTATTCAAAGTCCGCAAATGGGCCCGGGAGCCTCGAAACAAGCTCTGCCAGATGAAAGCTTCACTCAGGAGGAGTTCAATATCCTTCTCCGTCCAGTCTCTTGTAGGCAGCGCTTGCAGAAACATCAAGATCTCTTGGAAATTCATCTTCATCAACTGCTCCGACCATTTGACCAGAAATGCCGCACACACGTACAGGTGGAACTGGGAGAATCCATTCTCCTCTGCCTGTAGGTAGGACCAGGGTCAGCAGAGGCAAGCAAAACGCCCCAAAAAGCCTACTACTCACCATATAAGTGTCCCAAATTCGTATCACGTTTTTAATGCTCAATTCCCGCATCAACAGACAATTCATCCACCGAAAGCTAAACTGCATATATTCCACGTGCTCGTTTTCAAAATGTTTCGCAAGCCCGGCATCGATTCGAGTGGTGAGGTCTCGCAGCGCGGCAACTTGTCGATGGATACCCGGCTGAGCCACGATATAGTTGTCTTGAATGCCGTCCAGGAGTTTAGTTAGACACCAGAATGTGTCCGCTTCGACCGCATCGAGCACCGCTCTGGGGAGCTGTCCAGGATCCATGCCACTTTCGATGTTCAGATCTGTGATATATGTTCCCAGAAAGACTTGCCAGAAGGGCGTGGCAAGATCATTGATTCCCTGGACGTAGCCGCTCGCTGGGTGTCGGATCGCCCAGACATACAGGATACGTTCCAGAGACCGCTGTGTAGCTTCGTACGCGTATAAAGGAATATGAGGGTTTGTTCGAGGCACATCGATGCTGATTTGATGCCACACTGCCTCGTCCAAGCCCCGGCCCCGCCCTGAACTGACGGGCGGCTGCGATGCCAGCCCGGCTACACCCGCGCTGGTTCCGTTGCGGTTGGCCATCGTCCCAGAACTGAATGCTTGACGGACAGCATCCAGATACTCCTTGCGCTTCCGTTCAAGCGTCGCAACTCGGCGCTCGCTGTTGGTGGGAAGGTGCCCTAGCAGGAGTTGCCAGGTGATGGCTCGTACCTCCTCCGGCACCCCAGACCATGCTGCGGCGCGTAGGTCAGGCAGTGACACAGAGGTTGCTTGCAAGATCCGCTTGAATTTATTGATTCGAGATATTCGTGTATTGTGGGCTTCGACTTCCTTTGGCGACGCATTTGGTGGCAGGATGGGATGGTCGATGAGGTGGAGCGAATTAGCTGGATCTTTCAGGATCTCCTTGTATTGAGGTCTTAAGATCTTCCCGTCCCCCTTCTTTGCGCTCGGATATGACAGCGGGTTCCGTTCTTCGGCGATATCAAAACTGCTAGACCTGTCCCGACTAAGGGAGGCGGGCGGCGCAAGGCTGGGAGCGGATGATGTCTGAGAGAGCCTGGGATATGTGACTGGGTGAGATTTGAGTGTTCTGTTTTTTATGCTCCGTTTCCGTCGCATACTTGCAATACTGGGGAGGCCGAATTCGTCTTCATCCTCCTCGTACATCAAATCATCATCGCCTTCGTCAACGTCCTCTTCGCCCCGAAGTACATCCCAACTCTCCCCAAGGGCAGAGGACGTATAACCGGAATATAGCCTCTTTTCTGGAGAAGGAAGTCTGGCAGGAGGGGTCTGTGATGCCCGGGTGGACGAGGTTGGAGGAGTCCTGGGTCTCGAGCCGGGTCCAAGGGATCTGTACAGACCGTCAGTTGGGAACATTGCGGGCGGTTGACGGCATACAGTGAGTCGAATTTCAGCATGTCAGCATGCGAATAGGAAGCCCCGACCACTTTGTTCGACTTCCCGGACACGTGCTGAGAGCTTGAAGACCGGGATCGCCAGAAGGGCGATGAAGGTCGCCTGCATATGATCAGCATAATTCTTCCGATGGTTCACATATGTGCCGCGTACTCTGAGCTATCTTAGTACCACCAAAATGTTAGCGCGTGGTTCATGCACAATCGCATCGAAAGGGCGAAAGAGGTACGAACCGACCTGGGCCATCTCCTGTACAATGGTCAGTCAGTCAGTCGTCGTCTCCAACTCCGGGGACTCGAGCCTTACCTGCTGCTGAGACCGTTTACCGCCCATGATGGCGGAATTTCTCCCGAGGAGATCAACAGAAGGGTCTAAAGGAGATCAACAGAAGGGTCTAATACTGTGGTTTTCTCCTAGTTGCCTTTGCATGGAACGGCGAGAACATGCTTGGAGCGCGCCTCGCAACACGTTATATCGAAGGACCAAACACGTGTTTGCTTTGATACGGAGTGCGGAGGAGGAACTTGAACGGCGGAAACATGCCACGGGAACAGACTCGGGAGTCCCCAGCGCGGGCCACTTATCGTCATGTGACGTGCGGGCGGAACCCACACTCCTCCACGGACCACATTATGGCTAAAGATACTAACGGTCACTACTTTCGGATTCAATGTTGGGGTAGTACAGATTTCATGGTTCAATGGGATATATTTGTTTGGTAGAGCTATCCGTGGCCCGGACGGCAACCTGGCGGCTCAATATCCGAGGATAATCGCTTCCACTCCCTAAGAGAAACACATCCTTCCTGGCGCCCCCATGAACGGCTCCGGCATGCCAGCCAGAGAAGACTCCCAACACCACAATACGTCATTTCGTATCCTTCTGCAATGCATTTCCATCTCGCCTAGACCCTCGTCGGTATCATTGTTCATTCCAGAACCCCTAACTCCAAAGAACTCCCCCCGCTCCACCTTCAGCAAATCTCGTAAACACCGTGAGAGTGCGATATAGCCGGGCTGTATCGTGGGCCAAAGAATCCCTGCCTAGGCAGCAAGACTTTTTTTCCCGGACGACCGCAAAGATGCTCTCACTAGCTATTGTAACTCTCTGTAGTCAGCCTGCCTGGCTCGTCGGTTTCGGTTGATGTGACGATGCGGGTTGACTGGCTGTCTGAGATAGGCGGTGTCTTCTTCGTTTCCGACATGACGTTGTTGGTTTGAGAACTTCCCGCCGGCGGGGCCGGTAGGAGGATAGAAGTTCTGTGGTCCTTGGGGTTGACTGAGTGCTTTGGGCCCTGTAGGGACACCTGCCATGCCAGCCGGCTGCTGTAGCGGCTTGTTTTGCTGGAAAGGTACATTCCGATTCGGTCGATTGTTGTAATTGTTCTTGAACCCATTAGCTCCCATGTTGCTACGAGCTTGGTTCGGGTTCATATTGAGATTTGGCATTTGATTCGCATTTGCAAATCCCATATTTCCGTTCGCTTGGGGGAACATGTTCATAGTATTCATATTCATGCCGGGCATCATGGGAAAGTTCGGACCCATAAAGTTCATCGGATTCATCCCATTCATTCCCATACCCATGGCCATTGGATTCGCTAACGGGTTCATCATGAAGGGGTTGAAATTGGGCATCATAGGGAAGTTCATGCCATTGCCTTGCATCATCTGAGACATATCGGGTGGCATCATACTGGCGGGAAGCACGTTGTTACTCTCCGGTGACTTTGTATCCTCCTTCACTGTGTCCTGCTTTTCCTTTTCTTCACCTTCAGGTTTTGGCGTCGACGACGAGTCAGCCTCGCCCGACTTTTGCCGCTTCATGGCAGGGGCCGCTAGGTTATCCGAATCAGAAGCATCCACTTCACTCGCGCTGCGCTTCTTATTCTGGCCATCAGACGTCTTTGGCGAGCCTGGTTGGGGCCCGGAAGCTGAGCCATTGGCCTTGGGAGACTCGGCTGCAACGGTAGGACTTCGGGATCGTTGTTTCTCCTTTGCCTTTTCTGCCTCGTACTCCTTAATTTTCTTCTTCATGTCATCATCAGGCTCCAAAGCCTCGAGGCTGACGTTCTCTGTCTCACAACCTGGGCATGTGAGATCGTTTTCGAGTAACGCATTTTCAATACAATCGTGGCAGTACGTCTTCCCGCAACAAGGTGTCTTCATTGGATCTACAAACAAGCGCTTGTCAATCGGGCACTCCAAGCCTCGATCTTGTAGCTCCTTGTTACCAATCTGTAGGTTCTTGCTTGCCGCCTCGGCTGCCTTGACTTGTTCCAGATGCTTTTTCCAAGCCTTCTCATCTGCTTGTGCAAAGACATACTCTCCTTCTGCGTTCACCATGAGATGTTGCCTCTGCGCATCGTCAAGCTTATCGATGTCCGCTTGATCGATCTTTTTCAGCATGGACCGAGGAATACCAGTCGTTCGCTTGATGCGGTTTTTGTTGTCGTAGTTGGCGTCATCGTTGGTAGGACATGCTTGAATCCAGTGACCTGAAAATGTTAGTTTGTTGCCATTTGTATCTTTGGTAGGGTCCAATTCTCACCTTTCTTGCCACAGCGATAACAGATATAGCCGTGGGGTGGTTCGCCTTCTGGCACGTTTGCCTTCTTGAACGGCTTACCACCTTGCATAGGAACACGAGCTTCGTGGGACATCTCTTCTTGTTTCTGTTGCCACTGCGCGTCGGTAAACTGGAGCATGGCCTTCAGCTTTTCCTGCTCTGTTGTGGCTTTGTCCATATCCACCACCTTGACAGCCCTACTTGCTGCGGTAGCCGTCGTAGGTTTGGCACTGACAGGTGGCTTGCCCGACACATAGCGAGCTGCTCTACCCTTGCCAGGTGCTGAAGCCGGTAACCGACGTGCAAGGACCGTGGAATCTTTGGGAATAATCTCGGTGTCATCGGTGTATTCTATCTGTGTGTTAGAGGCATTCGTTGTATTGGCACAGCGGCTATCCTTACCTTCATTGCTGTTTTCCTTGTAGATCTTGAGGTCAAAATCTGTACCGTCCCCTAGGCGAGAAATGTTGATGATTTCACGTTTGAGATTCCAGACATCCGTATGAGGGCCATCGATGGTTACACGCTGAGGCTCTTTCTGCGATTTGAATTTGAAATACACGTAGGATGCCATGGCGGCGAAGCCGAAGGCGACAGGCGCTTAGAGGCGACAACAGCCGATCTTTGTACTCTGAGAGGATGGAGCTTGGTGTAAGAGTGATGTCGAAGGTGCAATGATGCCTGGGTAATGGCTTTCTTGCAAGGGACAGTCAAGGTATAGCCAGCGGGAGAAGGGCAATGTTTATTGAAAAGTAGACAAGTAATGATTCAGCTTCAGAGTCCTGACTGCAAAACAGGCAACTCGATCTTATCCACCAGCCGTGCTTGCACCGAGACCAGTATGATTCTGCCACACCCAAACGATCGATGTATAACAGCCACCGCTTTCACAATATTGAATAGACTCTTGACTAGGTGACCTTTCCCTGCCTGACAACCGGCAACTCCTGTGCAAACAATAGTGTCACTAACAGAGGTTGACGAACCCAAACTGAGCTTGAAGTGAAGTCGAAATCTCTTTAATACAACGTCACGTGAACCTGCTGTTTGCGGGTATGAAAGCGTCGTTGACACAAAGAGAGGCTGGAGCTCTTAAAACAACCACGGTGAAGTCAGAATGAACAGATATGCAAGAACAAGAATGGTCGATGGAAGAGGTGATGGGAAATGGTGCGGAGGCTGGGCAGTAGTGATGGAAGAAGATGTCGAAAGAAGAGAAAGAGGCGCAGGCTGGCGACGGCATTTCAAACTGTCACGCGGCGAGCCAAGTCGAAGATTAATCAGCTAACACTGAGGGCAGCTTTGCCGAGCTAGTCACGTGACATAAAATGATTGCCTAAAAGTACGCCCGGGCTTGTCCCTTCTGCCTCTACGATGAAGACTCGCACCACCACTGGCAAGATTCACTACTACAACACAATGCATGGCAGATACGAGGTTGGAGTTCGGCATGTCCGCATGCTAGATAACAACTGAAAAAGAGTGTCCACAATGCATATTGGTATTGCTCCGGGCTGCCGGATGCGGATGCGTATAAGTCTGCCATCCCAGGATCAAAGGACATAGCTTAACTGATAACCTCCTGAGCGTCGAGCTGCTTCATGACCTCAAACAGTACTTCCCTGGTTGTGAGATATGCGTTCTTGGGATCCTTCCTCACCCGCTGCCAGACCTCGCCGTGCTTGGGTTCACTGGCAATACAGCTTGCGATGACATCCTCTCTTTTCTCCTGCACGAACAACGATGTTAGCGACATTACTAGCAATATCCTGGGGTGGCAGGTAATAACTTACTTCGGTGCCGTGCTGCATCAAAAACTTCAGATACCATGCCCATGTGTCCCCCAAGTCGCTGTCAAGGACAATAGCCTTCTCAAACCAGCTCATAGCCTTGTCTAGTTTCCGTTCACTCCAGAAGATTCGGGCCACTGTGACGAAGAGTATGGGGTCGTTATCGACATTCTTAATCGCCTCCAAACTCAGCGGCTTCCGCTGGGTCCTGGGCTGCAACTTCCAGATATTTTCTGCCCAAAGTAGTCCAGATTTGGGACATTCCTGCAGCGCTTTGGACATCAAGATCTTGGCTTGTTGGATATTCGGTGGTTTCGCCTGGAGTTCGACCCTAACGCTTTCGACCCACAGCTCGGGGTTCTTGGGATTCTGCAACCTCGCTCGGTCAAGAACAGATCTCGCTTTGATCGTTATGCCCGCCTTTTCTTCCAGCTTTGCGGCAAGCAGCCAGAGAGGTACAGACTTGGGACATGCCCTTGTGCCTTGCGAGTAAGCCTCTCGCGCCTGCTGGATCATGCCTTTGTCCTCGTATATCTGACCCTTCATCATCCATAGCTTAGCACTTCGCGGAAATCGCGTTTCCTTCTTGTCCACCACGGTTGATGTAAGCCCCTGGAGGACCAAGTCAAGAGCAACATCGATGTTACCCAGCTGTCTTTCGTATGCCGCGCTCTTATACCATACTCGTTCAGTAGGGGCCTCCTGCCTTGCGGTGGCAAGTAGCTCTCGTGCTTGCTCAACCTGCTTCGCGTCCGCCTCCAGCTTGACTGCTGCCAGCCAAATCTCTTCGTTGTTCGGATTCTGGTTGAAGGCTTTGCCGAGGACACGACGGGCGTCATCAACTTCTCCCGCAGCCCACTTCTCCCGCGCAAGCTGGAGCCAGAGGACCTCTGACTGAGGACAAGCTTCGACGGCTTTCTCGAGAACCTGCCAAAGCGCCTCCTTGGTGCCGTGATTCCTTTCGAGATCCGCAGCGGCCATCCAGAGAGATTTGCTGGTGGGAAATATTCGGAGGGCATAGGCGTAGATAGCTCTGGCAGTCTCATACTTCCCTCGTGATATGCTGGCCTTTGCGTCGTCTTTGAATATCTCTTTCCGATCGTCATCCTCATCTAACGACCAGCCAAGCGTTTCCCGGATGATGGCACCGCACGTCAAAATTGCGCCCTCTTCTTCACATTTCTCGGCCTCTGCAATCCATTCCTCACGCTTGAGCATGGCTCCTTCTTTGGCAAGGGCTTTGACTGCCCGATTCATGATGTTCACCTTGTTGGCATTTCCTATTTGCTCCTGTAATCGAGCTGCTGCGATCCAAATCTCGTGACTGGTTGGCACAGCCTTCCTGGCTTTGTTGAGGACAGCTTGAGCATTCTCGGGCGTTTCAAGTCGAGCAAGAGCCAGCCATAACTCGACCGACAAGGGAATGACTTCGGTGGCTTTTGCAAGCAACAATTTCGCATCTTCGGGATCCTCCTCCAGGTTGACTGCCTCTTTCCAGATCGCGACTGATTGCGGGATATGGTCCAAAGCCTGTCGTAGCACTCGCTTTTTGGCTCGGGGGTCGGACTCCAATTTCATGGCCTCGATCCATAACCTCGTCGAACGGTCATTGTGCTTGATGGCATTAGCAGCGATGATCTTGGCGTTATGGTTGTCATTCAGTCGAATGTTCTCTAGCCAGACATCCTCGTTCTTGGGGCAATTCTCGCATCCCTGGGCAATCAATTTTCTTGCCGTGACGATCTTGCCAGCCAACTCCTCCAATCGCGCAATTGCTATCCAACCTGGGCCGTGCTTCGGATTCGTCTTGCAGACCGACTCTAGAAGGACTCTCACCCGGTTAATGTCGCCGGCATCGGCACCCAAAGAACTCAACTCCGTCTGTGCAAGACTCGTAAGGTATCCTTTGGGATCTATTGTTGACGCTGAGCCCGTGCCTGCGTCCATCTGCGCAGCACGATCCAGCCTAGCTTTCAACACCTTGTCTCTCGCAGCACCAATGTCGGCAAAGTTGGTCATGGTTCCGTCTTTATTGTCTGCACTTGTTTGTATCCCATCGTCTTGGACGCTGGTCTGAAACTCGGTCGAATCTCGTGCGCCCGCCAACACGGTGTCAGGGACTGGGTAGAAGCGTTGCCGGAGGTTCTGTTTGGAGCGCCGATTCTTCCCAGTTAGGTCGCCAGGCTCCGGCAAATTGGCCCAGTCTTCGTCCGAAACAGTCGCAAGATTTCGTTTCAGGGCGGCGAATTCCTCGGAGATCTTGGGGTTCTTTCGGTTGTATTCTTCTAGCTCTTCTTTCTCTCGTTGTTCCCTAAAATGCGGCGTATGGTTCATGTCGGTAATCTGTTCATGGCAGAGTGGAAAAGATAAACCACAACATTCTTGATAAAGACGACTGGAAACAGGGAAGGGGCGGGCAGGGGAGTTCACTAACCTTGGTCTCTTTCGCCGCTTCTCAATCTTCTCGTCCACCGCTTGGTAGATGCGATCCGCCTCGTCGTCGGCCTGGTCGTATTGTCCGTAGGCAAACAACCCGACTTCATTCTCAGGATCCTGAAATCGTTCATCGTCTTCTTCCTCCTGTTCCTGTTTCTTCTTGTCGACCGCACCGTAGGCTGTTGGAGGCGCTGCTCCTAGTTGTGCCGCTCGTTTCGCTAGGGCTTCTTGAATTTGTTCGGCGCTTGGTCCATCTCGCGCAGGCCCCAGATCTGACCGGGTCGTGAACCCTGTTGCACCTCTACCGAGACCCGCGACATAGTTCTCGGGCGCTTTTTGATTGAGAAAGTCCCGTCGAGAAGCCATGATGCTGATGTAGACGTGCTGCGGCTTGCGCCGGTTGAAGAGGCGGAACAACCACGCACGGTGCCAGCAAGGTGGCTATAAATACGCCCAGATGTTGTAGAGATCAATAGATCTCGCGTGAATGAAGGCAAGGCTGCCTTGATAGGTATTGGCCGGTAGATGCCCGGTAAATTGCTTGCGCATCTCCACGATCGCCGCAGGCCGGAAAAATTCTGCCGCCTTTCACCGCCCAGAGTCCACCAAAAAGTTTCCAAAAAGTACGAAGACCGGTCTACTTCAGCGACTGTCTCGACCATTGCATAGCATTACGCCGCAGCGAGCCTGCGAAAATCCAGTAGTCAGAGCCGACAAACGCATCAGAGTCGCGAGGCCAACGCCATTCAGCGATACATCAAAATTAGCCTCGATTATCCCGATATTACACCAACGCCGCCATCCGCCCCAGATCTTCCATTGCGACTAAATCGCCAACTGCCCTCTCCCGCGTCGACATTTCTTGCACTATAGAGAGAAATGAGAAGATAGTACGAAGAGGCTAGCACAGAATCAACTCCAAACATGCCAAAAATACAGTCCAAGAAACGCGCCGCCGGCGGCGGATCATCGACGCCTTACTCCAAGTCGAGCAAAGCGGCGTCCTCGAACGCAACATCCAATGCAATCTTCAAGATGAACACAGACATCGGTCAGCACGTATTGAAAAACCCTGGAGTGGCACAAGCGATTGTGGACAAGGCGGACCTAAAACAATCCGACATTGTGCTAGAAGTCGGCCCCGGAAGCGGCAACTTGACGGTCAAGATTTTGGAGAAGGCGAAGAAATGCATAGCAGTGGAACTGGACCCGCGAATGGCGGCCGAAGTGACGAAGCGTGTACAGGGAACACCGCAGGGAAAACGGCTGGACGTCGTCCTGGGGGATGTGATCAAGACCGACTTGCCCTACTTCGACGTCTGCATCAGCAACACGCCCTACCAGATCTCGAGTCCGCTAACGTTCAAATTGCTCGCCACCAGCCCGGCGCCACGGGTATGCATACTCATGTTTCAGCGAGAATTCGCCATGCGTCTGTTCGCCAAACCGGGCGGCAAGCTATACAGTCGACTCAGTGTGAACGCGCAGATGTGGGCCAAGATCGACCATATCATGAAAGTAGGCAAGAACAACTTCAAGCCACCGCCCGCGGTCGAAAGCAGTGTCATCCGCATGGTGCCCAAGAATCCACGACCCAACATCTCGTATGAGGAGTGGGATGGACTGTTGCGGATCTGTTTTGTCCGGAAAAACAAAACTCTCAGAGCCAATTTTTTGGGGACGACCAGCATAATGAATATTCTCGAGGCCAACTATAGGACATGGTGCGCTCAGAACGATGTTCCTCTGGAAGAAGGGCCGGCTGAGGACGACCAGATGGAGGTGGAAGGGGAGGATGCGCAAGAAGATCCTGCCGGTGAGGATGATACCTGGGACGGGCTTATGGACGTCGACGCCGATGAGGATGGTGACGATCTTCCAGCCTTCTTCAAGGACCAGCAATCATCTCTGCTCAAGGCAGCGGCAAAAGGCTCGAATCGAAAGCGAAAAGGCAAGGTTGCTGAGCTTGTGCGTGAGAAAGTCCGCTCCGTGCTTGAAGACAAGACCCAGCTGGCGGACAAGCGAGCACGAATGTGTGACGAAGGCGACTTTTTGAAACTACTCTGGAATTTCAACCAGGAGGGAATCCATTTTCGATGATCAAAAAAAGCATCAACATCATCGACCACAGGGAAAACTTTACGCAATATCCGAGCCTTGCAATGCGTCTCGGCTTTCCTTTGTGGCACACAAGACCTTTCTCCCCTTGAAGGTCTACGTTTACGGGTCATCTGATGGCGTTACGTCTTCCGTCCATGTTGTCCTCAGGATAATGCTGCAAGATTCCGCCGCTCTACTGCAGCCAGGGGAGGTCTGGGGATGACATTGAGGATCTATTGACAGGCTCACTACATTCCCCAGAAGCGACGGTGATTGAGCTAACATGGGCTGACGATGCCTAGCAGCCAGCATGAACATGGCCCGAGGACAAGTTGAGGACTTCCGCCGACCACAACTGTGGCCCAGGTCTATTAGAGATCTCCCAGCTATGATGGCCTGGTGGTTGCAATGGTAGCACTGCGAATGGATCAAGGAAGCTCTGTGCAAGCCGCGAGCGTCCAAACACAGAAAGGATCCGCGACACAGCCCGACTGGATCGCGTTTTCACAATGATGACGTTCAAGGCGGACTAAGAGTAAATTACGACTTTGCTTCATTTTGATTCGCGGCAAGCGATGCATGACACGTTGGTATGGTTTGGCATTGGTACTGGTGCAAGTTACCTACATATCATTCCAACATTGCCACACATGGCCATCCTGACCTCGAGGGGCAGGCAACATCCAGTCACGCAGCCAGCCAGCCAGCACCCCTGAACGGAAGGTGTACCTCAACCCCATCATACCTCGCACGCCTTTTATCTGGTCTAGCCTGACTGGAAGGAGGAAACGGATCAGACGAGTTCAGATGAGCTGAGATCAGATGAGAATTCTTTCTCTGGCCTTTGTCTGTGTTCTATTGGGGTATGGACGAAATGAAATGAGGTGCAATGAGATTGCCATCAAACTCAGACTCATCAGCCCAGACCAAAGCCGAACCGAACCGGATCAGACCAAACACTTTCGCGCCAAGATGACTTTCGTCTCCTGCAGTAGGCTCTTCCAAACAGAGGCGGAGGGAAAAGTGTCTGAAGGACAAAAAGAAATTGAGAGATCAATAACAGTCAGTCGAGGGAGCAGGCAGACCCACCGCATGCAAGTTGTATGCGGGTGTCTGTCCCAGAGCACTCGCCTACAGTAGATAAGTACCTATCTTCCAGATAGTGAACGAAATACAAGAAAGAGCCTCCTCTCTCTACCTACTCATCCGTTGGCCTGATTTTCAATCTTGCGTATGTGGAGATAGACGGAGATAGAATGGTTTCCAGAACCACATATTTACTATACCAATTTCCACGTGGAATCGAATCAGGAACATTTGATACCAGCACACTTTTTTCGCTATGCGTGGGGAATCCAACAGTGTAGTTGTATACATACTTATATTCCTGAGATAGCTGGTAGACCCCATACATATTCCCAATACACCCACTGGCATAACACTCGTAAAGGGCCAAACACACCCATCCATCGTCCCACTAGTGGCACCTCTGCAAACAAAGCATGCGTGGGGGCTGGAATAAATAAATGTGTCGAGGATGCAATCCGATCTGCTTTCCTCGCTCGCCATAGAATCATATCATATTTTCGTAAACATCGTACATCATGCATTATATCCATATCCATTTGTTGCGGCTTCTTGAAAGACAACAACGAACAGAGGGGGAAAAAAGCTCATACCGGCCTCAAACATAGAGCCGGTGAAATCCCTTCCACATGAGGCGGATTTCCGCTCACTGGAAGTTGGCATTGAACCCACAGCAGGCCATACGCATACCTAGGAACAGACAACTGCTTGCTTGTCCTGCCCTGTCCAGCAGGATCATGGAGCAGCCTCTTCGCGTTCGGCACGATCATCTCTCTCATCAAGCGCATATTCCAAGTCCCAGGGGCGCAACAAATCTGAGGAATAATCGTAACTGAACCCGCCCGGAAATCGCTCGAAAAGACAGAATCCGCCCAAAAGGAAAACAGCCGTCAAACTGCAAGCAGCAGCAAAAAAACTATCAAGTCCAGTAAACATCGTCAATCATAAGTTCGTACCTCGTTTGCCAAAACAACGGAAAACAACAAATAACCAAGAAACAGACATTGTTCTTCGGCCCAACTGTGTAGCCCTTTTCCGGCCAAACCAGTAGAGCACAATTTGATGGCAGCAACACAAAGTCCAAACCCCACCGGCTTTCTAATGCTTTTGAGATCTTCCTTTTTTTGCTTTTGTAGGAGAAGAGCTCGCAAGCTGTGCCAACTCGAGAACGACCGACGGCGCCCAAATGTACAAATATCAGCGAACGTGCTCGAATAGAGCTGAACAGAAAGAAGCCGGCGCAGAAAACGGTGGGTATCCCGCAGAATAAAAAGCCAGCATCAATAAAAAAACTCCAGTCGTGGCGATATCGCCTCAGAAAAGGCAGAGTGAAGGTCGACGACTTGTCCTCAAGCTCCGTACACTTCTTCATATTTTCTGGCATAGTCAAGGCTCCGGCGTGGGTTACCTTCATAACCATGCTCGCCGGTGCTAGGGGCCCGACTGTGTTGCCGACTTGATCGTACGCTGGGACCCCTTTCTTCAGCACGAGATGGACGACGGGACGGCTGAGTCGGAAACGAAGCTCGATCCCGATCGCGGTCCCGATCCCTGTCGAAACTGGAAACAACGCTCGAGACACTATTCTTCGAAGCGCGACTAGCAACACTTGGTGCGCGCTCAATTCTCTTGACCTCTTTGGTGCGATCAGCAGCTTCGCTCTCTTGTGTAGCGACCTTGACAACTACGTTGCCGATGCTGATGCTAACAGGTCGCCCGTCGTTACTCATATAGTCTGGTGATATGCTCATGTTCACCCCACCACCAGAAAGCGCAATGCTGGTCTTCATAGTGCTGGCAGTGGTGGCTTGGCTCTTGCCTAGCCCGGACGAATCTTTGGAAGACGACTGCCGGCTTTTGTGGCTATAGCTGCTTTCCGTTTCAGACCGGGAACTAGTGTTGCGATGATTGAGATTTCGAAGGGCTTCGGCGGTGAGCTCGTTCGACGTCTTGTTACGTCGTTCGAGGTATTCTTCAACAGCCATTTCTCCATCGTCGGCAGCCACAGCAGACTGGGTGGTTTGACGGGTGGCAATGTTGGGGCGCGAGGGTGTTTTGGCCAGCCCAGCGGAAGTACTGTAGGACATAGATTTGGCCGGCAGAGCAGGCCGATCCCGAGCTTCCGTGGCGACACGAGCCCCTCTATAGGATGTCGGAGGGCGAGAGGAGGATTCTCGCCTCTCCCGTGTGGGAGGTAGAGGCATGCGACTCTCTCGGCAGTCGTAGTCCTCAAAATCCTCGTCAAACCGCTCCAGATTGTGCGTAAAATGCTGGTGCACTGGGCTTTGCTGGACATGGTAGGTTTTTGCCCGCCTAGTACTTGGTCTGTGTGTCGTCTCCGGTTGGTACTGTGGCGGCTTTGCTGGAGGCGGCATCAACACCCGATCATGGTCAATGCTACGATTAGGCTTGTGCGACGGAAGCGGCGGTCGGTTCTCTCTCGACGGAACCTTTTCGGAAATAACTGGTGGAGGCTCATATTGGCTTTGCCGAAGCACTGGCTCGCCATACGTACTTGAACGACGGCGGACAGGGCTAGACCTCCGGCTTGGTCTGGCTGAGTGAGGTTCTGGCATGGGAACGGCATGTTCGAAATAGGAAGGTTGTTGATAATAGGCAAAAGAAGGGGTTGACACGGGTGGCGGTCCATATGAATACGAGGCTGGGCTGTAAGGCACCGACGGTGTAACTGGAGTTGGCCAGGCTGCCGCTGTGATGGCTGGGGTCTCGTAGAACGCTTGGTTGATATATTGCAATGGCACTCCATGCGCAACCATACTAACAGGTCTCGACTGTTGTTGCGAAGAAGAGCGTCTAATCTTTGTGGGCAAGACAGTGTCGTCCCTGGAAGTCTTCGGTCCGGTTTGGCGGACCGTCCTGGGCGAAGGTGGAGGTGGCGCACTCGAGGTCGCCGACACATCGGTTCTCATATCACCGTGTTTCGCGTAGTGATCGTATCTATGGCAGATTTCGGGCTCCTGCGAGATGGGCTTGCTTTTCGGAGGATTGGCAGGGGGTTGCCCCTGAGACGAGGACTGGCGACGGGATGGTTGCCTCGTAGGCTCCGCCTTCGACGATGAATAAGGCTGTCGTGTTCTCTCTGGGATGGCTGCGGCGGTATCCACCCTTAAATCAGGCATCTTCCGTCGACCTGCACTCGTAGATCCCGTACTCACGGTGTCCGCTCGGCTTGCGTAACCGGAATCACTGCCGCCGTTGCGCAATGATTGCTCGCCTTGTTTGGCGGACACTTCTTGCTGAGGTCTTCTGCCAGACACATTGGCCGTCCTGAGCGACTCGGGCAGCGCCACTTGTCTGTATTCATCGAACTCCTCAACAGTGGCGGGCCGCGGTGCGCGACGCTCGATTTGAGGCATGGGAAAGGCGGCGACGAGATGTGAGAGGCAAACAGGTTGTCGCAAAGAATGAACGACAGTCGCAGGGCGAAACTTGAATGTGGTGTATGATGGTCGTCCGGAGTGTGGAGTGACCAGGCACCGGGAGGGTGCCAGTGGGCCAGGCTAAACTTAGTGGGCGGTCGAGTTGTTTTGGCACTGGACAATGGACAATGGACGGCTGGAGCAAACCCGCCGCGGGTCGAGGCTGGAGGCGCGTCCCGGCGACCGGGTGGTTGCTCTGGAATCCAGCTGAATCGCTGAGACCTCGTCCCCTGGTCTGTCTTCCTGGTGAGCCAGCCGTGGGATTTTCTCTGCGACTGTCGACGCGACGTCTTCTTGGATATAGCCCCCGACCCTCTTCTTGTTTTGTTATACCGAGTACCTCAATCTGCGTCTCGTTGATGTAGTTCCATGCCGAGCAACCTGCTCTTGATCGCCCACTCTTTCCACTTATCGTGACAATCGAAACGCCCTCTGACCAAGCCTTGTTGTTGTGGCGAGGATGTCGCACGTTTAACGTTGTGTACAGTCTGCCTGTGGATTTGCTGCGCCGTTCCGGTCGCACAGGATGCTGCTCCTATCAACACAATGTCGCTGATAGCTAGCGACCAACGAGACGATTTTACATGCGTTGCAATGACACTGTGATAGACGCTGTAGTCGTGTGCAGTCTTGATTTGCTTGTCGGCTGAGAGTTGCGCGTGTCAGGAGGAAGGACGACGGACGGCTGATGCGACCTTCTGAGGCAATAGGATGTGTTCCAGGTTGTTCAGGATAGCTACAGGCAAGGGACAAGCGGAGGGAAGAAAAGGGGACTCAAATGGCTATGTTTGGGTTGCGCCTCGAAACAAGGAGTCATCCTCATCAACCCCACTACGCGTGGGTTCAGGCTGCCGCCGCGAAGGAGGGAGGGAGAGCCGTGACGGCCGGAGGGGACGGCGTCTCGTCAATCGCGAGGAACCTGTTGTGAATACAAACTGCACAGAATGACGAAGGTGAGTCGGGGGCAGCAATGGGTTGGTAGGGAGACAGGGAGGAAACCCTCGCTGCCACCTGCATCTGGTAGGCTTTCCACTGGTCCAGCGTCGAAAATGGCGCAGGTCGAGGGCAGCGTGTCTGAGCAATGCCAGTGGGAAGAGGGATTCCAGGGCCAGTTTGAACCGGTGTCATCCAGGGCGTGCAAATATTGTCCTGTCGGTTGGTTGAGGTGCATGAGGTGCGGGCTGGTCGATGGTGTTTTGCGATGTGAATGGACAATAAAATCCAATCAGATGCCCAACACGCGCCTCCCGTGAATCCCTCGCAATTCAAGGAGGGAAAAACTCGAACCACTGCAAACTTGAACTGCAGCGCAGGCTTAGAAGGCCGTGGCAGGCACCGCAGCCAGCGACACGCTTCAACACCCTCTCTTGTCGTCGACTTATCTGCAAAGACTCCTAGGTAGTCATCCTCTACCCTGCAACTCGGTCTCGGTTCCTCGTTGGCTCCATGGTCGACTTCAGAATCACTCGTGACTCTCAAGAGTCAATCGACCGGTAGCCCACTCAGCCTCAATGGACATGATGATAATCAGTGCGACGAGTTGTGGTGTCTGCAGATACTGGCGAAGCTCGATCCCCCCGTCTGCCGCCACTCATCTTCCCCCCTGCTCCAGCCTTTCACTGTTATACTCGGTGACGAATCCGGGATTCGGCTTCGGATAGGGGATGCAAGGTGATACAACAGCTGGCCGCGTGGCTAGAGACCGGAGCACGCGGGGAGCCTACATTCAGCATGGCTGACTACCTCCATTGTGAAGAGACGAGAGGGACCAAAGTCCCCATTGTTTGCGTGTGGAAGTTGCTTACTTGCCCCTCCACCCAGTTATCCAGCCATGGCTCACCATGGCGGAAAGTCGTCCCGTATCTAACTATGTAGGAAGAATCCAGTTGTCTATCATCTAATAGCTGAGCACGAACATCAATAGCCTGGCCGGTCCATTTCTTTCTTGCGCCGCCGCTGTCACCGGCCGCTGTTCAAGCACAATTCAAACTGTTTCCCACGACACGGCAAGGTTGCTCAACGAGTGTTCAGATTGTATTGCTGCTAAAGTCCCTTGAGGCAGCAAAGCACAGCCCACCCTTTTCAAGATGATCAATCCCAAAAGCATCAGTCGAGATACTACGACCCATGCACACCTTGACCACTGCACTGAATGCAACCCAGCCTCGAGAGGGGCAAGGCAAAAAGAAAAAGGCGGAGAAGGAGAAGAAAGTTATGGCGTCGATGGGCGTAACCCTACTGCAGCAGCCTGGGCAGCCTTAGAGTCTAGCTGACCAGCTCGACTTCTGCAGCTAATGCGAGGTCTGCCAGCATGCTCCCTTCACTACGACGACCTGTCGCCCATTCATCGCTTTCATCCGACCAGCCGTCATGGTGGATGAGCAAAAGGCAAACGATAGGGTTTAGAAGTCGAACCCTGGGCTTCGGGTGATTCTTCTTTTTGTCCCGAAATCTCCCGCTGAAAATGCTCAAACACCCCTGTTGTCACAAAATACCATCCCTGGAGCTGTCTGCCAATCCAGCGGAAAGCCACTACATCCTCTGTACCGGGGTTAGGCCGAGTAGGGTCATGCCATTCCAGAGCACCTGCCGGGCAGCCTCGTACAGAGCCAGCCGAGCCTTCTGCAGCTCGGGCTCGCTTCCCACAACCTGTAAGTGATCATAGCTTGAGCTCAACGCATGCGCCATCTTGAAGAGATAGGTCAGCACGGTGGACGGCTCACGGGTTTTGAGTGTGTTGGTGACCACGTCGGGATATTGAGCTAGTGCTCGCACCAGATTGATCGCATGCGGCTCTTTCAGCAACGATAGGTCGGCAGAATCCAGTTTGCTCAGGTCTACATTTGCTTTCCGCTCGATGGAACACAGTCGTGCATGAGCATACTGTAAGTAGGGGCCCGTGTCACCCTCAAAAGCCGTCATCTGGTTGATGTTGAATTCATAGCCGTTGCGAACCTTGCCCGTCAAATCCTGTACCATGATGGCCGTGATGGCAAGGATGTCGGCCACGGCCTCTGGATCCTCTAGCTGCTCGTATTTCTTTTCGTTCTTCTTCATCACTTCCAGCATGACGTCCTTGACCGAATTGATCACATCGTCCAAGAACTTGACTGTGCCCTTTCGCGTGCTCATGCCCTTGACCATGCCGAAGGAGATGTGCTCGCATTTGTCCGAGATCTCCTTGTGACCACTGATCTCGGTCGTCTTGAACAATTGGGCGACGTGCTCATTCTGCTGGTCAGCAATCACGTAGATCATCTTGTCGAAATGGTAGGTCTCGTAACGTTCAAGGATCGCCGCCAGATCTCGTGTCAGGTACAGCGGGGTACCGTCTCTGCGCACGATAATGGCTTTGTTGAGCTTCTTGGCACCGTGCTTTGCGAAATCAATGAGAATGGCACCTTCTGACTCTTCCGCGATTTTCTTGGCCAGAAGATCGTCCAGCACTTTCTTGATAGTCTCTTGTTTGACTTGGGATTCACCCGAGTAGACGTCAAACTCGATGTTTAACCGTGCGTAGGTTTTCTTGTATTTCTCAATACTCATGTCTCGGAACTTCTGCCACAAGGCGAGGGCTTCCGGGTCGCCGTCCTCCATACTCTTGAAGTATTTTCGAGCCTTCTCGTCCTCACTGGCCTCGACCATAGGCGCGAGTTTCTCCTCAAGCTCCGTCACGTCCTCGCCCTTGGCCTTTTTCTCCTTGATTTCTTTCTTCAGTTCATTAATCGGTCCGTCCTGGTCGGACTTGATCTGATTGATCTTCACGTAAACCTGAAACAGATGCGCGATGGAGTTCTTGTCCAGTTCTTCTTGACTGCCGAACTGCTTGAATCCATTGGCGAGAAGCCCGTACTGCTTGCCCCAATCGCCCAGGTAATTCATCCGGATGACATCCCAGCCTGTCCTGGCATACAGTTTCGAAATGAAGCCTCCAATAATCGTACTTCGGAGATGACCAGCGTGAAACTCCTTGGCAATGTTGGGCGACGAGAACTCGACCACAACCCTCTTCTGGCCCTTTGATGGATCCTTGGGATCTTTCAGACCAGGCGTCGGATCAGACCCGTACGCCTTGGTAGTCTTGAGAATCTCCGGAATCACAAATTTCGTGACGTGGTCCGGCTTGAAGAAGAACTGCACGAAGGGACCAGAGTTCATGGCCGTCGCGTGCGTGTCCTCAGCACTGGACGGGAATGCGTCGGCGATCTCCTTGGCCAGATCCTGCGGCGGCTTGCCCTTGATCCGCAGCGCTGCAACTGGCAACTGCAAGTCTCCTTTGTCTAGAGTCGTCGTCCATGCTAGCAAGGGGACGATTTCCTCGGCTTTTCGGTCAATGATGGACGCTAATCGCTCCGCTATGTTGCGTCGGTACAGGTTGACGGGATTTTGCGCTTTGGACATCTCGTCCAGCGTCAATGATGAAAATTTTTCACCGACGTCTGCCATGATGCTGGAGATCGGTCGGGATGATGTGCTGTAAATCTTGAGAGGGCCACTCTTGGGATATGACTGCCAGCGCCTCAATGCAGATTTTCTGGTATGGGTTGCAAACGGGTCCTTCAAAGTACTCCGAGCTGTTTGAAGAATCGATGGTAATACACAGATCAAGGTTGACTGCGAGTTAATAGAAAATCGGTAGCAGGAGGAACAGCAGCCAAGTGACATCCTCTTTGTAGAGTCATCGTATGTCCTTCAGCGACCAATCTTCTGCTCAAAAAAGTTGATATCTTGGCACTTCGGGGCCCGGATCAACATTATTCCGTTGTTAATCCGCAGCCTTGCGCTCGTGCTCCAAACTTAAGGCTTCCGTCACTGTATCCACTTGAAAGTTATTGGAAATCCTGCGCATTCTTTCCACACGTTACGAGCCCCGGTCCTCGTTCATAGGAAGTATGTCGGTCGTTCGACTACGTAATGGCGGACCAATCGAGCGATGCGCCAGAGCCCAATGGCCAAGAAGATCACCAAAAACATGAGCATCGGTCTAAACGCTTCCGCTTCAAGTCAAAGAAAGAGGACAGACCCCGCAGCGACGCAGAGACCAAGCGCAAACGGCATCGAGACGAGGACCACCAACACCGGCACCGAAAGCGCCGCCGGTCCTCGCGCGAATCTAATAGAGATCCTCGTTTCTCGTCAGGCTACCTAGACCCAGATCGAGCGTTTCGGGAATCTCTGTTTGACGCCCTCGGTGACGATGAGGGCGCAACCTTCTGGGAGGGCGTCTACGGCCAGCCGATACACAACTACCCAAATACCTACGAGGACGCGGAGACCGGTGAACTGGAACGTATGACCGATGAAGAGTATGCGCAGTTCGTCCGGCGCAAAATGTGGGAAAGAAGCTGGGAAGGTATCGAGGCCGCCAGAGAAGAGAAACGGAGGGAGCGAGAGAAAGAGAAGCAGCGAATCCGTGACGAGGAGCGGAGGCGAGCCGCAGATGGAATGGCAGACCACGACGACTATATCTTCGATACTCAGATTGAAGCCAGCCTTCGACGGGGTGAGAGGAGGAAAGACCGCAAGCGGTGGCAAAACCTGTGGCAGGAATATTTGCATCGGGGGGAGGAACTGCAACAGCTCGCCGAGACGCGGCAGAAGTGCGAAGAGGCTGCGGAACAGCTCTATCTGCGGAACAAGATAGCTTGGCCCGTTGAATCTGGCGAGCGCAAAGATTTGGTCCGGGAAGAGATTGAGCGGTTTATCAGGAAGGGTACAGCAGCGGCTGCTGGGGATGGTGAGCAGACTGTCGATCCGTTCGCTGCTGCTATCAAGTCTGAGCGCGTGAGGTGGCATCCTGACAAGATTCAACAGCGGTACGGCTTCATGGAGATTGACGAACACACCCTGAAAGGGGTTACGGCCGTCTTTCAAGTTCTAGACTCTATATGGCACGAGATACGAAACAAGGCGGGGGATTGATGACTGGTGTAAATGATAATGACCGCACGGATTGCGTACATAGGAGCCTCTGATGATCGATGGGTCGTCCTCTACCGTTGGTGCTGGAATTGAGCAACCTCTTCATGGAGAGGCGGAACCCCGTCAGTCCACTCTCGCACAATGTCTTCGGGGACGTCCCTGACAAGAACATGGACATGCTCCAGGCCAGGTACCGATTGGAGTGCTGTCCAATTTCTGAACCACATGATCTTTTCGGGCTCGCCGGGCAAGTCTTTGATTCGGTCAACGAAGGTCTTCTGGATGAACTCTTCAACTTGCTGGCGAGACTCGGGCGTCATGTCGCCTCTAGTTGGCTCCGACTCCAACCTGGTTTTCAGCCACACAATGAGATGGCCGATCCCAGGGGCAAGTCCATAAGGCCAGTCATTGAGTAGAATCTTGTAGTCGTCCGGATCCGCAAACGGGACAGGATTCTTTACGGCAAACTCGGGCTTTGCATCAGGGGCCGACGATGGTAAAGGAGACCATTGGAGCCTTTCGGCCATCACAAAATTGGGAACGCTGCCATATCTTGCCTTGATGTCCGCCGACCAGGCTTGATAGCGTCTCAAGTCGGAAGGCCGTCTCTTGAGGACGCTGAGATCGTGCTCAGCTATGCTCAAGTCAGCCGAAAGCCCATGAACAGCAATCTAGCCTCCAGCAAAAGCACACACCAATGATTTGTTTGAGTTCTTCCCATGTATGTGGTTGGAATTCGTCATCGGACATGGCCAGGACAGCCCGATCAACGTCCGTCAAAGGGAACGGGGGTGGAGATGGATCTGGGGTTTCGAAGGAATCTGGCCGCAGAGGCATCGTGATTTGACTTTGGCGGACTCTTTCCGTGGTGACCCCAGAAATATTGTAGTGAAATTTGGGGAATCAGAGAGGATCGAGAGCGGTCGTTGGGGAGGGATCCGATCCGTCGCACTTCCACAAGAAGCCAGTTCAAACGTTAGGACCAAAGGAGAAATCTACGCCGGATCAGTTCAACTGACAGAGGGTCGCCATCCGGGCGAAGCCCACAGACACAAGGTGGTGGTGTGGGTTGGCAGCCCAGGGAGCGTACGATGCAACTGTACGGGCGTCTCTTCGCTCCCACCTGTGGGTTGTCGGCGCTTTCAAGTTGAGAGTCGCTCTCTTCCGTTCGCTCGGAAAGACCCCGCAGTCACAAAGCGAATACCTGGTATTGTGGAGTACGAGGATTTGGTAGAACTTCAGGTAGAAGCACTCGCAGCTGCAGTGCCTGCTCGCAGTGCGCCTGAGCACAAGACCTGGCGGCCAGTCACCTCTGACCACGATCGAGTGAAGACATTGATTGAGAGGAATAGACATCGAAGAACTGCATCAAGTATACCTAGAGTGATTGAAACCATCCTGAGTCGAGCAGTAGCAGGCAACTCGGCGTACATCGACACAATTACCACTCCTAGTACTATTATCCCGAGCGAAAGCCCCACAGACAGTCAAACAAAGCGTGACAGAACACACCGACCGACGCCTGTTTTCGCCCTTTACCGAACTCGCTTTCCGCCCGCGACCTGCGTCCGTCCCGCTCTTCCTCACTGCATCCCGACAAAATAATATTGCAGCATCAGTCCACCCACTCTCTTCCTCCTTCCTCGCACGCCACAAAGTCACCGGTCGTACTCTGTTTCACGGTCTTTGAGGGAGTCGGTTCATGCGGGCGTTGAGGTACGAGCGAGGATCTCACAAGACACTGGCAGCAGAGAGAACACAAGTGGTTGTAGTGCGTCCATCGATTGAAATCGAGACGGTCAACATGGGGTAAGTTTTTGCGGAAGTCTTTTCGGATGAGCCACTCCAAGGTCCTGTTTGCAGATAACCTGAGAACGCACGGCAGCAACTCCTTCCAACACTCTGACTTCCCTAACCATGCTAATACAGATGACTCCAGCAGCGCGGCGTTTTCCAAAGACACCATCAACGGGGTGTACATCCCCTCGATCCTCCTGCTTGTCGGCGTTTACATCGTCAAGCAAGAATGGCTACCGTACGCCGCGGCGTTTGCTGCGATTGTGGGAAGCATCAAGGTCTTTACTTTCTCTTCCGGAAGTGAGTCACTCAGGAAGCCCACATTCCTTTCTTCGTGGCAGCTCGCGCAAGCAGAAAGAACACAGGACACTGACTGTTGTTGTCATGTAGAATCGAAGAGAAAAGTCCTCAAGCCCGATGAATTCCAAGAGTTCCCCTTGACCGACATCAAGAAAACGTCGCACAATGTGGCCATCTACCGGTTCGGCCTGCCCAGCCCGACGGACATTCTCGGCCTCCCGATCGGCCAGCACATTTCCTTGGCCGCCACGCCCAAAGGTGCCGACAAAGAAGTCGTGCGGTCGTACACGCCCATCTCGTCCGATGAGGACCAGGGCTTCTTTGAGCTTCTGATCAAATCGTACCCGCAGGGCAACATCAGCGCCCACATGACGACACTCAAGGTCGGCGACACCATGAAAGTCCGCGGGCCCAAGGGCGCAATGGTGTATACTCCGAACCTGTGCAAGCGAATCGGCATGATCGCCGGCGGCACAGGCATCACACCCATGCTGCAGATCATCCGCGCCATCAACCGCGGCCGTCCCAAGAACGGCGGCAACGACACCACCAAAGTTGACTTGATCTTTGCCAATGTCAACCCCGACGATATCTTGTTGAAGGACGAGATCGATGCCCTCGCTGCCCAGGACCCCGATTTCAACGTCTACTATGTCTTGAACAATCCTCCTGAGAACTGGAACGGTGGTGTTGGCTTCGTCACTGCCGATATGATCAAGGAGAAACTCCCGCCCCCAAGTCCCGACATGAAGATTCTGATCTGTGGCCCGCCGCCGATGGTGAGTGCCCTGAAGAAGGCCACTGAAAGTCTCGGATATCAAAAGGCCCGTCCCGTGAGCAAGTTGGAGGACCAGGTTTTCTGCTTCTAGACAAGACCGCCCAAAAGGGAGAGAGGATGGAAGGGCTCAGAAAGCGGTGCTGGGTAGGGCTGTCAGCCAAGTTTTGCCCCGAAGAGAGAAAAGCAGAGAGATCATACCCTTTCCCTTCTCCCCATGAAGTGCGCAGAATAGAAAACTTGACGTCTGAATGATTTCAGTATACTATGCAATAGAACGGTGCAACGCTTCATTCCACATTGACTAAAATCAAAATCATCGAGTGACATGTATTGTTAGCTGAATGTTTCATTATCATTCCAGAACTTCCATTGTCATACGGAAGCTCACTCTACACGAATCCGACCCAAAATTCGAACCTAAAAAAGACGACACAACCGTCACCCGCTCAACGCTTGCTTGCTTGCTTATATACATAAAAGACAAATGAGACGCCATGGCACAAATAACCAACATGTTCAAGGAGCTCAGGTAGTCGGCGAGCTCTAGTCTAGCCCTTTTGTTTTCCCTCTTGCTTTTTTCCGCGTCTGTTTTAGACATGGCGATACCGCTCAAAGCCCAGATCGGGCAATTTCGGCTCGCGCGAAAGAGGAGGAGGAGGACTTCCGTCGACGTCGCTGGCCCGATCCGGACTTATACTGCGGTACCCTCCTGAACGAGTGCGCGCCATACCCATACCCGCGGCGCCTTTGACGAGGACTTCGTGGCTTTCATTTCTAGTCAGGGGATGCGGGAGAGGGAGTAGGGGCGGCCCAAATCGATTCGACAGAGCTTGAGCGCGGACAGGCTCGTAACTAGGCGGCACCTCGGCGGTGTCGGACATAAGACGGGCACGCTTGGCGGGAGATCCTGCGTTGTGCTGCATGAGGAGGTAGGCATCGCCTTCCAGGTCATTCTCGTGCATCTTTTCAGCCTGCTTGCGCCGTTTACGATGCGGATTCTCCTTGCAACAGGTGATAATGCTGTTAATAACAATCAACAGGGCCAAGATTGCAGTCAAACCAGACTGGACGGCAATCAACACCACGCCCGTAATCGTCTTTGTGGTCTGAGCGATTCCCAACTCTTCGACGAAAACCAAAATGCAAATAACCGACAAAACCCTGACGATTTGAATGATGATGTTGATCCAGTTGCCCGATTTGCGATTATATGGCCGACTCCAGAGCAAGAGACACAACATTAGTGCCTCGATGATGAGTTGGCCGATCGTCTGGACTAGACCGTGACCGTCGCCGGCGGCAAGGACGCATCCCTTGGCAAACATGTACACGATGGCCGGGATGAACAACCACCAGTAGCCGCGCTTGTAGTTTTCGTAAAAGATCTTGTACCGTTTCCAAGTCTCTTTGTTTTCGTAAAGGGCACTTGCGTCGCCTTCGAGTTTCTTTAGTTTTTGCACAGTACTCCAGATCTTCCAGGTGTAGAACATCAAGATTCCGGTGAATGTGGCCAAAGTGATGCCCGCGAGCAGTTTTGCCGCCCACGAATCGCCGTGTGTGAATTGGAATATGCAGTATAATGTCCACACGCCGTATAACAACATGATGAGCGTGGTAATCGTCTGAGCCATGACGCGCCAGTATTCCTTGCGGAAGGTCGTTAGAGATTTCGGGAATTGACCGAATAGTGACCATGCTTCTAGGATGACTTTGAATAATAGGATCCCGACGACGATGGCGGCGATCACAATTGCGAATATTAATAGGACGGTCATGAATGTGTTGGTTTCGGGAATGGTCAGTTGTTCCACGTAGCCTTGGATGCCGTGGACTAAATGGGATGCTGTCGAGGTGTCACTAGTGGATGAGTTACTGCTGCTCGTTTCGTTGATCGAGGTGTCGATGTCACGTAGTAATAGGATAGCTCGCTTGGCTATCCCCGTCGTGGTCTGAGTCGTGCTGCCGTCCGAATAGACAAGAGTCGAGTTCTTCAGGGATTCATAGCTGGCGTTGGTCAAGTTGCCTCCAGTATGTGATCGGAAGCTGTCAATCGAATCCTGCAGTCCAGCCCACGATACGAGTCCGGTGCCGAAACCGAAATTCTTGGAAAAACTCCGATAGATGGCGGGATATTGGACCGAATGCATTCCGTTCATGGCCATGCCTTGAAACCACCACATAACTTCGGAAAAGCCGGGACTTGATGAGGTCGATCCTGGATGAGCCCCGGAGGCGGCCGCCCCGACTAACGATACTGCTAGAGCGGCGGCGGCGACGGCTGCAGCCACGTATGACACTGCGGGCACCTCGACGGTCTTGCCGTTGGTGACGCCGGACTTGATGCATGCCAGCTCTTTTCCATCTTTCGCCTTGAGTATCAACTGTGCACTACCCTCGAGGTCGGGTAGTGAGAATGCGATTGAGGGGATCATGGACGTGTACTCTGATGGGATCTTTTGTGTTCCGTTCGCACCAAATGTTCCTTCGGGCACTATGTAGCATGTTAGCATGTTTGCGAGCAAATGCCGTTTTTGATCCAGGGACCTACCAGGACATAGTTGGTCCACTTTGGTTGATTCATCACAAGGATCAAACTCTTTCTCATATACTTGAACCCCATATGCCGTCACCACCAACTCTGCCGTCACATTTTGAACCTCGGTGCTGGTGCCTGAGACGTCGAATTGAATTTCATTGGTTGATCGATCGAACGAAATGTCGACATGGTTGACCTTGACAGTCGATGTCCCGTTGTTACAGTCTGAAAAGCCGTCCGTCTTCAATATGTCCGTGGCCAGAGTATATGGAAGAAATCCCAAAGAGGCGAGTGCTATGAGGGACGGCCTCCACATGGTGGCAGTGTATGTAGATGTGTTTCAACACACAGGGCAAGCCGTTGGCCGGCGAGGAACTGGTCTCGGGTGTTCTCTTTCCACGGCGTAGTTTGTTCACGAATGTTGTTTTCGAAGTAATGCAAAACGAGGGATGTTGCAAAGAAGGGCCGAATCGAAAAGAGACGATGTTGGATATCTGGGAAATGGTAGGTCCAATACTCAAAAGCCTTGAGCGAGTGACAGGCAGAACCAAATGTAATGTCGATGAAGTGAAGCGAATGTAGAATGTGTAAAAAGAGCGGCAAAAGGGTAAAGTTGCAGGTTGTAACAAAGGGTTTCATGTGCAGAAAAGGAAGAAGACTGTTGTTTTTCAGCTGGGCCCGAGTCTCGACGCAAATAACACGAACTGAGATCTTTCGCGTGGCCACCGATATGCCCGCCCGCTGGCATGGGCAAGGCCCTGTTTCACCGCACACGCGGACAGCAGCCATCGACCACATCTGAAAGGCCCGTCCGAGCCGTTGACGGGGGATGGTGCAGCAGTGGGTCGTTCCAGGACATGGGCCGCTGGGCTGTGGTGGAATCGTGGCGTGGCCCAGGGGTAAGAGTTGGAAGCTTGGGAGAGAATCACTTTGTTGTGAGTGGCTGTTGGTAACCTACCTTTACCGGGGACGGCGTCCTAGGCCCGCTCGTTGGATATGTTTGGGTCCATCGACTGCGGAGGATTCGCCATGGCCCACGAGTGCCTGGGGGGTTTTTGAGGTCTGGGTTCTGCTGTGGCCAGTCAGCGGTGGATGATGCCCCTGCGCTTGTGGGTGGTGGTGGCTGTGGCTTGTAGTCATCCATGTCAAACTCGAGGTCCCGATGCCACCTGGTTGAGATTTTACTTTTCCACTTGGACGTTGCCTTCGGAAGGGCATGCTGTTTTAAGCAACTACTACAGCACGGTGCTAGTAATTGCGAGCATTGCGCTGGGACTCGAACGATTGGATCTGTAGAATATTAGAAGAGAAAGCAATCCATTATTTGACCCAAGTCAGTCACCATCGATTAATAAAATCAAAGGCACCATCACTCTGCATTGGCAGTCCATATTTGAAGCAAAGAACTTGACTAGCATGCTCTCATTCGTGGATACTATCAATGTACAATGCAGACGCTGCTTTAACTGACGGCTGTTGACGCGCGCTGAATTCAATCCAATTGGGTTCAGTAAGGTTGATGCCTGAGCTTGAGGCGCAGTCACTGGCAGAAATTGCCCTCAAAAACTTACACCTTGAAGGATCGAAGCGAATAAAATAAACCTGAAGTGCCAGTGAACTGGGTGAGGTACATACATAGTAGTATTGTACATCGGCAGTCCCTGCAGCGTCGTACCGTCTGCTCGGATCCTAGTATACCTACAACATACAAATCGTAGGTAGGTAGTACTGTTCAAGTTGTAGATCTCACAGTCATCCAAACTTGAACTACCAGCTGATTACTGTAGGGTGCCTCCCATTCCATACTGCCTGATTTGTTTCTCGACTCGGGCTGTAAAGCCGCATAATCCATCCTCTCAGCACTACTACCGGTGCAGTCATGGGTCAACTAGTACTCAGGAGGTGGCACTGCAGAGCAGAGCAGAATAACCACCATCAACATCATTTTATTCGACAAGATAGATACACCTCGGACCCTTCCGTCCTCCGTTCGTACCGTACCTATTTCGTTTGCAGAATCCGCATCATATCCATCATTGCACTGCAGTGCAGGGAAAAGAAAAGAAATGCCATGTTGTCTACGCTACAAGTGTTGACGCGGCGCTTGCTTGTCAAAGTGGAGTGTAGTTAGTGTTGACAGCCCGGACCATCTATTAATAGGGCAGAAATCTACAACGTACTTACGATAGATGGACAAGCCACGGACCATGCCAGTCAGTGCCACTCACTACACTGGCGCCCGCCATGATGCCCGCTCTGCTCTGCACAGCCTCATCGTGAGTAAGCTGGAACATGTTAAAGGGGAAGAGAAGAACCGCGACCATAACAAAACAGAAAACAAAACAAAATGAGACATATGGTACCACGATGTAGTAGTAGCTTGGAGGAGCAGTAGTTTCCAGGACAGACCTTAGGAACCAGTGCCAGTGCAGTGCTTGTAGAGTATTTGCCATGGTGACTGCGTCCGAATGAACTCGTACTGGGAAAATTTCTAGGTAAAGATTCAATGCAAAACTTGAACTGGATCGCAATGCAATGCTTATTCTCTCTTGTCCTATCGTACACTACACTTATGATTGTGATTGCAGTCCGTTCCGTTCATGGTTAACCACTGCAGTCCGCTCCGGAGCACAGCACGGCCCAGGCATTCAGGAACTTGAACCCATGAGAATAAAGATGATGATGATGCTGCTTCCCTTGCCACGGCAGCATGAACTCGCTTTCGCCCTGTCCCACCGGCAAACGAAATGCCTAGCCTCGATCCAGCTATGCTAGGTATTCCATGACTCAAGTCTTTCACCGTAACATTCGTACGCCCTGAGAAGAGAAAAGTGCCTTGTTTTCCTGTCCAACCAGACAACTCCCATGGCCCAGCAGCACGATCCCTTCGAAGATGCCCTCAGCAGTTAGCCGTGAAAACAGTTGTCTTCGAGAGAGGAAGGGAGAATACTGATGCAGAATAAGGGCCCGACGAATTGAATTTGTTGAGCCACCGAAACCAGCCCCAGCTGAACCATCGGCGGAAAGAGTGCAACATCGGAAACCTAACGTTTCAAGCCTATCCCATCACCTCCCATACGGATGGAAGCGGCCTCCTCCCCTACCTCGGAAATTCCCTGGTCTGCCGGCGTTCTTGGGCCCAGTAGGAGCATTGGCTGGAGCCGCACTAGGTTGACCTGTACCGCTACCGCCACCGCCGGGACCCTTTGGAGGCTTGGGTGTCATGTTGCGAACGGGACCAGCAGAGCCTCTGCCGCCATCAGGTTGAGGGACATCATCGTACATGCCTTCCCACGACTGGGGGCTTTGTCCTTGGTTCTGGAAGCCTTGGCCTTGTTGACCTCGAGGTCCTTGCGGCACACTGCCTGATCGACGAGCTTGCTGTTCGTACTTTTGCTGCTCAAAGGCCATCTGCTCTTGGGCGGAAAACGATCCCCGACCGGAACCGCCACCGCTTGCGCCAGGTCCCATTGGAGCTCCTCGGTTACCGCCGCCCCCCATGTTCATGCCGCCCTGTTGTTGCATCTGCATCATCTGCTGCATCATCTGGGGCGTCATGCCGGCCATGTTGCCCATGCCGCCAGCGTTCTGCGGGTTGGGACTGTTACCGCCGCCCTGTTGCTGCATCTTCTGCATCTGCATCATTTGCTGCATCATCTGCGGGTTCATCTGGCCCATTCCCATGCCACCCATGCCACCCATCATCTGGGCCGCCATCTGCTGCTGCATCATGGCGAAGTATTGTTGCATGCGCTGCCAGTATTGGGCCATCATTTGAGGTGTCATACCGTTGCCTCCCATCATGTTGCCGGCCTGGTTGGATCCGTTCTGGGCTGATTGACCACCGTGATCACCACCACCGTAGCGATCGTCGCCACCACCTCCGCCAAACTTGCCTCGGCCTCGGCCACCACGGAACCCGTCGTCGTTGTTCAACTCTCCCATCTTGCCACGGGGTTGTGCTCGTTTGACTTCGATGGGCTTACCCAATATCTCCAAGGGATGGTACTCGAGGCATCGCTCCACGGCCGCGTCACTGTCGAAGGTCACGAACCCAAACCCTCTTGGGCGGCCCGTGTCCTTATCCATCATAAGCGTGGCGTCAATGACTCGTCCGAATTGGGCGAAGAAGCTCTCAAAGTCCTCCTCCGTGGCATCCTGACTGACGCCTCCTACAAAGATTTTGGCCGTCTTTTCTTGCTCATCGCGCGGGATGGCTCGTTTCGGGTCGATCTGGGTACCACTCAGTAAGCATGGGGCCTTTCCTCTTGATTTGAACTGGGACCACTGCGCAGAGGTACGGGAAAGGGTTCCAAGTCTTTCCTGTCCTGCCGGGGCTTTTTCATATCGGGTAGCTCTTACAATTTTGCCGTCCAGGAAATGCTCCTTGACCATCACGGTGTTGACGGTTTTGGGATCCTTGAAGGTGAGAAATCCGAATCCTCGCGAACGGCCTGTCGCGCTGTCTCGCATGACTGTGCATTCTTGAACTTCGCCAAATTGTGAAAAGTAGTCATGTAGCGATTCTAGCAACATGTCAGATTGTTTGTCAGTCATGGATCAGAGCCACTTGGGATCGGGCAAAAGGGCGATTGATTGCAGGGTCAGGCCTTACGGTCCGTGGTCTCCCAGTTAAGTCCGCCAATGAACATTTTTCTGTGAACAGACAAAGGTTAGCTAGGTATGGAACTAAGAGCAAGCAGGTAAGACGAGTCAACAAAACGCGGGTCAAGGTGCATAGCCATAGCGCGGGTTAGTAATATGGCGAATCCGTGCTTCCCACACTCCTTGTTCCCGCAGCCTTGTAGCACTTTTCGCACAATCCGCTGACAGAAGGACAAGGACCTTCGCCAACAACTGGGTACATCGATGTAGATGATTGAACATAAGCTAGCGGTTCTAGTCGCAGATTTCATCAATCTCAAGACCCTCTTATCGAAATGCCCTGAACGCTGGCTGTTGTTTAGTTGTTGTTGCTGCATTGCCAGTGCACATGCGGCCAAGACGAGTTGGAAATATGAGATTGAGTCTGGGCCTGCCAGATGCAGCGCGAATCCAACATCAACCATTCCCACTCTTCTTAGATTTAGGTGTATGTAGAAGTTGCCCTGGGATCACTGAGATGCTCACTGGTTGACCGAACACCACTGTGAGAGATGGGCCAGCACAGCTTTAGGTTCCGTATAATTCCTCTGCTTTGTCTCGGTTGTGCGTGTGGTCGACTTGTTCTAGCGATGAGAGGATAATTGTTTTTCTTGTTGACTTCTCTGAGATTCAACAGATACTCATAGCATCTATCTCCTGCCTGATTCTCGACCTGTTATTCTGGTCTTGTATGGTAAAGTATCTTGGTGTATGGTAATAGTCTCAGCAACTATTTCGGCCTCGCTGAACGACTTCATCTCGGTCTTGACTCTCGACTTGGGCCAGATTTGATGCAGAAAGTAACTAGCGCTCGCCGCCTTATGTGGATGTGATGTTGACTCTCGTCCTCTTGACCAGCATTTACTGGTCCGTTCACATCGAGCAAGATGACATTCTAGTCCCAGCAGGTTCAAGGGTCCATCCATGCACATATTAGACTAGCACATCATCGTTTCTTCGGGCGTTGCTAGCTAGCATATCCCAGGCGCATTCCCGTCGGCGACCCCTAGCAGAAAGAGAGGTTCAACCGAGACAGACTCTGACCAGATTTGGTTGTTGATGCCTGGAGTTTCGGACCCAACTTCTAGCCTCAGCTGATAGAGGAAACCGCTCAAACAGTCCTGAACACACCAGTGTCCTGCGGCAAGGGCTCACAATAACGACCCATGGCAGAAGCGTATGTACCTTCAACGGAACGAGTCCCCTGCTGCCCGCGTCTTGACGCTGTGAAAGCGGTCTGCTCGATTCCTCCTCTTGACCCAGGTTTGTGTTACGACATACTCGTGTCGGAGGAATGGAAGTGAACGTAAAGGGGGAGAAGCACACCAAATCACTTACCCATCTTCTTTCATGTTGATGCCACTATGTTGTTGAGGTTCGGGCTTCTCTTGTTCTCTAACCTCGTTTTGGCTACCGTCGTAGCCGCCCATGGCTTGATCTTGACCAGAGGGTTCGGTCTCAAACGATGTAGGATCATATGCAACCTCCGGCTCTTCACCGTAGCCCGGAGTATCATTCGATTTCACGCCTGTGTCACTCGGGGCACTCGGGGCAGGCTGCGTTGTGACAGGGGCTGCGGCATTACTGGAACCAGCGTTTTCATCGCCGTCATAACTGCACGAGGATGAGAAGGTTAGAGCCGTGAGGAACAGGGCGCAGGACACGCAGTCGGAAAGGGTGATTCAACTCACAGATCAGCGAAGAGATCTTCTTCGACTTCATCAGGTTCCGCCATCTTCCAGGTATGGACAAAGAAGGTGTCACTGCAAATTTCGTCTTCTACGAGAACTTTCAGCGCGTTAACTCGCCTTATCAGAATAACTCGAGAGCAGCGGGGTTCAAAACAGAGGAAGTACAATGTTGTAGTACGGGCAGAATGAAGATGAGGTTGACGAGACTCGAGCCAAGCCTGCAAGTGTGATGTCCGAGTCTGGTTCTAGTAAATCTGCGCGCGCCTCACCCATTTGGGAAGAAAGGTGATGCCGCCCTGTGATCACCCCGCTCGCGCTAGTTGCTTGTTGCCAGTGAGAGATGACGCTTATTACCTAGGTAGTTTGCCAGTGAGATTGGGGCTTATAGTGTTAAAGCAGCATTAGCAGTGTTGATATAGCAACTATTGACATTCAAGTACTATCTTCAAGTTTTGCCAGTGATTGAATTTAATCATACCCGTCCATCTGGTCAAGGCTGATACTCAGACATTCGTGAGACAGATCCTCTCTGCAGGTGAAGCCAGAGCAGAAAGCCTTCACTGGCAGTGCGCCTGTTTGTCCTACTCCTCCTGCCGTGTAGCTCTGGCTCATGAAAATGCACCTGAAGGCACTTTACAAACCGCGAAGCCCCCGTACTGCAGCACACCAGACACAAGCAGGAGATCGTTCACGGGGTCGGGGGCGACTGCGGTCATGAAGCTGATAACCGAGCCGTCATCATAGTAAAGCAGCTCAGGAGCATACCCCTTGTTGTGGTCCAACCGGAGCGCCGCGGCCGGAACCAAGAAATCCTTGCCCAAGGATTTCACATTATCTCGATACGACGGGAGGTTCTCAAGGGTGGGAAACACTATTTCCGATCAGTATTTGTCCCCAACATCAACGGCCTTGTAAGGAGTGCTTACCCGCAACGACGGGGTCTCCTGTAGTTGGAATAATGTTGATATTATCCGCCCCAGCCCCTACATCCTATTCAAGTTGTCGCGTCAGTACACCTATGCCAAAACAAGGGCCAGCAAAACTTACAACGACCTGGAGCTTTGTGAGCGTCTTGTCATCCTCGATATGGAAGATTGTAACGGTGCCGTTGCTGGAATCGCCAACAAACAGCCTGTCTTCCCACAGGTTGATGCCATTGGCATTAGGGAAATTCCCCCCGACGCGCTTGCAACTGACTTCCTATCCGTACCGTCAGTCCCAGCGAGCAAAATAGAGTAAGATCACGAAAGCGCGTACCTCGGATGATGCATCGCAATGTTGCACATTGCTCGACCACGTAAAAGGCCCGTACTTCTCTTCTAATATTCGCAAAGGGCCCTTCGCAGCAAAATGGTCGTTGGTTACGAAAAAGCTCCTGTCGATCGTGAGTCTGAGACCACCCAACATCCTCACAGGATTCAATGTCAATCTTACAATAGACCGGTGGCAGCGACACCATTCGCTGTTTTGATATTTGGATGCTTGACATTCTTGACCAAGTGGACAGCATCAGAGCCCAAGTCATGCTTGAAGATGGCGATTGAATCTCCATTTCGCGCATGATTAACTGCGAAAATATGGATCTGGATAACAGCAATCAGTTCGACAAGGCCGCCTTCTGCATCATTCGAGGAGCACAACCTTTGAGGGATTATCTGGCACTGACAAAATATCGATCCCGTGGGTGATAAAGTCTCCGTTGAGACCATGCACCTTAAGCTCCGTTGTCTGACCAGTCTTCAAGTCGTGTTTGAATAGCTGCTCACGAAAGGAGGACTCTGCCCGGCGTTCGGCGTCGCGCGTACCAGCACAAGGATACCAGTGAGTTCGCTCCAGAGGGTCTCCGCATGCCAGAAAGGCTGTATGTGAGGCATGGTATATTTTTACATCCTCGCATGCATTGGCTGCGTGTACCACCTCGCAATCGCCATTGTTTAGGGCAGTGCTGTTCTCCCAACGCACGAGTCTCGTTTTGTCTATGTCGACTCGTCCAACCAAACTCCACAAAGCCCCAGACTGGAGGTATATGGCTAGTGCTATCAGCGGTAGGATGAAGGAGAGGGAAGAGTTTGGCAGCATATTGACACCCCACGTCTGGCAAACAGGCGCAAGCTGTAATTCCCAGACGGACCTACCAGGTAGATTATTGAAGCCGGGGATACCCTGATGCGGAGAGCCTACCTGTAGATGCTACTAGTACTGTAACAGTATTCTCTGTATGGCCGGTGCTGCCCAGAGCATCATCTGACGGCTCTTCGGAACACTGCATGAATTTCCGCCGAGCCCAACCACAACCAAAAGCCCGGGTTAACATGGAACGTGGCCCTCAGAGATAAGTCATCCATAGACGCTGGAAGTGTAAGGTACAGTACCTACGTTAGCCAGAGGGACTCGCAATTTTTTTTAATGCAGGACTGCGACCAGTGCTGTGTCTTAGGCGACGCCCATGGCAGGGCCGGCGAATAGTTTGGGGGATCTTCAGCACGCCCACTGCCCGAATGAGCCAAGGGCCTTTTAGGCTTCAGTGGCGGCTATCCCATCCACGCACTGTGCGACGTTCTACAATAATGTTGCAGTATATGCCAGGTATCTGCTGGTAAGTCCCGTCAGGATCGCAGGTATTTCCAGGTCAAGGGCTCAAGGGCTTGTGGGCGCTCTGTCAATGAATTGCAGTGGCTTTTTAGGCCCTGGTAAGGTGCCGTACCACTAGTACAGTTGTTTCTAGGCGCTGTGTCTGCCGCTGCTGCCTCTAAATATAAGTTTTATTTGGCGGTATTCTTTATATAATATTACTATGAGTAATAATACCAGTGATCGTCGGTTCTGCGACCATCTCATCGGCCTGCGATGCCTGATTCCAAACTCAAAGTCCACACACACTCACATATTCACCATTCCTAGCATCGACACCTCTCCTAGCTAAACCACATTCGTTACCTCCAGGACTCTTTCTTTTGCTGTATGGTCATATGGCACGTAAAGAAGAGTAAAAACTGCAGGGAGCTCACGTGCGACTCACCCAAGCCGTGCCGCTTTTCAAAAGCACCCACCCTCCCTTTTATGTAACTGAAAACCACCAACGCAATGCAAAACTGTTGGGAGGTGTGGCATCACCCTCGTCTACTATGTACTATTCCTTGGGTGCATAGTCATGCAAGGTCACGTGGTAGTAGGCTACAAGAAAAGTTTAGCCGCCAAGACTAGCTGAGCGGAGCAGGACTAATTTAAGGCTTCAAAGTTCGCTTCTTCTCCTCTCCCTTTCCTCTCACCAACGCATTATCGTAAGGGTGACAAACAGATTAGCCGATATATGCAAGAGGGACAGGGGGCTCATGCTAATGATGATATCGAGAATTCCCAAAGCCGTTAAGCCCTACTTTGTTGGGTGCTTAGCAGCTAATAAAGCGGATTCCTTTCTGACATGCAAGAACACCGCCGTGAACAGGGAAAGCGAAATATAGGACGATCATGTCGTGGAACGAAACCGCTCTTATGACCAGGTGGCTAGACAAGTCATTATGATTTTCTGGTGATCTGGTAGATGGCGACGAGACACATCCGAGCCTCGCTGCCATGGGCTTCTCCAGTCCAATCAAGACTATTCTGCAATAGTTCTTCTCCCTTTTGCGCCGTTGTCTCGTTCGTCTCTTGCACCACACCCGTGTATGTATGACTGTTCAGACACGACCATTTCAGAAAGACGTCCAGGGCGAGGGCGTCCACCGTCGAACAGAGCATATCGAGTTTTGTCTACTGACACTCCTGCTACTTCAACATCAATGAACCACTCACATCTGGCATTGAAGGCTCTTGAATGCCGTCTAGCGTAGCTCTGCTCGCACTACGCTGAGTCTGACTGGCGTCGCACTGACCTTCGGCCACCCATAGACACCAAAGATATAGAAACGGCGCCGCAACCTTTTTTTTTCTTGTTTCGCGCCGAACAACTCCCCTAATCGCTCTCTCATTCAATAGATAATTGGGCTACGAGCCGAGACGGGGGTGAGCATAGGGCAGCATCACCTCTTCCGAATCGGGGGTGAGTTCGGTACAGTTTTCACTTATCTTGGCAAACGGGCCCCTCTGTTCTGGTTCTCAAGCCCAAACCCTCGTAGCACTTCGATCCATGTCTGGCCCCGCGCCCTGGTCGTAAGGGCTTCGTTCCCTCCATGTCGGATGCGCGGGATACAGCCTCGCAATAGAGTCGGTCACCAGTCCCTTAATTCCCTTAATATCACTTCCTATTTCCCTCAATGTGAACTGCCATCGGGGTCGGCCCCTATCGAACTCGAGACCTTTGCGCCGCTCCCTGCTGCTCCTCCGGTCGACCTCGAGACATCTGACCCCCAGCAGCCCTACCTGTCATCGAAGCGAGAAAAGTCCGCACGACGCTTCAAAAAGAGGCTTGAAAAACTTGAAGAACTCGCTTGGCGAGAAGAGATGAAGTTCTCTCACAGTATCCAGTTCAACGCTGTTCCAGACTGGAGCAGCAACTATATCTCCTACAGCAACCTCAAAAAGCTCATCTATACCCTCGAGAAACAGATCAACCATACTCAAGGTGAGGGCCAGGCACAAGATGAGGAAAACACTGCCCTTCTGGGCGGATCCCTCGATCCCGATACTACGTTCAAGCGCATGCTCGACCAGGAACTGGACAAAGTGTGCTCGTTCTACCGGTTGAAGGAACTCGAGATTTTCGGTGAACTTGAACAGTTTTTGAAAGATGTGGAAGACTATGAGGCCGAAGCGGAGAATGTTGACATGGATGATGTCGTCGAGGTGGAGAACCGGCGTAGAGCTACCAGGTCGCAAAGTATCTTCAACATGCCGTTTCGGCGAAAGAGGAGGACATCCACCATGAGCGTGAGCTTTGAAGAGCCAGAGCTGGAGGACGATAGCGATAGCGACGCTGAAGACCATGCAGCATCAGCCATGCTCAAGAAAAGACCTCAAACCAAACCCAGGAGTAAGAGCGCATTTCCAACAGGACCCGACGCTACGAGATCTGCCGACTCCAGAGAGGATCTTAGGGCGCCGGACAGTTCCCCTTCGTTCCTGAGAAGGAGGCCAAGTTTGGCTCTTGAAATGGAAGCCAACGAGCCTGGCCAGGTGTCAGCGCTGTACGATACGGGAATCAACCTGAAGAAGAGGGCCATCGGTCTATATGTCTCACTGTGTGAGCTGAAATCCTTCATCCAGCTCAACCAAACCGGATTCAAGAAGGCCACCAAAAAGTACGACAAGGTATGCAACCGCAACATCCGAAAAGACTACATGGAAAAAGTGGTCAATCCATCGTATCCGTTCCAAGAATCGACCATAGCCCATCTCGACGAGAACATTGCAAAGGTGGAAAAGGTCTACGCCGACATCGTGACCAAGGGAGATCAGGACTTGGCCCGGAGAGAACTTCGACTCCATTTGCGCGAGCATGTCGTGTGGGAGAGGAACACCGTCTGGCGAGAAATGATCGGCATCGAGCGCAAAGCCCAGGCCGCAAACCTGGGCATCCGACAGACGCTCCTGGGAGGAGCCCAGGATCCTTCGCAGGTACGGCTGCAGGGCGATCGAGACGCCATCGAGACGAAGGAGATTGTGACGCCCGTTGGTCGATACCGGTGTCCAAAGTGGCTGTTCAGCTCGACCTTTTTGACCCTGATTGTCATCCTGGCCATCTTTTTGGTCCTGTTGTTCGTCCCTCTTATGAAGAAACCAGAGCAACAGAACTGCCTGGCCATGTTGATCTTCGTCTCACTACTCTGGGCCACAGAGGTGATTCCTCTGTTTGTCACGTCATTGTTGATTCCTTTTCTGGTGGTGGTCCTCCGCATCATGCGATCCGACGACAAGCCTCATGTGCGTCTGGACTCGAAAACAGCCACCAAAGCCGTCTTTGCCGCCATGTGGACCCCAGTCATCATGCTGTTGTTGGGCGGCTTTACCATTGCGGCGGCACTATCCAAGTACCACATTGCCAAAATGATGGCCACTTTTGTGCTCAGCAAGGCCGGCACCAAAGCCAGGACGGTTTTGATCACCAACATGTTTGTGGGCATGTTTCTGAGCATGTGGATCTCCAACGTCGCTGCGCCCGTGCTGTGCTTTAGTATCATCCAGCCGATGCTCCGGAACCTGCCCGCAGACAGCAACATGTCCAAAGCTTTGATCTTGGGCATTGCATTGGCATCGAACATCGGGGGTGCTGCATCGCCAATTGCCTCGCCACAAAACATCATCGCGTTGCAAAACATGAAGCCCAGCCCCAGCTGGGGCGTGTGGTTCTTTGTGGCTCTTCCAGTGTGCATCATCAGCATTGTCCTCATCTGGCTGTTGCTTCTCGTCTCCTTCAAGCCCGGGCGTGGCACGACCATTGTCCCCATTCGCCCGATGAAGGATCGACTCAACGGAGTGCAATATTTTATAATCTTTGTCACCTTGGTGACCATTGTGCTCTGGTGTACGTCACACCAGTTGGAGGGCATCTTTGGCGACATGGGCGTCATTGCCATCATCCCCATGGTCTTGTTTTTCGGTACTGGGATCTTGACCAAAGAAGACTTCAACAATTTTCTATGGACCATCATCATCCTCGCTGCCGGAGGCCTGAGTCTCGGTCGTGCCGTGTCCTCTTCGGGACTGTTGCATACCATCGCCAAACAGATTACCGATAACGTTTCCGATCTGTCCGTGTATGGTGTGTTGGTGGTTTTTGCGGCGTTGGTGCTCGTCGTGGCCACCTTCATCTCGCATACTGTCGCCGCGTTGATCATCCTGCCGCTGGTGCAGCAGGTCGGCGCGAATATGAAGGAGCCTCATCCGAATTTGTTGGTCATGGGCAGTGCTTTGATGTGTTCGGCTGCTATGGGGTTGCCTACCTCTGGATTTCCCAACATGAGTAAGTCTGCTTTATCCTCCCAGTTTATCTCCTTGCTCCTGCTCTCTGTCGATGTGGTTAGCGACATCTTACTGCCAATTTCAATATCACTCGTCCTTGCACGTTGGTTTGCCTTCTTTTTTTCTCATGACACTGCACCCCGCCCATCATAACTCACCACCTTGATTGCTCGACTCGCAATGGACGATCGCGCCACCTTCTCCTTCCTTACCCCAACTAACCCGTATTGTTCTGTCATGAATTGTTTGCACCGTGATGTTACCGAGAAAAGCATACGCTAACGGCCGGTTCCTTGATTTACAGCTGCAATCATGATGGAAGTCCCCGAGACCGGCGTCCGCTATCTCCAGGTCAAACACTTTTTGACGCGCGGCATCCCTTCGTCTGTTCTTACCTTTGCTGTTGTCGTGACCGTGGGATACGGCTTGATGGTTGCCACGGGGTTATAAGATTGTTAGTTAGGTATGCAGTGGGACTGGGCAGGACTAGGATAGCCTATGCACGCCTGCTTCGACTTGACCATCGAAGGCCCGCTTGCATTTTTACTGGTGTCTATTATTTTCTTCCTTATGTCTGTGCTATGTTTGTCCTACCTATTCGAGAGATTACACCATACTGGAATAGGGTGGTGTAACTTAGGGTACCTTGTCTATGGGTGTTCAAGCGGGTTATCTTTATCAGATTTCGTTAAGAGTCGGCCAAGATATATAATACATGATATGATATGATATTCGTGTCAATATATGATATATCAAAGGTCACTCACTGGTTGGGTTTGGGTTTTGGATCTGGATCCGTAATTGTAGAAACAGGTTGGAGTTGGAGTTGATTTTCTGCATTCTCTTCCCACTGCGTACTGTACACTGATTGCTAGGATATTGTGATGTGCTGTGCCGTTCTGTGCCGTGCCGTGCCGTGCTGTGCTCGCCGTGGCTGCAGTGCAGGTCTCGTTCTGTACTGTCCTGTATTGTCCATACACTATTGACAATTTCTTTTTTTTTAAGCACGAGATGTAGACGCAGTGTTGGCCAACGATTCTGGGTTATTCAGTATGGATGGGTATTATTGTGTCCTCCACCTCTGTGGACAAGTTGGGAGTCGGATAGAAAGGTTGGAGTTTAGAGATTGGAGATACATATAATAGTCCCATCTTCTCGGTTCGGTCAGCAAGGTAAGGCAACGAGTGTACAATATACCATACTGTACATATGTACAGTATACTCACTTGTCCTGTCGGAGACTCAATCAATCAATCAATCAATCAATCAATAGCCAGTAGCCCCCTCCACGACTCCACTTGCACCACCATTCCTGCCAAACATATCCCTCACATCAGCGACAAGATGCTCCGGTTTCTCATACGCGAAAAAATGGCCACCCGAGTCATGTGTTCTCTCAAACACGACATCACCTAGTGCTCTGGTCCAAGTATTCGGCAAGACGCGCAACTCTTTGGGAGAGTGGCTGAGACCCAGTTTCACACCATTGCCACCGATGTAGGAGGTAGTGCGATCCCTCAACACCCTGCCTGCGTGCTCACATTCGTGCTCCCACTCATGCGCAGACTCATAATAAATCCTCAAACTGGCCGCCGGACCCATCGTGCTGAACCAATATATCCCGACCCAAGTACACACCTCGTCGTCCGTCCAAAGATAGTCATCAGTCCAATCATGCAACTTTTCATAAATCCAGGCGAGTAAACCCACGGGACTATCGGCCAGCGCGTACCCGAGAGTCTGGGGTTTCGTGGACTGTAAAGTGCGGTAACCTGACCCTTCGTCCATGAACCACTTGGTACGACGGAGTCCTTGTCTCTCGCGCTCCGTGTAGGGTGTCAAGGCATGTTGGAGCGCGAGTCTCGGATGGGTCGTCCACGATGGGGCGGAACCTTGGTCCATATTCACGTGTGTGGCTTTGCAGTGGTTGGGAAACAAAAGCGACATGGCGCGTGTGATGTAGAATCCCCAGTCGCCGCCTTGTGTTACGTATTGGGTATATCCCAAACGGAGCATCAGGAGATGACATGTTTCGGCGTATTGGGCCAGTGCGAACTTGGGTTTGGGGGAGCCCTGGCTGAATCCGAAGTTGGGCAGGGAGGGGGCTATGAAGTGGAATGATGGAGACCCTTCTGCGTCGGGGTCTGTAAGTTTCTTCCAGATCTTGCTGGCTTCAATGAAACTGCCCGGCCAGCCGTGCACGAAAAGTAAGGGAATTGCACGCGGGTTTTTCGAGCGTTGGTGCACAAAGTGGATTTTCAATGGAGGATGAACATGATCGCCGGAGGAGGACACTTGGATGGATGTTGTGTATTGTGGCATTTCGTTGAGTTTCGTCTCGGCTTGTCGCCAGTCGAACTTGTCGCGCCAGTGGTGTGTGAGGCGTTGGATGTCGTCCAGGGGCGCTCCGTAGTCCCATCCTGCTGAGTCGATTGAGTCTGGAAACCGTGCTAGAGATAGTCGGGTTTGCAGGTCGGCGAGCTCCGAGTCGGGAATTGAGATGGTGAATGGTTCGATTTGATCTTTCTCTGCCATGGTGGTGTATGGATGGAAAAGAGGGCTTAAAGGGAGAATGGGTGAGAGACTGAGTGAAAATGAGGAGGTGCGTGAAGTAAGAGGCAGTGAGTGAAAATCTTGGGTTACTAGTAATGATGAGTCCTTCAAGTTTATATATAACTTGAAGGAGAAATCAGGTGGACAGCTTGCGTTGCGTTGGGCCTTTTGTCAGCTTCATGCACCTACCGTAGGTATATATATGTAGTGCCAGACAATGTCCTCACTGCTTACGGCTGAAGTATGTACTATTGTGGTAGGTTGGAGAGGAGGAGTAGTTAGTAAAAGGGCGTCCTGTCCCTGTCTTGGTCAAACCTTACACCCCGCCTCGGCTTTTGTCATCACGGCGGGTGAATACGCGATGTGCAATTGGAAAGCCGGAGTGGTAAGGCAGCACCTCAAACGTGGTAGGTAGCTGATTGAGCCCCAGGGGCTTTCGGTAACGGCCTCGGAGGGCGTAGGTTTGCTAGAGCACCTGCCTATACGCCCTAGACAATACTGTACAACTGGTAAGCAAGAATTCAGTTTCCTCATCAACTTCAAGCTGTCCAGCTGAGGCGAATTGCGTGTTGTAGACTGCAAGCCTTTTATTATAGTTCGTAGAAGTTGAAGTTCCAAAGTTGTAGATTTTCCCGAGCTCCAAACGTCGCCGCTTTTAGACCGAACCTCAAACGACTCGGAGGCTCAACTTCAACACCAACTTCAAGCCATCCAACAACAAGTCTATTTACGAAACCACTTCGCTTCCCCTTCTGCATCACCCGCGCTCTCTTCTAGACACTGTAATCCCTACCGATTATTTCTCACTTTGCCACTGGGCACATCTGGAATTCTTTCTCAGGAGGGTTGTGTGGTCGTTGCTCCGTACGTATTGCTGGGACGAATCATTTATTTACCACATGGTACAATATATCTGCTCAAGCCGCTTCGTCTAGGAGGCCCAGCCCCGGCCTGATACTGCATAATCATGGCTCGACCTCGAGCCGACACAGGAAACTTTCCAAAAGAACCACATTCGGTCTCCCTCAAAGGTATGAAACCTAAACTAATTCCAATTCTTTACCAAGTCACAAAGTCCACAAAGTCAACAGAGCCCAAAGACCCAAGCCCAAAGCCGGACTGTAACTGTACTCAATTCTTTCCTGTGTTCATCTGCTCTCTTTTGTTCTGTTTATTGTATTACAATCCAATATTCTTTGCCCAAGGTACCTGAGGCTGCTGCTAATACAACGTCAAAGTGTTAAGGTACTGTGCTTCTCCCAACTACGATCAGTCAAACCACCTCACCACACCTCTGGGCACTACAATCCAACTCTGATTCCTGAATTTCATCCTGAATCCACCAGTTTGTTATGTGTTTCATCATCCAACTCTCATCCAATCTAGGCTGTCCCGACCATCCCTGGCGCTCCAACACCCACTCCCGCACGAAAGCGAGACCGAGACCAAAATCCCCCATATCTCCTCCCTAGCATACCCGTCCAAACTAGTCGACCAGGAGTTCATAATATCCAACAACCTAGCCCTGCCGCCATCCTTCGGTTCCGCGCACGTAGGCGAGACATTTTCATGCGTGCTGTGCGCCAACAACGAACTTTTGCCGCCGGGGCCGACTGGGACCGGGACCACAACCACAACGACACCAACCAAAACCGTTTCCGGAACAAAGATCTTGGCTGAAATGCAGACACCCTCCCAGTCAATCCCGTTGGACCTCCACATAGCAAGCCCGACGGAACGAGTTGATGGCCATGATGACGGCCGCCCAGGCTCGGCTCTGCAGACAATCGCCCGCTTCGATCTCAAGGAAGAAGGCAACCACGTCCTCGCCGTTAACGTCACGTACACAGAGACCATTTCCGGCGACGGCGGACAGACACATGCCCCTACCAGTGGGAGGGTGCGCTCGTTCCGAAAATTGTACCAGTTCCTCGCCCAGCCGTGTCTGAGTGTGCGCACCAAAGCTACCGAACTGCCGCCGAAAGAGGTCCCAGACAAAACCCACGGCCCGTACGGCAGGACGACGTTACTGCGGTATGCACTGGAAGCGCAATTGGAAAACGTGTCCGACATTACAATTGTGCTTGAAGAGGCAAAGTTGCAGTCCAAACCGCCCTTTAAGTCAACTTCGCTGAACTACTGGGATGCCCATGCCGCCCCTGAAAAGGATGAGAAAAACCAGGGCCATCCCCAAAAGCCAATTATTAACCCGCGCGATATCATACAGATTGCTTTTTTGGTAGAGCAAATGGAAGGAGTCCAGGAAGGAATAGAAGACCTCAAAACTAGTCTCAAACGCGACGGGAGGGCGGTACTGGGTCAGCTTGCTATCCAATGGCGTAGCTCTATGGGCGAACGCGGCTCGCTGAGTACCGGCAATCTCCTGTCTCGTCGGAGAGTCAGTTGAAACAGACCAAATCTCCATCTCCAAGGCAGCCCATGAAGTACGGAGGGCAGTGGGCATAACAATACAAGTTCGCTCGAGGACAATCATGGTGCGTTCATGCTCAGCCCATTCATCCTGCCATTGAGGAGATTGGGTCTTGACTTTTTGCGGATGGTCGGCAAGTCCGGGACATTTTCTTCTTGCTTCTGTTTGAACAGACCTTCTTCCAGTTTCGACGGGATCCGGGTAATGATGGTGTGGTAGTCCCGCCCCTTAGCTGCAGCACCCAAGTCTGTTCTTTCTGAACTGCCGGGCACAGAGACGATCCGCCATTGATGCTGGGATGTATCTGACAAAACATCCGCCTGAGTAGGAAGGCCTGCTGCAGACACCGACCGCTGCACAAAGCTTCGGCGGTTTCGGCCAATGGTGGGCAAACTGGACCGCAGCAGGCCAGCACGACCGCGTTTCGCTGTGATGATGGCATCAAACAAGGCTATCTCTGGACTCGACGCCGTCTCCTCACGCTCAAGAATGAACTCGTTCCAGGCTTGGGTTTGTTCCAGCATCTGCATGTAAGCAGAATGGTCCGGCGGAAGGCTCCTGACGAACCCTTCATGATCGAACGAATACACCGCTCCAACCTTCTGCTTGGACGGCGGGGCTGGACTCATGAACTTCCGATACGTGTAAAACAGGCTAGCCAAGCATCGCACAAACGCCGCCCGGATCTGGTCAGGGTAGAAAGCGGCCGAGCAAACCACCGTAATCTGAGGTGCACAGCGGTCGTGGATCACGAAGCCACAACCCGAACATCTGTAGTACCCATTCTGTGCCCTTTCATCGCAAAGCACACAAGTTGATGGACCGTCGGCAGGCTTCCATTGAAGACAGTGTCCTTCGACATAGTATGTCCCTGGAGAGTTCACTGCTGGCTGAACAAGCATGCCGGGCATGATTGTCGATGCTGCCAATGTTGACTGAGCATACACTGAAGGCGCATAAGCGGACGACCCGTTCCTTACATCTAAGAACGAGTTTGCTGAAGGACTGGCATTGTGTCGCACGAACGGAAGGCTGGATTTGCGCATCATGTGGGCCGACCCAGAGAAGCTGCGCTTGGAGAGTGAATCGAAATGGCCGGATCTCTTCTCACGGAGCGACGTCTGCAGGGCATATCCAGAGTCGCGGTCGTTGCGCAACGCCGGCGGAAGGGGAAAGCTTCCACCCACAGGGGATCCGTCCGAACCTGTCTGACTGGATTGACGGGCGGTTGACGAGGTTCTGGGACGATCAATGCTTTTTCCTCTGGTCGGTCCTGAAGCAAGAAAAACGTTCAGCAGCGGCGCCCGTCGAATTGTGTCGGACGCGGCATGCGGACCGAAGGAGGATGAACTAAGGCTGGCTAGTTTGTCCAGATTTGTCGATCTGGCAATCGCGGTAAAGACAGTGTCGAGTTCGCCGGAGAAAGCATCGAACGGAAATGTCTCGACGGCATAAGCAGGTGGACCGGGCGTGACTCCAAAGCTATGGTGCAGAGGCGCCGCCTGATGTAACAGAGACATGAGTTTTCTCCGTTGCTGTTTGGGCAAGAAAGGGGGTGGTGAAGTGCTATGCAACTCGTTTTTATCCAGGTCAACCAGCACATAGTCATCTTCAGGAAGGTCATACTTTTCGTAGTTGCGATTGATGCCGCAGATGTAAGGACACGGTGCATCAAGCGCCTGAACCAGCCGTGATGGGAGCACAGGGATATAGACTCCGGTCCATTCCAAGGGCCAAATCAGTTCCAAGATGGCTTTGCTGACCAGCTGCAACATTGAAGTATGGGAAGATAATAAGATGATCCTGGATTCGGCCAAGACATATTCAAAAAGAAGGATGATGTTGGGGATGGTGAGAGTTCTGAACAAGGGATACAGATCAGTGGTTCTGCTTCCTGGCAGTTCGTTTGCTGCCTGCTTTTTGGCGTAGAGGTGAAGTTCGCGGATCGAAGTCTGGATTTGGACTTTGGACGACGTCGGCAAAGGAGCGTCGAGGCACAAGGCAGCAACATATTGCTCCAAGGGTTGCCACATGCCAACCTTGGGAGAACTGGCTGGGACTCTCAAAATACCGCCGTCCGTCATGGGGACTACGACTGCTCGTAACCACTGTCGGTAGAAACTGGCCATTGTGCTGTCTTTTCCCAGGATTCCGTAGGCTCTCGGTATCCAGAATCGTGTCTCACTACTGGACAAGCCCTGGATTTCTGAAACTGAACCGTGCCGTAACGGTCGCAGCATGTCCGACATAACCGCAATCTTTTCCTCGACAGCGCTGATTTCATCTTCCAGTTCTTCTCTTGCTGCTGAATCAGGAGACACTTGTGGAAGCTGTGCGAGCAGTTGAGATAGCTTTGTACTCTCCACTGTAAGTCTTTCAGCCAGCGAGGCCGCCATTTCCCGTTCCGCCTCGGACATATGTGCCTTTCGCCACTCATCACACTTCTTTTCCAAATCCAAAGCAATGTGATTGCTCACAGGAACCCAAACTGTGACACAGACGCCGGTCAGCCTTGTATTATCTGCCGCAGTCATGGAGAATTCATGCCATGTCGACCTCGGCTTGCTGTCTGCAGAGACGACCCTGATGTCGTTGGGAAAGGCAAACATGGGTACATAATCGGGAAACCGACATCTTCCTTGGGAGTTTTCGCCTGTATTTGACCGAGGATATCTGTCGAGAAGGACAGGCTCGAATTTCCGCGCCAGAGGGTGTTGAGCGGGCGAACTGTGAAGAGACTCCGGAATAGGAATGACCGAGTTGTAGCTGCTCATTCTTCGTGAGGTTCTGGTGGACACCCGTCGAGCCAGAGATGGTTGCCGTTTTGCACTAGCCATATCTTTGAAAGAAATATGTCGACGGATGCTGCCGAAGTTGCGGTTCAAGGTCGGACTCGGCTCGTCCTGGGCCACAATCTTTTGCGTCTTCGCTTGTGACTTGGCACGAGAGGGTTTGGACGGTTCAGTTGGACTGAAGGTGAGATCCACAAAGAAGGCATCTCGATCGCTGGTGAACTTCTGGATGGCATTCTCGAAATCGGCTTCGGTGAATGCAGAAGACATTCGCACAGACGGCAGCGGAGCAACAGGCCGAAGGGTGGCGACACTGCCATTGCTGCGCGGACGGGTGGCCTCTTCAAGGCTCTGAATTGCACTTTTGGCTTCGTCGGAAAGCTGCGAGAGTCGTTGATACGAGTCGTGTCTGGCATGACGGATGGAATTTCGAGGCGACTGTAGAATCGATGATTGATCGTTCTCCGCCGCCGATGGTTCTTCTTTGATGGCCGAATCGACAACAGGGTTATTGTCAGGGGACTGATACGACCATCTTGGCTGAGAGAAAGCATCGATGAGCTGCTGAGTATCCAGCCCAGCGATCCAAAAGTAATCCGCCAGTGGCCCGGACGATCCAGTAGTCTCTGTCGGCGGCATGGTTAGATAATGACGGGGTTCCTCCGAAAAGCGGACTTCTGGACAATCTCAAATGGCCCCTTTCGATCGCATTTTCCCTATACCGCTCACCAGCAGCCAGCCTGACAAGACACTCCTAACGGGTTTCTGAAGAATCCGTGCTGGGGCAAATCAGGTTGAAATTTTGCACTGACGCGAAGGTGACGGAAGGGTGAGAATTGCGCATTCGCTGCGATCAGACAAACTTGACCCAAGTCGCCAATATGCTTTTCTGAATGTCAGTCCCCAAAGACAAAAGTTCCTTGTTCGTTGAGAAGATAAAAGGCGAATAGGATTATGCACACTAATGCTGGTAGCAAGGATGGGGGTGTCTTGTGCAAGACTGGAGATCTGTACAAGGATGGACTTTGAAGCAGGGCGCTGCAGGGATGCCAGTGTAGCGGGCGCCAGCCTCGAGGCAGCGGTAGAGAAGTTGAAGAATGAGAGGGTCTTAGAATCCGCCACTGCACTGCACAATTCGATTTGCCAATGCGAGGGATGATCGACAGTCGGTATCTGCCAGGGGATCCCTAGACTGTGGTAAATATGAATGTCGACCTACCCATGCGCAATAAGCACGGAGTGGTGAATGTTGGCTGTGAAATAGGGGAAGTGGTGTGGTGTGGTGACGGTTGTGGTGGTGGTGGTGGTGGTGGTCAAAAGATGCGCTTGATATTGAGAATAGCAATCGCGGGAGGATCAAACGTGGTCCCAATCTCACGACTAGTTGCAGTATTCTACCCACACTTCATGACAAGAAGCGCTGGGGATGTGATGGCGTCCAGCGAACTGTTTGTCCTAAACGTCGCTGCATGTGGGAATCATGATCAATTCTAGACGCGTCGCATGGTGGCGGAGGATTTCTCGGTTGGCGTGTTGCCAGTGGATGATGGATTGTGGATGCAGTGAAGCGGTCTGTGGATACAATGATGAGTGACGGGTCGAGCTTGAATGGGTCTCTTGCGTCTCTGGGGACGGCACTTTTAGGGCTCTTGGGAGGGCAGATCAGGGGACGGAGCCTGCACTGCGCCTAAAGAGCCCCCAAAGAACCGCTAAGCTCAGAGCTCCTGAGGCTGCTAATAGTGCACTACTGCCCGCCAACGCATCCCGGTATCTCGCTAGCGGGTGAAGATCGAGAGTGCGTCAGCGACTCGGAGGCTTCGATCGCCAAAGAAGGAGCCACTCCAGTTAAAGAAGGGCAGCCACTTTGGCCCATTCCGTTAGCAGGTTTCACTAAAAGTCCTCCTTACCCCTCTGTTCTTAGGCGAGACGACGCCTACGTTGTAGAAGGGCTCTGGTTGATATTCATCCCTGGCGACCAGGTCGACACCTACACTGTATATCATTAGGGACGGGAGTTAAGAGGTCATATACTGCGCCTCGTGTATCTACAATCATCGACCTGCATCTTGTATCACACACCTCGCAGCCAACGGTGCATGGTACATGTTCCATTGGCCGACGGATGCATGCTTGTCACAATCCCCCGACGACGCAGCTGTGCATGGTAGGGGTGTAGCGGTGCTGGCTGCGATATTGATCTTTAAGGATAAAGACTAAAACCAAATACCGACGCCTACCCCTACTATTAATGTTGTATACCTAGGTACATGGGTATCTACTCCTGTACACGAGGTGGAAGCAGTCGATATCGAGTCGCACGGTCATGGTGTTCGTAGTATTATAAAGCGGATCTGATCCTCCGACCCTCCGTTGCATCCCCTCCGAGCTCATCTCATACAATTGTATTCTTCCGTCTCCGAGCCTCGTGTCCACCGTCATCTCCACCAAGCTGGCATATGAACCGTCAATTGCAACAGACTTGTCGTAGCATTTCTCTTGGTTTCCTGGCTATTCCGTACTATCAGGTGAGCGATTGACCAAGTTGAGGTATCGGACGGTCTCTGCGTCAACATACAAGTAGGCCCGTGGTGAAGCTTGAGTCGAACACCTCTCTCCTACGTTCCCCCCACCAATCTCAAGTGCATACCATACACTCCCATTGAAGCAGACACCACCACTTCCATCGACCTACGCAATACCACAATGTCTACAACCAACACCCTAGGCGTCGGAATCCCCGTATTCTACGCGCTCGTCGAACCCACCATCTTCATTCCCTTCATCAAAGCGTCGAAAGAAGACCTAGCAACCACCAGCAAGATGATCCGGTTATGGTGGACCAACGGCCTACCATTAGGTCTTGCCGTCGTCTTCTCAGTGACTCTACCCACCATCATTGGCGGCATCTATGCGTCTCGACTGTTCCCCCACGACAGTGCCAAACGAACTTTGTGTTTGGCTGGATCGGCGTTCGCGCTGGGCCATTTTGCCTTTGTGCCAACCATCAGCCAGACGATCAAGAACGCCTGCGATGAAGAGGTGGAAAAGAAAGGCCAGTCGATCGAATATGTCAAGAAATGGCTGAAGGTGCATTTCTGGAGAACCCTCACGGCGGATCTGCCTGCGCTGGTTTGTTTTGGAATTGTCGCATTCAGCAACTCGTTTTAGATCAGATAGTAGAGTTGGATGGTAAAACGTGGAAACAAAAAATTAAGATGTGTGTTGTGTATGTGCGCTGGTTCAATGAAAGAAAAAAGGATATGATATGATAACTTCAAGCTAATGGCCACGTTGCCTGCAACTGACCGCAGACCGCATCCAACGTCAGCTCAAGAAAACAAGAAGAAAAGATATCAAACTATTTGTCTGGTGCTGCAGTGATGCCAGCCACTTCAAGTTTGCCTTACATCTGACCACCGGCAGCTCGAACCCCATCCCTCGTCACTCCCAAGTCGAAACGAACAAAAGCAGGTCGCCCATTTCTTCCTCGACGCACCACTGGAGACTGCACCTTGACAGTACTGACCTTTTCTGCCTTTGGCTCAGTGGGAGCCGGTGTTGGTGTGGGTGTGAGTGTGTTTTTGCCTGCCGTGCCACTCACCCTGCTTCCCGGTTTACCATCATATGCCGCCAGTGCACCAGAAGAGCGCTCCGGACCATTGACATTCAGTCCACGGTTGCCTTGGCCTCGGCCATATGTTGCACCAGAAGAGCGTCCGTTCAGTCCATGATTTCCTTGGCCAGCCAGTCTCTTCCTTTTTCTGGCTTCCCACTCCATCTTCCTCTGCTCCACTTTGTTCCCCAAAATCTCATCAATCATCTTATTAAACTCCGGAATCTCCTCCCTCAGAGTCCTATAAGCACCCTTTGCTTTCAGCCGTTTCTCCCAGATTCTGATTGCAACATGTTCAGCGAGAAACTTCTTCATGTCCTCGTCTACCTGTGGCTCCACAGACAGAAACAGACACCGCACGTCTTCGGAATGAATCTGTCCAGCGGCCATTTGTTCCATGCGCTTCTCGATTTTGTGTTGGAGATACTCGCATCCCATGATGGCCGCACACACTCGTGCATGGTACAGGTATGCGAATGGTTTCATGGCCGGTCCGGAAAAACGTTGAATACCGATTCCTTCGCAACATGATATCATCCAGGCGAGAATGTGCTTGTGGATGTTCATTCGGCCGCCGGCGATGGTGACGGATTTCTTGATTGGTTTGCGTTGCAGCTCGGAGACTTTCATCTTGTTGATGCCAGTGGGCCGGAAGTCGAGGTTCCATTTTGTGGAGAATGTTGTGGCGATTCCCAGGGGGAAGGACTCGGCGAGGATCAGGGGTTCAGAGGTGACTGTTGGTTTGTAGAGGATTGTGATTGTTTCGGTGGGTTTGAGTCTGTGCAATATGGGTCAGTATATGTGTGGAGACTGGAGACTATAAAATGATATGGCCAAGGGAAGTAAGATTCAGGGTTGGTACTACTTACGCTCTCAGTCTGCTCGCCGACAGTGAATCCAGCGATTGAATTTGCGACATTTTGCTCTGGTTTCTCGTTGGGACGTGAAGGAGATGGTGGTGGTGGTCGATATATGGTTTTGGTTTGGTGTGGTTAGGTTTGGTTTGGTTTGAGCGTTGCTGCTGAAATACCGACCGTTTGCGGGAGAAGAAACAAATGTACTGAACTGACTAGACGATGATCTCGAACTCGGGGCTCTGAGAAGAAAGACAAACGATTCGACGATGCAGAAGTTTGATGATGAACAGAAAGGAAAGAAGGGAGACAGAGAGACAGAAATACGGGGATATATATACCTCTGTGTCTATACACGCCTTATTCACTATTCCCCAGAGTGACTCGTTCTCAGGTCCATCAATCACTTGGACTTCACTTTTCGATTCTGGAGTGGTCAATCATGGTTTGTGACGTGACGAACTGGAGAGGAGAGGGAGCCGGTGCCGGTGATTGTGATGGTGACAATAGCAAAGAATAAAACAAAACAATATCACTATACCATGTCTATTGATTGACCTTGCCTACCTACTTATCAATCAGGTATTATTATACTGCTCGAGTGTTCTATGCGGATACTGGCTGACAAACGGACAGTGACGGTTCAATCAGGGAACAGTCACCATGTAGTTGCCTATTATCTGGTGGTGGGTAGGTGTTGGGTTGATAGTGACGACCGAACGGCTGGGCCCAACAACAGACGATGGGATAGGATGGATGGGATGGGACTTGAGATTCATTATATGCTTGGTAACATTAGTATGGCCTTATAATCGGAACTTGTATCATTCTTGTAGAATGATAAGGTATGCAATTGACGACAGGATGCTAGTACAATGTAATATAAATACATGCTCCAACCCGGTGGAGTGGCATGAACTCCAAGTGCTCAAACACCAGGCCGATTGAGAGAAAAGCAAATGTCATAGTACGAAAGGTCTCAAGCTCGTCAAAGTACAGTTGACCGAGAATGGACAGCCACCGGCCAACCTCGAGACCCATCAAACAAACAGTAGGCAGCAAAGCTTGGATCCATGTCCCATGAAATTCAGGTCCATGGGCGGCATCTGGCATATTCAAGGTCGTAGATAAGGACTTTGGAATCGTTTTGATCCTCGGACTGTCTTACGCTTCCGTACCCAGATGGAAGAACGTTGCTGGAGCCACCAATATTAGCAACGCTCACGACTTGAGTTTTGGTGGACCGGAGGAGATAGTCTTCGTCGTAGTAGAGGGCGCTACTTTTGTCGTCCCGGCGAGCGTGCCCTGATTTGGTGGCACGGCCTTTGATCCTGTTTGCAGATTGGTGTTTGATTTCTGAGGACCCTGTGTGGAATTCGGACTCGTCCCTGATATGCCAGTGGTTGTGGATTTCTTATCGGGACGCGTTGATGGAGTCTGTATGCCTGCTTGCTTGTTGGAGGTGACAGTTGGAGTTTTGGAAATGCCATTGCTCTTCAAGTTTGCTGAAGGACCAGTGCCAGGCTTCGTGTTTGATGCACTCGTCTTCGTATTTGAAGTCTTCGTAGACGACGGTTTTGACGCCGACGGCGCATTTGACGGTACCGCAGATTTCAGCTTCGCAGAGCTAGTGTTGGCGGGAGTACTCGTAGCCGGTGTAGCGGATGCAGTCTTGGAAACAGATTTTGGGCCAGTGCTGCCCTTTGGGGGTTGCACCCTGGGAGCTTTTGGTAATGTACTCGACGCTGGCCTCGTCTGCTGGCTCGAAGTCGTTGATACAGACCGTGCCACCGAAGGAGCTTTATTTGGAGGATTCCCAACCGTCGAAGCTGCTCTGGGCGTCCCGAGCTTCGGGGCAGCTCTTCTCGTAGATTTCGAACTGTCCGACGCAACGGCGGTGGAGGCATTACTCGAAAGAGTCACCACCGTGCCATACCGACTGTTCTCCTCCGCCTTGATATCGTCCCAAAAAGTGGCCTTCTTCTGGCCACCTAACGATTGCTTGGCCGCTTCTGTCAATCTAGGGCCACCCTTCTTCTCTTCTGCGGCCTTGAGTTCCTGCCAGAAAGTCCCTTTTGACTTTTTGTTAGTCGTGGAGCTTGGGGCGGACACAATCGAGCCATGTCTGCTCTTCTCTTCTGCTTCAAGAGCATCCCAGAATGTGCCCTTTTTTGATACTGTTCCGTTCGTCACCGGTTTCGCCGGTCCAACTGGGGGTGCTGACATCCGGCTCTGTTGCCTCCTCGCCTCTTCCATAGCAAGTTGGCGCATGAAATTCTGTTGCTGGCTGGTAATACTGTCGGTAACCATTTTCTGCGGGTCCGAAAGGAATTGCTGAATGAAATCCGCCCGGCTCAGCAGTGTTTGAGCGGACGGTGAGTTGAGAAGTTTTTGGACAGCCATTGCACCAGCTTTGAAGCCTTCTTCTTGTTTTGTCGGCTCGAAAAAGGAGTCGAGGGTCAACCCTGAGAGAGAGTTGGAGACAGATTTGGCGCTCTTGCCGGCTTTGATACCTGCTTGTTTAATGTCCTCAGTCCCGGACTGAAGAGCCTGTTTGTTGATGCTTTTCCAGAACCGCTGGGGTAAATCACCGTAAAAGATGTAGAGCACCATGGCCAGAATTCCCATTGGAGCAAAAATCTGCAGGAACTCGTACCAATGACTTGCTCGAATAGGAACTTCCATGTGTCCGCATCCACGCAAGACCTTACCAGACTTGTACTTTGTGGCTCCTTTGTCGGCAGGGAAGCTGCCTGTTTGAAGGTACTGTTCCATGAGCAGGTCTTTCTCCCGCCAACGAGCAATAAGCCACAGTTCAAACGCTTTCTCGTTATGCAGAGGAATATCTTTGATGGCGAACCGACGCCAGTGCATGCTTACGGATTTCGGAGGTCGTCCTTCGAGGTACCCCGCCTTGAGGGTAAAGATGTCCTGAGCATACGCGCCTCGTGGGACGCCTTCGTAGGCTATGGTGCAGTCATACACGTAGTCCACTGTTCCCTTGAGTTCTTCAAGACAGAAATGCAGGCCGGTGCTTCGAGGCAACAATACATGTTTCATGTCGGGGATGTTGTTTTTGGCTGCCCAGGCTGCACTTTTTGCGCGTGTACTGGCGGCCAGGTTGGTGCCTTCAGGGAACAACAGCAGCCACATCGGATCGGTGGGCCTGTTGAGCCGTTGTAGAGCGCTGGCCATGTTGGGTTTGTCCTGTTCCCATTTGCGCTTGAGAAAAATGAATTGGTTGAATTGCATTCCCCATCCCAGCACCGGGATCTTCTTGAGCGATTCTTTGAGTATGATGTATAATCGACCGTGCATGCCATTGCAGTAGGCTATCCACCATAAGTACAGCCAGTCGGTGTAGATCTGATGGTTGGCAATCAAGACAAGCCGCTCGGGAAAGTTGAGGATCAGGTCGCCCTCTGTAGACTGCAACAGTTGGCCCCGAACTGATGCATCGCCGGATATAATGACCTTGGTGGGAGCAAACGTTTGCGTCAGAGTCATGGTCAGCAGCCCGAAGGACTGCTTGGTGAAGGCAATCCATGCATTGTACCAATCCTGATTGACCAGATATAGAGGTGCCCCGAGAAACTGCGAGAGGTTGATGGCCAACGCTCCTGAGAGGAAGTACGTCGACAATGCCAATGCGCGCGAGGCAATTGAATATTCGCCCTTCTTCAGAGGCACGCGATCGGGCCGGTTTGCTGGTGATTCAAGGGAGAAGCCTGCGGCCGGCTCGAGGCCCGGTTTGGCAACGGACATGATGTTGTCGAGTAATGTGGCTTGATTCTATTGATGCTACTTTTTCATCTTTACTGGGGATTGACTGATGCTTGAGACACTCCTATACTGCTGTCCATCATCGAGGTTAATTGTTCGAAGTGAATTGGTCAACAAGAGCCTGAGGCTGGGATGTGTAGACGCCACCTCTGACGTCGACCCGCAACACGGCAACAGGGATGTCTGGGGCAGAAGTCTGCTTCTCGACCAGCGACAGACAGACAATCTCCATCCTACCTGCATTGTGGCGTAGAGGTGATTCGATTGAGTTCACACCGTAGCACAGGAGAGGGGACAAGCGAATATCAGACTAGGGCAGTGGTGGCCCTCCTGGTCCGATCGTTGGTTGTCACGGGCTCGGCAGCGATTGACGAGAGGTGAGAGGCCGGTTGTCGAGCCTCATCCTTGTTCATGGAGCCCATTGTGTCTGGTTGACATTGGCTGACAAGGTTGAAGGGTGCAGGAAGCAGGGAAAAACAGGATCTCGACGTTTTGTGGCGGTGCGCAACTGGCCGAGCGACGTGGGACAAAATGCACAAAGAGCACCCTTGATGACGTTCCCTCGTCCAACTGCCAGCCTGAGTCCCCGTGCCAGTCTTCGTATAACAACACCCAGTCCTTTAACTGTACATCCTGCGTCTCTTGGTCTTATATCCTTCTCGATACATTCCTACCAGATACTTCTAGTATATCATTTCTCTACGTCGTCTACACTCAGTCACTCTTCGACTGGGTGGCCTCCCAATGCCTAACGTATCCTTCGACATCTTTTTCGACAAGGACTTTATCAACATCACTGCCACTCGAGGCCAACACGCCCCCAAAGCCAAACCCGAGTGGAAAATCCGGACAGCCCCCAAACTCCCTCCCAAGCCACAGCCCGAGGACCTCAACCGAACTCCTCGGCCGCCGCCGCGTGACAAGTTGGTGCACAGTCGGCAACCGCAGAAGCAATTGACAGCACCCCCTGCACAGGAACAAGAGAAATCTGACAAGGCTGACAAGGCCGACATCTCCTCTGCCAGTTCTCAGGCCGGTGACCAGCCGAGAAGAAAGCCGCCTAAGCTCGGACCCAGAAAGTCCACCAACACGTCGACCACGCCGGCCGCACCTTTTTAAGCCTTATTAACCTCAACAATGGCAACACAGTGGGTTCTAGGGAAGGTCTCCGAGGCACTTGCCCCGACCGTGTCGAGTACGGTTGCAACTGCAGGCTCATTTGCTGGTGGAGCGGTCAGTGCAGTAGGAAATAGCATCAACAGTGTAGGTGAGGGGATCAACAACTCTATTCGCCGGTATGGGGACGGAGTGAAGGATTATGGTAATGCCATCATGGACTGGAGCAGGGCGGATGGAATCCGAGCGCAGACGGCGAGCAATCCGCTTGGACTGAGTGCAGGTGTCACTGGTGGCAAGAGACAGGTGACCAGTCCTCAGGTCTATCGGGCGCCACCAAAGACCAGTCCGTCCAAGACGTTGATGAAGAATGCCACACCTCAGAAGAAGATCGAAGCTGGCACCCCGAAAATGGCATTGCCGGCACCTGGACCCAAAGCCGATGCTGTTACCAAGAAAGCAAGCTCAACTGTTGCTGCTCCGGTTCAGAAACATGTTTCTGCTGTGACGCCCAAAGCACCGACCGCGACCAAGACAGCGTCGACACCCAATCCGGGCGCCATGAGGAAGAAGCCTGTCGATGCGACAAGCAACAAGAACGGTGGCCTCAAGCAGACAACTTCGGTCAAAAAATCGACGCCTGTCAAGTCCAATGGTGTCACTGCTTCCAAACCCGCGAATCGACCCAAAGTCAGTGGAAACCCTACCGCAGCAGCAAATCCCCTCGGTTTGAATTTCTAGTCTTGCAGTGTGCCAACGGCGACAGATGGTACAAGTACGTACCTGTCTGCTGGATTGATATGTGGCGGAGCTATCGTCTTTCATTTTGTGACATGTACCAAATTCTTTGTTGAATTTTGTAAGATTTTCACTCTTTGAACCCTTTTCTGGACATCACCTTATTTAGGCCGAGGTTGAGCAATCTGCGGCAGAGGAAGTAGCTTGTTAGCATAGTAGTGAAAGATGTACCACGATGTGGGAGTGTTGTGTCCAGACCAAGATGACCAAACACATAATGCTGACGTAACACGAATCATCACCATCACGTGAGTCGAATCGCTTGCTAACCGTAATAGGTAGCATGCTACGTGTTTAAGGCTGGTTGCCGGGGCATCGACGGAGTTCCAGCCAAACACTACAAACACGCGTGTCACGGCGCATGAGGCTCGCAACGACTGTATACAAACTCTTTGCCGACCACTAAATAACTAGTACCTGAGGCTTTTTACCCTGTATTCAAGAACGCCACAAACCATAACGAATTGAACACCAACAGCTAGAAGCTCACTGAGCGCCTACCGCGTCCATACTATCGATGCATACGACGCGACGACCGCACATTCCTCAAGCGCACTAGAGTGACTTACACCACTGAGCGTTAAACGTGTCCGGGTCGTCCTTGTTTTCTTCTTCATCGCTTCCGAGTCTGTCACAAACAATATACAATCAAACGGCGACCACCATGCGCATGACTCGTGCGGCTCTACGAGCTCAAGCCCAAGGGCTTGACGAAGCTGGGCGCGAGCATGAGCACGAATCACAACAAGAATCGCAGTCTCAACCGGTCATTCACGAAGATGTGGATGCCGATCCAGATACGACAAACCACAGCGACGCTGGCGAAGGCGAAGGTGAAGACCGCGTCGACGAAAGCGCCCCTTTGCGCCCGGTCTTGAAGGATATTACCCATGAAAATAACCTGGTAATGGAGGAGCAGAATGTGATGGAAACAGAGAATGAGAAGAACGTAACCACAAAGAATGACGATATTCCTCCTGAGGTCAGTGAGTCGGCTGTGGATAATGGACCAGAAGAGGAACAGGTTGCACCTGCGCCGGCGAAGAAAGGTAGAGGCAAGAGAAAAGCGAAGCAAGGCAAGAAGGGAAGACGGAAAGATGAAGAGCACGACGAGGGAGAGGAGAACGATCTCGATGTCGAGGTGGTCCACGCCGCCAACGATACTTCTTGTCCTGAGACTGTTGCAGAGGAAACGAGTACTAGTACACAGGACGTGACTCCGTGCTCTTTGGGTGCCGATCAGTCGGGCGAAGTTAAAGAGCACTCGCTTGCGGAATTATCCTCGAAAGAGAATGAGACAAAGGAAACGAGGGGTTTCTCTGGAAACGAGCTGGGTGAAACGCTTGGTGTTTCGTCGGAACCAGAGCTCGATGATACACATGTCCCCCCTGAAATGGGATTCCAGCAGGAAACTCAACTTGAGTGCGCGGCTACAGAAACAGAGTCTGCCGACATGAATGTCCAACTTGAAATGACCATTACGCCGAGTGTCGTGGACGCCGAAGTTGCGAAGCAGTCCTCCGTTGATGATATGCTTGCCATTCATGCACCAGCTGCAGAGGAACAAACCCATCTCAATGAGACAACTTCTCACACCTTCGAAAACTCGACTTCCACACCTCGACATATCCGCACTGATCCACCCAAGACACCCAAGTTCGACCCTTCTATTCATGCACCAATTGAAACCGTTTCAACACCACCTGCTGACTCGGTGGAAGACTCGTTCGTTGACAAGATCAAATCCAGATCGCCGAGCAAGATGCAGCTCCAACCTGAAGCGACAGCCTCCGACGGCTTTGATGAGGACATCGTGACACATACTCCTCGCATTGAAGACTCTGTCGATGCGATTGACGCTTTGGAAGATGCGATCGAGAAGGTATCTGAGAACTTGCCCGTTCTAGAAGGTCTCCAACTCGAATCACCCGTCAAGTCTCGCAAGAATACACCGGCCCGCCAACCCGTGCAAATTACCACCCCTGCTCCAGGCATCACCACTACGAAGAAAACAACTGCAACTCCCACCAAAAGCAAGAGCCCTCAGATGAAGGCGACTGCAGTTGTCAAGACCACTACCACTACTGGCCAGACCAAATCGGCAACGGCACGACCACAGGCTCCAAAAGTGGCGTCGTCTAAAACCTCCACAACTGTGACAAGACAGACAAAGAAGCCCATTATTGACGGGACCAAGCCGAGAGCTTCCACAGCTTTGGGCTCCTCATCATCTCGTCCAGCACTGTCCTTTTCCAATTCTCCAGCCAAGGCCGCAGCAGCGCTTCCAAACACGTCAGAAAAGCGTATCCCTAGTATGGGTTCCAGCGGGACAAGCCTGAACACCGCAAAATCGAGACTCTCCACCAACAAACCGGCCTTTGTCCCGGCCAAATCATCCAAACCACCTACGAAACCTACTTTTACTCTACCCGGCGAAGCCATTTCGGCCAAACTCAAAGCGCAGCGGGAAGAACGGCTAAAACGGGAAGAAGAGGCAGAAAAGGAGCGGAAGCAGTTCAAAGCGCGTCCCGTGCCGTCCAAGGTCGCTCGGCCAAGTGTCTTGCCGCGAGAGACCAAGGCCAGCCAGGCCAGAATGAGTATCTACGCGAATGGCGTCGACAAGGAGAATGTTGCTCCACAACAACGAGTGTCGAGTAGTTCTTCTTCGTCGTCGTCGACAGGAACAGAACCGCGGCCGTCTTCAACTGCTGCCAAAGTCAGAGTATCGTCAGTGGAACACTCGGCTAAAGTAGCCAATTCGAGTGTCCGACGCACTACAGGTGTTGGTGCTAGCTCCGTCGTGGTGGTGGAGAAAACCCGACCTACTAGACCGACGACCAGTGTTGGAGAGCACAAAACCGGAGTGACAACGACGGCGGTGACGAGAGGGGCGGGGACGGCAGCAGCAACACAGTCGAAACCCCGAGTCTCTTCCCTCACGTTGACAGCAGGCCAGAAACAGACGGTCACAAAGGAAGAAGTGGCTCAGCAGGAGGCCAAGGGGAGAGAAGTGTTTGGACGCAACAAGATAGAAATGGAACGGGCGGAAAAGAAGAAACGGGAAAAAGAAGATGCTGCGAAACGGGCGCGTGCTGAGGCGGCGGAACGTGGGAGACAGGCGAGTCGGGAGTGGGCGGAGAGGCAGAAGAAGAAGTTGGCTTTGCAGGCACAGGCACAGGCGGCGAAGATGGCGTCGGCCACGGCGACGGTAGGCCAGAATAATACCGTCCAGGACCAGCCATCTACTGCAATCGGTGCTGCTGTTGGGACAGCTTGATGAAGCACCGTTTTAGTGGGGACAGGCTTTTTCTTCTGTTTTGGCAGTCGGTTCTTCTCTCACTCTTTTCACCCGGCAAGGGAGGGGTGTAAGGAGCAGTAACGGGTTCCAGCGCAGCGCAGCGTCAGGTGTTTTGTTTTGTGTTTTTCTAGTCAGTGGCAGTGGTACTGCAGTGGTTGTCTTGTCTTGTCTTTCCTTTAGGAGGATCAGTCTTGATATCCTGGATTCGGTGCCGCTGGGTGGAGTTGAACCGGTCTCTGTCACGGTCTCTCAGGGATGGAAGCATTGGCATGAGTTTGATTACCTAGATATGTACAGTACTCTCTGGGTCACTAGTTTCCTACATACCTAGGTACATACCAGTACATTCATTCATTGTCATACTGATAGTGTTCAAATCACCTTATGCAGTTGCAGTGAGGGGCATGGAAATGCTAAGTTACTACAAGGTCCTAGTACCCTGCTCTGTCATGATTGATTGTATAAGGTATCTCTTTTGTTTCTTGTGTAGCCTTGTTAAACAGGTTGACTAAGCAGCCAGCGGCAACTGCAAGTGCGGCTTGTTTTTTTCTGGCGACAGGAACAATCCAAATCCACGAAACCTCGGCTGAGAGATCTGAAATACACCTTGCTTTGCTTTCGTCAGTACTGTATTCAATGTATGTACCAGTACCTGATACAAAATTCAGAGTCATCCCATTCCCACCCTCGCATGCGCACGTGGCTCTAGAGTATCTGCTATTGGAAATGGGAGATCGAGGGTACTGCATTCTCGAATGTCGCTGCCGTTGCTGTGGAGAGAAGACTGGTAAGATGAGGTACAGACAAGTATCTCCTCCAATCTTGAGAAAAAAAAAGGAGAAGGCAAACACCCTCGGAGGACTGTGCCTACCTAGGTAATAATCTCAGGCTTTAGTTCCATTCCCGACCGTCATGTGTCAAGCAAGATCAAGATCCTGATATTATTCTTAGCTGTACGAGTAGCCGCGGCGGGTCGGTTAATAATTTCTGAGATGTTCAGGGCGCCGAAGTGAAGTGTGGTGAACTCTTTCCTAGAGCTGTTTGGCGAGACTGTGGCTGCGGATTCAAAGAGTTGAGTTTTGCCTATTGTTTCTGGGTGAAATCCAAGTGGCTCTTTCATGCTGTAGCTTCGTCGATTACTGGCTGTTGGCCTCCTGACTGCTGGCTCATCCTGATCGATTTCTTTTTTGTGTTGCCGGAAGAAAGATGAGATGATAAGGTCCGTCATATAGAAGACGAGGCGGCCTTCTTCCTTCGCCCTGATGTGGCTGCTGCCGAGAGCCCGGGGTAGAAATGAAAGAGGTTTCTCTTTGCTGTCTTCTGCCTCTTTGCCTCCCTGGCTACCCTTACACCATAATGTGCAAAACCAAAAATGGGGCAAGGCGTTTAAAACTCCTTCGTCCCTCCTGGGATGGGATGCGAAGCAGCTCGTGGTGTCCTGTCCAGCGAGTCCTGTGATATCATGCACATATACACAGGAAGAGCCCACGTCGTGGTGTAACAGGACGACATCTTCGTGGTATAACAAGACGACCGTTTGTCGTTGCATTCAAACTGGTGTGATGTGGTATGTGTGGTGGTGATAAAGAATGTCCTTTTATCATTCGAATGGGGAATCGGAGAAGACCATCTCAGAGTATTTCCCTCCGTTCAACTTCCATCCTCTGTCTTTGGTTGTACCGGAATCCGAACAAGAGGGACGGGAAGGTCTTGTGCTGAAGATCCACTGGTACCTCGAGTATCGCCTGCTGCGTCGGCATCTTGGTTTTCGTCTTCGTCGACATTGGCGGGCTTGGGGACTTTCACTGTTTGCACCCATTGAATTAGCTTTTCTGGCTCACATGAGTCTTTCTACCGAGTTTCTGGAGTTGACGAGGATGGGAAAAAGTAGGCCTAATGACGACGATCTAGACACATTTAAATGGGCTTGATCAAATGAAGCCAAACAAAGGGGAAGCAGTGAGGGCAATGAGAGGAAGAAACAGGGTTCTTCAAGATCACACATGCTTAAAGTCTCGAGAAAGTCCGCATCTTACTCGAGGTGCGAGGAGAACGGTTTGAAATGCCAATGTCATGGCTGTGAAACGTTCCAATATGTGGTGGTGGTGTTCTTTTGGAAAATACCTACTGGCTGCCATGTTGATCGCTCTGAGCACATTCTCCCAATTCGCCAATACCAATGCGACACTCTGTGAGCCGTCGCGCAAAGTGCCGAGCTTCTCTTCCAGTGTGGATAGTTGTGTTGCTAAATTGGCACTCAGATCGCGCAGGGCTCGTAGATTCTCGAGCTCGGCGCGCTTTGCCGCGATTCTGGTTTGTAGGAGTGACTGTGAGTGGGAATGCGAATGGGACGGCTGGCGCAGCCCGGAAGATGAGGACGTGGTGTTGCCCGGATTCCCGTGTGAGGGATACATGTTTGTGAGTCGGTGCGTGTGGTAAGACATGGTTGGTTCGGACTGCCTCACGCCGGGTTGAGTGAGGCCTGGTCGCTGAAGTGGGTGGACTGTAAAATGGGCGCAGATATCAATCTGGTGGTGTCCTCCACCGGAACGATGAAGCCGTCGAAGGTAAGCAATTTTGTGGACCGTGAGATCAAGTAGGACTTCTTGCCGTCTAGTCTGATGCGCAGGGATCGGAAGTGGTGTAGAAACTTCAGCAGTAGTAATGGTATATAATGTTGTACTAGGGAACGCTGCCAGTGCTTGATGTTGAAGTCGTCTGTATTGACGCGCAGTCAATCATTGGTCGTTCGAACGCGTGCGGGCAGCGGATAAATTGGGCCGGGCTCGCCGTAGTAGTACCAGCGCAAATACGGCGGACCACTCAAAATGCCAGCGGAACCTCAGCACGCCATTCCCGAAAGGGTGATTTGTTGATGCTACGCCAACTGCGGTGCGTTCAATGCAATACCAAGAACCAGTCGTGTCCTTGCGCGGCGAAATGGTCAGTCACTGAATATCATCTCGAACAACAACTTCACCTCCAAGTTGCCCCTCTCACCTCCACGAATATCCTCTAGAGAACATCCCTAAGCAACTCCGACAGCTCGTCCTCCAGATCTGATATGCAATTTCGAGGCAAGACAGAGCAGCCCAAGCACGCGTGACATGACTTCCTGGGCCGACCTGACATGGCGAGACTGAACGAGGTTCCAGCTCCTCCTGCTGAAAGCATTGAAGCTTGTATGTCTTCGCCAATCGCAATTGTACAGTCTCAACTCTAACGACTACAGTGAAACGACGATTTATCCGGCAGAATCGCGAAATAGCACGTGTGAATTCGACCCAGTCGCAACGGATCCGCAACCTTGAAACGGAGATCTCCCGACTCGTTGCTGAGAACATATCTCTTCGGGAACAAGCAATTGCTGCCCAGGCCGAAGCGGAAAGATGGCGCGGTGCGAACGATGTCAACCGGGAGATTCTGGAAATGAAAGAGAGGATGGAAAGCAAGGTCAGCGAGCTTTCGCTGTTGATTGTGGAGATGAGCCAACTTCCTGAACGGGCGGCTGACAAAGCCCGGCGGCGAAGCGGCATTGCGAAATCCAGAAATTCGATGGACCAAGACTGGCAGAATCGTCAATCTATGAGAGAGGCCATCGCTACTGACAGGGAGTTATATGATGGGAGGCTGCCTGTGATACAGGAAGACAAGCTATACCCACGTCGGACGTTGGAATCAGCAGAGATTCTAGCGATCCGACATGAAGAAGCCTTGCAGCAAGCGTCGGAGTCGCCCGAGTTGGGACCGCCACCCGTGGCACATTTCGACGTGGCCGAGCCGATTGCGTTCGACTCTTCAAGTGCTGTTGAACAACCTGATGATGACCTGACGCAGTTACCGCCGACGTTGGAAAAGAGGCGCAAGCGTCGGACCAGCTCTTTACTCCAAGATATGCCGACGGAACCAGTCTCGGAATCACCCGTGCCTGAAGAACCAGCCAGCGAGCCGGTCCAAGAGCCAGTGGTCCCGTTGCTGAAGTCAGGGGCAAAACGAAAATTAGATATTACAGAGCTCGACGAACCGGAGCAGCAGCATTCCAACGAGAACGACTGCTTTGTCTTTCAGAGGAAGCAATTGATATGGAGCAATCCAGCCACGGCGAAGAAGGCGTCCAGGTTTACAAGGGCACCAGGTCGCGAAGCCGACACAACAGCCGAAACCGCTACCAGCTCTCCTCAAAAAGCGCTTGCTGCTGGGAGGAAGATTCTTGCGCCTAAAAGCACCAATTCTCCCACAAAAAGAAGGGTTCAAGTCGCAGAAAAGATTGGCGAAGTTAAAGATAGTCAGTATGTTGGTGAAAAACAGTCCACCAACACATCGCCGCAGAAATCGCACCGTCCGTTGGAGCTGCCGATCCGAGATATCGTCCTTGATCCACCTGAAGCGAACGATTTGAACGGTCTACCACCGAAAACTCCCGCGGGACTGGGATCTGACTTGTTATCTCCCACCTCTACCGAGCCCTCCGCGAGACCGACCCATCATTCACAAGAAGCTGCGATTCTGAACTCAGTGGAGGATGTCTTGAACGGCAGCATCGGAAGAGGGTCCCGCCGCGCACGAGCAGCAGTCAACTATGCAGAGCCCAACTTGAGAGATAAGATGAGAAGGCCGGGCAAAGAATTGGTTCCTGCCGTTGACGGATTGGTGAAAAACAAAGAGCTTGGCTCGACCGCTCGTTCCAGAGCTTCGAGTACAGATCGAGCAACATCTGAAGGACTCAAGGGACCCGACGCAAGCGATTCAGCCATCAAAATCAAGCGGGATAATATAGCTGCTGCCCAGCAAGAGAGGTGGAAAGATCTGCCACTGTCAATCCCAGAGAGGAAAGAAGAGCCGGCGAGTCCACTACGGGACAAGGAGCGGAAAGAGACTCGTGACAGAGAACAGATTGAAGCTGCAGGTGATCGAAGGCAGAACAAGAGTAAAGGGGACCGACGATACGGCGAGGAACTGGAGAATGCCGTAAGCCGGTTGACTATCTTCGATCCTCCGGACTCATCCCCTGTTGAAACGTCCAAAGACGAAGCAAAGGCTGTCCCGGCAGCAACATCAAGGAGGAAAGCTTCAGCGACCGGCACCGCAAGGAGACATTCGACACAACCAACCTCATCATCTTCGCTAAACCCCACACCTGGGGAGCAGACAAGAACTTCCAGAAGGTCGGACTCGTCGTCAGGCCAAAAGGCGTCACTTCCACGGCCCAGTTCCGCGGCAAGCTTGAGGCCGCAATCTGTTGACAATGTCAAAGATGCTGACAATAAGTACTTGAAGCGCTCGCAGAGTGTCAGCTCTAACTTGAGCGCACCAAGCGCGACCACAGCTGAGAGAACCAAAGCCGAACATGGTGCAACGATGGGAAATGCCGTCACCAGCGACAGGAATGACAGAGTCGCGAATCGGCGGCGGAGTATGATGGTCTGATATATGCAGATCATGTCGCGTACACGGCTGGGAGACAATCATCAATCTGCTCTCCATCTGGGGCTTCTCTTCCTCCTCGGCGTCTTGGCCTTTCTTTTGGTGACTGTGGTCATCGTTTTTGATGACTAGTTTTGGGTATTTCTGTCACGGGCTGGACAGCATTGGAGGCGTGTTGGACCTGGTGTCAAGCGTGATGCCGGAGGAGCTTGACGATACCCTTTGCTCCAAACGAGACCATGAGAATAGATCTAAATTTGAATCTTGCTTCGAACACGCCCGTTGCTGCTGCCTCAGAACATGTCCCCTCCTGAGCACTCTCCTCCGCCAGCCATGAGCCTGATTTGGCGCGGCACGACGTGTAACTGTTCGTCCCGGCCTTCCAGAGACCGGTTCTTTCCACGGTCAATGATCTGTGGTATGTTGCGGAGCATGATCAACTGTTTCACTTGTTGACTTCTAATTCTTCAATGCTCTGCGACATGCCCAGGATGACCCCATCGAGCCGTCTGACGTACTCTTGCATCTCCTTCCTCTTGGCTTTCCTCTTTTCCTCCATATCCCTAACCTTTTCTGCCAACACCCTTATTTCTTCCGCCTGTTGTTGCTCGCTGGCGCCTATCCCCGGTAACCGCGAGACCAGTAACTCAATTTGCTGACCTTTTTGAACCAGGTCTTCGGCCAACTCGCGCTGGGCATTAGCAAACACTTGCGGTGGCACAGGACGCAGCGGATATGGGGCGCGGTCTGTGTCTTCGGGGCCAGGCTGTATTTGCGGTTGGTGTGAGGCCGTTTGACTCGCGCCGGGCGTCTGAGTTTGACTTTGTGTGTGCGTGGTTACGGCATTGGAGGGCGGAAAAGTGAATGGGTCGTTTGGATCAGGTTCAGGCGCGACAAGAGGGTGACGCTGCGAGAGATAGCTGATGGTCGAGAAGAATTGGGTCAGGAGTTGGTCGTAGCAGGTTTGGAGTTGGGTGAGGATGTCGCTGGACATGATGGGGTTAATGATTGTCTCGCAACGCTGAGATTCAAGTGCGGATGCAGTCGTAGGGAGGAGTTATCGTGAGACTACAATTCTTCGAGGATCGTGGGTGGGTATAAGATCCTGGTGTTGCTCCAGCGTGTCGTGGTAGTTAAGGTGTCTGAACGATGGTCACGCCCGTTGTTAGAGGATCTCCGAGTGGGATATGGAGCTGGAGCACTGTAGTACTTACTGTCTGTAGGTACCCAGTCCACGGAAATGCGTGCCGTGGGTAGCAAAATGCGTTGACGCGCCTTATTATTAAGCCAGCCTTGCGGAGCACATGGAGGGTCCTGGTCCTCCAAGTCGAGCGTCATTTCTTCCATTCGCCTCTGACATATTCGCTGCATTCACTTGGTCCCTCGCCTGATACTTACTTGCCTTACTATCACAGCGGTACTTCCGCTTTCAAGTATCAGTGCGCCAACACGTTTACAACTTGTACATTGTGTCTCTAGGAACTACTGGCCTGAGATGTTTCTTACGGCTCTAATAGATCCACCACCCGCCTGCACGAGTTGATACCCCCATCCATCCCGCCGCTTCTCCCTCCCTCCCCGCCGAACATATCCGGTGCACCAAACATCCCTTTGGCCATGCATCAGTCCTTCACGGGCAACGCCCGTAAAGCCCGTCAGGTCAATTTATCCGGCCGTCAGGTAGTGAACCCGTGGGCGACGATATCCAAGGGACAGTCGAGTGTCGATCCCGTGGCTCAAGCACAGGCAGATCGGTTGAAGAGACAACATGAACGAGAGAGGCTGAATGCTGCAAAGCTGATACAGAAACTATGGCGTGGCCACTCCAGTCGAAGACAGCAGAAGATGATATGGAAACAGTTGTGGGACGATAATGAGCAGGAGAGATTGGGCTCGTCGCATTCGCTCGACTACGAATCGCTCCTCGATGCCAAAGACAAAATCCCCGTTTACCGAGATCCGACACTCTTACTCTTTCAAATGCGACTGATCCTTACGTTCCAAGAGTTTAGAGGTCACAAAGTTCGAGACAAAACAGATACTCTCCGCGTGCTGTACTTTGGACAGGCGCTGCAACGTACAATTGAAGGCCATCCCACGCGGCCCGATTTCGACGATGTTTGGACGCACAACCTGTCTCAGCTGGCATTGATCGTGGCTCAGCACTTGAAGAGCATAGTGTTGAGCGACTTAGCTCATGCGAAAACATCATACGGCCCTCGGTTATTGAGGATGCTCACTTGGCTTGCTGAGATGGTGCCCGATGCCCTTGCCAGAGATGCTTTTACCTATTTTCACGTCTTGGAGATGGTGCTGCAGGAAGAAAAGGCGGCCCGTTGGCAACAGTACACGATCGGCGCAATCGTGAAGCTGCTCACATCCCCATGTCACGGAAAGTTAACAGCATATAGGGCCTTCGCTTTGTTCGTGCTCGGGGACGATTCCTTCTCTAGTGATAGGGAGGTATTAAAAAACCTGGCTGCGGCTATAGACCTCAAGGAACTGTCCGCTGCGCTAATCAAGGAAGTGGAAGAAGCCCAGGAAGATTCGAAACGACCTCTAAAAATCAGCAGAGCTCTATGGCAGCTAGCTCATCTCCTCTACATGCATGACTCGCTGGGCAAAGGGTACGCGGGCCAAGATTTATACATCGAAGCACTGTCAGCATTGCTGGGGTTGTGTGCGAATGATATCGCCACGAGACTAGATTTGGCAGACCAGGCGATGTTTGGCGATGAAAGCAACACTGCCAACACTGCAGAACCTTTGCCGGCGTTCGTACGGGAGATGATTCTTAGGATACCCCAGCAAGATAACGTTCGGGCAGTGTTACACGAAGTGGGCACGCCCATGTCTTCGACCGCGGGTCAACAGAGATCAGATTTCGAATCTGCCAAACGATTGGCCAACTATGCTGTTTCCCTGCTCCGAGCATTCCCTTCTCGAGCCCAAAATATCCGGATGTACCTGTATCAAGGCTCAGTATCTTCGGTGGGCGATGCAGACATGTCCACCATCCAGTACTTCTGGAGGACAACAAGAGCGACCGGCGTCTTCAAGAAGGCCGTTCAAGACCAGCGAAGCATTTTGTCATTATTAAAAGAGGCAGCCCCAGAGACGAATCAGATCGGACAACCACCTATATCTAGGGAGGCAGTTGCACTTTGGCGAGACGAGTGGCGGATAATACTACTCTTCCTCGAACTCTACACTTTTGTGCTCAAATTCATGGACGACGACGATTTCTTCGCCTTGGATGAGCGGCGCGTGTTTGGAACCAGCCCTGTTACTGCCACCAGTTTCATGGCGAGACAGGGTGCATTGCCCCTGGACGACGTTGCATTGCTGACGACGTTCCTCAAAAACCTTGCATTCACCCTCTACTGGCATGCAGCCGACTTTTTCCAAGGGCACGAGGTAGAAGAGGAAGCCAGTTTGTCTGCTCTCTTCGGAGGTGCCAACCAACCTTCAAGTAGACCGAACGAGAAGAAACAGCCCCAGACTTTGACCGGCAATGGCGTCTCTCAAGACTATCTGAAAGGACTAGTCACTGGCCTTCTGCGGATGCTCCATGAGAGAGACTCGCGACGGTCGTTTGTGCCTGCCGACCATTGGCTCATGACCAGCCAAGTCAACATGACTGGCTTCATCCCGGCTGTGGTTGCAGAAGAAGAAAAAAGACACGAGCTTGCTGGCGAAGACGAGGCAGAGCAGGAGCCAGATGACTTGGACAAGGATACTGAGGCTGACGACCTTGCTACGGGTGCTCTCGCCTCTGACGTGGTAATGAGAAACATGTTTGGCATTCGTCCTTCACACACACCTCGGACAAGAGCCTCGCGCGCGGTCGAACGTCTGGAACATCAACGAATGCAGGCGAGGAAGAAGAGACAGGTCGAATCCCTTGCGCCTCGGCTCGAAATCCTCCGCAACCTTCCATTTTTCATCCCATTTGAGACAAGAGTGCAAATCTTTCGCGAGTTTGTTTACCGCGATCAAGTGCAACGACGTGGCGGCGAGATTGACGCCGACAGTTGGCGGATGCACGTGGCGACCAGCACTCAAGGAAGAGACATCGATGGCCGGCCTCGTGGGCTGAATATTATCAGCCGACATCATGCAGAAATCCACCGTGATAGTGTTTTTGAGGATGCATACGAGGCATTTTATCCGCTCGGCGAAGGGCTCAAAGAACCAATTCAAATCACATTCATCGACAAGTTCGGCAATCCTGAAGCTGGCATCGATGGAGGTGGCGTTACGAAAGAATTTTTGATGAGCGTGACTGCCGAGGCGTTCGATCCGGAGGCCAGTCTCAGCATGTTCAAGCAGAACAAGCAAGGATATCTCTATCCGAATCCCTTGATTTACCAAGAGACTGCGGAATACCTGAAACATGCAGGGAGAAAGCCCGGGACAGAAGGATTTGACTACCCCATGGCCGAATTTCTTCGCCGGTTCCAATTTGTTGGCCGTGTCGTCGGTAAATGCCTTTACGAGGGGATTTTAGTTGATGTCAACTTTGCGGGATTCTTCTTGCTGAAATGGGCTTTGACCGGCGGCACCACTGTTGGCTCGAACGAGTCGGCGTATCGTGCCACGATCAACGATGTGCGGGAATATGACGAGGAACTATACAATGGGCTGTTGAAGCTGAAAAACTACCCTGGAGATGTGGAGGCGGATTTCGCACTCGATTTCACGGTCAGTGACACGATTACGATAATAGATGAGCGTGGCAAAGAGATCACCAAGACCATCACGACGGAACTGATGCCCAACGGAGCCAATACGCCAGTCACCAACACCAACCGTCTTTTGTACATTGACCGGATCGTGAGGTACAGGCTTCAGCAGCAACCCAAGGCGGTGACGGATGCCTTCCTCAAAGGATTAGGCCAGATCATCCAACCCATGTGGCTTGCCATGTTCAACCAGAAAGAACTGCAGAAGCTGGTCGGAGGAGACAACTCTCAACTCGACATCGACGACCTCCGCCGCAATACACAGTACGGTGGACTGTATGTCATTGGCGACGATGGTCTAGAGCATCCCACGGTCCAGTTGTTCTGGAAAGCCATGTATGAGTTTTCCGACGAGGATAGGAGGAAAGTGCTCAAATTCGTCACGAGTTCGCCCAGGGCGCCCTTGTTGGGATTCAGCCATCTCCATCCCAAGTTTAGCATTCGCGATGCAAGCGAAGATCAGACTCGTCTGCCTAGTGCCAGCACTTGTGTCAATCTCCTCAAGTTGCCGAGGTATGAGGATCTTAAGACCATGAAGGAGAAGTTGCTGTATGCGGTCAACGCCGGGGCAGGGTTTGACCTGTCCTAGTGCTTGCTTTTGCAAAGAAGAAGTTGACTGGCGTGCGGACTACTACTATTACAGCATTGAACTGAACTGGGCGCGGATCGGATCAGCGGGCTTGGGCTTGGATGTATCTATTTGATTGAATCTTGACATGCAGTGGCGCGGAATGGGATGAGAAGGGGGCGTTCTAAGCGATTTAATTCTTGTTGACGGATGGCAACTTAGTCATGCATCTCTCTCTCTCTCTCTCTCTCTCTCTCTCTCTCTCTCTCTCTCTCTCTCTCTCTCTCTCTCTCTC